GAATCACCGCTTGCGAGCGGAGATGACTGTCGCTTGTGACGTCTGCCTTAGCTTTTCTGGCTCCAAAACACCGCTTTAAAAGGGCAAAAATTGTTAATAATCTCAACAAACCAACTCTTGATCGTGCCAAGCGATATAGATCAATAAAGTATGCCATTAACCAGTTATTATAATAGTTTTTATACGAAAATTCAAGTAATACTTAGTTTTGTCAAGCGAATAATAAGCTTATATTTAGAGTCATCCATCCTCTGTTTTTTTTTTTTTTTTTTTTATTACAAAGTATGTATAATTTGTAATACGAAAAAATTCGTCTCACGTTGCAGGTCCTGATCAGAAAAATTCGGTGAATGCAATATTTTGCTCGTGGATAGCCGTTGGAAACATTCTCGGCTTCTCTTCCGGCGCCAGTGGGAATTGGCACAGGTTATATTAGTTTTGGAAAAACCAATGTTGCTTTTATAGGATTCGATTTCTCATGTCGAATAAAATAGCATTCCGATTTTATACTTATGTTCAGAACCAGATGGTTTCCTTTCTTGATGACTCGATCTTGTTGCGAGCTGTGTGGAGATCTCAAAGCAGCGTTTTTAGTCGCAGCGGTAAGATATCGATCGACATTTTTGTACATTTCTCTGCTTGTTAATTCTGCATCGCGAATCCTGCAGGTCTTCCTAACGTTTTGTACGCTCGTGCCGCTCTACTCGGCGAAAGAAGTGCCGCTGTCGTTGATACAATCTAACCGTTTAGCACATTCTTCTCCTCTGTTAGACGATCATCGGCTAAATGGGACGAAGGGCCATTCGGAATCAAACAATTCCGAATCGCAAATTAGTCACTACTCTGTCGACAATGTCAACAGCTTTAACGACAGTCCCGGTGCAGTTCTGGTTAATTTGTTGACGAGCTTGCGCCATTTGCCTCGGGCTATGCTTTCGGTGTTGATAATCATGGCTTTGACTTGGGTACATGAATTTTTACAATTTTGTTTCAACTTCCGTGATTTCTTTCGATTTTCGCCTTTGTTTACTGTTTTCAAGAAAATAGTTGTCGTGGTTCCCGTTTTTTCTCTTCGACACGGACTGGATGGGAAGAGAAGTATTTCACGGCGACCCGAAAGGAGACCCGGCCGAAGTAGAAGCTTATAACCAAGGTGTCCGAGAAGGTGCATTTGGTTTACTATTGAATTATGTAAGAACTCGTTATTGTCACGTACCGAAATGAAGTAATCTAGTCTCAAGATTGAATCTTTTCGTCGCCTTTCGACAGCGTATGTTTTGTTCTTTGTTTTGCAGATTGTTCTCGGAATTTGCTCGTTCTTAATCGAACCGATGTGCCAGTTGATGGGAGCGCGGCTAGTTTGGGCCGGCAGCAATTTCGTCGTGTTTGTCTGCATGACCTGCACGGCGCTTATCAGCTTGTTATCGATTAGACAACAAAATTCCGATGTAGTTGGAGCTAGTGGATCGATTAGGACAGCTTCGCTGCTCGTCTTCGCTATTCTCGGGCTTCCCCTTGCTGTAAGAATGTGTCTATATATATATATATACTGTTTAAAGGCGCGTAAAGATTTCGTTTTTGATCGATCCTTTCGACTTGCCTTGGATCACTTACAGCATGCCGTTTTCTGTTACTGCTGAGTTAACTGCCGATTCAGGAGGGGGTCAAGGTATTCGCACTTTTTAATTCTTGTAATAAATCAATTTGTTCTGTTTCTTCGACTGCGAATGCTACATGTCTTTTTCAGGATTGGCAGTTGGAGTTTCGAATCTTGCCATTGTTATACCTCAGGTGATATTCTCGCTGTCCTGTAAAAGTTATTTTGGCGCAGAAAATACTCTCGTCTATCAAATTAGCGTCAATTTTAGTATATTAGGACAATTTATGTTGATGATGTGGTTATTCGCTCTCGGTTTAGATGATGGTTTCCTTAGGCGCCGGGCCGTGGGATGCTTTATTTGGCGGCGGTAATATTCCTGCGTTCGCTGTTGCTTTGGTGTCTGCCCTTGCAGCCGCCATTATTGCTGCTCGAAAACGTCCCGAGCTTTCGAGCACCTATATTGTGTAATAATTTGCTAATTTTTTCATGTTAGTTTGGTGATTTGATCATATTAGATTTAACGCTTAAGATTATCAGGGCAGCATCAAGGGTTGATTTCTGAGATTTACTGTAGTAACATTTACTTACGTGTGTGTGTGTATATATATACAGGTTTTGTGTGTAATGATTCTTGAATTATTGTGATGGTGTTTTTCAAAAATGAACTTGATGGATGGATGGACACTTGCCAGAATGTTTGGTTGATTAATTTCTTTCTTCCACTCAATGGATCATTTTGGACTCGCATCAATTTTTATATGAAATGTTTATTGGGTGTATTTATTTTGTATTTTTGGAGGAATTTATTTTTATATTATAAAAAAAATTATATTAATAATAAAAAATATTATTATTTTGTATTATTGATTTTTTATAAGTGAATAAATATATTATATTTTTTAAAAGTATTAATAAGAAATCATGTCATTACAAAATACAAAGTGAATAAAAATAAGAATTGAAGGTCCCAATATAGAATAAAAGCTTATCAATTTTGTCTCAATATAAAAAAAAATTTTCAATTTTAGTTTTATTATAAATAATTTCAATTAATTTTAATTTTATTATAAACAATTTTAATCAATTTTGGTCCCACAGTTAAAAAAATGCCGATGATGACATAACGGGGGTGACGTGGCAGCTGATTTGAAAACTATACGATCATATACAATTATACACGGCTATGTAATTGTAAAAATTTTCAGGTCAGCTGTCACGTCACGTCGATCCGTTACATCAATGTTAGCAATTTCTGTTAGTTTTTTAACAGTGAGACGAGAATCGATTGAAATTGGATTAAAATTGATAACTTTTTTATATTTTGATCAAAATTAATTTTTTCCCTAAAATTTTAACTTATATTCACACTACTATTTATATCTACTTTATATATACATATCTGAAAATTTGAAAATACAAAATTTATGAATGTGAGCGAGAGCGAGAGCGAGGTAATTGAAAACCGGCTCTCTTTGCAATTAAATAAACAGTATAATATTTGATTTTATTTGTGACACATAATTTAATTTAAATCCGAAGAATATGGCCGTTGTGCAACTATTTAAAAAATTTAATCAAGTCATGTGATACAGTGATCAATGTGGGTCCCATTTTAATGGACTATCTATCACCCAATTCCAAGGTCGTGGGGCCCATTGCCAATTCATTTTCCCTATTCAGAAAAATCAATCAGTACGATATATTATTATAATTAAAAAATGACAAAATGATGGAATATATTATGTGGCTTCAATATCAACCATTAGGTGATGGTTAATGTCAAAGGTGTTGATTTTTATTTTTTATTTTTATCTTCACCCCACGTGACATATCTTACCTAAATATATACTGTCTACGAAATGGTTTGTCAGTCAATTAAATTAATTTTTTAACTTAAATAGAAATTAAAGAACAATTCCAATATAATTTAATTTTCGATATTTATTAAGTTGACTCGATTGGTAATAACCTATTTATCTTGTATTAATGTTGTATATTATGAGACTAATTAATTAATTTAATGTGTGTTTGGGGATTGTAACATTTCTTATTCATTATCTTGATCATTTAAGTGAATCTTCTATGATTTCTCAATAATTCTTCTATGATATTCTTCCATTTTGTACCCTTTTTTAATCAACGAAAGAACCCGTCGTCTTCTAATCGACCACTGTTAAAAAGACTTCCGACACAAAGCATTATATTATTGTAGATTTTCAACAACAAGATTAACTAAATACCAGTTGTTGGGATTGAATTAACTTAATTATTTATGATATTATTTGTTTTGGGTTCAGTTCGTACGAATTTATTTTAAAATTTTTTCAGAAAAACTCGTAATAATGGAATTAGATGCGAGATTTATAAAGAATGGATTATTTTCTAATATGGAATTTAATTAGTTTGCACACCAACGCGTTTCCACTTATAGTTATAAACTATTCACATGTCGTCACTTTCTATAAATAAACTATGACTGTCACATGCAAATAATATAAGATTATTAGTGCAACAATGGATAATACACAGAGGATTATTATTTTCATATAAAATCTACTTAAAAGACTAATGATATGAGATAATTACAAGATCCAAAATTCCAATAATTAACAAGTTAGGAAAGTGAAAGAAATTAAGGACAACAAATTAAGTAGAATTACTACAACGTACGGCCTTACCCCTTAGTAGGGTAAATTAATGAAAGTATTTTGTCTACTTCCTTCCACAAGTCTTCTTTTTTTCATCATCATCATCATCATCATCATTTATATATGTATATGTATATGTATGTATGTATGTGTGAAATGAGAGGATAAAGAGATGGCTGTTGGGGGAAAGAAGAACTCGCCCTCCTGCACGATGCCTGCTGGTGGGATGGGTAGCACACCCTGCCCCCACCCCCCACCTCCCTCTCTCTCTCTCTCTCTATATATATATATATATATATATTCACTATTATGCACCATGCCAGTATGATAGTAACATCCATGAAAGAATATGAAGAAGATTGCTTGACTTGACATCAATGTTTTACCATCAAATTACAATCATATGTTTAATCTCCCTCTCTCTCTCTCTCTCTCTATATATATATATATATATATGTTGGTGGAGTGTGCAGATCAGTATGTACATTTTTTAAAAAATAAGTAATTTCTAACTCATCCCCTACTAATAAAATGAAAGAATCTGTCAACAAGAATAATATTTATAATACATACTCCCCCATAAATTTAAATTTAAATTATGATATTATATATATATATATATATATATATTGTTCAAACTTTTAACAATCAATGTAATAATGAGTCTGTGATTCTACCTTTCCCACTATTGAAAAGAGCCACCTTTCACTGCACAAATAAAAGCTATATATACATACATACATACATATATATATATATATATACAGATATTCAATCACAATACTATTGATGAGTGCATCCCTTTCCCTTTCCATTTCCATCTCCATCTCCATCTCCGTCTTCGTCTGCTGCACATTGTTTAACATCCCTAGAGCAAAACTGTTCTTGGTTTCTGCCAGCACCTCGATTTTCAATCCCTCGAATTCTAGGGTTATTGATTTACGACGATGTTGATGATGACGACGATGGTTGGTGGATCATCAGCATCACAAGATGCAATCAATCTGCAGCGAATGGCAACAGTTGCTGTGATTGGATTTGGAGCCCTATAATGATCCATCGATCTTCACAATAAATTAATTTGCATCTCCAGTCAAGTAAAGATCGATCCTTTATTTCAATTCTTCAAATGGCTTTCTTCCACTCAAATTTCATGCTCGAAACTCCCCATCATCATCATCATCATCACCATCAGGAAGACGATCATCACAGTAATCTCTCCACTTCTCTCTTCCCACCTTCTCATTGCTCCACCCATGATTTCCATGGTAATTACTATCAATTAAAGATTATTTTATTCTATTTATTTCCTTTTGGGATGGATGTAAAATTGACAATGATTGCGTGATTTTTTGTTTTGAATTTTTTGGGTTTCTGGGTTTAGTTGGGCAACTTTTTGACCAAATCGATGAATCTTGAAAATTTAACTTCCACTTTTAGAAAATTGTAAAAAAGGAAAATCACGAAAGGAATTATTGAAATTTTTGTGCAATTATAATGATTGATTTTGGAACTGCAGGAGTGGGTAATAATTCCTCCCTGCTGGGGAAGAGATCGTCGATGTCATTCTCGACAGACACGAACAACAACGTTGTCGTCCGCGAGGACGAATTATCAGACGATGGATCGCAATTGGGGGAGAAGAAGAGGAGGCTGAACATGGAGCAGGTGAGGACTCTGGAGAAGAATTTCGAACTTGGGAACAAGCTGGAGCCCGAACGGAAAGTGCAGCTGGCCCGGGCCCTCGGGCTGCAGCCCAGACAGATCGCCATTTGGTTTCAGAACAGGAGGGCGAGGTGGAAGACGAAGCAGCTCGAGAAAGACTATGATGTCCTCAAGAGGCAGTTCGAAGCTGTGAAGGCTGAGAATGATGACCTCCTCGCCCAGAACCAGAAGCTTCAAGCTGAGGTAAATTAATTAATTAAACAAATTTAATTAATTAATTGATGAATTGATCGATAGATTTTTTTTTGATATTCGAGGAGGGTTTTTGGTTCTTGGAACAATAAACATCACATGGTTTTCAGGGATGTTCATTGTCGTCTTACAATTTGCTGTTTTTTATGGAAGAAAAGTTTCTGAAGAAGAATCTTTGATCATAACCATTATATATATATATATATATATATATACACGGATTGATCGATAAGTTTGAGAGTGCTGTTGAAACCAGTGCACTGAAACAAGACTGCCATTTAAAAAAAAAAAAAAAATCTTATCTTTTTCTCAGTACTTTGAAGAGTTATGGGTGGATTGGATTCAATTCAGAGATAGACATACATTTTTGAAGCTCTTTTAACCAAATTGAGATATAATAGTACTATAGGCAATATTCCTGATTGCATTTTTATAAGCCCATTAATTCATATGTCCATTTTCAAGAAATTTTCAAGAAAGAGTGCATATATATATTTATTACATATTATTTGGTGCAGATATTGGCACTGAAGACAAGGGAGCCAACAGAATCGATAAATCTGAATAAGGAAACTGAAGGATCTTGCAGCAACAGGAGTGAAGACACTTCAGAAATCAAGCTCGACATTTCCACCAATAATAATAATAATAATAATAATAATAATAATAATAATACTGCTGCCATTGATAGCCCTCCAGCTGGTAGCAGGCTACTGTTTCCATCGTCTTCATCAGCATCATCTCTGCAGCTTTTCCAGCAGCAGGGGTCTTCTTCCAGGGCAGAAATGCAGTGCCCAAGAGTCGATCAAAACGTAGTCAAGGAAGAAAGTCTGTGCAACATGTTCTGTGGGATGGATGATCAGACAGGGTTTTGGCCATGGCTCGAGCAGCACCATCATCATTTCAATTAATTAATTAATTAGTTCATTATCATCAGATCTGTGTTGATTAATTACTTATCAGAATTCGTATCTTATGTATTACTACTATCATGCAGTGAGGTTGAGATAATGGATGATACATATATAGGACGACCTACGTGTGGATCTCGATCGATCCATGTTTCAATTATGCTTGAATTTCTTGCTTGGATCATAAATCACACATATATATATATATATACACACATGTATATGTATGTAGCTAGACGCTCTAGGGTTTGGAGAAAACAGCAATTTAATTCATTTCTTGATCATGTAGGGAATAATCAAAATTATTATCCAATTATCATTTCAAGATTAAATTTTGATTCACAATTAAATCAATACAACTTTAAATTAGAAGGGATATGGATGTATCAAAATATCTTTGATCAGATTTAGTATTTCCTCTAAATTTCTCACAGCCACTAAATTAAACCTAATCCATTAGAAGAAATGAAGATAAATATGATTAATTATATATATATATATTGCAATAATAATAAGAGGAATAAAGCACACATCCCAAGATGAAGAAAAAGACGAAGACATATAAGAGGAAGAAAACAAAAGAGCTTGCAAAATGGTCATTCTCGTGAAGGGGACATACAATGACATTACCCAAAGCTTTCTTTTCTTTTCTTTTTTTTTTTTCTTTTTAATTTTCTTCTTATTATTATTATTATTAATATTATTTATTTATGTTGCTGCTAATTGTGCTGGAAAGTGACAATGAAATATGCATATGGGGTATGGCATGCATGCCATTGTCATGGAATCTAAGAAAAGAAAATATTGTATATTAGGTAAGCACCAAATTTCGAAACAATTATGGGCTCCATTTTCCCAACACTTGAATCCTCTTTCATTTTGTTTTAGGGAAGAATTCATGTGATTTTCTGCACCCACTCCATACCATCCACACCCTAAAATCTTTTTTTAAAAATATTTTTTCAAGAAAAAAAAAAAAAACTTTCTTGTTTGGACTTATTAAGATGAGTGTTCTTAATTACCATTCTACACAAAATGGTAATAAAGTGACAATGGATCCATCAATATTTATATGGATATAAAGTTGATTGATTAACCCAAACTAGGAAATTTAAATTAGGGCAGAAACAGCTATATAAGATAAGATATGATTAATTAATTAAAAAGGGATCAAGAATCAATCTGGGATCATGTGAACTTTGCATTTAAAAATGGATCGAAGATCTCTTCCCTTGGAGATGGTATCTTATCATTAACTATGCCTATGCTAACACAGTTTAAATACTTAACTATATATATATATATATATATATTTTTCAAGTGGCCACATGCTTTATCTACTAATTGTCAGGGATTAAGTAAATTATATATATTGTGTACTTAACTACTGCCGATGATAAGTCGTAAGTTATCCTTACTTTTTCATTATTATTACATAAATATCACTATTTTTTACAATAATACACTCACAATGGGAAAAAAGTCATTTATTTATATATTTTTACCAACTATCAATATAATATCAATATTCTTTAAATTTCGTATCCAATCCGAATAAGAGCATGATTTTGGGACGGAGGGAGTACAATATGTGATGCATCGACAGTTAATATGTACTTTCTATCATGTTTTATATTTACGTTGTAGTAAGATATCTTGTGTGTTGAGATGGTATTGTATTGTGTGGATTACTATTTCTGTGTTTGTATTATATTAATATATAATATATTTTCGACTTCTATTTTGTCTATTATTAACAATATATTGATTAATTACAGTCACCATTGTAACTGCCGTTATATATATATTTGTTTCGATCATTTCATCCATGGCTGCTGATGCTGATGATCAACATCATGGGGTGGTTGTTGCATGTTTATGTCAACGAATCTCTCTCTCTCTCTCTCTCTCTCTCTCTCTCTATATATATATATATATATTAACATGTTATGTTATATACTTCCTCCGTCCCGCATACCATGTCCACATTGCCGTTTCTTTCCGTCTCACATATCATGTCACTTTCGTTTTTTTGAAAAATGATTATACACTTTAATTTCATTTTAAACTTTTTAATTTTATTTTTTTTAAAATTTTAATTAAACTAATTAGTTATCTTAATCTTAATTTATAATTATTTATATTATAGATTAATTATTTTAACTAATACATTCTTAATTATCTACTCAGTACACCCTTCCTAAAATACTGTAGATTTTACTAAATTGAAGAATCATTACAGAATAAGTGAAGATTTGAGTGTCATCTTTTGCTGAAAATCTGGGAATGGTATTTAGTGCACGTAACTGCCTGCCTCATTTAGGTTTGCTATTTTTCATTTATTTATTTATTTACTTTTTAGAGTTGTTTAGAGACAAAATGGTAGAATTAAGTTTTTAACTATTTCTATTTTTGGGTGTATGTGCACATAAAATATACATCTTTAAGACGCCAAGTTACAATTATTTGAGGTCAAATTGCTTACGGCCCACTTTATGATTTGGGCCTATAGAGTTTAATTATTTTGACCCACATTTGGATCAAAAGTATATGTTGGATGCTCCAATAAGCCCATTAAGGCAACTTTTAGGCCCATTAGGGATTAATTTTGCTTAACCCTTTTGGTGTTATTATTATTATTATATTTTTGCATTAGTTTTATAACCAAGAACACTAAAAGTAAATAATTTTTGCTTATTGGAAAATCAATCAAGAAAGGCATAGGATTCCGAAATGAATACAACATAGGAAAGTGGTGTAGAAAGCAATGTGAAATGTAAAGTGAAGATTAACAATCCTTACAACTTATGACCTTAGAAAGGTATGCATTTCTCCCACGTGCCCTCTTTTTATTATTCTCCATTTATTATTATTATTATTATTATTATTATTATTAGTTTATTTAATTTAATATTTTTGACAACTATTTGACATAGAAAGTTTTATAATTATATATACATATATAAGTACTTTTTTATTTTTTATTTTTTCTAAAAGTAAATAGAGGTGACTAGATAATAGTGATTCAAATGGACAATATGGAACACTGTGGTTTTGGCAATTGTGTAGGGTAATTTTCTTGCCAAATTTCTTGCTTTTTCATTATTAGAATTCAAGATTTTTGTATTGTAGGTTGTAGCTATGGGTCCCATAAATTTAATTTATGTGATTTTCTTTAATTTTATTTTTTGAATAGCAAAGATTTAACACACTAACACCCACCCGTACACTTAGAGCCGTGAAAATGGGATCAGCCCGTCGGATTAGCCCGCCCCGCATTACTTTTAAGGAGGATTGGATTGTGATTTTCTAAGCCTGTTAAAATGCGGGCCTAAATCGGTCAATCTACGTGGGCTGCTGGTTGAAGCTGGGTTAGTCCGCGGGCCAAATAGATATAATAATGTACTAACTAAATGTATTTTTTCATTTACTGTAACACTAACAAATTATAATAAAACTAATCAAATATTAATATCAGAATATATTTTAATTTTATTTAAATTACAAATATACCATTATAAATACAATTAATTTATAAATAACATACAAACAGTAAAAAAATATCAAAATCATCTTGTACACTTTATTTAATAAGTAACATATGATTATTCTTAATCTACTAAAATATTTTAAATTTAGACGAATAAAATAAAATTTATATTTTCATTAGTTTAAATAAATTATCAATATTGTCTACACACTTTGTTTTTCTTCTATAACTCTGTTATCCATGTCAGTGTTATTTGTTTTGATTTTTCATCATTTATTTTGTTCATCTTCCATTTTATTATTTTATAAATTTATGAAATTAATTATGATTTATTTTTAAAATGGAGTATTTCTTATTATTAATTTTTTAAATATACCAACTAATAATATTTAGAATTGGAAATTTTTATATTTGTTATTTATTTTTAAAATATTTATTATTTAAATTCTACAATAAAATTATTTTAAATACTATTAATTATGAAAATATTTATAATATTAATATTCTTTTAATATTTTTTAAAAGCCCGTGAGCTAGCCCGCTTAGCTCGTCACTCGCCTGTGGATTGGATTGGGGTGATAAAATTTTGATCCACTCCGCCGCGGGTTGGCCCGCAAAAAACCCGCTTATTTGCGGGTTATGATTGATTGTGGATCAATCTGCCCCACTAACCCGTTTTGACAGGTCTACTGATAAACTTATCTATTTATATAATCATATATATATTAGATGGAAATTGAATTTTGGCAAATATATTGCATTTTATTAGATGTTAATGTGTGAAAAGAAGCTTAAAATAAAAAAGGTAAGTTATTCAATTCAATAGGATTTTTTAACTTATTGTGAAATTATATAATAAAAAAAATTGGAAAAAAAAATAAAAAGAAGCAAAGTCATATATACATACATATATATCCTTTTATGCTATTTTTGTATTCTTTCGTATATAGTAGCAGTAGTTGTTTTGTTTTATTTTTTAAAATAATTAATCACTAAGACTTCTAAAAGAGAAAGTGAATAAGGATGAAAATAAAATATTATAATGAAAAATTCAACTCAATTCTATTCGTTAATAATGTTACCCCTTTTTAATTAACCTCTAATTGATTAATTATTGACGATGATAGTGATTGAGCTATATATATATATATATCCCTTTTGGAACTTGGGCTCACCTACTCATCCATTTGCTCCTCCACTCATACTAGTGAACAAAATTTCTTACACAATAATAATATCACACACAAATATATATATATATATAAATATATATATATATGTCGACTTTAATGTTTGATGCCCTACCATTTTGTGGAAGTTGAAATGATGCTTATGGGAATATATTTGTCTTTTGTTTTTGTAAGTTAGTTTCATCAAAGATGGTAACTCTCCTTTCTTTGCATTTAATATTTGAATAATAAAAAAATCGTAAAAATGAAATAAAATGGACTCGTAAAAAAATATAAAAATGAAGATAGCTGAGATTGGGCGGCTACCGTGTGTCGCTGCTCGATCATTGTAGCTAAAAGTGACTGAGCCACAAACAATACGGTGGTCTGGCGTGACCTGTTGTGTCCCGGGTGGCCGGGGACACATCAGATGCCGAATGCCTACGTGTGTTTGGTGCCGAGTGACTTGGGCACGTCGGGAGTCGGGTACCCATATGTGTCAGGCGCCGAAACGTGGCAAAGTGGCTTAGACGTTACAGGACAATATGTTGGCTTTCGCTTCAATTTGCATTGGTCCTCGCCCTGAGTCAATTGGCGGACCAACTCTCATCGTTCCATATTCAACAGGAACGCATGGCTGGTCTCCAAGAATGATTTATTGTCGGCAGTTGTACATTAACCTGACTTTATATGCATGTTTTAAAATAAAATATTTATGTAGTTGTACATTAATCAACGTGACTACAATTTCACTTATTATGATTTACTGTCAACCGTTACCATGCTAGATTTAATAAAATGACACCGAATATATGTCAATATATTATATATAAAGAATTTGCATTATATATATAAAAATAAAATTAACAGTACATACTAATACTTTATATTGTATGTTATATCATCTCCTACCTATAGCATTTTTATGTGTTGATTAGGACATTTTTATATCTAGTAAGGGATGATTTTGGTAGTACGAGGATGCATGAGATCACGAGGTTATGAGTTCAAACTACGATATCTTCAAATCTTATGCTATTAAGTTCGACCGAAAATTTACCCAAAAATAGATAGCGGATTTTCGTATTATAAAATATATATATATATATTTATAGAGGGTTTAAATTTGTGGATTGGTAATGGTGGGACATAATTGACGATTGATCTTTCGACTTTTCACAGCCTAAAATGTTCCCTTTTTAACAAGTTTTTCTTTTTGAAGCTTGACAATATATATATATATATATATATATTTATTGTGTACTGTCAAGCTTCAAATAGAAATGAAAAGTTTTGCAGGTTGCTGCTATATATCACATGTCCTTCTCACTTAATTAAGCTTTTAAATTTCCCCCTTTTTTTTCCCCATGATTTTTTGTTCCTCCATTTCTTACTGCTTATTTGTTTCTATATATTATTATCAGCTTAAAGATGCTCTTTTTTTTTTTTTGGCGGGAATTACATATATATATATATATATATTTGTGGGACATTTGTTTTCGATGTGTAGTATTTGTTTGGTTTCATTGTTATAATTTTGCTTATTAAAATTAAATAATGATGTAATATCTTTTAAATTATAAAATTAAATAAACAGAAGACTACATATTCTTCAATTCCCGCCATACGTGGCGCCGACCGCACTCCACGTGGACCAATCGCGTAACGCCAGGTGCATCCGGAATTATTTCTTCTGTCGAGAGTCCTCTCTTTGATTCATTAGCCAATTTGGTTCATATAAAATGAATTTAAATATATTTTAGTATTTATAATTAAAAAAATATATATATGAATATTAAAAAAAAAAAATTGAATTAAATTGAATTGCTTTAGCTTTCATTATTTGTGTTTGAATTTTGTTCCTTATTGGACGGCTATAGTCTACCCCACATTTCCTATGTAATATTCAAATTAAATTAGGTACTGTTGATAATTTGATTTTAGCAATTCGATGGAGACGCGTTTAGGTGTATACCACTTTATATATATATTTATTTATTTTTATTTTAAAGTATACTATTAATTTTTTAGTTTATCTATAGATTATATTTAATTGTCTATTGTCATTATTATTAAGCGTGACAAATTTAATTAATCCCAATAGTATTAATCAAATGATCGAAAGCTCCTTGACCATTGGTTGGTGCTTTGAATTAGTATTATTAATTATCAATATATTATATGTATATTTTTTAAAAATGATGATTAGATGGCATCTCTTATGTTGATTACTTGATTTAATCAAAATTAATTCATATAAAGGAAACGAGACTTGACTAAATTAACCAAAAATAAAAGTAGAAGATAAAATAATATATATATATATATAAAACAAGAAATTCTATAATTTTTTAAAATAAAATATATTAACAATACAAAACATCCTTATCGTAGGGTATAGTAATGCTTAATGGCATTTCACATTGTCAAAGAGATATTTGATTATATTTTGTTTAAAACTGTTTAGTTTTAATTATCCATCCGTTCACGAACTAATGTCGTACTTTCTTATTTGGGACGTCCGTCCAATAACTATTGTCCTATTTTTTTTTTAAATACAAATTTTACATTTTTACCCTTCATTTATTTATTACTTTTAATTTCTAACATATAATTATGAGCAACTTTGTCAATTCATAACAAAAAGACAATCACCTAAAAAATCGTACAAATATACTTTAGAACAATAAAAATTGGACGTATGGAGTATATCTATCTATATATATATATATGGCTTCAATTATCCCATCTCAATGTATTGTGTCTCTTCTTGTATTGTGTCTCTTCTTTACCGATCAATCATCACCTGTCATGTGTATTTAAATTTTTTATTTTAAAAATATACATGTCGGGTGTGATTGGTCGGTAGATGAGAGACATAATACATTGGGATAAGGTAATTGAACCATACATATTTTAAACTTAATTTATTACTACTATTTAACTTATACATATTATCATAAAATATATTTTTTTATAAAAAAATAAAATAAAATCATATTACTAATATTATTTTAAAAAATTCAAATTCAAACCAAACGTAGTTATATTCAATTTGAGTATACTTGTATTCTTTTAGTATTTTAGATTTTCTTGAATTTTTATTGATAGTATAGTTAACATATTTATAACATGATTTAATCTTCAAATATTTGACATTAGTACACAATTTATAATAAGGATAAACTGTTTTTTTAATCCCGTAACTGGACCATTTTATCATTTTAGTCCTATAAGTGGACCCTGTCGCAAACTAGTCTCATAAGTAAAAAATTTTCGCTGTTTTAGTCCTCCGGCGCCGGAGACGCCCGCGTGGCTCGCCGGAGGTGACGTATCCGCCAGGTGTCCCGCTAGGTCAACGACACTTGGCGGACACGTAAATTTATTTATTTTTTTCATTTTTTACATTTTTTTTTAATTGGACCAAATAAAAAAATACAAATAAAATTAAAAATAAATTAAAATAAATTTTTAAAAAAATTAAAAAATAAAAAAGTGGCGGACACGTCACCTCCGGCGAGCTACGCGGGCATCTCCGGCGCCGGAGGACTAAAACAGCAAAAAATTTTCACTTATGTGACTAGTTTGCGACAGGCTCCACTTACGAAACTAAAATGATAAGAGGGTCTAGTTACGAGACTAAAAAACAGTTTACCCTTGTAACAATTTAACATACAGGATTTCTTCATTATTCTGAAGCTAACAGGTAAGAATAGTAACAAAATAAGTGACCTTTTAGAAAATTGTCATGTTAATAAAAAAATGATATTAGTCTACATATATATATTTAAATAATTTAATATATCCATTATACAATTCAATAGGTTCTATATAAGAAAATAATATTCTAACATAAATTTAAAGTCTAACCCTGTTTTTAATTGTAAATGGAAAGGCATAGGAAAAATATGAGAATTTTTTTATTTATAAGGTGAATACTATTTTATTTAATATCAATTGATTTTAAGATAATTATTTTTTATAATGTGAAATACTTACGGTATTCCATACCATCAGATTATTCTTGATTGCATTTTAAGATAAATTTTGAATTATACAATTACTCTCTCTCTCTCTCTCTCGTTTAAATTTATTTCTTTTTTTTTTCCATCAAAATTTATTCTTATTTTTTTTTTCTTTTTTTTATAGAAAAAAATAAAAGTTTCTAGGGCACACATTTGAATTAGGGAGTATAATGTATTATCACTTTGCATGCTTTAACATAAATAATGTACAGTCTTCTTGAATTAAAAAATTAAAAAAAAATAAAAATAAAAATAAAATACTAACTGCAACATAAAAGAATAATTTTTTCAGACAAATTTACATTACGATCTCATCATTTTTCTCAGAATTAAATACAGGGAAAAAAAAAAATCCAAATCCAGGACTGTTCTCAAACTGTGTTTGTGATTCACCGTTATAGTTGAGTCACGAATATCGTCAAGCACTTTAGGATGGATTCAAAAAATTTGCAGACACGAAGAAACAGCCAAATGATTCTCTCTTTCTCTCTCTATAGATGAGGTGGTGTAAGAATCACAGAGACGCACACACCCCACACAGTGTGTGACAGTGAGCGTGGAGTGTGGGGTTACTGGATTCATTAATAATGCACTCGACTCATCTCATGGGTTTCAGCGTTATTTTTTTAATTCACTTCTTTTCTCGTCGCCATTATTGTTCTTATCATAGTTTATAGTTTAATTCTTTTTCAAACTTTGCCTTCGTGCCCGCGCCCAAAAGCAGGAATCCGTTGATGCTTCTGGAATTACAGTATACATATAAAAATAAATAAAAATCCATCACCATCTCACCACGCAAGCACCACATTCATGGCCTCTTTTTCCTTGTGAGGAAGCTCTCCCACTTTTCCACACCCTCATCTTTTGAATCCCTCAAAATAATATATATATATAGTTTGTATATAAAATATAATAGTTTTAGTCTTGGGTTGCTTTGCAACTTCGGCACTTTTGTTTTCAAATCTCGAGGCAGCTCGCTGTGTGATCGATCCTGTTGTTGCCGATGGTTTTTGAGAGGATTGATTCTTGCTTACAAAGTGTTTGATTTTTTGTCTGAGAGAGCAAAGTGGGAAGGAGGAAAGGTCGGTCCGAATCCTAGGCAAGACCAACAGTTTTGGGTTTTTTCTTATAGCTCATTCGTTCTGTTTTTGGAGAGAAGCGTTTTGTGTAAAGAGGAAAGGATTGATTGAGCTTTTTCTGGGGCCTATTTTCTTTTTGTACCTAAAAAAAAAAAAGAAAAGGATTATTGTTTGTTATATAATTAACACTCCCAAAAGAAACAAGTGTTGTCCTCGAGCATGCAAGAGGGGAAGACGTCCATAGGTTACAGAAAGTATGAAGAAGACTGTAATTAACAGCACTGATTCGAGTAATGGTGGACTGGCAAAGCAGAAAGAAAGGCATATTGTTTCTTGGTCTCAGGAGGTTTGGATTCAATTAGTAATCATATTTCATATATATATGTATTGGTTTTGATCTCTGGTTGTTTGGTTTTGCCATTTTTATCTGCTAAAAAAATTGGATTTCTTGGTTCTTAGGAGGATGATATTTTGAGGGAGCAGATCAGTGCACATGGGACTGAAAAGTACAGTTGTTGATTCATTGTTTTAGTTTTTTCTAGGATGTGTTATTTGTTGTACAATGATGTTGGATTTGAGTGAAGCTTATGATTGTGTTTTTGTGATTAGTTGGGCAATTATTGCATCGAAATTTAAGGATAAAACGACAAGGCAATGCCGCAGAAGGTTGGTGTATAATGTAAATAAATCTGATGGTTGTATTTGTTTGACTTGGTCTGATATCTTATCTCCCTATTGATTTCTTTGATCGATTCTAGGTTGAGTTGTCAGTCTCATTCAGTTTAGATGATCTTAAATGCAGATGGTTTACTTATTTGAATTCTGATTTCAAGAAAGGAGGATGGTCACCTGAGGAAGACATGCTCTTATGTGAGGTATTCAATTTAAGGTTAATTCGAACAAAATACTTTTTGTTTCTAAATAGATTTCAACGAAAATAGAATGAACTAATCACAGAAATGGCTCTCAGGCGCAAAAGATATTTGGAAACAGATGGACTGAGATTGCAAAGGTTGTCTCAGGCAGGTAATTAGCTGAATCTATGAAGCCTATAATGTGTCCGGTTTCAGTTTCGCTGTTGGTCGAAAGCTAGAGTTGTTTCTTAGTATCCTTAATTCTCTCAGAACCGATAATGCTGTAAAGAATCGATTCACCACACTTTGCAAGAGGAGAGCTAAGCATGAAGCATTATCGAAAGAAAACAATGCTACTTCTTACATCAACTTAAACAACAAAAGGATTGCATTCTCTGCAGGGTCTGAAACTGATGCGCCTCTTAAAAAGATTCGGTATGTCTGATGTCGCCGGCTTCCTGTAATTTTAAAATGTTCGCATAAGAAATAATATCATGAGATAATATGCCATTGCCTAATTGGTGATTCAGGGCTTATATCTCGAATTCGGCAGAAGAAGCTCAAAACGGCCTTAAGGGGGCATCAATGGACAGTTGTGAGTTTGAGAAATACCGAAAATTAGTTAAGGATATAGATATTTGGACAGCTTATATTGTCGTTTTTTACAAGTGCAGCCGAAAATAACAAAATCGAAGGAACCTTTCTTAAGAAGGATGATCCAAAGGTAATTGCACTGATGCAACAGGCTGAATTGCTCAGTTCACTCGCGGTGAGTAGGAATTATTCGATAGCTATTCAGGTCATGCTTTATTATTGAAATCGAATGCATGTCTTCAAAATTCTGAGTTTATAAGATGAACATGATCCAGGCTCTTCAAAACTTTCGGAAGCAAAACAAAGGAAGCGATTCCATCACATTCAATCGTTCTGAGGCCGAATTTCAAATCGAGAACTGCAGGGAGATGGTGGAGGATTTGCGGAGCAGTAATGAAGGAAGCATCCCGTCATGGAGGTAATTCATTTTTACAGATACTAAATTGTTTACTTGTGTCGACACCCTCTTCAGTATCTTACGATTACTTGTTTAGAGAGGGTCGTGGTTGCGACTCATCGCCAGCTAGCTCAGAGTACAGTACAGGATCTACTCTGCTGTCCAATCCACCGGCTGGAAACGAACTGTTATCAAATTCATTACACGATGTTGAGGATAATAATGTAGCTGCGCGCGAGAATTCTGTCATGGAATTCAGCTCCCCGCTCCATGTCACTCCATTGTTCAGAGCATTCGCCGCGGCAATTCCAAGCCCAAAATTCTCAGAAAGTGTAAGAGTTCTAAGGTTTTTCGATTTTTCAACCTGCACAAACCATATATCCAGTTTTCACTAAACTTTTCCGACTCCCTATTTCTGCAGGAAAAGCATTTCTTGATGAAAACACTAGGAATGGAATCGCCATCTCCGAGCGCGATCACCAACCCCAACCCCTCTCAACCTCCACCGTGCAAACGCTCCCTCCTCCATTGTCTATGAATACCCCATTTTCGATTCTTTTTAGAGTTCATAGTCCTTGGATTGAAGCTATCTTGACATCCATGGTGGTAAGGAGCACCATGATGTTTTTTTTCGATCTTCTCATCCTAAAACTCACCTTTTTTTCGTCGTGTGCTTTCTCTAGTGTGGCATTCTTTTGGTTTGTTTCTTGGAACAGTCGGATGCGGCCATCTACGCTGTTCCATTCCATATCGTTTTGTACAGGCAGAGTTTAGTTAGTAGGCGTAACGATACGGTGGCACCTCGCCAAGATTACAACTTACAGATATTACAAGTAGGAGTAGAAGTCGAAGATAGGGGAGCAAAAGGGGTTCTTTTGCTGCGGTGTTTTTAGCGTGCAGTGTAATCGTTGCAATAAGTTTTTCGCCGGTGGCCGGAAAACTTCCTCTGATTTCACATTAATGTTATACTATATACTTATTGGGAGTGCAGATATATATATATATATATATATATCAGAGATTGTTGGTGTGCATGAATGTTTAAGAGAATAATATATTATTCCTGGGTAAATTTAGAATATTTAATTCTGGCATAGAGTTTAAAGAAATATATATTTTATTAAAGGTGATAAGAATAAAAAAATAATTAAAAATAATTTTGAAAATTTAGTTAAAAATTAAAAAAAAAAATATAATAAAGATAAATAAATATTGAATAAAGTATGACATATAAATATTAATTTTATTGACTTTGTCAAAATTAATAATAATATAAATTTAGAGGTAATTTTAAAAAGTTCAGTAAAAAAATTTGAAAATTCAGTAAAAAAAATAATTGAAAGTTATTTTAGAAATTCAGTAAAAAATTAAAAGAAAAGAATATAATAAAAGTAAATAAATATTGAATAAAGTATAACATATAAATATTAATTTTATTAAAAGAAAAATAAGTAAAGTCCACGCACTAAAATTTGAAAAAATAGTCTAATAAACACTACCATATTATTACAAATAGTACTCGTATTTAATGTCATCTTTTTTTCTTTTTTTTTTTTAAATATATATTTAATACTATTAAACTGTTTTTTGGTCCGTAATTAGATTCTTTTATCATTTTAGTTTTGTAAGTGGAGCCTGTCGCAAACTAGTCCCATAAGTTAAAAATTTTTGCTGTTTTAGTTCTTCGGCGCCGGAGACGCCTGCGTGGCTCGCCGGAGGTGACGTGTCCGCCAAGTCGGCGACACCTGACGGACAGTGAATTTATTTTATTTATTTTTTAAACTTTTTTAAAATTTTTTTAATTGTACCGAATAAAAAATATAAAAATAATACAAATAAAATTCAAAATAAATTAAAAATAAGTTATAAAAAAATTAAAAAAAATAAAAAAATAAAAAAATCCACGATCCGGCGAGCCACGCGGGCATCTCCGGCGCCGGAAGACTAAAACAGCAAAAATTTTTCAGTTATGAGACTAGTTTGCGACCGGCTCCACTTACTGGACTAAAATGATGGGTCCGGGACTAAAAAAAAATAGTTTACCCTAATAATTAAAAAAGAAATTAATTTGGGTGTGTTTGTTTGGGGGATTTAATAAGATTTCTACTATTCATCCAATTTTTTCCCCCCAAAAACATCAAATCAAACATCTATTTTTCATTTTTTATATTATACTAAAAATCAATTTTACATTCAAAACATCACATCAACATCTATTTATATCACATCATACAACTATTCAAATTCAAAATTTTTACTATTCAAATCCCAACTCAAAATCCAAACTCCCAAACAAACACACCCTTACTGTAAAAAAATAAAATAAAATAAAAATCTATTAAGGGTGTGTTTGTTTGAAGGATTTTGGTGGATTTCCACTATTCATCCAATTTTTTTTCCCCAAAAACATCAAATCAAACACCTATTTTTCATTTTTTATATTATACTAAAAATCAATTTTACATTCAAAACATCACATCAAACCCTATTTATATCACATCATACAACTATTCAAATTCAAAATTTTTATTATTCAAATCCCAACTCAAAATCCATATCCCAAACAAACACACCCTAAGTATATTGGCGCGCCTTGTATATTTTATTCTCCGTCCTCCCTAATTATCATTTCCCTTCTTCACTGCAATTTCTTCGAGCCTTCGAACAGCAATGGCTGCTGCTGCAATGGTGGGTTAGAGAAATCGATGAGGCACCGAATTGCAAGGCTAGTGAAAGACGGGCTCTACAAAGAAGCCATTGTCCTCTACACGCGTCGCCACTCTGTTTCTCTCCCTCAAACCAATTTCACATTTCCCTACATCCTCAAAGCCTGCGCCGAGCTCAAGAGTAGCACCCATGGCCAGATGCTGCACGCCTCTCTATTCAAATCCGGCTACATCAATAAGCACACGACCACGGACCTCACCAATATGTACATGAAACTCGGCTTGATCGAGAGTGCAACCAAACTGTTCGACGAAATTCCTCTACCGAGCGTGTCCCTTCTTAACGTCGTTATTTCCGGATTTTTGCAGAATGGACTTTTTGAAGAAGGCTTCAGGCTGTTCAAAGTGATAGGTATTGCCGATCTTCGATTTGATTCTGTCACAGTAGCTAGCGTGGTGTCTGCCTGCAGAGATTCTGCTGATGGCGCGCAATTACACTGTTTTGCTGTTAAGACTGGCGTGGAGATGGATGCCGATGCCGCGACATCGTTAATGACAATGTATTTTAATTCGAAGGAGTTGGATTCTGCAGAAATGTTGTTTGTATTGATCGAGCACAAACATGTGATTTGCTACAATGCTTATTTGTCGGGGATGGTGCAGAACGATGCTGTCGAATCGGCATTGAGAGTGTTTATTGAAATGAGGAGCTTGTCTTGTTCGAGACCTAATCCCGTGACGATGATGTCTGTGTTGTCTGGATGTGGAGATGGTAATTACATGAGATTTGGTCGGCAGCTGCACGGTTTTATAGTTAAAGTCGGATTCAAGTTGGACGCGAAGCTCGCCACCAGTCTTGTCGATATGTATTCAAAATGCGGATTATGGCAATGCGCGTACGGTGTTTTCAGAGAAACGGGAAGTGACCGGAGCTTGGTAACGTGGAATTCAATGATAGCCGGAATGATGTTAAACGACCAAAGTGAATGCGCCGTCGATCTTTTTCTCGAGTTAGAACGCGAAGGAGCTTCGCGGCCTGACTTGGCGACATGGAACTCCATGATCAGTGGTTTCGAGCAGCTGTCAAGAAACGACGACGCGATTTTGTTCTTTAGAAAGATGCTGTCTTGCGGTGAAGTGCCGAATGTCCGGTGCTTGACAAGCTTGTTAGCCGCGTGTTCGTCTCTATCCGAGCAGCGCTACGGAAGGCAGATTCACGCGTATGTTCTGCGACTGAAGTTAATTGACGACGAATTCTTAGCTACGGCAATCATCGACATGTATATGAAATGCGGACTTCCTTCATTAGCTTACGCCGTTTTCAGCCAATTCCGTATAAAGCCAGTCGACGCGCCATTCTGGAATGCCATGATCTCCGGCTACGGGAGAAACGGCGATTCCAAAGCTTCGTTCGATATGTTCGGTAAAATGATTGAAAATAAAGTTAAGCCGGATTCAGCTACCTTCAGCTGCCTCTTGACTGTTTGCAGCCAGACAGGCGAAGTCCATGAAGGTTTCCGGATTTTTCGATTGATGACCGTAGGATACGGCTTGAATCCTACCTCAAAGCACATGAACATTTTGATCGATCTGCTCGGTCGTTCGGGCAGGCTAGATGAAGCATTGGAAGTTCTTCGATCAACGGATGAATCTTCGGCTGCTGCTTTTGCTTCTCTGCTCGGCGCCTGCAAGCAGTTTTTGGATTCGAAGACGGGCGATGAGATCGCCGGGAGGCTTATGGAATTGGAGCCGGGAAACCCGATTCCGTTTGTGATTTTATCGAATATATATGCTGGACAGGAGAAATGGCGAGATGTGCAGAGAATTAGGAAGATGATGGAGAAGAAGGGGCTCAAGAAACTCACTGCCATTAGCGCCATTGGAGCAGCTTGAAAAGGTGCACGAAATTTTATCACTTGATGATTTTGAGTTATACGATTTGAATGTTTTTGGCCAAAACATTGATGAATGATCGAAGAAAGGTTTCGACTTTTGCTGGAAATTTTTGTAGATTTGATCGGGATTTATTTGTTGACAATTTTTTGTTGTTGTTTTTTGGATAAATTGAGGATTTAGACATGAAAACATCATAGGGAGTTGGAAGGATCATCTTCTTTAATATTGTTTTTTTAGGATTTAACCTTAAAATTTTAATATCAATCCATTTTTTTTAATTTAATATTGTCTTTTTCGATTTTTTCTAAAGCAGACCGGATAAATAAGAAGAAGGAAAAGATAATTAAAAATTAAACTTTTAGAAAAATATTTAAGAAAATTTTATAAAATTCAATAATTTTTACTGAAAAAAATTAAAATCTAATTATAAATCAACAAAATTATAAAAAAATTATTATTTTTACACCGTACAATTTAAAAAAAAAAATTGAAAAATAAGAGGGGCAAAATAATAAAAAAAATATAATTTTATTATTTTTTATACTAAAAAAAAATTGTATATTTTAGAGGTTGAGGGGTAACTGTCCCTAACTTCTACATAGTTTTTCGACTCTGTTTATTGGTGTGTGAGCCAGAAAAGAAAAGATGACTAATGCTGTGACATGAGATTTGTTTTCCAAAATGTACTATTTGTAAGATTATTGCAAGTTGAGATTGTTGTTATAGGTTGATTGATATGATTATATGCGCATTTCAAACAGACTATTTTTGTACAAAATCATATGTATATTATATATGTTTTTATTTATATTTAATCTTAAAGATAAATTAGGTTAATATAAATAAATAAATATAGCTTTTTTGTTAAGGTATAAATAAATTATAAGAATGAAAGACAGATTGTGGTTTAAAATTGATTTGAAACAAAATATTATTTGAATTTTTATTTAAATTGTATTTAAATATGATATTTTATTTAAAAAAATAATAATATATTTTTATTAAAAATAATGTACAATACTCATTTGATTAGGGACACGGTGTTTAAGATGAGGATGCTTAATTAGTTAATAATAATTAGTTATGATATTATTATATTATTTTTTTTATAATTAATAATATTTATATTTTTAAAGTAAATTTGATAATATGATTAAAAAAATTAAAAATATATGTTTAAATATTTAAAAATTATATAGCAATTAAAAAAATATATACAATATGTATATTATTTTGTAGAGAATAAAATTTTCTGTAATAAAAGTAAATAAAAAAATATTTTTGTTTATTTATAATTAACATAAATCAATTTTATAAAACACGTGTAGTTTTAAATATATATAAAAATATTTATTTTATTAAAAGAGAAGTAGAAATAAAGGTATTTTAAGTGAGTCGTACGTTTCATTTATGATATTGTATATTATGTATTTAATTGAGTTGATTTATATTTGTTAAATATATTTTGATTTAATAATTTTTACAAAAATAGAAATGTGTGAATTGTTACTAAACAAATAAAAATAAAAATAATGTCAATTGTTGTGAGAAAGTTTAGATGGATTTGTTATCAATTAATAAGGCCGAAAATATCTGAGCCCAAATAGTTGTCTGGGCCCACAATGTATTTATAATTTATTAGTCACTCAGTCAGCATCTATTGGTTTTGTATATTAATTTTAAAAAGAATATTCTTCCTTCATTCAATTCGGATAGCTGTTCTATTTATTTAACAATGGACGGTCGAGATTATCCGACGCAATAAAATAGGGTCTCTACAAACCTCGCTCCTGCCATTTCCAACGAACAAAATGCATTAAGCCAGCCAGCGAGGATATTCAGAACTTCTCTCGTCTCTCTCGAAATTCCACTGCTAAGAAATCCATAAGCTCGAAGCGAAAATGGTGTTGGTGAAAGGCCCGGGTCTGTATCCTGATATTGGCAAGAAAGTCAGAGGTCAGTGATTCTAATTCCTTTTATCGTCATTCATTTATAGTTATCTGTCGATTTGGGTTATTTCAATCGTTAAATCGGTTATGGTGATGGTGTTTTTTGTTCTTCAGATCTTCTTTACAAGGATTATCTCGCCGATCAAAAGTTTACTCTCACTACCAACACGGAAGATGGTTTGGTGTGTGATTTTGTATTTTAGCTTCGGTTTCGTGTTTTTATGTCGAAATTGGCAACGAAATCTATTTCATTTGCTCTTGATTTTGGTGATTTTATAAGTATAGTTCATTGCAATTGTCTTTCTAGTTTGAGATTGTTTGTTATGTGTGTTTCTATAATTTGAAGTTCTTGCAAATGAAAACCATGTTCATAGGCTCTTTATCTTACCTAAAAACTGCTTTAAGCTAATAGCAAAAATGCATCGATAGTTACATAATATATAGTCTTCGAACAACTTATCTTGTTTGATGTTTTGATAAGGAGCTGCAAAATCCCAAGGCCGAAATTCTGATTTGCTTGAATGTATGTGGTGTTCTGATTACTGATATGTTTTCGATTGAAGGTTATTACCTCTAATGGCATTAAGAAGGGCAATGTTCTTCTTGCTGATATCAACACACAGTTGAAGAACAAAAACATCACTACTGATGTTAAGGTGGATACCACCTCCAAGGTAATTCGTCTCAAATTCTTCGGCAAATGTGATATTTATTTGTTGTCGATGCCGGCTACTATGATGAACTTATTTGATGCATTTGCGAATCTCATGGCAATTTTCTAAATGTCTGGGAGCTATAATGTTTGTTTCATTTAGGTTATGACAACTTTTACTGTCGATGAGCCTGCGCCTGGAGTGAAGGCCATCATCAGCTTCGTTGTTCCTGACCAAAAGTCCGGCAAGGTAAAATTTACTCTCGAATATGCTGAATGATTGTAAGTAATCCCTGTTTTAGCATTGGGATTGTTTTTGAAATCGGGAAATCGCCAACAGGTGGAGCTTCAATATTGGCATGAGTACGCCGGAATCAGTACCAGTCTTGGAATGTCGGCAAAGCCCATTGTTAACTTTTCGGGGGTTGCTGGAAATCAAAAAGCTGCTTTTGGAACTGAGGTTTCCTTCGATACGGCTACCGGAAGTTTTACAAAATACAACACTTCTCTCAGCATTACGGCCAACGACCTAATTGCTTCGCTCGCACTGTAAGCAATTTTTGTAACCTAAACATGAACAAAAAATGAGTCTATAATCCATCATTTAGTCGCAAAAAAACTAGTTTATATACTTTTGTTCGTATTCCCGGCTGCTGTTTTTCTATAGGAACGAGAAAGGCGACACCATTTCCTCGTCCTACTACCACGCCGTGAACCCCTTGACGGCAGTTGGCGCAGAATTCACTCACAGATTTTCGACCAACGAAAATGTCCTCACCTTCGGCACGCAGCATTATCTGGATCCTCGAACCTCTGTTAAAGCGCGGCTGAACAGCCACGGCAAAGCGAGCGCTCTTATCCAGCACGAATGGCGCCCGAAATCTCTTGTCACGATTTCCGGCGAAGTCGACACCCGGACCGTCGATCATCTTGCCAAGGTTGGACTGTCTGTAGCTCTTAAACCGTGAAATTTAGACTCATTGTTTTTCCATCTACAAGATTTCGAGCAGGCAATAAAGTAGCTATAGGCTTGATTCTGGCATCAAGTTTTGAGCTTGGATCATTGTTGTGTACTTAAATTGTATGTTCTTCTTGAGTTGTTGAAAGAAATAATTCTTACAGGAGGAAAACCTTTGGCAGGAAAAGATGTATTCGTTTCGAGGATTGTATAAATAATGATTTTGAGTATCAGCAAAGTGATTGAAATTTCAGTTAGAATTATGGATAAAGATGAACATTGCTGACTGTGATGACAATTCAGACTTGTCCGCAATCGTGATCCAATCACCATTGATGACCTCAATTAATTCTTTAAATGTCTTGTAAATTTACAGACAGCCCATATGTGTGGAATTTCAAAAAAGCTGTAAACCTCTTGCTCTGAAGAAGATTGAAACGGGGGCAAGAGATTAACGAAAATGGAGACGATGATGAGATTCTGTGGTTCTTCTCCACTCTTCTCGAAACTTCCATCGCTTTCCTTCCGATCGTCGATTTGGGTGCCTAAGCCCAACCGGAATTATACTTTCCCGGAAACCTGCCGCCGGCGGACCCCAATCTTCGTCGGAGGAGGAAACCCTAAGTTTTCTACCATTTCAGCTTCCAATGATCGCAGCGGAAATCTCGAAGATTCCTCGGTTCAGGTATTCATTTCAATCATCGATTAAATAATTCAATTTTTTTTCCGGTGGTCCTATTTTTTAACTCCGGCGATTAATTGGTGAGATTGATTTGGGGATAATTGAGGAAGAACATGGTTTTGATTTGCAGAGAGGGGAATCGTTCTTCAGGACAGTCTTGGCGAGTATGGAGACAGTCTATCTGAACAGGAACCCCACAGCCAAAGCTATTTTAGACCTCGTCGGGAAATCCGCCGGCGGTGAACGGATTTGCTACGATCATTTTGCGTTTAGGACATTTGGGGTAAGTTGCCCTAAATCATCCGAATCAATCTTCTGTTGGAATTTCACCATTGCTTTTCGTTGCAGGTCCATGGCCATGGAATCGAGTCTATGGCGAAGATCTTCCTCGATTTCGGCTATGTCCGAAGAGAAGAGCTGCGATTTCCGGCGAAGAAGCTGAGGGCTTTCTGGTACTCTCCTCCGAGCACTGGTTCAGTTTCCGGCGACGGCGTAAACGGACCGCTGCCGCGGATATTCATTTCAGAACTTCTTGTCGATCATCTGTCTCCTCAAGCTCAGGTTTTCGATGATTCCGTGTTCTTCATTGTCTGTTTTACAGAACCAAACTAAATCGATGATTCCGATCACAGAGTATAATCAAGAAATACACTCAAATGTCGGGAAAAGGAAGTATGCATGCCGCATTGGCCAGTGCATTAGGATGCTTGACATGGGAGACACCATCGTACCCGGAATTCGAAACCTTGGCGAGGTTAGTAATCATAACCTCGTCTGTCTGATCGAGATAGTCCGATTGATCGAATTGTTTGTGAATTATCCAGGGAGAGCGAATACGCAGCGTGGACTCTCGTCAACGGATACGCACTGAATCACGTCACCATATCCGCTCACCGGCTCAAATCATCGCTACGTAACATTCAATCCCTCAACGAGTTCATCGAGGAGAATGGATTCAAGTTGAACTCCGAAGGCAGCGTCTTAAAGGGTCAGCTCAGCTCGACATACCATTTCTAATTTTCTTTCGAATGTCAGGTAACTCAATGTGATTTCTTGATCAATACCAGTGAGTCCCGACGGATTGTTGCTGCAAAGTTCGACAGTTGCGGATTCATCTTCCTTCCGGTTCGCTGATGGGGTCGCGGAATCCATCCCTCGATGCTACATCGAGTTTGCCGAGCGCCTCGTACTTCCTCAGTTCAGACATTTACCGGAAAATGAGGTACTCGACACTCTCGCCGTCCTACAAATTCTTCGAAATTGAACTAAACATTTAGGCGCAATCGATGCAGGTTGAGGAGTTCCATAGGCGCGACGGATTTGAGGTCGGAAATGCCGATAAGATATTCGAGAGCACTTCTAAAGATCAACTCAGCAGGAATGTTGCTTGATGCATCGTTGAAGATGATCGTCGATGTCGAAAAATTGCCATTGATTCGGTATACTGTTTACAGTTCTGCAATCTTATACTGATAAATAAACAAACTGATAAACCGTAGATCCATTTCTAGCTACTAAAAATCATTACTACGTAGTTTTCAAGAAAAATATTACATAGTTTCTTGGACAACCACCTTACACGGGGTTTTCGAAGGAAGCCGACGGGTCGGGTCGCCGGAGACCTACCCGTCTTCTAGAACACTTGCGACGATCGAAAATGCAATTCAGAATTTGCTAAAACTATGTTACAGGGGGAGGATTACCACATGTAAATGTTCACTCAAATCAGTCTCTCTGTATGCACCAAATTTTTACGTGTGGGACAACAGAAGCATTCGTCGTATTTCCATTTCACGGAGATGAATTTGTGCGAAAAAGTCGAAAGGGGATTAGACACACAAATAGCAGCAGCGCGTTCTAAGAGGGCGTACCGTTTCGAGATAACTGATGATGTGGCGAAGCATGAGTTCCATTCGGCATCGAGAGGCTTCTTGCTTGCTGCTGTGGTTGTCCGTTTCTTGAAAAAGATCGCTGAGTCCTTAGCGCGTTCCTACCGCTCGGGCTGGATCTGACCCGATCGCCTTGCATTGTTTTAAGGTTGTAAGAAGCGCTCGCCATGTCCTTAAGGTTCGGCAAAGGCTTTAGTGTTTCGACAACCTCGCTCATTTGGGGCCGAGCCTTAGGATCGCGGCTTAGGCAGCGAGCTGCCAACTGTGCAGCCTTTTGCGCACCTTTAATCGAGAAATGACCTTCCAGTCGAGGGTCTATCATACTGTAAAAACGTTTCCTGTCGCAGAGGTTAGGACGAGCCCATTCCACGAGATTGTGTTCTCCGTTTGGCCGGTTTTTGTCCATCGATCTTCTACCTGTGATCATTTCGAGCAGAACTACGCCGAAGCTGTAGACATCACTCTTTGATGTAAGATGGCCTGCAATAGGAATTATGGATAAGCTTTTCGCTTCATTTCTAGAGAAATACAAAATGCAGTTTACCTGTCATGACATATTCAGGAGCTGCATATCCGTAAGTGCCCATCACTCGCGTGGAGACATGAGTTTTTCCATCGTCGGGCCCATCTTTAGCAAGTCCGAAATCAGAAAGTTTCGCATTATATTCCTGAGAAATAAGTCGAGCCAGTCGGGCAAGTATCTTGCAAATAGTATTATAATACCACACACGTATGAATGGCAATTTGTGAAGACTTACAGCATCCAAAAGGATGTTAGATGTCTTAAAATCTCGATATATGACAAGTTTTTCAGCTTCCTCATGTAGAAATGCGAGTCCCTTTGCAGCACCTAAAGCTATTTTCATCCTGACAGACCAGGGAAGCGGCAGAGATCCTAAAATCACGATGGTTAGAATCCGAACAGGATTACCCCACAATGCTCTACAATTTTTCATATGGCCGTCGATATGTAAACAACCGATCTATCCAAAATGAATTGTTGGCAACACAAGAAACATTTAAATTTTGAAAATTCACTCTAGCCATATAAAATGCATCGTGCTGTCAAAATCACGTAAGGCTTATAGCTAAGAAAATGCCCAAAATACTTTAGTCATCATCAAGGCAACTAAAACGTGAATCTAAGTGCAATACTTAAAGTGAAACGATAACTGTACATACTTCTAAATAGATGATTCTCCAAACTTCCTCTAGGCATGAACTCATACACAAGAAGCCGTTGATCATCTTCAATGCAGTAACCAATTAATTTAACAAGATTAGGATGAACAAGGTCTCCGAGAAACTTCACTTCAGCCTGCAGTCAAACACATTCAGATTAAAAGTACTAAGACAGATATGAGAAACAACGTTTCAGGTAAAAGATCAAACCAGCCATTCTTTGTGACCCTGAATTCCATCGGGATTCAGAGTTTTTACAGCAACAGTAAGTCCAGTGCCTGGTTTAACCGGGGCCGTGCCATTCTCTTCAACCCATCCCTTGAACACACAGCCGAAACCCCCTTCACCAAGAAGAGATTCGGGTCTAAAATTTCTTGTCGCCAACTTAAGGTCATTAAATGCAAACTTCCTCAGCCGAGAAGAAACTTTCAGCTCCTCTTCCAGTTTCGAGCTGGAGCAATTGCTCTCAGCATTGCTCGTGGTCGTGGAGGGAATTACAGCAACATCTACACGATCCTTATTCTTATCATTTACAGGTTTGCCTTCTGCTTCACATCAATCAACAATCAGAAACAGAAATCACATTCTACCGTACCAAGAATATAACAAAACATTTGATAGAAGAGCTTGAATTTTGGAGTTTAAACAACTGATTACATTGCAGATTCACATAAACAATTGTAATATACAGACACTATTTAATCGAACACAACATTTTTGGGGAAGGAAGAATTACCATGAGTGCTGAGACCACTGATGGAGCTATCGACTTTAGACCTTGAAGTTATACAGCTGCCAATGAATCTTAACCTAGAACAGCACCAAGTCTCTGCTGCAGGACCATTATCATTCTTAACTTTCTTCCCCTTTGGTTGATTAGCATTTCTAGACTCCATTTTTGATCCACCATTTCTAAATCCCATCTTCTGCAAATTCTGAAAATTTTAGCCACACCTTCCTCCAACTTTACCAATTCAAACAAACCCTAACTTCAATTCCAATTTCATCTCAAACCCCCAACATAACCATCTGAAAGAACTAAAACCACTCTTCTCCAAACGATTGGCAAAATAAATTTACTTTCCCATCAAGAAACGAGGAAGTCTCTTCCCCAAAATTCTACAAAATTAGGACTGTAAAAAAAGTACCTAAGTTAAAAGAACACTCAAACGATCACGCTAACCATCAGAATAGCTAGAAATAAACCTTCACGAAACGATCTTCACTTCAACAAAGTGCTTCAATTAAAAACCTAGACAGATGAAAAGCTGAAATTTCGACGCAGGGCAGATCCCATGGTTCCCCTTCAAAGCAAAAGCTTTGCGAACTGTGCAACAATCGAAGCTGGAAGCAATTAACAAAACATTAAAATATATTAACAACAGCAATCCCAACTCACCAAAAATTAAAAAAGCAAAACTATTTCTTCGCCACCCCCAAAAATCCCTACATATTGCCTCGAAGAAACAACAGAGATCGCAATCTCAATTAAGAAAACAGAACCCTAATTCTGTCGACTACTTCAACCCCGAATGCTCCTGCTCCCAAATTAATTTCCAATTAAGAACACTTGGTATGTATATACATACAACTTTATGTGTATGTATATATATCTGTATGTATGTATGTATGTATGTATGTGCGTTGAAGTTTGGCTATTCGCACTCCGCCAACCTATGATTGCTATTTATATTTATTACATAAAAATGGGATATTAAAATTAATGAAAAATACCTGCTCTTGATTTTTATTAAATTTATTACCGCAATTAATACTACTAATAAACGTTAGTTTATAATATCGCTACTATTAAGGGACACGATTAATAAAATCTCGTCTTTTTTTGCAAATTGTAATAATTTGATTGTACATTGAGTTCTTTAATTTATTTTTTTTTTTCTTTTTTCAGAAAAAAAATAATTTAAGTACGAATAATGAGTCATGTAGTCAAATTTGTAGAGAAAATTGAATGGATAATTCCGTGAATAACTATTTTCTATATATATATATATATATATAATTAGTAGAGTATTAACAAATATTAATAATTTTTTACACGTAACCATAGTGGCGGGTCCCGCCTCTTATTATCTCTCCTGCCCGAGCTGCCCGTTCGTTGATGTCAACTCTGCATCAGATCATCATCATCATCATCATCATCGTTTGGATTATATATTTACTTGACTTTTTTTTGTCACTAATTAATCCTTAATGAATGTATTTAATAACAGCTACAATTATTGAATAATTTTTATTTATAAAATTTGCAGCCGTCAATGTGTCTTTGAATTATTGTTCAAATAAAAATTTCAATTGAAAGTCAGAATAACGGCCAAAAAAATTGGGCTAGAGTCGAAATAATATTGGGCTTTTGCTAGAGACAAGGTTGGGTTTGTGAGGTTTTTTTCTTTCTAAAAGTAAAAAATATTTATTAAACAAAAATATATAGGATAAATTATATAATACTCTTTCTTCTTCGTATTTTATAAAAATATATAAAATACTTTGTACTACCTCCATCCCATTGAAAGGTTGTCATTTTCTATTTTCGTTCATCCCAAAACAAGATTACCATTTCCGTAATTGTACTACTTACATAACATAATAAATACTCTTCCAACTTACACTGTATTACACAAATATCATTACTTTTATATTATACAGTACTAATATGGATTTTTTTATCTTTTTCACTACAACCTATTATAATACTAATATTAAAAAATCTACTTGCAAAAAGTAAACGACAATATTGCACCGGGATGGAGGGAGTATTTTATTTATTGTGTGAAACCCTTAAATAAAGACCTAAATTATATAAGTTTTGTACGAATAAAAAACGTAAAAATATCTTAAATAATTTTTTTTAATAAAATAAATAAATAAATAATTGATTAATTATTTATTTTTATAGGTTTTTGTAAAACTCAGATAACATTTAGTCTCTGAAAAATTATAAAATAAAGAATTAATTAATTATTTATTTATTTTATTCAAAAAATTATTTAAAATATTTTATAGTAGTTTTTATTTGTATAAAATTAGCATTATTTAGTTCATTTATATAATCAAATATCAGTTTTGAATATAAAAAAAAAAAGTGTTTCGTATAAATTTTTACAATAAAACAAAAAGATTCACGAAACAAATAAAACAAGAAAAGTTCTATACTTTTTTTTTTTATTAAAATAAAGTGTTATATAATTTACTCAAATATATATATATATAATATTTAAACAATGATTGTGTTTGTGCATCCTTTTATGTCATTTTCGGAACCTTAACCCTAACCCTACCCTAATTAATTTTAATGTCGAATGAATCTTGCCATTTCGGGTACTACGTTGTTGTAAAGATATATTTATATGTTCTGTTTTTAGTAAGGAAATAACATTATTGTTATCCCTTTTGTAATAAATTTATTTGTTTGTTTGTTTGTTGTGATCTTCTCTTCTATCTTTTACATCTTCCATTATCTACAGCTTCTTTTGAGGTGAACTTTAAATGCCTTCTTCCTTCAATTATAGATTTATGTCTGTCGGTATGATTATTGATTCTGATTTTTCTGATCCAAAATTACCACATGAATCAATCTATTATTTTTTTTTTTTTATGACTACAAGGATGATTTATTGTAAGAATGAGATGATAGTAAATGAGTCAAATTTGACATTAACGTCACAGGTACGTACTGAGCATAAAATTAACACCACCATTGAATTGATTTTCTTAACTTTATTTAACCATCAAAATTCTCCATCACAATTGCTCACCCCCAAAGTACTGTCGTCGTTAATGGCGATTTTCAAGAAAGCTGCATCTTTGATCTTGTTTCTCACTCTTGTTTCTCTCTCAGTCTTTGCTCTGGCGGCCGGCGGCGGCGGAGAATGGAAGCTTCTACACAGATCCGTGGGGGTCTCCGCCATGCATATGCAGCTCCTGCACAACAACAAGGTCATAATTTACGATCGTACGGACTTCGGCGAATCGAAGCTGAAGCTGCCGCCGGGGAAATGCAGATCCAACGACGACGTACTTCGGAAAGACTGCACGGCGCACTCCCTCCTATACGACGTCGTTTCGAATACTTACCGTCCGCTTATGGTCCACACCGACTTCTGGTGCTCCTCCGGCGCCGTGATGTCCGACGGAACCCTAATTCAGACCGGAGGATTCCACGCCGGCGATCGCAAAATCAGGCTTTTCTCACCCTGCGACGACGATCAATGCGACTGGGTTGAACTGCAACAGAACTTGACTGTTCCAAGATGGTATTCTTCCGACCATATCCTCCCCGATGGCCGTGTGATCATCGTCGGCGGAAGAGCCGAATTCAGCTACGAATTCATCCCCAAAAATCAAGAATCGGAGAATCGAGTTTTCCACTTCCCATTCCTGCAAGAAACCTCCGACCCTATCGAAGAAAACAATCTTTATCCATTTCTTCACCTCTTACCCGACGGGAACCTCTTCGTCTTCGCGAATCAGCGCTCCGTCGTTCTGGACTACACCAACAACAAAATTCTGCGAAAATTCCGGCCGATCCCCGGCGGGAAGCGGTCGTATCCGTCGACAGGATCGTCAGTGATGCTTCCGCTGAGATTAAATTTCACCGGAGAAGACGCTTCATCGACATTGCCATTAGTGGAGGTGCTCGTCTGCGGCGGCGCTAGGGGTGGCGCTTTTTTCAAGGCCTTCGCCGGCGTATACGTGGCGGCTTCAGAATCCTGTGGGCGGTTACGGGTCACCGACCCGGACCCGGAATGGGTAATGGAGATAATGCCAATGAGTCGGGTCATGCCCGACATGCTACTGTTACCCACCGGTGACGTTATCATTATCAACGGAGCTGGTAAAGGTTCAGCCGGGTGGGACTTGGCGGACGGACCGGTTTTGAACCCGGTTCTTTACAGGCCAGGCGAAGGGGAGAGATTCAGTGTGCTCAATCCCACCTTAATACCGAGAATGTACCACTCATCAGCGACTCTTCTGCCAGATGGCAGAATCTTAGTGGGAGGAAGCAATCCACACGAGAAGTACAACTTCACAGGCGTGAGGTACCCCACGGAGCTAAGCCTGGAATCCTTCTCCCCACCATACCTGGCATCAAGGTACAACCAAGTTCGCCCTAAGATATTGTCGGTAGGGTGGCCCACAGAAGGCACCATATCCTACGGCCAGAAATTCACAATCTCCTTCTCGATGAAGTCGCCCCAACCTGCGGGCGACCTCACCGTAACAATGACTGCACCCTCATTTACCACGCATTCATTCGCCATGAACCAGAGGCTTCTAGTGTTGTACGTCGAAGATGTACAACACCCATCAGCGTCAATTTACAACGCCACGGTGTATGCACCCCCCACAGCCAATATCGCACCCTCAGGCTATTACATGGTGGCTGTTGTGCACCAGGGAGTTCCCAGCCACTGCACTTGGGTTCGAATTAAATAATTAATATTTATTTAATTATTTCAATATATATATATTTTTTGATCTACATTACGTTATCCCAGTTATTTGCCCATTGTTCAAATCAATTATAATCCAAGTGTAGTAAAATAAGATGCTTTTCTCTGGATGTGAATTTCGGACCCAACAATTTTATTGCATAGAGTTAGTTGGTCATAAAAGACCAACTGCACTCTGCAACTTCATCTGCCTCAGGACTCAGCCATTAAATTTCGACATTTCATTGAACAGATTTTCTTGCAGTACTGCCAACATGCAGCAGCAGGCATTAAATGCCTTTATTTATGCACACACACACAGCGTCCATAAGTCGTGTTTTAGATTTAGCAACGTAAAGGTAAAGTCGTTATTCAGCAGCTGCAAGAGCAAGAAGTCACTTTAATATCCAAAACAGCTCTATGAGTCATTAATATCAACAATGCCAGCACTAAAATTAACACCAATTCAATCCATCAAGTTATACCAATGGATCGCTCAATTTGTCGCAGACATCGACTTTTTAAGACCGCGAAGAATGCTCCACATGAACGTGGAAACGACGAAAAGAATTACACCAATTATTACGGCGTATTTCAGGCCGAGATTAACCAGCAAGTTAACTAGAAGGCCAGCCAAAACTACACCAACAAAATTCGCAGAGAAACCTGACCAGAACGGCATGTCGAGGACGGATGCAATAATGGCTCCTGTCCAGGCACCTGTTCCCGGAAATGGTACTGCTACAAAAAGCATCAAACCAAGCCACTGGAATTCTTTCACAGGACCTGCCTTGTCTTTAGCCCTCTGGAATAACATGTCCAGCAGCCGCGAAGCTGTCTTGTTCTTCCCCGTTAGGAAAGTTGCAAACTTTTTCAGATACAGGATTATAAATGGCACCGGGACCATATTCCTGTCATTACACTAAAAGCATTAGGCTAACTGATATAATCCCGAAAAGGCCTAAACTATGCAATGTTGTGAGTGTGGTCACAATGAGGCATATCAAATTTAAGGTCCATATAAACAGCTCTAACATAAGACTGAAAAGTTCGATCCACCCCAAATTAGTTATCCGAAAACAAATGATCATAACAAGAAATAAAACTACTAAATTAGATACTCTTGCAGGACCAAATGTAATGATCAGACAGTAAGATGAGCCAAAATCACTCCACAATTATGATAACTCTCAACTTCAACAACAGAAACTAATTTTAGGAAAATCGACTCAGTAAAAATATGGAAATGTGAGACGAACCCAAGAACAGACAAGACTGTTAGCCACACAGGTTTCAGCTGCAGCCAATAGCCCACAGGAATAGCTCCTCGGAGCTCAATCACAGGCAGAGTAGCCAGGGCAAAGACAATGGCTCCATCGGGCCAGCCCGAAGCCCGCAGAGCATTTGCTACCTTTATACCATACCCCGAAGCCCTAATTGAATCGGCGCCGCCAATCGCTGTCGCCGCTTTAGCAGCATTCCCAGAAAATGCATAAATCCCAACAGACACAGATGCCCACACAAGAACCCATACCAGGTACTTCAATGGCGTCCCTCCAGACACCGACAACGACTCACCCTTCTCAGTTATTTCAAGATTGTTTCTAGAAGCTCTTACCGCCCTAATTTGGGGATTCAACAGTTGACTTGATTGGGATTGAAAAGGAATCAGAGTCGTGGGGATTGGTCGAAATTCAATTGGGGACAAACGGATTCTTGGAGCTGAGATAGAAACCCTAAAATATCTTACACGAGAGACCGTTAATACCGTCGCCGAATGCGATAAAATGGAAGCCATTGATGACTGCTAGTCAATCGACTGTGAAATTTTAAACCTGGGCTTAAATAACCTAATCAGAAACAAGATTAGCGCAGAAACGAGAAGAACATGACAAGATTATAGCGCATAACGAACGGGAAACAAAAAAGGAGGATTAAACGAGGTCGCAGTGTATCTATCTGCGACTCTTGAGTAGAGTCTTGATTTGGATTTTGCAACAGGGTATGTGGGATTTAATTTTTTATTAGGGTTTTGGTTGATTTTTTTACTTGAGCCTCCCAAGTCGATACGTTTTATGAGAACGATTTTTTAGTTGGGATTGGAGCTAGGTTTGGATAAAGATACAGCTTTTAAAGAAGATTTCTAACAACCTATGTAGTACGATGATTCCGTCACATTCTTGTATAATGTAGCTAACATGTTTTAACAAAGAAATAGTAAGATCAAAATTAGACGACAATGTACATTGTCGCAGGTACCATTTTTCCTCTACAATCTCCTCTGTGTACTCGTCGAAAAGCATTACTGGGTATAAATCATTGACAAGAAAAATTACAGAACTGAGGTGACCTCAAATTCCAGATTATGTGATGTCTTTTTAAGAACATTGTTAATGAACGTAGAATGTCTACAAACACGGCCGTGTCAAACTAGAAAAGTAGAATGTCCCGGCTCCACAAGATTCTAGCTCAGTATTTGGACTATCCTTGACCAAGCTTTTACAATTTCAAATGCACCATACACAATTGTAGCTTGCAAATCCATAAACCTTGAACTGCATTGAAAAAGAACAAGAAAATCTTCCCAAACATGATACATTAGTACTTTTGTATGAATCTGATGCCATCATGGCAGATGGTGTTCCAGCAGAGTGTTTAATCCAAGCAAAACCAGAAAACAATTTATGGACACAGTAATTTTGGATTCAACACCTTACACCTGGCATATGTCCACTATAAACAACTGATGTCATATTTTTTTTTTCTTTCTTTTTTGCCTTAATCTAAATGTTATGATAACTGTTTCAGCGATCATATTGTGGATACAGGCTTTCTACAAAAACAAGTATCTTGTTATTATTCTGTCCATCATGTCTGAATAGCTTCTTGGTGTTATGTCACAACAATGGCAGCATATAATTTAAAATTAAATGGTGTGTTTTCGAAAATTATTATTTTTTATTAATATTTAAATTATATTATTGATCAAAAAAATATATTATTTATATATATTTAAGGGTCCCTAGTTGGGACTTTCGAAAGTCAGAACACACCAAACTCACCCACAACTGAACCATCCAAACTCCCATCCTCTTTATCATCATCTCTAAATTGATCCCAAAATGTCCCATATTCTCAAATCCTCATCAACACCAGTTTCTTAGAAGGAAAAGAATGTTAGTTAGCTTCCAGTGAGCCACAGTCGTCATGACAAGCAAAAGCTCTAAGCTACATTTATTCCCCAAAAAATTAAAGCCACTCAACATATTGCAGAATATACAATGAAACAGTGATTTCTTTGTTTGTTCTTATTTTGGTGTTCAATTGAGAGCCCAATGCACTTAAATTAGTAGTTGTATATTGTCTACGGTCTAGCACTGCAAAACAAGCTAAAGAACAATGACATTTAACAATCGATGATTGAAAAATGTATATATTAAAGGAATGGAACAAAATAGCACAAACCAACAAAGATTTAAACTTCCAGGATTCGAATTAAAGCCACTCAAAAAATTAAAGCCACTCAACATATTGCAGAATATACAATGAAACAGTGATTTCTTTGTTTGTTCTTATTTTGGTGTTCAATTGAGAGCCCACTGCACTTAAATTAGTAGTTGTATACGTCTACAGTCCAGGGCTGCAAAACAAGCTAAAGAACAATGACATTTAACAGTCGATTATTGAAAAATGTATATACTAAAGGAATGGAACAAAATAGCACAAACCAACAAAGATTAAAACTTCCAGGATTCGAATTAACTATGGAAGAGACTCATTGCTATTAATTACCGTAGGAAGAACAACTTTTCTTAAGAACTCTTGACGCTCCTAAGAAATCATCAATGGCAAGATAGCAAGATCCATTGCTTTTCCAGCACTATCTACCTCATTCTCTCCACGTAAATGCAGGCTCAAATATTCCACTTTCCTTTAATAAACCCCCTTCTCGGGATTGCATTCGAAAACCAAACATGGAAAACGAACATGACACGGGATGGGGTGAATTCGAAATGTCGCCACCAACAGTAATGAATGATAGAATCATTCACGCATTTCATCAAACACCTTGCGCGCCTCGTCTTGCAGCCATATCTTGACATTACTTTACAACTGTAGTAGTCCAAATCGACAAGAAGAAGGGCTCGAATTGGATGGGCCATACGCCCACATAGAGCCATTACCAATTTGGGCTGAGCAGTCGAAATGATGATAAAATATCTACCATTAAATGTACCTTCCCATTTCTGACAGGCAATAATCTTCAATGTTATCTTTGCACACCAGTCAAGACCAAACAATTTAGGCACCTGTTGCCTGGCCGGCGACTTTATCAGACCTTTTTACCCTTTTTTCCATTATCTCCATCACTCATCACCAAATGATTGTTTCGCAGATTAAAGTAAAAATAAATAAATAAATATGAAATGATTGAGTGAAGACGACAAGAAATCTCAAGGATTTGTGTGGCTCCAATATGTGAAAGCGCCAGCCGAGCCGAGCCGCGTTTTACCACTCAGCTGTACGACTGAAACTCTGCGCATTCCCACTTTCGACTTGGCTTTATTCAGCGGATCTCGCCAGATTGATCTGCACCGTTGATTTATGGACCCTGCAACATCAACGGTGTAGATCTATCCACGACGTCCCGATCATCGCTTTCTTTCAATCCACGTCGCCATTTCCTTTTTTCGGTTAACTTACAGAAATTCATATTTAAATTTATGTACACAATTTTGTGATAAAAATCAATTTTAATTTATAAGAACACGTTATAAATGAAAGTTGATATTTAATCAATTTTCTCAAATTTTGTATAATTACTGTGTAGATATTGAAATTTTATAATAATTGTTAATTGGTAGACTTAAAATCAAATACAATTCAGTTTGTGTATAAATTTCACAGCAAAGGGCTCACATTTGTAAGTAAGTATATACACAATAATTCATTAGGGATATATATATATATATAAATATATATTCCTGCATTAATTATTACTATGGAATGATAGAACAAATTTGCAACACATTGCAATATATGTAGACAAGAAAATTAAATACCAATGTAGACATGGGGCCTAAACATATAACACTCGGTTTGTATTCACATTTTTTAACATTATTAATTAATAATTTCTTTTTTTAAAAAAAATATATTAATATAAAATACTTCCTCCAGAGGCTCATTTTAGTTATGACACAAGTAAGTTAGTATATATTTTATTATATTTTTATATTAGTATTGTTGGTAGTTTTAAAATAATAATTAATATATAATAAAAAAAAATTAATATATGTTTAAATATTTTAAATATTATATCTCAATAAAATATATATGCAATATGCTTATTATTTTGCAGAGAATAAAATTTTTAAATAATAAAAATAAATTAAAAAATATATATTTATTTATAATTAAGATAAATTAATTTTGAAAAATGTGGAGTTTTAAATGTAAATAAATATATTTATTTATTAAAAAATAAAAATAAATAAATTTTAAGTGAATCTATGTAATGCGTTGATTTAAATTTGTTAAGTTTGTATAAATTTTAATAAATTTTATTTAAAATACAAACATGACAAAAAAAAAAATGGTACGTAGGAAGTATTTAATTTTTGTATGATTATAACTTTTTTTGTTTATCATTATAGTTTTTTGTGTTTTTATTTAATGCTTAGGTAAGCAATAATATCACCCCACACCCCCCACTCTCCTTTCTCTCTCTCTCTCTCTCTCACTCTATATATAGAGACAGACAAAGCACACTGCCATTCACAAGAAAAATAAGCCAAAAAGCCAATTAATGTGGTGTGAGAGAGGAGAAGAATAAGGAAATGGAGGCATTGAACGATAAGAGAGAGAGAGTGACGAAATCTTCATCTTCTTCATATCTGGCTAAGTTACAGTGCTGTTTCCACCCAGCCAAGCTTTCTTCTTCAAATCCTGCAATGGAGGATGGATGCGATGAAGGAAAATTTGCAGTATCTGAGAAGCAGAAAAGAAAGCCCGGTGGATGGAAATCCATGCCTTTCATCTTAGGTGGTTCTTCTTCTTCTTCTTCTTCTTCTTCTTCTTCATTTCTCGTCTCTCTCTCTCTAGAACAGTACAGACTAAAATCATGGAGGGCTTGCCAACACGTGGCAATCATCCAAGTCATCTTTCCTGCATGCAGCAGTAGCGTTGGTTGTTTCATAGGAATTAGCAATTGTGTCGTCATCTTCTTCTTCTATTCTTCTCTGTGAATAAATAAAATTCTTAGGTCAGCCAGGCCAACTAATTACCTTTCATTTAATTTTAGAGAGAGAGAGAGAGAGAGAGAGAGAGAGGTTGTTCCAAAAAGTAATTATTAATAATTAGTTACTATTTAAAGCATACTTTTGAAGGAATTAGTACTTTACTGGATAAAGTTTTTATCTTTTATTACCACAGTAAAATATCTTTTCCAGGAATTAGTACTTTACTGGATAAAGTTTTAATCTTCTATTACAACAGTAAATTTATTTATTTTTCTTTTTTGCAGGAAATGAGACCTGCGAAAGACTGGCTACAGTGGGGATGTTGGCAAACTTCTCAGTGTTCTTGATGACACAGTTTCACATGGACCAGGTTTTGTCTTCCAACGTGATGTCTGTATGGAATGGTTTCACGAGTTTCAGCCCCTTGCTTGGTGCTTTCATCTCTGATTCTTATCTTGGTCGATTCAAAACCCTCGCTTTCGCCACAATCTCTGCTTTCATGGTGATTCAAAATCAAACTCAGATCTTTTCTTGCAAATTTCAATTGACTCGAACATGAATCGATGATTACATATTATATAGTATTGATAGGGATAGAGACAACTTGGGAGTCGATTGCATTCTAACTTATCTGCATTTCACACGGCATGTCTGAAAACGATGCTGTAACCTCTGTAATTTTTCAATTTTTGTCGAACAGGGGATGATGATGCTGACAGTTATAATGTGGATTCCTAAGCTGCACCCTCCCCCGTGCAGTCAGATTTCCGGCCACAAATGCGCGGGCCCGACCGGAGCCCAGTTTGGACTATTGGCCGTCGCGCTCGGTTTTCTGACGGTCGGCTCCGCCGGAATCCGACCATGCAGCATTCCGTTCGGCGTTGATCAGTTCGATGCAAAAACAGAGGAAGGGAGACGAGGGATCACGAGCTTCTTTAATTGGTACTATATGACGTTCACCGTGGTTTTGATCATCGCGTTAACGTTGGTCGTGTATATTCAGAGTTCGGTGAGTTGGGTTTTGGGTTTCGCCTTGCCCACGGGGCTTATGTTGTTCTCGATCGTCTTGTTTTTCGTCGGCATGAGATTGTATGTTTATGTTCAACCCGAGGGGAGCGTTTTCTCGGGAATTGTTCAAGTGATCGTTGCCTCGTATAAGAAACGGAAGCTTAAGATACCCGAAGGGAAAAATGTCGATGGGGTGTATTATGATCCACCGTTGAAGGGGACGGTCGCCGTGAAGCTACCTTTAACTGACCAATTAAGGTATACCAGTGGCTAACTGTATCTGTTAAATAATCATCTTATCTGTATTTAAGTCTTACTGTTGTTATTCACGTGTATGTTCTGATACCATGTTAAATGATGATAATGTAACTGGAAATTTTTGTGTTGTTAAGGTTTTTCAATAAGGCGGCGCTGATCATGGATGGCGAAGTCCTACCCGACGGATCAAGCGCGAATCCGTGGAGGCTATGCTCCGTGCAAACCGTTGAAGAAACCAAATGCCTATTTAGGATCATCCCAGTGTGGGCTTCGGGGATCATATTTTGCACGGCGATGGCGCAACAAGGCACGTTCATGTTATCGCAAGCGTTGAAAATGGATCGTAGCTTAGGTCCACATTTTAAAGTCCCGGCCGGGTCGCTTGCCGTCATATCGATGATCACTATAGGAATATGGCTTCCTATCTACGATCGAGTGCTTGTGCCGTACCTTAGGAAAACGACGAAGCTCGAGGGGGGCATTACTCAACTTCAACGTATGGGGATCGGGATTGTATTCTCGATTATGTCGATGATCGTTGCCGGATTAGTCGAGCGAATGAGGCGGGCATCCGCGGTATTGCACGCGGGCCCCGACGGGATCGCTCCGATATCCGTCTTTTGGCTATCGCCACAACTTATACTTATGGGATTCGCCGAGGCGTTCAACATTATCGGGCAGATCGAGTTTTACAATAAAGAATTCCCTGAGAACTTGACTAGCCTCGCGAACTCATTGTTCTCTTGCACGATGGCGGCGGGGAATTATTTCAGCGTGGTCGTCGTGAATGTGATTCACAAGACAACGGGAAAAAATGGTCATCCCGATTGGCTAACGGCGGATACCAACAAGGGGAGGATCGAGAATTTGTATTTCTTGATCGCGGGTTTCGGCGTGTTGAACTTGGGATACTTCTTGTGGGTCGCTCGGATGTATCGATATAAAAGCAAGTTTCGGATAGAGGGCGACGGGGACGGCGACGACGTCGAAAAGCATGAGCATTGTGATATCGAACTCAATGGGATCAAGAAATGATCTTTTTATGGGAGATATAGTAATAACTTTGTGGAACTACTTAAAGTACATGTATGTATTGAAAGTATTATCCTTAGCCTTTAGGACAAGTACATGTAATCCAAAGTATTGTTGCATGTTATCTATGTACCTCATACATAGTTGCAATAATATCATTATATATGCACTATATACCCACTTTTGGGTAGCGACTGCGAGTTCCACATCATCAAAAAATATATATATATAATTATATGCATATTCGTATCCTTTTGGAAATTGACTATCAAAAAAAAATAAAAATTTAGGAGTTGAAATATGTATACATATATTTAATTTTAATGGATAAAAAAGAATTCAATTTCAAATCAAGTTGGATACTAGAATTCCACTAGTTATGGTAGTGCACATATTACAAATCTCCTTTCTATCTTTTCCAAAACCACATGTCGTGTCTAAACTATTTTAGTATTCCCTTTGTTTTAGTTGCCGTTACAATAACTTAAAAAAAATTTAGGCGTTGTTTGTATGGGGATTTAGATTTTTTTTTTTTTTTTTTTTAACGATTTGAATATTCAAAATTTTAAATTGAAATAATAAATAGGTGTTAATGTGAAATTTTCAATGTAAAATTTATTGTTAGTACTACCTCCGTCCGTCTTTTAGATTTATATTTATTTTTTATGTTATTGTACTTAATATTAAAAATATATTTATATTTGTATATTTTATTTTGTACAAATATTATTATATAGTATTATAAGATACTAATAAAAATATTTTTGTCTTCTTTTAAATTTTTATTATGCTTTGATTTAATAATTAATATTTAAAAATCAACATGCAAACAGTAAATGTGACCCTTAGAATCGGAGGACGAGGTAATATAATATAAAAAATAAAAAATAGATATTTATTTTGAGTATTTTTTAGAGCAAAATTTGTTATGAATAGAAAAAATTTGATAAAATATACTCCCTCTGTCCCATAACTAAATATTCATTTACTTTTTTAGTGTTGATATTTGGATATTAATTATTATATCAAAACGTATTACATATCAATGAAAAATTGCAAAAATATTTCTATTAGTGTCTTATAATACTAATATAATGACATTTGTATAAAAAATTATACAAATATAAGGATATTTTTAACGTTAAAATACAATGACGCAAAAGGTAAATGGATACCTTATTATGGGACGGAGAGAGTAATAAAAGTAAACACCCTTAAACTTTGTTTGTTTGTGGGTTTCGAATTAGGTTTATTATTCATTAATTTTATTACTAAAAATATATTATATCAATTTTTTGATATTATAATAAAAAAAAATTATATTCAAAATATTAATTTAATATATATTTATATTATATCGAATAATTATTTAAATTAATCGTACCTTTTGACAGCATCTCGTGTGTGGCTCTCCTAACATATCAATTTAATGATCAACAATTTTAGCAAAACGTGGTGTATTTGTGCTCTTCATATAATACAATTATCGTATTAAAAATAGCGACGTGATTCATATTTTTTAATTTTTAATTTTTTTATTATTATACAAAAATTGTAAATTCATATAAAAATATATTATTATCTATTTTATAACATTATATTCAAATTACTATAGAAAAAAATGAAATCAAACTTTAAATATATATTACTCTCACTGTCCTTAAGTAAATATCTATTTAGTAAATTAAGAGGAAAAAAAAAGACTACCTCTAAGGGTAATTTATGTATATACTTTCAAAAGTTTTTGTATTATTTATTAATAATAATAATTTTAATTAAAAACAAATATCACACAAATATTTTATTATTTCTCCAAACATCGTATTAAATATTTAATTTTTTATTATTTTAGAAAAAAATCAATGGAATTAATTTGAGAGAAGTGCAAGCGAGCTCTATGTATTAATACTTTAAATTTATAGTCTTATCGAATTTGATCAACTTGGGTTTCCTTAGCTCGATAATTTTTATTATTATTTTTTTTTTTTTTTCAAATTCGAATTAATTTAAACTCATTATTATGATTAATGGAAGTCAAAAATCTTACTATGAGATTGTATATTAGTGGGTTGGGACAAGACATTACGATATATGAGTGACCACCACATTCCTAGCTAAGTCTGACCAACTGTATAATTGAATATATATGTACATAGGGAGGGAGAGAGAGAGAGAGGTACAAATTGCTTGTCACCCGGGTTTGGATTTTAAGGTGGAATTTGAATAGTAAAAATTTTGAATTTGAATAGTTGTATGATGTGATATAAATAGGTGTTGATGTGATATTTTGAATGTAAAATTGATTTTTTAAGTATAATATAAAAAATTGAAAAATAGATATTTGATTTGATGTTTTTTAGGAAAAAAAATAGGATAAATAGTGGAAATCTAATCCAATCCCCAAACAAACACACCCTTGGAACGAATTTTAATACAATGTGTATTTTTTATCTTTTATAATAAAAAAATATAAAATAATTTTTAAAAAAAATAGTAATTTTTACTAAAAAAAAACAAAAATAAATAAAAAGATATTTTTAAATATTTTTTTCTTTGAAAAAAAATACTACTATCTTCGTTCAGGAAAAGGAGCAATATTTGTTTTTTGCAAGGAAATTTTTTAATATTAGTATTTTACTTCATACGTCCAGGTAGAAAGTATACATATTTTTATTTTTAAACATTTAATTAAATACTTTACTTTTTTTCAAAAATACTCTTATTTTACATCACATCATTACGTTTACAAAAAAAAAAAAAAGGATAAAAATATCATTACACTACTTTTAATTATCTACTATAATTAAAATACTATTATTTCTTAAACACCACGTCAAAAGTAAATGTTTATTTTATACATGGACGGAGGGAGTAATGATTTATGGTAAAAAAGACAAATATGCCCTTATTAGATTGTAAGATATAAAATTAATAATATTTGTATAATATATTGTATGTGTCATAGGTATTAATTATGGTTGTGTTTCTTTAGGGGAGTTTGGAAAAATTTGGGTTTGGGTTTGGTTTTTATTTGAATTTTGTAATGAGTTTGAATTTTGTTGTTTCTTTTGTGTTTGGGTTTGGTTGGGGTTTGGGGAGTTTTGATATGTATTGATTTAATAGATAATAAATAAAATAATATAAATGTGTATTAAATTTAATTGATAAAATTTATATTACTCCCTCGTCCCGATGCAAGATTGCGTTTACTTTTTGCACGTAAATTTTTTAATATTAGTATTATAATGAGTTATAGTGAAAAAAACGAAAATACCCCTATTAGTATTGTGATAAAAGTAATGACATTTTTGTAATATAATGTAAGTTGACAGAGTATTTATTATCTTAGATAGATAGTACAATTACTAAATTAGGAAATGGTAACCTTGTTTTAGGACGGACGAAAATGGAAAATGGTAACTTTTCAATTGGACGGAGGGAGTATATAATTTAATTATGAATTTATATTATACCCAACATATATATATTTATATTTTTATTTAGAAAGTTTTATTTTCTACAAAATGACATATATATTGTATATATATATATATTTCCCTATAATTATAATAAATCTTAAATTGTATTTTATTATTATTTTTTTTAAAAAAAAAAGTTAAAAAGATAAAATTAATGGTTAAAACTTGACCATAGGGAATCTCTCCGGACCCTGTACCGTAGGCTTGTCGGATCGTTTTCATAGACGGGGTTTCGCGCCCAAAACCGGACTTACAATGAATCTACAGTAGAATTGCCCCAAATCACGTTGAAGAAACATACCCTTTAAACATATATGTAGTACAATTACTAAAATATGAAATGATATCTTTGTTTTTATACGGACCAAAATAAAAAATGGTATCCTTGGCCGGACGAAGCATTATCAAATATTAAAATGTTACTATTTTTAAAAAATTTCAAAACTTTAAAACTTTCAATTTAACCTGAGGCTTAAAGTTGAACTTTTTTTTTTTTTTTTTTTTTTTTTTTTTTTTTTATATCGTAAAGTCAATTCAGTATGTTGATATTTGGTACTTTTGTGATTTGGATTATTATTTGGTACTTTTGTGATTTGGATTATTAGGTAGCCCATAAGATTCCCCCATGCACCACTACAACTCTCGTTTTCATAGTACTTCCATTAAAATGTTTTCAACTTTATAGGAAGTGTTTGATTATTGATTTAAAATTTATTTTATTATTATTATTATTTAGCTTGTATATATTTTTTTAATAAAATTACATTATTTATTTTTATAAAATATCATATTAAATCAAAATCAAATAGAACTCCGACACTACAAAAAAATAATATATTTGTAACGGAATTCCGTCCCTAAAGGTCAAGTAGCTAACGTAATTTCATTCCTAATTCCGTCTATAATATCATTAGTAACGGAAAAAGTAAATTTAGAGACAAAAATATTTTGTTACAAAAATAATTTTTTCTTGTAGTGTAACTTTTAAAGTGCTGTTTATTCGCGATTTTATTTATTTATTTATATATTTTAAATATAAATACTACGTAATTCATTTATATAATATCTCCAATAAAACAATTATTAATGTGTATAAGATTTTTATTGGATATATATATATATATATGTTATGTTTGGGTTCTTGTATTGATAGTGATACTTTTGTTTAGTTTGAATTTGAATTTTTAATATATATATACATATATTTTTTAATTTAAATAATATAATAACGTGAGGTTTTATAAATATACATATATAAATATTAACTGAATAATAAAAAACAATTTAAAATCTAATCAAACAAGCCCAATGTTTTCATTAATTTTTAAAAAATTGTAAGAAAGTGGGCAAATTCTTTGTTCTTGTCATCCTTTTTTTTTTTTTTTTCCTATTTGTTTAATATATAATCTTCATAATTTTTATAAAAATATACAATGTTTTTAATAAAAATAGCACATCAAATCATTATTCATAAACAAAACAAAAACACAAGAAAACACACCCTAAGGTTGTATTAAGTGTAAGGATGCAAGGTAATATAATTTTGATAGTTTTTTACTTCTTCATCTTCTTTTTACCTTTTTTTTTTTTTTTAAGAATTATTTTAAGTGTATTGATAATAACAAAAGAAAAAAAAAAAAAAAAAAGCAAATATTTGAAACATGTTAAAATTGAAATAATGGCAAATAAATTAAAATTTTGATAAGTGCTTTTAGAATTTATTTATTTATTTATTTTAAAAAGGTGCTTCTAGAATAATTCGCCACACACTCGCCACTATCAACGTAACAATCCACACCACATTCTCCAATTTCATCACAAATTCTTATCCATGTATTATTCAACATATATTTTATTTAAAATTATTATAACAGTCAAATACTCCCTCTGTCCAGAATCTATTTATCAATTTATTTTATGCATGAGATTTTAAGAATATTAGTATTGTAGGTGATATAATAGAAATAAAAATAAAATAATTAAAATGCCCTCAGGTTAAATGACTAAAAGAATACTAAGCATATTTAGCACAACCTCGCGAGTCAAAGAGCAGCTCGAGGAAGCCACTTCCATTCGACGACGGGTCACGCATGAGGAATGTCGGAACAACATTCGAGGTAAACAAACAGCCGTAAAACGGAGCTCGTTCTCTAGTTCCTGCTCCGATTCCTAATCGGGAACAAAACCAAGGGGAACAACCGAATCGACGGCTAACGGTGTAGATCTGGCCACCTCTTCGACGATCTTGTCGGAATCGAGCAGTGAACCAAAGAAGCCATCGGATTCTAAAACTAGAGAACTCAGATCAAGGTTCGAGGGACATCCAACCCTCTGTATAGGGGAATGCCCTTCAGCCGACGCCGGAGACCGAGGGGCAAGCGACATCGTCGGTAGAACTTGAAAGAACATATAAAGAACGCCGATGAGGGAACGAAGAAGGCCACTGCGTGAAGAATGAGAGGATTTCAAAAACCCTAGATCGATCTGGTGGAGAACAGTAGGGGGTGGAGGGTAATAGGTGTTGTAAATTAAGTTTAGTTTGATTTATTAATTAAAAATTGTAGTATTTTTTATTTTGTAATTTGGTTGTAATTATTGTAGTGACAATTTTGTAATATAGTGTAAGTTTAAGGGTAATTTTAATGGTAGGTAGGTATTAGGGTTACTAAAAAAGAAATATATACTCCTTCCGTCCACTCATAAACTATACAATTGTTTTTGGCGCGGTGTTTAAGAAATAATAGTATTTTAATTATAGTGGGTAGTTAAAAATAATGTAATGACATTTTTGCTCTTATTTTTAATTAATGATGTGATGTAAAGTAAGGGTATTTGTGGAAAAAAAATAAGGTATTTAATAAAATGTTTACTTTGTAATTGGACGTCCCAAAATAGAAATATGTATATTTTCTAGTTGGACGGAAGGAGTATATTTTTTTAGGAAGGACTAAAATAGAAAAATGGATAGATAGTTAAGGACGGGGGAGTAATTAATTTGTTATATAGGTTGATAAAATTCAACAAGTTAATAAATTTTTATATTTATAAAATTTCCAATATACCTTAAATTAAATTCAATATTGAGATTGCTCTAAAAATTAGTAGAGAATGCAATTGTTGTCCGAGCGCATTTAAATTCACGTAGCTATCTCACGAAATATAATTGCAATTGCTGTCAATATGAATGTCACAATATTAGTAGAGAATGCAAATCGAATTTTGAATTAATTGGGATGTCAATTATTGGTATGATTGAATCACATTAGAAATCACTTATAATTTTGTGTGATATTTTCTTGAGTCCAAGTGATTTTAGGTCCTAAAGAAGTATATTGGGCTTTGAATCCATAGCTGAATTTAGACCTATTAATGTTATTTAGGTCCACCACAAGTTGCCACTTGCAAAATACATCATCCTTAACCATCTACTTTATAAAGAGTAGCTCAAAAAATGGGACATTGGTTTTGCAATACCCCGAATTTTAAAATATCGATAAAACTATTCATGTCGACAAGATATACCTTTTTAGAGCACATAATGGCCAGTCTTCGATCATATAACATAACATAACAAACTTAATATAGTAGCCAAGCAGAACTCAGTCAAATGTAAATCTAGTTGTTCGAAATACCAGGATGCTGAGGAATTCTAGTACAAGTTTGATATGTCATATTACCATGTTTTCATGCATCTTTCACTTTCAAATCTTCTGTCCTGCACTAAGGATTGCCACATAGCTGTTTTGATGCCTTTCTCTTTAATTGAAAATGGAAACCAAATTCCAGGATTCAACTGCAAGAATATTGGCTACTGTGATCAAATTCTGTGATAAAATGTTCAGCAGATGATGACGATGATGATTAACTCTTCACTAATATATGACTAAAGAGCACAAGATCATTTTGCCTATTTTAATGGCTGCCCCGGGCATAGGAAGGTTGTCCCAATAAGAACATATTCTAGAAAGCATTAATAGAGAAGGCACAAAAGATTCATCTTTGAAGCAGTATAAAAAGCGCGATAGCATTTCGACCAAGTCTTATCCCACCACAAAAAGATAAATTCCAAAGGAAGACAAAGAACATAATAAAGGAAAAAGGAAATAAGCTTCATCGAAGAAAAATGGGAGCAAATGGTTCAACTCTTTACGAGGCTGAAACATTACCATCCAACTCGATTAATGCACAATCACCAACGAGGAAAGGTGGAGTTATTGCAGTCCGCTCATCGGCAAGATGGAAGCACCTTTATGAAGCCTCCAAGCAAACTTCAAAATTGGTAAATCTGCAAGTTTCATTTTTCCAATTTATGTTAGTTGCTCGTACCTTGTTTGTGTTGTGTCTTCTCTAACGTTTGTTCTCTGGAAAAGATGGTGATTGACTTTACGGCTTCCTGGTGCGGCCCTTGTCAGCTCATCCAACCTGCAGTCAACGAGTTTGCTGAGAAATATACAGATGTGGACTTCATCAAGATTGATGTCGACGAGCTACATGTATGAATGAATGCACCTGATTTGCGCATAAAGGAATAGTTAAAAAAACAGTTTTACAGTACTGATAATAATATTAGACGAAATGAGGAATGTATGATATGAAACAGGGTATCGCAGAGGAGTTTGGAGTGGAGGTGATGCCGACTTTCAAACTCATCAAGAAAGGGAAAGAAGTGGATAAGGTTGTGGGAGCTAAGAAGGATGAACTGAGGAAGAAGATTGAGAAACATAGGTTCTAAGATGCATTCATACCTTCGACTCCAAGAGGGGCTTTTGGTTTTTGTTAATTCAACAACATCAATAAAAAGATTCAATAGATTACGAGTAGCCAGACATACCTTGTTCGCCCAGGGCGTGATGAATTTCTTGAGAATAAGATTGTAGATTGCAGCTGTTCCCCATTCTTGTCATTGCCATTGTAGAATGTTCCGAAGAAAAGCCATGCCTCACACCTTCAATGCCAACATTATTAGTATTCACATAAATGATATATTTTCTCGTTTTAATGCTGCCGAAATAAGTAACCATACTTTTTTTCAGTTAAAGAAAGTACATTGCTAAAACAGATGAAATTATCAAAATTTCAAATAGAAGGAACTAAAGAAGTCTGCACGAGACTAAAAGGGAAGAGCGGCGATTCAATAAAAGAACTAAGTTCAGATGTGAATAAGCATATTCAGATAATGAAGTAACACAATATGAATGTCTTCGAACATCAGCACACAGAAATAAACAGGAATCACAACCATAGAGATTATTGTATTTTACAGTTGGCTAAAAACACTATTGTCTTACAGCTGCAATATCTCTTGTGCTGGAATAAAACATTGCTAAAAGTCTGCAAACGAAAAACCTGGATCTATTTCTCCTACTATGCACAAGATCCTTTACGGTCTGAAGGCAAATATGTACACTTGGTTGCATTTTCAAAACTACAGAGGGTAGCCAATCCCAATCATTCAGCTGAACCGATCATTACTGGGCTGATCTGCCAAAGACCCTTCTCAAATCAGATTTTTGATCTGCAGTAAGCCTTGAAGGAAACTTGATGTCAAACTTGATTCTCAAGTTTCCATTTTTACCAGGTTCTTTAGATATTGGCATTCCTTCATTTTCAATCACCACTTCCTGGCCAGGTTTGATTACATCTGAGAGTGTAAGAGGTAGATCTCGTCCATCCAATGTTGTTATGTTGAGAGTCTTCCCGGTGAGTGCATCCAGGAGGGAGATTCTCTGGTTGATGATTAGATCATTGCCATCCCGCTTAAAAATCCGATGGGGTTTTTCATCGACAACAAAGATGAGGTCCCCAGGGGAAGTATCAGCTTCATGGTTGCCTTTCTCCGGAAAAGTGATCTTAGTACCCTTTTTCCACCCTGGTTTGATATGAATTGACAAGATCTCTTCAACAGTGCAAGGCTTGCTGCAATAAGTGTTGGCATGTCAATACAAGCTGAATAATGAATAATAGAATAGAAACAAAGCTTAGCCATGATCGCAGAACACAAAGCAGATCTGCAGGAAAACAAAGAGAATACAACTACCAACAATAATCTTTTACTCGGTACTCTCAACCTATGTGGTCGATAATCATCACACAGGAAAACTTCAAGAAAAAGCATCACTAAGAACACTAAAATCACAGGGATCAATCAAGAGTGCTTCTCACTCATGAATAAAAAACGCAGAGCCATATATGTCCTCTTGGTTCAATAACTAAATGAAAAGTAGGAAAATTCAAGAAATAGAGAGAGAAAGCTAAATCAAGATTTTTAACTTCGCCCTTGAAATGAAGCTTGTTTCAATCACAATGTTCCATATCAACCTGTTCCATCATAGTCTGTTTCAAGCGTCTATTAAACTAAGAGCAAGTACCTAATCATATATGCAAATCAAGTATAATAAATCAACACACACCCCTCCATTCATATATTAAAGCTAACAAAGTAAAAAAAAAAATAATAATAATAACAATAACTAATAATTGGGGAAAAAAGAGAGAGAGAGAGAGCTCAATGTGTATACCCAGAATCATCCAGAACAATTCTTGATATCTTCATCTTTCTTCTGGTGCCTTTGTACAGCTCCTCCAGGCTACACGGCAACTTACTCTCCATGGCCTCCGCCTTCTTCAGTTTCAGACCACCGCCGCGGCCGCCGCCAGTACTTTTTTCCCTGTCAATATCAAATCCACCAAAAAACTCCTCAAAGATATCCTCAGCATCCCTCGGACTAAATCTAAACCCCCGGCCTCCTCCAACATCTCTCTCCTTCATATTCGGGGGCGGATACAACCCAGACTTGAGCCCTTCTTCCCCGTACAAATCATAGATCTGTCTCTTCTCCAAATCACTCAACACATCATACGCCTCACTTATCTGCTTGAATTTCGCCTCCGCCTCCTTAGTGTTCACCGCATTCTTATCCGGATGCCACTTCATCGCCAGCCTCTTGTACGACTTCTTCAAATCCTCCTCCGTCGCATTCCTCGAAACCTTCAATATGTTGTAGTAATCAACCCCCATTTTCTCCCACACACACCCCTCACCCTACCCTCAATTCAATTCAAACAAAATTGCCAAACGACAGTACAAACCAGCATATATATATATACACACACGCCACACCTACAAAATTCCACAAAAAAAAAAAAAAAGACACGACAAGTGAATCGAGTCCCGACGACTACGTCGGCCGTCAACGTTGGATTCTCCGGCGGATATCGTGCTAATGGTACGCGGAAGCGGCGATATTTTAAAGGAGGTAGTTGAAATGACAGGTGTGGGGGACGATGAAGATCACTTCACTCCACGCGACCACCAACGTGCAGAGAAGCGCGTAACAGCGAATCGGATACGACGTCGTACCGACAACAAAACGGCGTCGTCTGACATTCTGCAAATTGGACCTGTGGATAAAGTTGGGCCCATTCCCAGTTACTTCTAACGAGTTAATATCGTGTGGGGACTGTTCTGTTCTCATTATGGGCCCAATATAATAAATGTGATATTGATGGCCCATTTGGAGATAGGCCTTCCGGGCCCATTAATACCTTGAAATTTGAAGATATTTTTTTCTGGAGTCGTTGGTTATGTAATGTCTTTTATTAACGATTTGCCAACTCGTAATTAATTGCTGTTCGTAGCTTTTTTTGTCTCAAACAGTTTTTACCTTTTTAACAAATAATTGGGCCATACTGTTGGCCAGCCCAGTGGGCTCTATCTCCTTATTGGGCTACTTGAGCCCTGTGTGGGCCCATTAAGTGCATACGGTTTTTAAGTCGTTAGATCGGATTCCATCCACGCCGCGACAGTCATCGCCGTCTTCTCCATGTGTTGCCTCAATCGCCTGGCGTTGCGATACCTCATGTGAAGCAAATCCATGCGCAAATCCTCCGCAGTGGTTCGGCGATTGAGGACTCTGTGGATACGTTTTATCTGTACAGTAGATTAATCCATTTTTCGTCGTTGCAAGACGTGCGGTATGCTGAGACAATATTTAGCCAAATTTCTAACCCTAATACGTTTTATGTACAATACTTTGATCAGAGGCTATGCTCATAGAAAGGATATGAAAAGCTAGGCTTTTCCACTTTTTCGAAGTCTCCTGGAAGAAGAGAATTTGCTCCTTCCTGATAAGCATACATTAACATTCCCGTTTGTGCTGAAAGCTTGTGCTTACTTATTTTCTCTGATTGAAGGGTAGCAAGCGCATGCCCAGTTTTTGAAGCGTGGATTTGGCGCTGATGTGTACGCGAACAACAGTTTGATTCATTTCTATGCCTCCTGCGGGTGCTCGGAAAGTGTTCGATAAAATGCCTGACAGAAGCCTGGTATCATGGAATGCGATTATCAATGCCCTTGTGCAGCATGGACTTGAGCTGAGGAAATGGCGAGAAAGATAATAACCCAAGGCACTAATAACTGCGGAGTATATGTCCTTCATGACGTTGGGTTGGTTAATCGGCTGCTGAGAATGGCGTGTCGAAAGAACCTGGCTGTAGTTCAGTCCGAAATCAATGGCGTCATCCATTAATTTTTTTGCAGGGGACACAACTCATCAACAGACTAACGAGATTTATCAGTTCTTGGATATAATCGAAAAGAAACTGAATGTGGAAGGGTATGCTCCCAACTTCCCACAAGTGCCCTTCGATGGTGAAGCTGACGGTAAGGCGCAGTCAGCGAGAAGATTCGCCATCGCCTGCAGTTTGTTGAGCACGAAACAGAGTGATACTATTCATGTATTCAAGAATCTGAGCGTCTGCAAAGATTGCCACAGTTTTTCAAAGTTAGTCTCAAAAGTTTTCGATTTGGAGATCGTCATGAGAGATCGCCTCCGGTTCCATTGTTTCAAGAATGGGCAGTGTTCTTGTATGGATTTCTGGTAAAGATCTAGTCTTTATGTTCTTTTGATGGTAATAATATTTAGCACTTGTATCAAAGTTACTTGATTCTCTAATACAAAATCCGTTCTCAACTAGGAACGTGAACACAAACCATACTTTATTCAATCAATGTAATCGATTCATCAGTATGCTTCAAACTCCATATATGAAAAAATTGAAAAAAAAAAATACAATACTCTGCAACAGCCAAACAAGAAAACTACATGACTTATGTGTATATGTTGCACCTTCCTATCATATGAATATATAAATACATAATCTACAAATGCTTATGCATATCTCCTTCAAATACCTTACTCACAAATCGATCAAACCTATCCATCACGCCAATTCGGCATCTGCAGTTTGTCGAACAAAATTATTGCAAGACTCCCAAATTCCTTACATCATCATTAACTGAAACAACAAGAACATCATGTGTGAGCTATGGATTTCTTTCATCGATCATCGGATCAATCAAATAAACAATTAAGGATGAAACTGCAGCTCACCTTGCGATGATGGCAGCGCCACGACGACGTGCATTGTCGCGTTATTCGGAGGAAGCTGTAAAAGGAGAGGATAGAGCCTCCCGTCCAACGGACTTCGCGCGCATACGGTAATGCCCTCAACGCCTAATTCATCTTCTAGAGAACTCTTCAACTTGTCCACTTCACTGCCCTTGAATGTAATGCAGAACTCGCCGAAGCTGTCGTCGATTTCGCCGTTTTCGTCGGTGATTTTGAAGTAAACCAACCTTCCATCGTTGCTCTTCGGTGGGGAGCTAATGTAGGAATCTCTTGACTGCAGATTTTATTGCATTTGCACCAAATTCATGTAATCAGAAATTCGAAAGCAATCAATGAATGCTCTGTATTAAAAAGTTTTAAAATCTTCTGCTTTGAATATCCCGTTAACTTTAAAGATTCGATTAACTTTTCAATTTTTTGTGTTTTTACCTCTTGTCGATTGAAGCTCAAAGATTTTCGAGAATTGCTCCCCGCCACCGTTGGCGGCGGCGGCGCTTGATTCCCGACGACGATGTCCACCACGTGTAACTCCCACAACACCCACTCCTGCGTCGCCGTCCGGTGAGGAATATCGTGAGTAACAGAGTTCCTCCACGGCGGCAAACCGCCGTTAGCCCGCAGGAACTGCCCGTACCTCGTCTTCAGCTTAACGGCGCCGTTTTGACGGACCGGCTCCCACTCGACGGAGCTGTCTAGACGCTTCGGGAGCGTCTGCAGAACTTTCCGGCCGGTCATCCCGAGGAGGAACGGCTGGTTTGACGCCGTCAGGTACTTGCCGTAGCAGCTCTTGAGGCGAATGATGTTGTCGGCGTTCTCCACGAATTCGACGGTCCATATGGCGGATTTGGAGGTTCCTTCCCGATCCTGGACGACGGACTCCTCGTCTTCGTCCGCCGTCAAGTACTTGTCGTGAACGCTCTTCAGGCGGACGGCTTTCGCTTTCTGGAACAAATCCATCGCCGGAAATTAGGGTTTTAGAAATCAAAATCAAAGGGCTTTTCGAAATTACAGGAATCAATGGAGTTTGAAACAGATAATTAAGAAGAATCAACACGAAATATATATATATATAGATGAATGGAAGCAGAGAGGAAACTCGTCAGTGAAGATGGAGACGCCATGAATGATGAATCCAGCCATGCACGGAAGACTGGGACAAGTGGGGTGTATCTCCCAAACGCGTCGTGGTATTGGGAACTCCTGGATCTTTACTCCTGAAATGATCTACATCGTTCGTTTTCCTTGGGTTCATTTCATGAATGGTGTGTATTGTGTCTGGCGTTGAAATCCATAGAGTGGTAGATTAGCTTCATAAATACGCCAGTTTCTGTTTGGGATGCCACGTGGGTAAATCCAGTTGGATGATAAGTCCGATTCGGCATACAATTGACTGTTTACTTAAGGGATAAGATTTGGCATATTTGGGAGGTTATATATATATATATAATGTATTATGTGTCAATATATGTTATGTTATATTTTAATTTTTTGAAAATGTAATTGCGAATTATATATAGATAATTTTTTAAATGTATAAATTATATAGATAATTTTAATTTTATAAATTAAATTATATATGCACGTATGTCTTGACTCTTTGAATTAGCATGGGCCAAATGATATTTCACCCTATGATTCTGTAATGATATAAATGGGAATATATTAAATAAAATTCAAAATATATACATATTGAAAAAGTGAAGTGACGTATGCAACATGGCTACAAATAAATAAATAGGACATTAAAAATTACAATCAATAATTAATGAGAAGTAGCAGCAGCGTTGGACCACTCGGTTGACTCTTCAAACGTGTTCACTCACGGCAAAATTATATATAAATCATTTACTTTATTTGTCCTTTAAATTTATATATATATATTTTTATAAAAAAAATACATTAATATTGTCTTTCGTCTCAAATAAGGTATAATATTTATTTTTGGTATAAGTTTTTAAATGGATAGTATTAAGTATGACAATTTAGAAATTAACTGATATAATGGAGAGAAAAATATATATTTTATTTTTTTATTTGAATGATGTGATGGGATAAAACGTGAGGTAAAGATTAAGTATAATTAATTATTTTATATTTTAGAAATATTGCAGAGTGTTCGAGGTATATAAAAAAAATATTGCTAAATATTTGGGACGGAGGGAGTAATAAATACTTTTTATATATTTTTTAATTTATATTTTCAACAATTTAATTTATTTATAAATATGACAACGACCTCCATATATTCCATTCATCTAAAAAATTCATTTCATTAGCTCACTTATTTATTTTTTAAAATATTTTTATTTTATATCACAATCAATTAATTAATATAATATTATATTTATTAAAATTCATGTTTAGTTCATATATGAATATATACTTTGTGGAGGGAATGGGTATATAGTTTATTTCCATTAGAGTGAAATGTGTAACAGAATTGTGTCCAATTCTTACATTTACATTATTGGTCTATATTTATTAATACAATCGCTAACAATTGTTTGGAATATATAATGAATCAATACTCGATAGAATATTAATTCAGACACAATACAAAATAAAGAAATGAACATATTAGGGTAGGGTCCGTTTGTTAAGGTTGAGTTTGAAAAAAATTGATTTAAATTTGATATTAAAATAATATAAAATATATATATTTTTTCGAGAGTTGCATAATTAAAATAATAAAATTTTAAAAAAATTTGGTAAAACAATATAAGTATAAATGTGAAATAAGGGTAGGCAAGGAATTCAATGCTGAGTATTTTGACATTGACCTTTTGACAAATTCGAAGCATACTGAATGAATTATTACGTGACGTGAGGGCAAGGTGTAAATGGAGTTCATATTTCAATGTTAAATATCATTTCATATTTGATGTAATCTAATCTAATATGGGTCGATGTAAATTGTAACCCCATCATCATTTTTATTTAGAAATATATAATAACATTGCAATATGAAATGATTAATTGATTGATTGATTGTAAAAATACAAATTCAAGAATCACAACACGGCCGTGTTAATCAAAGCTATAATAATGTCAAGTTTATTTTGAACCTTTTTTAAATTCCAATAATCCTATTTTGTAGTCACTCTTGACCACCCCACTCCCTTCACGTGAGTCACCCCACATTTTCCTCCATTCACAGTGATTCGTGAGAGATCCAGGTGCGTAGCTCCCGCGTTTTGTAACGAAGTGGGAAGACTCTTTTCAGGCCCTCGAGTCCCAGGTGCGCCCAAGAATTTTGTTAGTGGGTCACCAAAAAACCAGCCTTTGTGTAATATTTTTATTTTAGCTTTTTGTAATATTTAATAATTTAGAAAAAGAACACAGACCACATTTTAGATCTTACAGATATTCATCGATGACCAAATTTTCCCAATTTTGACTCCGCCATGTCTCCGCCGTCCTCCGCCGTCCTCATTTTACTGGCGGCGCTTTTCCCCGCCGTCGTATCGTCTCACAGCTGCTCATCGCCGCCGGCGGGGTGCCCGCCGTTCGATTCTCCGCCGCCGTTCCCGTTCTCCTCCCTCCCCGGCTGCGGCCACCCCTCCTTCCAAATCCACTGCCTCCCATCCTCACGCGCCGCTATTTCCATCGGAGAACACTTATTCTCCGTCCTTCAGTACGAACCAAACTCCACCTCCCTCACCCTCTCCCCGGCGGCGGTGGCGCCGCCCCCGCCGCCGCACCGGAACTGTACTCCGAGCTCCACCATCTCCTACCTCAACGGATCCATCTCCTTCTCCGGCACGAAATTTCGCATCTCCGATTCTTCCTGCTCCCGTCTCTCAGCTCTCCGGCCATGCCCGCCGCCGAATCTCCCCGACTGCCGGCGGTGCTCCTGGGAATGTAACCTAATTAATACCCCCACGCATCTTATCCGCGAGTGCGCCGCCACGCGCCGCCGCGACGACGACCAGTCTATTTGCCAGCGCGACGTTCTCGGAGATCTGGACGCCATTTTGAAATTAGGTTTTGAAGTTGAGTGGGAAGAAGAAGACCGCTATTTCTCCAGCTGCAAATCTTGCCAGGCCGTCAATGGCGTCTGCGGATTCAATTCCTCAGACCTTGAAAAGCCATTCGTCTGCTTCACATCCAAACCTCCAATCCGCCAGAAAAGCCCCAATCGAATCGCAATTTTGTTCATAACCGTCTTCTTCGTCTTCTTCCTAATCGCTCTCGTCTCCAGCGTCGTCGTTTTCCGCTCCAAACGGAAAACCCCAACGGAGGAAGATCCGACCGCCATATTCCTCCGCCGCCACCGCTCCGCCGCCGCCGTGTTCACCTACGAAGAATTAGCCGCCTCCACAAACCACTTCGATTTGAAGCGCAAAATTGGGGACGGCGGATTTGGCTCTGTATATTTAGGTCATCTCCACGACGGCCGATTAGTCGCCGTGAAACACCTCCGGAAGCACAATTCCGCCGCCGCCGGCGCAGAGAAAGGATTCTCCAAAAAATCATTCTGCAACGAGATCCTGATACTGTCCTCCATCAACCATCCAAATCTGGTCAAGCTCCATGGCTATTGCAGCGATCCAAGAGGCCTCCTCCTGGTGTACGACTACGTCCCCAACGGCACTCTCGCCGATCACCTCCATGGAAATCACAGAAAAGGAGCTCTAACCTGGAAAACCAGGGTCGACATTGCTCTGCAAACTGCCATGGCCATTGAGTACCTTCACTTCTCGTTAGTACCCCCTGTAGTTCACAGAGACATAACTTCCTCAAACATTTTCGTCGAAAAAGACATGAGAGTTAAGCTCGGCGATTTTGGGCTGTCGAGGCTTCTGATATGCTCCGAATCGCCGCTATCATCGAAGAACACTTCCGACGGCGTCTGGACAGGGCCACAGGGCACGCCGGGATACTTAGATCCCGACTACTACCGGTCATTCATGTTGAACGAAAAGAGCGATGTATACAGCTTCGGAGTTGTCCTGCTGGAATTGATGACCGGAATGAGAGCCGTCGATCAGAACCGCGAGAAACGGGAAATAACGCTGGTGGACATGGTGGTGCCGAGGATCCAGACGGGGCTATTGCACCAGGTCGTCGACCCAGTTTTTTCCGTCGATCGGGAAGCCATGGAAGGAGTTTGCGCTGTTGCAGAGCTTGCATTTCAGTGCCTTGCAGCCGATAAAGATGACCGGCCGAATGCTAGGGACGTCGTAGCCGAGCTTCGGAGGATAAAGGGCTGCCGGAGCAGCACCGGCAGCGTTTTGCGGAGCTCGAATTCGAGCAATGTTGTCGTTCCCGACGGCGTTTGATCAAGAATTCCCGGCTCAGGTGTATTTATGTTTAGGTGAATCTAACGTTAAAAGATGTCAAAATGCTTTTGCCCTTTTTTAGTTCGAAATGGAAAGTTTGATGCTTTTTCTTTAAGTAGACTCGCACAACCGATAAATTTTCGGTCGAACTTAGTAAAAGGAAGAACTTAGTAACAAGGAACCGTCATTATTGCTCAACGACAAAGTTTTCATTACAGCGTGTGCTGATATACATAGTCGAACATTATTACAAGATCGCGTTTGTTTACATATTTACCTTAGTGAAATACGCAGTTTCGAGGGCCCTCGCCTTCTCTCCGCATCGCGCAGCTTCGTCTCTTTGTCCTGAACTCGCATATGCCTTTTCCTACGCGACATTTCAACACATCTTACTCTTCGAAGAAGCTAAGGTATAAATGTATACATTTTTTACGAACATTGTAGATGAAATGATTACCAAAAGATGCCATAAGAATGGCGCTCCTTCCCGCTTCTTCATCTGTTTTTCGATAGCTTGAATAGCTGCAATTGCCGGCAAAACTCACAGTTGCAAAATCGAAAAATACCAAAAATATCGGCGCAAAGTTCAGGGAATACCTCTCGAAGATTCTCCGGTATTCAGCAGCAAGAGGATATGAACTTCAGTAAACACGTCGAGTTGCTCATCGGATGCCCCAATCATCTAGCAAGACAGAGCACGTTCCGATTATTCAACCCGGAATGTAAATAAATCGACCAACCGATTAGTCGTTATACCTTATAGTCGATGGCATCAAATTCGTGCCCAAAATGTTCTAACGCCTCTTGGTCGTCACCCTTACCAAACATATGAATCGCTTCTGCAAGCTAGAATATGGGTTGTTTGTTACTAAAACGTCTGAGGAAAATCTCGACAGTGATTGAATAATAAAACACGTTAGAAACAAACCGAAAGTCCTCTCTGCATCAACTGTTGTCTCTTCTTTGTCATCGACGAAATCCTACAGCAAAAGAAACGAGCGTTGGGATGAATTCTAGAACACTTGAGGAGATGCGGGAAGATTAACGAACCTCGATTTTAAGCCCTTAAGTATATCTTCTGCCTTTTCAAATTCTCCCGCAGCCGATAAGGCCCACAGTATCAAGATATCGAGATGCCATTCGAGAAACCATACGGCCTGAACTCACAATTTAACGACAACTTAAATCCAACTTATAGACAGCGCAAAAACAAGAACAATGCTGCCACTCACTTCATCTGCGACGCATTTAGCTACATTCGCTAAACGGTCCTCGAAAATTTCTTCCCCGCCGCGAACATACACGCGCAACAATAAACCAATCGCATTTAAGTACACCTACACACATACACGTGCTTAAAAGAACATATGACGAATAGTTTTGAAAAAAACAACAAAACAGCTGTTTCAAGAGAACGTGTTCAATAATATACCTCTGGCGGCATTGCATCACTTCTTTGCAGCTCTTTCCATATGCAATCGTCGTAAATTTCTCGCACTTTTTCCAGAGGAGCAGCGCCTTCCAAATAGCATAGCGCGACGTGCCACCAGTTGTGCGTAAGCCTAATCAAGAATTCTCCCCGTCAGATATAACATAAATTTGGCGGCGTAATCAGATACTATGCTGCGAATGTGTACTACGTACATGAAAGACGACAATGAACCCCATGAGCTCGCACAATCGCCCATGAACTCGACTGCTTTTTTGAAACGACACTCGTACTGATAAACATGGCAAAGCTGTATAGAGAATCTTTTTTCTTTAGGATAAAACAAACAAACACATAAAAGAATCCATCTATGATATAAAATTTAAAATACAAGAACAGTTAGTAATGAAATTCCGAAACCTGATGCAATGTCACTAATTCGTCAAGACAGATTTTGAAATTATTAGAAGTCGACTAATAAACCAAGTCAAACTCACAGCGTGGTGCGACCAAGCATCGTCCCTTCTGATCTCATAGCCCCTTTTCCCAGCTTTTTCTGCTTCTTCCATCCGACCAAGCTCGAGTAACGGAAATGCAAGCATGCCATATATATATTCCTCGTGCTCATTTGTTGGTAGCGACTGTTGGTTATATACAGTATGGTATTAGTTTTATGAATCACGAATAGAACAACTAAAATGATACATGAGTTTCTTGAAAATAGTAGTACTAATTAATGCGCCATCGATATCCTTCAGCAAGAAGGGATATACCTGTTCGACGAGCTTCAAAGATGCATCCGGCTGGCCCAAATAAAAGCATAGCACTTGAGCTCTCTTCAACGATACAAGATCTTTAGGAAAATCGCTTAAAAGCTGCAATAAGAACAATTCAAGAAATTAAGAACAATCCATTCTCGACTAATAGCTATCATCAAACACATTATAATTCACAAGTAAACAAGAATCAAAATATAACCTTCGAATGCAGCTCTTGCGAACGATTATAACATTAAAACACTTCAATCTTTCAGAAAACATTATAGATAGATATACACATATGGATGATTCACATTAAATCAAGATCACATCATCACCTTCGAATGCAGCTCGACGGCGGCGTCGTAATCTCCGTCGGGAGAAATTAGGCACATAACAGCCTCGAAGACTGCCTTCTCGTATGAAGTAGCGTATTCCTGCTCTCAAAAGGAATACCAAAAAACAGGATAGAATGAATTTCAGAACACCAAAATGGTATGAACAATCAAAATTAAGCATACCAGACGAGACTTGGCAGCGTCGACGAGAAGCTGAGCACGAGAAGAATCAGAAGAGGATAGGAAATGGGCAGCCAAAATGTTGCCCAGAACACACTGTGGATCACTTTTTGGTGCTTCCAGAATAACTGATCTATTCCTTCCATAACTCAGAACCTCAAATCACAAACAAATTCAGAAAAAGAACAAGAAGAAGAAGATAAACGCGTTTATTAATTCCTAGCAATTAATTAAAATCAGAAACCACAGTTAGCAAAGTCAAATTAATATTACAAGAACATTTCAATTATTCTTCGGAAACCCCAAACCCCCAAAACGAAGACGAGCCCGAAAAGTTACCTGGTGATAGTAAGAATCGATGGAAGATATGCAACGATCCGAGGTAGTCCTCACTTGATAACCCCATCGGTCCGATTTCACCATCTTCTCCGCCATCGCAAACAGAGGGTTTTTTTCTTTCTTTCTTCCTTTCTTCCTTCCCAAAGTGATTTACTTCTAACAGGCAACGAGAAGACCCACCTGGCAGCTGCAGAATCGTTCGAGAATATAGGTTCGGCAATCTAGCCTGATCCTTAGGGGCCCTTTTGTCGCCTCTACCTGTTCATATCAGATTTGCAATCGGCCATGCCCTTTGTCTCATCTATCTTTACAATTTATATATGGGATTTATATATAGTAAATAATTTGTTCAGTTTGGCTGGCAACGGAATTTTTAGAGTTAGTGTTAGAAAAAAGTAATTATGATATAATAAGAATAATTTAGAATTAAAATTAAAGTTATTAAATAGGTTAATTAAAGTATGGATAAAATTAAAGTTTCGTAAATTTATATATACTTAAATTTTAAATTAAATAATCGAGCTAAAATCAACCACAATAAAAATTATAATGAGATTTTTGCCTAATACATAGCAGGTTTGGCAACAAGTCAATCACGTTTCAAAAACTGTTCGTAATTCATTGCATTTTCAATCCAATCGTGAAATTTTTTATTGAATGTGTTGAGAAATGTATAGAACCCGACAAATGTTTTAGGTTTATTTTTTAAATATTAATTTTATTTTTTTTTTATTTTTTTTATGGTTAGATTGAATGGTGATTGAGTTTGCATTTTTATTTTTATTATTTTTATTATTATTATTTTTTTTTATCATCATCGTTCCTCATATTCTTGATTTTGGAAGTGAAAAAAATATCATATCTTTATTTATACATGTATTTTTTTTTTTTTTATCATTTTTGTATATTCTTGTAAGGTGATTGGATTTTTTTTTTATCAATATATAGTGAAATATTATAGCTCATCTACCTAATTAATTTGTCCATTTTAATTGGGTAGAGGGTTTAGGTATTTTATAATTAGTAATTAATTAAAAAATATATTAATAAATAATTATAATATAATAAAAATAATTATATATTAAGATTAAGATGATTAAATAATTTAATTAAATAAAAAATTTATAAATTATAAAATTTAAAATGTGATTAAAATGTATAATTATATTTTAAAAAAAAAATTGCATTATGTGAGACAAATAAATTCAAATAATATTGTTGTTGATATTTTAGTGATTATAAATATAATTAGTGCATTTAAATCTCTTTTTACTTATTTATTAAATCCGTAATACAAAAATTAAAATAAATAATTATCTACTTATTTTAAAAAAATAATTAAAAATATATTTTCAAAACAAAATTTCCATTTTAGTTTAGTGTTCTAATTTAAATAAATAATTTAATTCTGTCTCATAAAAAAATACATAGATATTTTGTTTTTTATAATTATAATTATTTTATAATATTTGGGTAAATATTGTTAACTATATATTTATAAAAATTTATTTACAGTTTTGTTTTTTTTTTTACATTTTTAAAATATGTTTTGTGGAAAAATTATACTGAAATTTATTTATTTATGAAATAAGTTAGTATATATATATATATAACTATCTAATAAAAAATAAAAATATTATAAATTATTTTAATATTACAAATAAATAAATTAATATATCTCATATCTGCGATGCATTATATACTCAAACAATGTGCTAAATTTGCTTTTAACACGAGTTTTTAGGTGGGTAATATTAAGTAAGATAATTTAGAAATTAGGTGATGTGATGGAGAGAAAAATATATATTTTATTTTTTTATTTGGATGGTGTGAGGGGATAAAGTGTGAGGTAGAGATTAAGTATAATTAATTATTTCCTATTTTGGAAATGTTGCAGGGTGTTTGAGACATACCAAAAAGAAAATGTTGCAGGGTGTTTGGGACAGAGGGAGTATTAATTTGTTGAGAAAATTATATACTTCTTTCGTCTCATATTTATATATTTATTTGCTTTTTACACAAAGTTTTAGAAATATTAGTATTATATTGGAATGTAGTAGAAATAAAAGTAAAAAGACTAACTAACCTTATTAGTATTGTATGATATAAAAGTAAAGACATTTGTGCAATATATTGTAAACTATAAATGTATTTGTAACGTTGGGTAGATGATACAATTACTAAAAAGAAAAATTAATACTTTGTTATGAGACGGATCAAAATTAAAAAATTGATAGATCGTTAAGGGACGGATGAAATAAATCTTATATTATAGATTTTTTTTATTATTTTGTGTTATATATATATTTTATCATATTATAATTTTTAAATAATTTTGAATAATATTTAAATATTTCTTTTTAGGAATATATTTTCTTAATTATTTTTTACATGATAACGGGAGAAGATATTATTTTTTGAAATGTATACGGTGAAAGTACTTATTACAATTTTGATCATTTACTAGTATTTTTTAAAATATTTTGCAGATATTTGTCAATTATTTTATATATTTTTTATTTTGTTGTATTTTTTCATTTCATAGTTTTGGATTGATATTTTAGGTCTACTGTTTTGATTTAATATTTTGATTATTTATTAATGCATTTACAATTTTAAATATGTATTTTTTTTTTTTATCAACATGTATATTTTTTAATTTTTCAATTTTGCGGTTGTGATTTGTTATTTTAATTATCTACTAATAATTTTATAATTTTGATTTAATAATTCAATTGTTTACTAATATTTTTATAGTTTTTGTTATTCCAAATAAAATAATATCTAACTAGTTAGTTAGATTCCGTGAGATTTAATATATATATTATGTGGTTTATGAGAGGGATAGATGCATGCCCAAAATTACTTAACTTTCAAATTTTAATTTTATTCATTTTTTTTTTTCTTGTTTTGCTTTCCTTTATTTTTTGGTTGTGCTTTCTTTATTTTCTAGCTACCTTCTTTTAATTTTTTTTTTTTTTTTTTTAAATCTTTGTCCATTTTTTTGCTGTTCTTGATTTTTTTTTTTTTTTTTTATCTTTGTCTATTTTTTGCTGTACTTGATTGATTATATTTGATAATACCGTTTCGGATTCTTTTTGGAGGAAACCGAAGATCTCACCCAATTTTCTGCAGGCTCCATTCGAACCTTTTTTTTTTTTTTTTTTCTCTTTTATCTTTGTCAAATTTTCTCTATTCTTTGATTTATTATTTTTGGGAATACGGTTCCAAATCCTTTTTTGAGGAAGTCGAAAAAATCACCTGATTTTCGGTAGGCTTCATCCGACAAACCACCAAAAAATATTTTATGCGACAACAGTTTTATATTACTATTTTTATTATTTACCAATCTACTATTTGAAATTGAAACAAATTTATTTATGAATCTAGCAAATTGAAGTTTCTATCTCACTTAATTAACTTCATGTTTTTTTTCTTTGTGTGCAACATATATTCTACAGGTCATTTGTTTAGCAAATAATTCTTTTATTTTATTGTAATTTATAATTTCACAGTTTTGATTTACTATTTTGATCATCTACATTTAATTTTATAGTTTGATTTGAGGTTTTAATTACCTATTAATAGTTTTACGAGTTTAAATCGGTATTTTTATTATTTCCTAATATGTTATTTGAAGTTGAAAGAAATTATCTTTTTACTAATTTGAAAAATAAAATGTGCAAAGTGTGTTTCTATTTCACTTTGATAGATTATGAATGATATTGAATATTTATTTATACTTTCTATGTACATAAATAATAATTTGATATGATTTTTTAAATATATATTTTTCAGATATCCAATATGTCATTTGTTCTATAAATAATTATTTACTTTCTTGTATTTTACAATATTGATTTAGTGTTTTAACTATCTACAAATAATTTCATCTTTTTGATTTTGTTGTTTTGATTATTTACTAATATTATGTATATATATTGCAGATATTTTGTCATTTATTGTGTAGTAAAGTATTTGTTTTACTATATTTATAATTTTATAGTTTTGATTATTTATTACTATTTTTATAGTTTTAAATCGATAGTAAAAACTAAAAAATTGTAAAATAAAAATTTAAAAAAAAAAATAATCTCAAAATTATCTAGATATATATATATATATATGTATAAAAGATGGGAGGCAAAAACCTGTCACAACATACACGAACACAAAATCAACATATGCTCTGCTCGTGTTTGCATTTAATTTGTTCTATTCTTCTATTTTTTATTACAATTTAAAATTGATAGTTTATATATATTTTTATTTTAATTAAACTATTTAATCATGTTAATTTTAATATATAATTATTTTTATTAAATCTATCATTATTTTTATATGATTTTATTGCTTACTAATTACATAATACTTAACACTCCGGAAACAATTTAGTTGAGACGAAAGGAAGAGTATTTGTTAATGAATACTTTCGACAGTTTCCAGTTACAGGATTGGTGTGAAGGAATGCTCGCCGGCGCCGCTGCTTCCTCTGTCGCCAGAATTAGTCAACTTGGTTTCTTGTTTCGAAGAAGTCGATGCCTCCGGGATAGATAAAGGAACTGCAGATGTGTAGGTGGTGGTGGTGGTGGTGGCGGCGGCGGTTTCCTGAGCAGATGTGGTGGTGGTGGTGCCGGCGGCGGTAGCCATTGCAGTGCAGTGAATGGAAGGGTTCGGTCTTCTTCTTCTTGTTTGCAGTCGATAATGCTGTAATAAATAAATCCCTAAAATTAGTAGGCTAATAGAGTGTAGAAATATTTTGGTTACAGCAGCTAGGATGGGATTCGGATTAGGACAATCTTGTGTTACATTACAGAAATCGCAAAATCAATTATATCCAACAACATTTTGAAGAAGATGATGAAATTATAAGAAGCCATATATATATATATACCTGCAAATGGCTTTTAACCTCATCGTGGGTGAGTCCATAGACATTCATTATTTTCCTATTCTGTGTAGGCGTAGCTGCTGGAATCGACATGCCATTATTAATTAAGATAATTATTTTTCTATGAATAAATTAATTAATCTTATTGTACATATACATATATACATGTATTTAATATTTATACCTTCTGAGCCACCTAGTTGCTGAATGGCTTGCAAGAATTTGTTGTGCATCTCCGGCGACCAACGCCGCCGGACTTTTCTCGCATGCAACTGCCCCTCTTTTCCTGATCCCTTCTTGTCAGCGCTGCCGCTCTCCGCCGCGGAACTGGTGGATGCACCACCACTGCCGCCGTTTATCTTCTTCGCCTCCAAGACTGTAACTCTTTTGGGCGAACCCTAAATCCCCAAAGTTGAAAAGAAAAGAAAAAATCAGATCACTTCTTTATAATTCATCAAATCTACTAAACCCCAGATTGGCAATCAATTAATTAAAGAACAATCTTAATTAGGGTTTTGGAGGGTACCTGTGGATCGGGTTGGCCTTGATTCCAAAGCTGCACAGATCTAAGCCAGTCTGCTTTCTTGCCAATATTCTGGCTGATATTTGTATCATCATTTCTTGGCTTCTTGGAATCATCATGTTCTTCATCCTCCGAATCCGAACCACAAACAGCTCTCTTGATAGCGATGAACTCCTCCAGAACAGGCGCATCCCGACACTTCTGCTCCCAATTACAGTCCACCAGCTGTTTTAATAAATTGTGCTCAGCTGTCGTCCCAGACAGCTGCTGCAGCTTGCATGCCTCAATTGCTGCCCAACACCAAAATTATTAAAACACAAAAAAATTATATATATATTATATATTCTGGTAGTCGACCCTTACCCTGCGTGAGGAGTTCGAGAGAAAAAGAGAGCTCACTTTCACAATCTTGAATCTTGCTACGCTCCGCTTCTAGGGCTTTCACATAATCCTCACACTTCTTCTTCTTCATTCTCTCAATCTGATCGACCAACGATTACTGCTGCCGTTGATCGTTGTAAAGAATTCCTAATGCTAACAAAGATCGGAATCTGGAGATGGGTTGGGGACCAGACGTAAATGGGGGGAGAAATTAAAGCTCCAGTTTCGTCCAACAATGGAAAAGATACCCAGGAGAAAAATGGGAATAAAAGGATCCGAGAAGAATCATCCGATCGATAATAAAGCTTGGCTGCCAAGAAAATACATCCAACTCTCTCTTAACACACACATACATATATATATATATATAGCTGAAAATTTATAGCGTGGTAAATTAAGCCTGAGCGAACTTGAAGGGCATTGCTATAAATTTTCAGCTATATGTATATGTATGTGTGTGTTAAGAGAGAGTTGGATGTATTTTCTTGGCAGCCAAGCTTTATTATCGATCGGATGATTCTTCTCGGATCCTTTTATTCCCATTTTTCTCCTGGGTATCTTTTCCATTGTTGGACGAAACTGGAGCTTTAATTTCTCCCCCCATTTACGTCTGGTCCCCAACCCATCTCCAGATTCCGATCTTTGTTAGCATTAGGAATTCTTTACAACGATCAACGGCAGCAGTAATCGTTGGTCGATCAGATTGAGAGAATGAAGAAGAAGAAGTGTGAGGATTATGTGAAAGCCCTAGAAGCGGAGCGTAGCAAGATTCAAGATTGTGAAAGCGCGCTCCCTTTTTCTCTCGAACTCCTCACGCAGGGTAAGGGTCGACTACCAGAATATATAATATATATATATAATTTTTTGTGTTTTAATAATTTTGGTGTTGGGCAGCAATTGAGGCATGCAAGCTGCAGCAGCTGTCTGGGACGCCAACTGAGCAAAATTTCTTAAAACAGCTGGTGGAGTGCAAGTGGCAGCAGAAGTGTAGGGATGCGCCAGTTCTGGAGGAGTTCATCGCTATCAAGAGAGCTGTTTGTGGTTCGGATTCGGAGGATGAAGAACATGATGATTCCAAGAAGCCAAGAAATGATGATACAAATATCAACCAGAATATTGGCAAGAAAGCAGACTGGCTTAGATCTGTGCAGCTTTGGAATCAAGGCCAACCCGATCTACAGGTACCCTCCAAAACCCTAATTAAGATTGTTATTTAATTAATTGATTGCCAATCTGGGGTTTAGTAGATTTGATAAATTAAAAAGAATTGATCTCATCTTTTCTTTTCTTTTCTTTTCAACTTTGGGGATTTAGGGTTCGCCGGAAAGAGTTGCAGTCTTGGAGGCGAAGAAGATAAACGGCGGCAGTGGCGGTGCATCCACCAGTTCCGTGGGGGAGAACGGTGGCGCTGACGAGAAGGGATCAGGATCAGAGGGGCAGTTGCCTGCGAGAAAAACCCGGCGGCTTTGGTCGCCGGAGATGCACAACAAATTCTTGGAAGCCATTCAGCAACTTGGTGGCTCAGAAGGTATAAATATTAAATACACGTATAAATGTTTGTATATATATATGTATATATAGAATAAGATCAAATGTATTTATTCACAGAAAAATAATTATCTTAATTACTAATGGCATGTCGATTCCAGCGGCTACGCCTAAACAGATTTGGAAAATAATGAATGTCAATGAAGTCACCATCCAACAGGTTGGAAGCCATTTGCAGGTATATATTTTGAGGATGAATAAGATAATCTCATTTTTTTTTCCCAAGATTTCTAACAGATTCTTGTATCACCTTCTTCAAAATGTTGTTGGATATTATTAATTTTGGGATTTCTACTCTCCATTAGCCTACTAATTTTTTAGGAATTTATTTATTACAGAAATATCGACTGCGTATAAAAAAATCGAAACCTTCCATTCACCGCACTGCAATGGCTACCGCCGCCGCCGCCGCCGCCGCCACCACCACCACCTCTAAAGCAATTGTATGCCCCCATTGCTGCAGTTCCTTTACTATCCCGGAGGCATCGACTTCTTCGAAACAAGAAACCAAGTCGACTAATTCTGGCGACAGAGGCAGCGGCGCCGGCGAGCATTCCTCCATACCAACCCTATAACTGGGAATTGCCGAAAGTATTCATTAACAAAATAATAATAATAAACACATCCATATCAAACACGAGGAGAGCAGTAGATTTTTGTCTCGTATGTTGTATGTAGGTATATACATTTTTCAAAATTCTGCTTAATTTTGTCCTTTTTTTATTATTTAATTTATTTTTCTTTTAAAATATAATTATACATTTTCATTATATTTTAAAATTTGTAGTTTATAATTTTTAAATTAAATTAAATTATTGTTATTAAAACGTATTTTTTTTAATTTACTTAACTATTTAAAAAAATAAAACAATAATAAAATCCCATATGGTTTACCGCTGAAAATACCCGTAATCCTAAAATTCAAAAAAATTTACTCGTGGTTTGTAAAAAGTTGCAAAAAATGCCCTTGTATACCACGAGTTTGAAATGCAATTTTTTGTCCATAAAGTGATATATTTATGTCTTCTTCTCCCGTCGTTCTTTCTTCTTCCTTATTCTTCTTCTTTCTTATTGTTATCCATACTTTCAGAATTTACTCTCAATTCATTTTTTTTTATTTAAAATCCGTTAAATACAACCAAATTCGACACCGATTTCAAATTTATCACAATTAATCGACCGGACATGGATCTTCTTCTATTTTACCAAACCCAGAAATATTTCTTCTTATGTTTTACAAAACCCAGAAATAGCAAACCCAAAAATTTAAGAAATCAATTTGACATCAAGATTTGAAATCAATCTACGAAAAAAGAAAGAAATGGGGTACGGAAGAATTAGGGAGAAAAAAAAAAAAATTGGGGAAAAAGAGATAGAGAAAGAAGAAAGAAAAACGTGCTTCTGGTTGCAACGGCGTACGGAAGAATTGAAGAGAAAAAATAAAGAAGAAAAAAACAATAGAAAAAGAAAAAAAAAAACTGGAAAAAAACTAAAAACTGGTATTCAGCCCTTCTTCCTCCTTTTCTTCTTTTCCTTCTCTTCTTTTTCTCTTTCTTTTTTTTCATTTCTTCTTCCCTACTCCAGCCGCTTCTGCTCATCATCTTCTTTCTATTTTTATTCTTTTCCAATTCTTCATTTTTCAAAGAATAATTGGAGATGAAGAAAAAGAAAAAAAAATTGAAGAAAAAAATGTGTGAAGAAGAATTTGGGAAAAAAAAAAAAAAAGATGGAGCAAAGAAGTTGGGGAGAATAGAAAAGAATGAAATGAAAAAGAAAGAACGGAAGAAGAGTGAAAAATAATTGGAGAAGAAGAAGAGAAAAATTGAGGAAGAAGATGTGTGAAGAAGAATTTGAGGAAGAAAAGAAATGGAAGAAAGAGGTTGCGGAGAAGAAAAGAAGAGATAAAGAAAGAACAGAAGAGAGAGAACCACAATGGCATAACGGTCTGATGATGGTAAAATTTAACGCCGTCAATGTGATTTAAAAGAGGGGCGAATGTGCAACAATGAGTAGGTTTTTAGCAAATTCGGTAAACCAAGGGGGGTTTTTAACGGATTCGGTGAACCATATGGGGTTTTTTGCTTTTTTGCCTTTAAAAAATGGCAAAATTGTCCATAACTCGAAATTCACCGTAAATTCCCCTCTACTTTAAAAATTGCATGGTAATATTTTAAAATGGGGATTTATATTAAGTTTCAAAACCACAAAATGATTTCATATAATATTTTTTTAAAGTACAAGGGTATCATGCAATTTTGAGGAAATTTACGCTGAAACCACAAAGTTATGGGCTACCTTAAAAAAATTGATAAGATGACCATTCGATAAAAAATAATTGGACTTAAATTTTCGACTCATGGGTTAGCACAGCCGACAAGATATGCTATCGATTTCAGGTCATGCCGTTGGATGAATAATGGCTGCGGTTTTGGTAACCGCACCGGCGGCGGATGTCTCCGCCGTGCAACTCCGCGACAGTCATCGCCGTCTTCTCCATGTGTTGACTCAATCGCGTGGCGTTTCGATGCCTCATCTGAAGCAAATCCATGGCCAAATCCTCCGCACTGGTTCGGCGATTGAGGACTGTACGGATACGTTCTATCTGTATAGTAGATTAATCCATTTTTCGTCGTTGCAAGACGTGCGGTATGCTGAGAAGATCTTTAGCCAAATCGCTAACCCTAATACGTTTATGTACAATATTTTGATTAGAGGCTATGCTCATAGCAAGGATCTGAAGAGCAGGGCTTTTCCACTTTTTCGAAATCTCCTGGAAGAAGAGAATTTGCTCCCTGATAAGCATACATTCCCGTTTGTGCTGAAAGCTTGTGCTTATTTATTTTCTTTGATTGAAGGGAAGCAAGCACACGCCCAATTTCTGAAGCGTGGATTTGGCCCCGATGTGTACGTGAACAACAGTTTGATTCATTTCTACGCCTCGTGCGGGTGCTCTGAGAGTGCTCGGAAAGTGTTCGACAAAATGCCTGACAGAAGCCTGGTGTCATGGAATGCGATTATTGATGCCCTTGTGCAGCTTGGGGAGTTTGATGAAGCTTTGAAAAGGTTTGTGGAGCTGATGGAATCATCTTCCTTCCATCCAGACGGGTACACACTGCAAAGTGTGATCGATGCTTCTACCGGGATTGGGGCATTGTCAATGGGAATTTGGGCACATGCTTTCATATTGAAGCGTTGCATAATCGATACTAATTTTGATGTTCTTGTGAGCAACTCATTAATCGAAATGTATTGCAAATGCGGCGCGTTGAGAATGGCGGCGCAGGTTTTCGAGGGAATGAGTAGAAGGGATGTGAATTCTTGGAACGCCATGATTTTGGGGCTGGCCGGGTACGGAGAGGCAGAGAGGGTATTCGAACATTTTAATCGAATGATCGATGTGGAGAAACTATTGCCTAATTCTGTTACATTTGTCGGCGTCTTGAGCGCTTGCAGTCATCGTGGCTTGGTTAATGATGGCCGTCAATATTTTAATTTAATGGTGACCGAATACAACATTGAGCCAGTTTTGCAGCATTACGGCTGCCTCATTGATCTTCTGGCGCGCAACGGGAGAATCGACGAAGCTCTTGATGTTGTATCAGGAATGCCCATGAAGCCGGATGCCGTCATTTGGAGATGTATTCTGGACGCTAGTTGCAGGAACAGCGTCGGCACCTTGGACTCGAGCGAGGAAATTGCGAGAAAGATAATATCCGAAGAAGGCGCTAATAACAGCGGAGTATACGTCCTTCTTTCGAGAGTATACGCGTCTGCTGATAAGTGGGATGACGTCGGGTTGGTTCGACGGCTGATGACAGAGAAGGGCGTGGCCAAAGAGCCCGGCTGTAGTTCAGTCGAAATCAACGGCGTTGTCCATGAATTTTTCGCAGGGGACACGACTCATCCGTGGACAAACGAGATTTATCGGTTCTTGGATGTAATTGACGAGAAATTGAAGGTGGAAGGGTATGCTCCCGACTTCTCGCAGGCACCTTTCGTCGGAGAAGCTGATGGTAAAGCGCAGTGTTTGCGACTTCACAGCGAGAGGCTCGCCATTGCCTACGGTTTGTTGAACTCGAAACACGGAGATACTATTCGGGTATTCAAGAATCTGCGCGTCTGCAAAGATTGCCACAGTTTTTCGAAGTTAGTCTCTAAAGTTTTCGATGTGGAGATCATAATGAGAGATCGCCTCCGGTTCCATCGTTTCAAGAATGGGCAGTGTTCATGTATGGATTTCTGGTAAAGATCGAGTCTTTATGTTAAGAAAAATTCATCTGTTCTTGCAAGAATTATTGCACCAAACAGAAGATCAAAGCAGAGATTTCCAAAACAAGAAACATGAACATAAACCATACTTTATTCAATCACTTGTTCTTCAGTCATCCTTAGCAGCTTTCAACTTCTTGAGAACTTCTAGGAGGGCTGGTGTTTGAAGCATGACATCCTTAACAGAGCTGCTGCAATAAAGCCTATCAGCCCAGGATACAAGGTTAGGAGCCATGGCTGCATCAAGCACCTTAATTCCGATCATCGTCTCCGTCACTCCAATCCATCCCAAGAAACTGCCAAGAGCTATGTCCAGATACCCAACCTCATCTCCATTGAAGAAATCTCTGCCTTTGCTGCACATTACAAAAGCCTCCTCCAGTAAGACCAGCCCTGATTGGATTTTCTCCATTACTACCCTTTTCTCGTCATCGTCTTTCGCCTCCTTCACCTCCCGAAACAACGGACTCCACTGCGACAACATTTTTAGTTCTGATCAAAGGTAACAACTAACTTGATCATATGTTGTTAGAATTCAATTAGTGTACCTTATCATCTATGTAAGCTGCCCAAAAGCGCGCCGCGGACCGGTCGTGTGGATCGGAGGGGAGGATGGAGGGGCCATTAGGCCAAGATTCGTCGATGTATTGAACAATGATGAGCGATTCGCATATTGAACGATCAGCGTGGATTAGGACAGGGACTTTCTTGTGGATGGGGTTGTGTTTGGCAAGAAGTTCAGTCTTTTGGTGAGGATTCATTTCGACGAGCTCGTACTTGATGGATTTGAGCTTCAGAGCCATCGCGACGCGGTTGACATACGGGCTCAGCCATGAGCCTAAGACCTTCACATCAGTGTCAGCCATGGCTGATGTTAGTGGAAGCAAGCAATCAACCTACTCTAAAATAGGATTGTTTTCTAAGGAAAGACTTGATCTTGTGGGATATATATATATATGAAGATAGTGAACTTTGGAAATGTCGACGAAATCTTGGCTTGATTATGTTAGCTGTAGGACTGGCCGGAAGCCATTGATTCCTCCAGCTTCTTATTTCTTGGAAGTATTCTAACTGCAGATCTAAACAAGGCTACATTTAACACACAACTGTCTTGTCTTGCATTCGTAGTTAACTCGAATCATGTCACGACCTATTTACGCGCTAAACTGGATGGTTTTGCGCAAACATTACGAAATTTCATCGCTTTTATTACAGATAGTAATCTGGTTCTGGAATTGGGAAGATCACAACAGGTTTGTCTATTAGTCGCCTAATCGATACCCTTCGTTCAAGTTCTGTGTTTTCCTCTTGTTATCGTCTTCATTCATTTCCTCAATTAGCTCACGTTAACAGAGAATTTTTGCTAATGCCATTATCTTGGAATATAGCTTAACTGATGTCATTGCTTGCATATTAAAGTATATATTCAATCGACAGCATATAAGGTACTAAATCGAAAGTAGCCGGAGAAAGCAGTTGCAAGAAAAAGAGTTCTTTTATTTCATAAAGGCGCGTAAATTCAGTAAAACACCATCCTTTGGTACAAAACTATTTAGCTTTCATCCAAACTTGGACCTGCTTATAGAATTCTAGGAGTTTCTGAGTGTCTGGAAGGATATCCTTAACATCGTCGTCTGAGCAGAAGCTATCAGCCCATTTAGCCAGTTTGGGAGTCTTGGCTTGATCTAGCAGGTTTACTTGGACAATTTTCTCTGTCACGCGCAGCCAAGCCAAGCATGATCCGAGAATGATGTCTAAATAACCGATACTTTTGCCTCCGAAGTATGTCTCCCCTTTGCTTATTCTAACAAAAGCCTCTTCTAGTACCACTAGCCCTTCTGAGATTTTCTGTGCAAGTGATGCTCGTTCTTCGATGTCTTCAGCTTCTCTAAGAACTTTAACTAACAGAAACCACTGATAATCGGGTTTAGGTTTGTTAGGTGAGAATATGATTGGATGAAGAATGAGAAATGGATTAGGAGAAATAGAAGTGTACCTTTTCATCGATGTAGGCAGCCCAAAAACGTGCTAATGCGCGCTCATAGGCATCAGAGGGGAGAATGGATCGACTGTTAGGCCAGGCGTTGTCAACATACTCCACAATGATTAGGGACTCACAAACCGGCTTGTCCCCATGGACGAGAACCGGGATCTTTTTGTGGACAGGATTGTATTTGAGGAGCATCTCATTTTTCTTGAAATGAATATCGTCAATGAACTCATGATCAATGGACTTTAGCTTTAGAGCAAGCTGAGCCCGGTTGACGTATGGGCACACCCATGTCCCTAAAAGCTTTACATCATTCAATGCCATTGTAATTCTCAAGAAGTGATGATAAAAACATTAGAGACTTCGGAATCAATACATATAGAAGATCAAATGATTCTTGTACTTATCAAAGGGCTGTCTCTTAGTGCATTGGCCAGAAGGATAACTGTTGAAACAGCAGGTTTATACATCAAAGGATTTCAATATCACAGGTAATTAAAATACAGAACAAAATGGACTTTGTCTAGGATACCTTACAGTCCTGCAATGTTTGTTTTTTTCTCAAAAGCTTGTATTTGGAAATATTATGCTTCAGCAACAGCGGCACAGTGCATTCTGCGACAAAGAAATATTACAGGAAGGTAGTTTATATAAATCATCTAATGTGTACTAAATGAATTATATCAGAAGTATATGTGGAGCAGTGGAGGTGAGACCATTCTTGATGAATATTCATATAACTAAAAATGCTACATCAGTAAACAGTATATTTCTAACTATTTATATTCAGCATCTACAACCTCCTTCCTGATACCATTTTTCAAAGATAAGAAGTTATGATGATGAAGAAGAGATCAAAGATGATACAGAAATATTCTGCACACAAGTTTATAGGCAATGCTAAGATGATGGGCTGCTACCGGTGTTGTATCAGATGCATTATCTATTTACTTAATTCACCAACATAAACATAATGAGGAAAATTCCTTGCTTACAAAATTGTAACTAATGCACATATTGAAATTTTTAATCAGCAAACACTGGATGCTTGTTGCATACTTGAATTCAAGATCTAATGGGCTGTTTTATTGGGTTAGGCCATTAATGGTCCTACAGATGAGGCCCAAGTCTTGAGTGAGACAGCTGAACTAAGTGTATTATTATAGGTGATTCTTCTGGAATAATTTTGACCAAAGCAGGTGCTTTTCTTCAGATAGGTAAGAAATAATGGGATGATTATCCAGTTGTTGTGTTATGTGGTTTCTCTTACGTCTAATAATAGAAAGTCTCTGTCACAATTGACCATATCCTCCTCTCATAAATGTGTTCAGAAGTTCCACACAAAACTCTCCTAACCTAGCTCGGTCTTCTATGTCTTTTTTTGACAAATGACTTCATTCAATCCTGAACTAAGAGCTCTAGCTTAATTTTGGAAACAGCAGCATATTGTATTCAAACAGCATTAATGACTCTTGCGTAGATTTTCAATAGAGCCCTTTTTGACAATATATGCTTCGCTTTTCCACCTTCATGAATCTTTAACAAAGTATGATAAAGAAATGATAGAAAGTGCATTTAGTGTCACCAACAGTCACACAACTTTATGTTATCCCCACACATTCATTAAGTTCGAAGTTCAAACATTATTGCTTTCTTTTTAACCACTTCCATCCACTGAGATTATAGTGTGAAGTCAACACTAGCTCTAGAATATTTGCCACAATTTTGAGTGCTAAGTCCATTCTCCTTAAATATCAAACTTAGCTTTCAGGTTCAACTGCACTGATCCATGGTGGCCCCCTAACACCAAGTTCTAATGACAAAGTTTCTTGTCTTGAGGGATATCTAAATTGAAAAGTACAGTAGCTTGTAGATATCTATTTGGATAAAATATTAACAACTTCGATTTTCTGAAAATCATTTACTGTGTGTTCGTTTAGCATTTTCTCAAAAATTTACTATTCATCAAAATATTTTCCCCCAAAAATATCAAATCAAACACCTATTTTCAATTGTTTATATTATACTAAAAATAAATTTTACATTCAAAACATCACATAAACACCTGTTTATATCACATCATACAACTATTTCAATTCAAAATTTTTACTATTCAAATCTCAAGCTAAAATCCAAACCCCCAAACAAACACACCTTAAAGGACATAGGATGCTAACTTGCACAATTGAAAATAGAGTAAAGTAAGTATAGTAGATAAGAATTAAATTGTTTAAGTAGTTGCTGCATGCAAGTATCGTCCTACTCCATCTTTCACAACTGCTAATGAGAGTTATGGAAATCATTACCTTGGTTGTTCCTCTGCTTCTGGCGTTGCCTTTACCTTCTGCATCACTACCGTTGTGCACTGACTTACGTGAGCCTGTGTTGTGTGTGTCTTTACATGATCTTGGGCACAAAATTCTGTTAGATTTATTGTTCATTGGGTTGAACGTATGCAGGGGCACCTTCAACCTCAAATGGCAGTCTGGCTTTCTGTCCATATAGTGGGAAAGTGTGCTGCAGTCCTTCAGAAGATGTGCAACTGCAAAAGCATTTTGTGGACATGAACATATCTGATTCTGCTTGTGCTTCTGTTGTGAAATCAATCCTTTGTGCAGTAAGCTTTCAAATATCTGTATGAATTGTTGTAGTTAAACATTCATTTTGATCAACTCCTTACAAAGCTTTGTCCTTCCTTCATCAGACCTGTGATCCTTTTGCTGCAAAATTATTTAATGTTGGTTTGGAGAGTCGTCAAGTTCCAATACTCTGCAACTCTAGCTCAGGCGCGGCAGTCTCATCCTTGTCAAGCCAGACAGACGATAGCTTCTGTTCAACTGTATGGAACACTTGTCTAGATGTCTTGATTTTGAATTCTCCCTTTGCCCCTGCACTAAGGACGAAGGCTCCAGTTCCAAGAAATGCCACTTTGTCCAAATTAACGGACCTCTGGCAGTCGGAATCTGACTTCTGCAATGCATTTGGTGGTTCCACTGATGAAAATGCATTGTGCTTTAATGGTCAACCTGTTTCACTAAACAAAACAGATACTTTGCCTCCACCCAATGGACTATGCCTCGAGAAAATTGGCACCGGCTCTTACATCAATATGGTTTCTCATCCTGATGGCTCAAACCGTGCCTTCTTCTCCAGCCAGGCAGGCAAAATCTGGCTGGCCACTATTCCTGATCAAGATTCAGGTGAAGAATTGGGAATTGATGAATCCAATCCATTTGTTGATTTAACAGATCAGGTTTACCTGGGGCAAAGCTTGGGGCTGATGGGAATGGCATTTCATCCAAACTTTGCAAAGAATGGCCGTTTCTTTGCATCCTTCAACTGTGATAAAGCAACGTCTGCAGGATGCAGTGGGACATGTGCATGCAACTCAGGTGTGGATTGTGACCCCTCACAGTTAGGGTCTTTGGGTACCGGAGAGGTCTGCAAGTACCACAGTGTCATTGCTGAGTATACTGCTAATGGAACCGCTGCAAGTCCATCACTGGTAAACTTTACCTACACAAATATGATATTGAAAAGGAAATTAGAATGCATCTAATTGAGTTTTCATGGTTTCCAGTCAGAAAATGCAAAACCACAAGAAGTAAGAAGAATCTTCACATTGGGGCTACCCTTTACAGCAAATCATGGTGGACAAATTCTTTTTGGTCCAAATGATGGCTATCTGTATATCATGATGGGAGATGGCGGAAGCAAAGGCGATCCCTACAATTTTGCTCAAAATAAGAAATCATTGCTTGGAAAAATTATGAGGGTTGATGTGGATAATCTCCCAAGTTAGTCTTAACACTGATTTTTGCTTTCCTCTCAAAGCTGGTGGCTTATCAGCTCTATTCTTTTCTTTATGAGCTCAGTTTTTGGATAATCCTGTATACCTGTTTAACAACTGCAAGGTTCTCAGGTGAAGAAGAAATAATTAAGCTCAATAGATGGGGAAATTATTCAGTCCCTCAAGATAACCCTTTCTCAGAAGATAAAGGAATGGAACCAGAAATATGGGCTTACGGGTTTAGAAATCCATGGCGCTGCAGCTTTGATTCGGAAAGACATTCTTACTTCATATGTGCAGATATTGGACAGGTTCAGGATGCTGCTAATCATAGCCTTCTTTGCCTTTTCCCTTAATTTCATGTGCCTAAGTGACGCTTTTCCAAATCCCTCACAATGGTTGATAAATACAAAGCATTATGCAGTCTCATATGGTTGAATTATGCTTTGTTTGCAGGATGATTATGAGGAAGTTGACATCATTTATAAAGGTGGAAACTATGGATGGCGTGTGTATGAAGGTCCTATTGTTTTCCAGCCGCAGAAAACTCCAGGGGGCAACACTTCTATTGATTCCATAGATCCCATCTTTCCAGTGCTTGGATACAGCCATTCCCAGATTAATAGACTTGGTTCCGCAGCAATATCAGGTGGATACATCTACAGGGCACAGACTGATCCATGCACCTACGGAAGGTAAAAGCAGAACAAACGTCAGTTTCAGTTTTGAATAATTTTTTACTTGATTACGTATAACATACTTTTGCATCCATACGTTCAGTTATTTGTATGGAGATCTGTATTCGAGGCATATCTGGGCAGCATCAGAAACCCCTCAGAATAGTGGAAACTTCACAAGCAGTGATACTCCTTTCAGCTGCGCTCCTGATTCTCCCATTAAGTGTGATTTAGTGATAAACACCAATCTTCCAGCTCTACAGTACATATTCTCTTTTGGACAAGATAACAGAAAAGATGTCTACATTCTAACACAAAGTGGGGTGTACAGAGTAGTTCGTCCAAGCCGATGCAATTACTCCTGTTCAAAGGAAGTTGTGGCACCTAGGAATCCTCCTCCCCCTGCTCCATCTCAAAGCTATGCTGCTCATCCGCAATCACTTTCAATGATTTTTTCTGCTTCAGTTCTTTTGCTGGAGCTTTTCTTGTAACACGCAATGTTTCCTCTGCTGAGACTGAGAATGATAATATATAATAACATCTTGCCCTTGAATATTCACAGATGCTCCACAATTAATCTTACTCAGCAGATATAAAACAAAGTAGTAGAAGAAAGTAATACCATTTATATTATTGAAGGTTGATATATGTCTGATACCATTCTATGTCAGAATAGGCTTACAAGCCTGCAATAAAGCGGGTAGACAACAGATGGAATTCCAGTACAATTTGCTAGCAGCAGAATGGACATTTTTCCAACACATGCTAACCACATAGAACATTTAACCACATCATGCTTACTCTTTGCAGACCACCAAAACTGTTCTGAAGCACTACAGTAGCTATTTGATTAGCATTCCTCTACTATTACAATGGAAGATTCTCCAGATGAAATGAGAACTCAGCACTTTGGTTCTCACAAACAGAACCCAATTATCTGCATGCTTAATCTGGGCCTTCAGCAATAGTTACAATTAATTCAATCCAACAAACTTCATGCCTGAATATAATACCAGCTGCATGTGTATTCCTGGAATATATTGACCAACAGCATTTTAAAGAAACATCAAGTTTGTCCTCTTGACCAATAAGACATCATAACTGATTCAGTTTTTAAGAGATAATCTGCAAGCTTCTTACATGCAGCCTCATTGGCAAAGAGCTTATTGTTACCAAGAAAGGTAAAAGTTTCACCAATTTCCTGTAGAAATTGGTAATAGAGTGAGAAATGCAAGGGCGTGGCATTATGAATTCTAATGAATGCAATATACAAGAATAACCTTGTTTAAATGCAAGTACGGGGCAGACTTGAGCATGATGAGGTTTGTCAAAATTCTTCCACTTCAAGCTTCCATGGATAAGCATCAAACAAAGTGGAAATTTCAGAAAATAACAATGAACAAAACCACAAAAATATAGACAAAGAAAATTGAAGGTGAAATTTAGCATACGGAAGAAGAGAACAGTCGACCATAAAAAAGGGAGGAACTTTCACGTTTCTGATTGACTGTAACTGATAGTTGAGGACTGTGAATCAAACAAAATGTTAAAACCTGATGATCAACAAAGAACCCTGATTAGGCATTTAACAGTGCATTACCATAGATCTCAAAGAGGTTTATACATGTATTACCTCATACTCAATGCATCTATACTATAGATTGTACAGCTAATATTAAACAAACATACGGATCAAAATATATATATATATATATTAAACAAACACACTGCTGGCAATCTAATATGCACAAGAAAGCAAACAACCTTTCAACTAGGATAAGTGGTACAATGCACCCAATGGTCGAGTAATGTAATATCACAGTGTGAAGCGAATATTGTCATTTATCAAAGAACATCAACAAACTTTATAACCAAAAGAATAATAGTAATAATTATAAAATAATAATAATAATAACAAAAAGCTCAAAAGGAAGACTTTACCCAAGCCCTTAACTACAAGTTTCCTGTGGTTCAACACTGAAATGTGAAGATGAAATCCACATGACGACAAAAAGCCACTATTTGACTTGAGTCTGATCATTTTTGCTATTAACAAGACACCTCTCCACCACTTCATCACATAGAACCAAAGTGCGATCAATATCCCCTGCTTCATAGTTCATGTCTGCAAACTTGAATAATAGTTCTCTATCTGCAGATAAACCTTTCATTCTCATCTCTTCGAAGAGTTCTTGGGCCTCTATATACTTCTTTCTTTTTATATATCCTTTGATTAGTGCATTATAGGTCTCAGGCATCAGATTGCATCCCTTCTCAACCATTTTCTTGTGTAAAAACCATGCTTCCTTCATATTTCTTGCTTTGCAATGCCCTCGTATCAATATGTTATAAGTGTTTTCATTGGGCACTACACCCTGATTACACATGCTCCGGTAAACTTCAGCAGCAGCTCGCATATTATTTCTAATACAATGTTGCTTCATAAGAGAATTGTAAGTGGTGGCATTAGGCATTATGCCCTTCTCCAACATCCAGTTCAGAAGCTTCTGACCGTCTTCTAGCATACCAGACGAACAAAAGCCACTCATTAAAACATTGAATGTAACCACAGTTGGTTTGATTCCCCTCTGTAACATGTCATGAAGCAGCTGGTGTGCAATATTCATTTCTCCAGATTTGCAATAGGCATCCATAAGAGTAGTATAGGTAAAAACATCAGGCAATATCCCTGCCTCCTCCATATCTTCCATAAACTTCACTGCATTCACTACATCCCCAGATTTACAGAGTCCATCAAGAAGTGCATTGCATGTGTAGATATTAAGGACTAGCCCCTTTCGACACATTTCATGAAGAAGTTCATTTGCTGTATCAACCTCTCCCTGTTTGCAGAGCCCATCAACCAGAGCAGTGTATGTAACCACATTTGGAACCAATCCCGCATGAATCATCTCGTTGTGAAGTGAAAATGCCTTTTTCATGTCACCAGTTTTGCAGTAGCCATCAATAAGTGTCGTGTAAGTAAATTCATCTGGTTTTAAACCATTATTCAGCATTTCATGAAAGAATCTGTCTGCTTCTTCTATTTTTCCATTCCGACACAGGCTACAAATTAGAGCAGTATACGTAATAAAATCAGGAAAAATGTTCTGATTCTGCATTTCTTCATACATTTTGAATGCAGAAGCAACATTTTCCAATTTGCTAAATCCATCAATGAGTGTGGTGTAGACTACGTTGTCCGGAAAAATACCTAGAGAAATCATCTCCCTTAAAACCTTCTCTGCATCTAAAAGTTTACCCATATTGCAAAGAAGAAGAATTATACTGTTGAAGGTATATGCATTTGGCTTCAATCCTTTCTGTTGCATATGTTCAAAGACTCTTAGCACTGAATGAAGTTCTTCCTGAGAACAATATCCATTTATTATAGTACTGTAACTGACAACATCAGGAATGCAACCTCTTGATTCCATTTGCAAAAGTAGGTTATGAGCTTCTCTGATGTTCTTTGACTGACAAAGGGAGTGCATAACTATATTATACGATGTCGTATTCCACTGAATGCCTAGTTCAGAAAATTCCAGGAACGCCTTTAGCAACATTTTGTGACCATCAGTGTCTTTTGACAGTCGAGAAAGAAACATATTGCAAGAATCAAGAGAGAGAACCACACCATAACACAACATCTTATCAAAGAGCTTTCTTGCATCATCAAGACATTCGTTGTCAATAAGTACTTGAAAGAACAAGTCAAAGACATATGGATTCGAACCCCAATTCTTGTACGTATAAATTAATTTCTGAAGGAACTGTGAGATGGAGGCATTGCCATCAATGTTGGGTTCTTCCCAGAAATCATGAACAAGTTTCCGAGCCATCTTCAGATCTTTCGCAGCAACAGAAATGTGAATCAGGATGCAGCGTGCTTCAAGTGATGGACCCCTTCTGATACATGACCAATCAAATAAATCAACAACTAACCCATAATCATTTTTTATATCCATGAGAACCCAAACTAGGTGGTCGGGGCTGAATTTCGATTCAAATGGCCTCAAAATCTGGCGAAAGGGTTCACAGCGCCGTTGCTTGATAATAGTTGATATACGGTGCACGAATTCAGAGTCTTTTATGGAAGGCTTTTTTGGTGAAAAATCAGGAAAGGGCCTGATGCCTGAGAGTCCAAACCCATAAGAACTTGAAAACCGAACAAATGATATATTACCCTTGCTTGAATTACACCATATGTAGGGCGAAAATACTCGACGACAGCATGAAGAAAGGACAATGGGGTATCTTTTCATGCTGGTGGGAGAGATCCATCAATGTATATTCATAAATATATGTCTGTGGAGCTCAACAAGTGTAAAATCACTGCACCACCTAATACACAGAAGCATTGCTACATTACTCTCATTTATAGCATTAAATCATCGACAGAGTTAACTACAAGATATAGCCTCTACAGACATCAAACTACCATAAATAAAAACAAACCAGGGAGAAACAAGCCATTAGATACATATGCTAAAAGACTAAGGAACACTATTTCTCAATGATATATCTCCACCAGTTCAGTCATTTAGAATTTCTAATGTTAAGCTTAAAAGATTCAAAGGAATCACTAAATATCAAGGTTATCCAAAGATCACTACAGAAAACTCTTTAGAAAACTCAATCTATTGTCAATATTAAAAGAAGTACCGAAGTGTTCCGTAATTCCCCCTAAGCTAATGCAAACCCATGGATAGTATTCTGGATGCTTTGTCTGTGCTCCTTTAACATTTTATAGCATATAAAACACCGGCACACATGCTGCCATTCAGCGTTAGATTAAACCAAACAATATTAACTACATTGATGCCACCAAAAAAAAAATTAAGAAAAAAATACTAAATTGATGCCACTAACAGCACATGAAGCTAATCTACCATACCCAGAGAATGCAAGCAGCACGCAGGAACGACAGAGCATAAGAGAATGAAACTAGAATATTCCAGGAAACTCATATAATATCAAGCGAATACTTGGTATAAAATATAAATAACTCAATTATCTTCAATAGTTGAGCACCAATTAAACAAGCTATCAGATTGATTTGCATTTTGCAGTTTAAAAAAAAAAAAAAACAGAGACCCTAAACACATGCTAATGGAGCTCTTACCGTGGTAATGTTTCAACCTTCGAACGATTTACATCATTTCGCTATTTCCCCATGGCACCAAAAGTGAGAACCGAAGCTTTAACACCAAATATAAAGATAAGAATAACACATTGAATAAAAGCAATGCATTTCAATTAATTCAGAAAACAAAAATGTTCACAGGGGAAACCTGCAGAAAATCAGTGTTCTGAAAAAGGCGACCAAGGGAGGCTCGATTAAAACTTTGGGATAAGAAGCAAAAACCCGAAACTTCAACACAAACAGAGACAAGACTAACTCCTGGTCACCAAATTGCATGAACACGCTGCCTAATAACAATTTATTTCCATCAATCCAACAAAATGGTTGCTGAGGAAACCTGCAGCTGCAGGCGACGATCGTTCTGAAGAAGGCGATTAACAAAGGCCCAATTTTCGCCCATTTCCAATTCTTCGGTATATTTTCTCGATTGGCCTTTAAGGATATTATTGGGCCTGATCTTTAACGTTGGGCCCGTAAGGCCCATTTATGACTTTAGAATTTCACGGCAAATATCAGAGTATAAAATGAATAAATAAATAAGTTCGTTTGAACAAATCTGGAGGACTGCCTGGGGTAGTTAACATCGCAATTCAATTCGATTCTACGTAAGTTTCAGAGAGACAATTAGCAGCAATTCATGCTGATTTCGGGTGCATTTTGATGAGATCGCTGCTGCCGTGGATGTTCATCTTCATCGACACGACGCCTTGGTGCATTATGTTGGAACAATGTGGTTGTTCTTCCCCATTTTTTGCGTCTGATGAAGCTAGGAATTGCTGCTAGGAAATAATAGTGTTTTCCATCCGATCGCACGTAATTTTGATCGCGGAAGGTGGAATTGAAGGAAAGAGGGGAAAATGCATAGGCCGACGGCGTCACTCTCGTCGAGCAAAGGCGACTCGGCGGATTTCGAGAGCGAGGTGCCGTTGAATGACCGGCTCAAGATGTTCAAATCCACCACTTTTGATCCCCAAGCGTATTTCATTCACCATGCTGGTGGAATGAGTGAAAAGGTAATATTCTGCATATCCTGATAAATCGAATTGTGTAAGATTTGATGAAGCATGAAAATTGAAAAACAAAACATTGAATTGACCTAATTTTGCCAGGAAATTAGGCACCTGTGCCTGCATCTTGTGGCGTTGAAGAAGGCATCTGCAGAAGAAATGAGGAAAAGTGTGTACGCCAATTACGCGTCATTTATCAGGTCTGTGATTGTTTCAATCGATTGTCCTGTTCTATGTTCTTGCAAATAACAGTTTTCTGCTAAAAAAAAATGAGCTGAAAAACTCTCTGGAATGAGCAAAAGGCATTTTCTGTCTTAACCTCAGAACATCGCGAGAAATTTCTAACCTCGAAGGGGAGTTAGTTTCCTTGAAAAATCTCCTCTCCTCGCGAGCGAATATCATCCATGGAGTCGCTGAGGGAGTCCGCGTTGAGTCTCTGAACGATGGTACGGATCATTCCAACAGCGATGCTCTTAACTTTGAAGATCGTGAGCTTACAAAATTCGACGAGTGGTTGATCAAATACGCAGAGAATCTCGATATCCTGCTGGGCGAGAGACGAGTAGACGAAGCCTTAGCAGCACTAGACGAAGGGGATAAAGTAGCTGATGATGCTTACAACAATGGATCCTCAACTCCCTCAGCATTGATGTCATTGAGAAACTCCGTCATGGAAAACCGGCAGAAACTGGCCGATCAATTAGCCGAATCCACCTGTAAGCCATCCACAAGCGGATTCGAGCTTTGTGCATCTGTTCGAGCCATGAAACGCCTCGGAGACGGCCCCCGAGCGCACACATTGCTCCTCAAGTCACACGAACAGAAGCTGAATCGGAACATGCAGTCTCTCACGACATCAGGCACTCCACAGGCGTACACAACTTCACTTTCACAGCTAGTCTTCTCCATGATAGCGCAGGCGGCCAATGACTCCTTATCTATATTCAATGATGAGCCGGCATTTGCATCCGAGCTTGTGGCTTGGGCTGTCGAGCAAACAGAGGCCTTTGCAGGGCTAATCAAGAAAAATGTAGTATCTGTCCCTGCAGCTTCAGGGTGCCTGAGGGTAGTAGCCGAATGCGTGAACATATGCTTGGGTCATTGCCTCTTGCTGGAAGATCGCGGATTAGCCCTCTGTCCGACTCTTTTGAAGATCTTCAGGCCATATTTAGACGAGGCACTGCGGTCGACCTTAAAGAGAATTGATCTAAGCACAGCTGCGCTCGCAGCTTCCGACGACTGGTCTCTCACATGTCCACCCGTTGCTAGCCGTTCTTGGGGCGCTGCATCTGGCGGGACTGCTCCTTCCCAGCTGAAGCTCTCTAGCAGTGCCCACAAATTCAACTCGATGGTGCAGGAGCTTTGTGAGGATATTGGCTCCCTCGACTTCCCAAACTTATCCGAGCAGGCCTTGGAAGGCGTTTTGCAGTCATTCAACTCGTACGTGACCATGATGATCAACGCGTTCCCTGGATCCGTAGAGACCGAAAACCTGGATACATCAGGACGAAGAATTGTCCAACCGGCAGAGACGGAGACTCAACAAGTCAGTTTGCTGGCCAATGCAGTTTTGCTAGCAGATGAGCTCCTCCCGCGCGCGACAATCAAGATCTGTCCAACTGCAAGAAGCGACGATCAGCCTCAGAGAGGCTCGGATAAGCAGAACCGGCCTCCCCCCGAGCAACGGGAGCTGAAACGAAGGCTGCAACGCGTGGTTGATCAGTTAAGAGATAGCTTCTGCCGCCAACATGCTCTTGAGCTTATTTTCGCCGAAGATGGTGGAGTCCGCCTGAGCGCGGATATGTACTTGAGCATGGATGATGGCAGAGACGTGTCCGAATGGTTCCCATCGCCTATATATCAGGTTATAACAACAAGCTTGCTATTCGATCATCCGTTACAAAAACTCACATCGAATCTAACATTGTTCTTGACAGGAACTGTTTATAAGGCTAACTCGAATAGCCAGCGTCTTATCGGACATATTCATAGGCCGAGAAAGGTTCGCGACTCTTCTGCTGAACAGACTCACAGAGACAGTGATCCTATGGTTTTCCGAAGATCCCAACTTCTGGGAGGAGATCGAATCCGGACAACGGCCTTTAGGCCCGTTCGGGCTACAACAGGTGACGCAATCCATTAATTAGTCGTTAAAGACTATAGTTTTCGACATACTGATAATGCCTGTGGGATGCAGTTCTACTTGGACATGGAATTCGTGATACTCTTTACATCGCAAGGGCGGTACCTTTTGCGCAACCTGCAGTCGGTGATGAAGAACGTTATATCGCGAGCAATCGAGGCCGTGAAGGCGAACAACATCGATCCATACAGGTAAAGTCCATTCCTCACTGCTAATTGTTATGAGTGTGATCATATATATATGTATGTACATATATTTGGCAAGTGCAGTACTCTCCCGGAGGAGGATTGGTTTGCTGAGGTAGCCCAGACCGCCATTAGAATGCTGATGGGATATGACGACGGTGCTGCCGGCGAGACGATGAGCCCATCGGCGAGGTCTGTATCGTCTGTCCATTCTCATGGAAGCATGTAGTTCATCACGCATTTCAGGTACTCGATGATTTTCCATTACAGATAGATAGATAGATCAAACCTCCCCTGAGACAGCATCTGAACTGAATCTGATGATCCCAAATCCAGGGCAGGGCACCACAAGAATGTTCCAAATCCATGTCTGATGCTATACGTGACCAAATTCTTTAGAACAGATCGTTTAGTTCGAACACGAGTTTTGTTTGGTTGTGGTCTCAAATGACAATTCTGGTATTTTTTTTTTCCTTTTAAGTTAACAAATATATTTGTGTATATGCGTTATGTATAGTTGGAAGTGAGTGCAAATCTCTCACTTTCCTACACCAATGGACACATACACAACATTGTAGCAATCAAAAAGTTGCTTACCCATTCTTGTAAGAACTGAACTCCTGAGCCTGAAATTATAGGTTTAAATTCGGACGTCTTTAAAATTTATCTGACATATATGATTTTGATTTGTTTAGTGTAATTTCCATTATCGAACCTAGTTTGTAAAGTAGTATGTTAAAGTAAAATAAAAAAATTAAAAAGAAAAAAAAAAAAAAGGTCAAAAGACACCCTCTTCCTTCTCTCTATTTTTCCTATCACTAAAACATTGATTATTAATATTTAAACAAACTCTTAGGGTGTGTTTGTTTAGGGGTTTCAATTTTAAATTGAGATTTGAATAGTAAAAATTTTGAATTTGAGTAGTTGTATAATGTGATATAAATAGGTACAGATGTTTTTAGTATAATATAAAAAATAAAAAATAAGTGTTTGATTTGATATTTTTGGAAAAAAAAAAATGGGATAAATAGTCTTACAAACGAACACACTTAGTAAATACTTGCAAATGACAAATTTATCAAAATTTTCCCACACACATTTACCAATAATATATATTATAGTTTTTTTAATACATTAGAAAGAATAATACATGCATTTAGATAAGGCTATAGAAGTATTCATTATTGAACAAATAATATCCGGCAGAAATATAAGTCCGTCCACATAGTAGTGCTAAAAATACAACAAAGTTCCAGAGCATATCTGGGCCATACATGGAATGAACGGCGGGGATCCCACCCAGCGCCAAAATCTAATGATTATTGTTCCCCACCGTAACCACCGTACGTAAGGAGGACGATTTTCCGGAGTGGTAGTAGACAATTAGACATACAATACAAATCAATCAGAAATTAATTAGATCCGACGGCCAGATTAGAACGAACCCACGAACACACATCCTCCAAATCCCAAACCCCAACCATCCAATCCATTCATTTATTAAGGGTGTATTTGTTTGGAAGATTTGTAAGTATTTTAATTATTTATTTCATTTTTTTTTTAAAAAAATATAATATCAAATACTTATTTTTTATTTTTTATATTATATTAAAAATAAATTTTACATTCAAAATATTTCATCAATACCTATTTATATCGATACAACTATTTCAATTTAAATATTTTACTATTTAAATCTCAACTCAAAATTCAAACCTCGTAAATAAAACACAAATAGAGTGTTGTTTGGGGAGATTTCCCAAACTTTTCCTATTTACGACTGTTTTTTTTAAAAAAAATATATCAAATTAAATATTTATTTTTTATTTATATATTATATTCAAAATGTCATATCATAAAAATATTTTAATTCAAAATTTTTGCTATTGAAATTTCAAATCCAAAATTCAATTCCCCAAACAAACACACCTATAAATTTTTATCAGGCTAATTTACATATCATTAGATTCGATCAAAATTACTCAAAACATACTCGAAGAATAACCTACTGCAGATTAACTGTAAACAATATACAATATCAGTAAAAATAATAAACAACGCATCACATAAAGATAAAAACACATAAATTATATTAACATAAATAGAAAGATAACACATGTCTCACGATACATAAGGACAAATATCATATAAGATAAACAATACCTAAATTATATTAACATAATATAAAAATATCATTAAATAACGGTACATAATATAATATTAAATATATAATATAATAGATTCACTTAATGTGACTTGTCTTATTAGACTTAATTTATAAGTATTACGATCCGTCTATGATTTATCAGTGCTCATTTTCGAATATTGTGCAATTTCCACATCATTAAATAATATATATATATATAACGTAATATTATAATCATCAGTATAATGTGTGTGCAGAAATATAAATAAATAGGTGTGGCTATCAGCGTTTCGGGGTCCTTCGAAATTCTATCGTCTATCAACACGGCAGTTGGCAAATGGCCATGGCCACCTATCCCACATCGGAAAATTTTATTGCATTAATTAAGGATATATATATATATATATATAGATGGATAGATAGATAGAAGTTCAATTAACAATGAAATAGTGACCTTACTTGACATTAAAACTTTCAATTATTAGTCACTTTTCATTTCTTAGATTATAATAATAAAAATAATAATAATAAAATGAAATCAATAATGCTTGTAAAAAAGTGAAGTAGGCAAAGCCCTTTAAATATATGATATTGTTGTCTACCTTATAATTTGATAAGCTGTATGTATTAATCACTTGGATAATCTATTTATTTTTTTTAGTTATATATGTAAATTATTTTTTATGTGAATTGATCAGTTTCATCTAAAAACATAAAATCACCCCTTAATAGTAAGAAACAATTTACGTGTTTGTCCAATGTTAATTATTATTATTATTGATATGATTATGTTTGAGATTTACAAACAATTGTATGATTGTATTTTTTTACAAGTTCCACTGTTAATATATATATATATATTGAATATAAATATGTTTGGAAATTTGAAAGTTTGAAAAAAATGAAAAATTAGTATTTGATTTGATGTTTTTTAAGAAAAAAAAATATATTTGATATGATATTTTTTTAAAAATAAATAGTATCAAATGAATAAAAATATACTGTGTAAACAGACATATGGTTAATAGTTAACTATGACCACTAAGAAATTGTCTTTATTTATTCACAATAAATAGGTAACATATTTGAACAAACATTATGATAGGAGGAAAGGTAAATAAGGGGAAATGGCAATTTAGAAGGTACCTTTTTTTTTTTTTTTTTTTTTTTTTCCTCATTATTATTTAATGTTGTAATAATACTCTACAAACCTTTTTTTAAAAATAAAAAATAAAAATAGAAACAAATAAATAAAATAGAATGGTATATTTCATTTATTATTATTAAAATGTTACTACATGTGTCCATTCAATTTTCCATTGTTAATAATACTACAAAATGCAATAAGAAAGTAACTTTACTTAAAAGACTATTGTTATTTTGCCTACATAGATAATATATGTGGATAATACATGATATATAAATTAGTAATACAAGTATATACTAACAACATAAAATATACATTAATTTAATATAATTAATGCAACAAATAAACTTACAACATGTAATATATATAGTACAATTAATTTTAATACAAAAATTATTAATATAAGACGTATATAAAATAAAATATATATGTATTTCTTTTGATAGGATTTGCAAAATTTTAATCGAATTTGATATTAAAAAAATGTATAATAAAATATTTTTATGAGAAAAAAATTAATTTTTAAAAATATACAGAATTTAAATAGTATTCCCTTCTTCTCAATTTGTAACATTTCTTTTTTTAATGTCTCAAACCCTCTGCAACATTTCCAAAATAGAAAATAATTAACCATACTTAATCTCTACCCCACACTTTATCCCCTTCACATCATTCAAATATAAAAATAAAATATACATTTCTCTCTCCATCGTATCATCTAATTTCTAAATTATCGTACTTAATACTGTCCACATAAAGATCTGTGCAAAAAACAAATATTGCACCTTATTTGGAAACGGATGGAGTAAAAAATTGAAATTTGAGGGTAAAAGAAACATATCCATAACCAGTTCTTAATTAAAGGTTGATAATTCTAACGGAAAAAAAATTGCCACAAAAAAGTTTCGTTAGAGTCTAATGCCATAATAAAATAAAATAAAAAAGTGTAGGAAAATTAATGATGGTGCTGTCATTATCAACAAGAATATCCTTAACCTAACCTTAACCCTAACCCTAAAAAAGACTAATAATGCCCAAATCTAAGAACTATCATTATCACTAAACCTTTCTACAATCAGATACTTAATCCACTTTTTATTATTACTATTATTATTATTTAAATTAAAAAACAAAAAAAAGGCACAAAAATGATCTTTTTGCATTGAAACTGTAACAACCGTTGGATTCTCCATCCCTGGCTGGTGCATTCATCTCCCACCGTTGATTTGTTTATGATGATTGATGGGTCGATTTGTTTATGATGATTGATGGGAAGATCTCCGGTTTAATGGCTAATAACATTAGGGAACTGGTTGAGTGCTAAATTGAAAAAATTATTATCCGTAATATATACAAATATCATACAGTTTTATTATACACCGTACATATTATGTACAATAATGACAGATGATGTTGTTTCTTAGTTACAGCGTACTGTTGTATTAATATTTATATGTGATATTTATGTTATTGGTTCATAATTATAAATATATTGTATAATAATATACAGTGTGCTACAATTAATTATTTTTTGTATTATATAAAACTATAGGATATATTATTATTAGATTATGTAAGTATATTTATATTATATGAATACACAAACGGCCAATCACAAGATAGCCGCCGCCTATTAATATATATATAATTAGTTATTTGGGGTGTAGGTGAACCAGGCGTAGAGGATTATAGCTTCGTAGCCGTAAGACACGAAACGCAAGACGCTCCGAGAAAAGCTCACTGGAAGTCACACTCCTTCTCAACTTCCAAAGTCTCTCTCTCTTCTCTCTCTCTCTCTCTCTCTCTCTCTCTCTCTTCAGAGGGAAGCAGCGCTGCTGGTGGTGGTGGAGACTATTGTACGGCAGTGGGGATTGTGCCCACCCAACAACCTGCACCATTGAATTGAAGCAAGGAGATCCGACTGGCCTGCAAATTGCATTAGGTTTTTACTTCAATTCGTTGATGGTGGTGCGATCATCGTTTGCTCTGCCTGAATTGTTTCGAGGATTGCGATATGGATCCGCAAGGGACGGCGATGATGAACGACGGAGGCGTATACAACTTCGCCGAGATCTGGCAAGGGTTTCAGATGAATCCTGCTGCGACGTCGTTTGGCATGCCCTTGGATCCAATGGCGATGGACGACAGATCGAACAACACCTCCCCCACCCACAATTTGAAGCGCCGCCGCGACGACGACGACGGCGCTGCCAAGGGCGGAGCTTCCACCAGCAACTGCATTAACAATAATGTCGTCGGAGTAATTATCGAAATTTCACTTCCTTTTCAACAATTCTAATTTCTGCATTTATAGTTTAATCGTCTTTCAAATTGGAATTAGATGCAGTTCAAAATGACTTCCTGTGATCTGTTTGATGTATTTGTTGCTGATTCCAATCTGGATTTGATGCTTCGTAGAATTGTAGAACTCGCCAATAAAATTAATGAATACACATTTCTTCAATTTGCCTGAGGTTGTTCTAATGGTGGCACTGTTGGCATGGATCAGAATGGAAGTTGTAATAAGGAGATGGGATCAAACGAGCATCAGCAAACTAAAGCAGCAAAAGAAGTAAATTCGGGGAAGGCTATAGAGCAGCCGGAAAAGCCAGCTGATCCACCAAAGCAAGACTACATTCATGTCCGCGCGAGACGGGGCCAAGCTACCGATAGCCACAGCTTAGCTGAAAGAGTAATGATCCGAATTCATTCCTAATAATTCGATGATTTGATGCTAATGAGTTCAAACTAATAATGGTCGATGGATTAATCTTAGATGATGATGCCTATATATATATGTGTATATTGTGTGATCTTTCTTGATTATACCTCTTTGCAGGCTCGGCGCGAAAAGATCAGTGAGAGAATGAAGATTCTCCAAGATTTGGTTCCCGGTTGTAATAAAGTGAGTGTTAATGAAATAATTCAGCTTTCTGTCTGTATTACTCCATTCCAAAATAGCTAAGCTTTCAGAAGCTGTTATTCGGATTCAGATTATTGGCAAAGCGCTAGTGCTTGACGAGATTATCAATTATATCCAATCGTTACAACACCAAGTTGAGGTAGATATATCGCTATCCCAAACTCCAATTATCATTGCATGGTGTGCGGTCTGTGTATGTGTGTATCTTTGTTCTTATGCATCCTATTTACTACAACCCCACTTGGAATACGACTGATCCTAGTTGACCCGATCTGCAGTTTCTTTCAATGAAGCTTGAAGCAGTCAATGCAAGAACTGGCACAGATGGATATCCTTCAAAAGATGTAAGTGTATAGTTCAAAATGTCAGCTACGTTTTCTTACAAAATAACTAATTTAAATATTTTGTTCCAGTTTACTCAGCAAGCTTATGATGCTTCTGGAATTGCATTCACTTCTGAAAGTGCAAGAGAATTTGGGAGGGGTTCGTCCCCGGAATGGCTACATATGCAAATTGGCGGTGGCTTCGATAGAATTCAATGAGAAAAGTTCCCATCAACACCCAATAAAAGATTGTGCTTCCTCCGGTAAAACCAAGAATATACATATTTTTCTCAAACACGTTTCTTTTTCCTCTACCAGGTATGGAATTGCTCCACGATTTGCGATAGAAGCTTACGTAATAAATCTGTATCCATTGTGGAAAGTGGATTCATTCCATAGAGGTTTTGAATTTTCTATACCATTACCTGAGTAAAAAATTTGTTGAGTTGATGAACATGTGAAATGCCTGCCACGAACTTCCTATTGTTGTTTTGTCTTCTCCATTGTTGTCTGCAACTTCTGTGTAGTTATGAAATATATCATTCATTGAATAAAAGTAAATGTTGGTGCATATCCCTGTGAATCGCTGTGATCCGTTTCTGTTTACTTAAAATTCGATGCTATTTGTGTTGTCGTTGATTCTACTTATCTGATAGTATCATTTTATGCCGACGAAAGTGAACGGCAGAAATGAAACTGTTAATGCTTGAAAGAACTTAGAATAAACTGAAGTATTCGGACCACCTTAAAAGCCACAATCACACATTGCTGCAGTAATAATTTATCGCAAGTAACCGAATACTTGTGCATGCTGCAGAACTTTGTGATCTTACCAAGTCTCGATTCGCTGTTTTCCTTCAATTTGGTGTGTAGTCTTACTGTAATATGTGTCCGGACTCTGGACAACCTCGGATATGTTATATGTTACTTGATACAGACAGTCCCGTTTCTTGAAACACGGTAGCAAAAAACAGCTATCGATCTCCTATTGTACAGTTTGCTGGCCCTCCGATGAGAGCAGTTTCATTGACGAACCACATCGGGACCTGATCACAGACAACATATATGTGCGATCTTTCCTCGTACCATGATGCGAGACCCTCTCTGATCATCCCGTCGTACTTCAATTCAAAAAGAAGCGGTTTGCGCAGCATATGGCTTGTCTTGAGAACAGTTGGAACAAAGGCGGCCGGGACAGACACCGTTGTTGTGTCTATGCTGACATTAAATGTCGTGCTGCCGCCGTCGTCGATAAAGAAATCAGCCGTTCTTTCGACCCACAGCAGTTCATGGTCCAAGAAAACGGACAGTACTGAGGTTTCATGGTACACACTCTTGTCTCTATGGTTGCTTATGTTGAAACTAACCTCGCATTTCCCGGTTACCTGATCAGGTCCTGTCTGAAATTCTGAAATTGTCATCGAGCTGATTGCGAACGCGTGCTGCAGCTGTTGGTCTTCGATCATCTGACTCTGCAGGTCCGGCGTGAATGCGAAGATAACGAGGATTATCGCCACGGTCGCAAAGGCTGTCATGAAGACGCGGTCCCAATCGATTATCAGGCAGGTTGTCTCCATCTGATGGCAGAAGTCGTGGCAGTAACGTCTGAATTCGGACACGATTGGCGATTCTCCGGCTGTGGTGGTGGTGGTGTCGATTCGAGGTTCTTCGACCTCCACAATTCTCAGCCTGTCGTAGCCGTTCGGGCCCGGAGACGGCAGCCTGGTTTCGCTCATGGCGGATAAAAGTCGTGAGGGAAGACGAAAACTCGATTAGGATTCGATCAAATTTGTGTTTATGGACAACTCCTATGTCGAGAATTGTAAGGGAGTTTTGAAATATGATGTCTTGAAACAATGTCGAAGGCTTTTTTTTTTTTTGTTCAATCTTAGTCCCCAGATAAAGTGGAAATGGTGACGATGAGAGTCACTCATTAGTTCAAATCCTATTTATGTCTTGCAATGAGAAGCTAAGGATCACTCATTTCTTCATGCCCATCAAAGTTGTTTGTCATAAAATTGTATGGGAAATATTACAAATTATTGTAATATTATCAATAGAATTTTAGAATTTAAAGGGTTGTTTGAAGTATTTGTAAAGATTTTAATTATTTATTCAATTTTTTTTTTAAAAAAATATCAAATCAAACATCTATTTTTTATTTTGTATATTTATTCTAAAAAAAAATCAATTTTACATTGTTTTAAAAACACATAAATAAAAGTGATCTTATTTGTCATATATAGAGAAAAGTTGAAAATTGTATATTGTATATTGAGTATTATTTTTATTTTTATTTTTATTTTTTATTTTGATTTTTTTATTATTTAAATTATATATTTCAATTTTATAAAACATCATATTTAATTTATTTTTCACATATTGATTTTTTTACCATCTTTTAAAAAATTATACTAATGATCTTACATATCTAATTTATTATTTAAAAAAATCAAAAAAATATTTTTCATAATTCTCATTCTTTATTGAATTAATTAAATTTTAAATTATTTTTCTTTATAATTCTATTGTCTATTTACATTCTTTTGCAATTTCATCTCTATGCCTAATATCCACTAAGTTCTTAGTATTTTTATTGGGCCTTTAGCCCAATTTTATGATCCAAAGCTAAGACCTAATTGGGCTTTAAAGCCCAACAAAGACAGGAAAGAATCGAAGCGAAACCCTAATATGAGCCGCCGGCTCGCCACGTGTCCCGCACCAATGTTCATTTTCAGCCACCGAGGCGAGAAATTTGTTCCTACTTTCTTTTTATTTCTTTTGTATATTTATTTATTTAACAAAATGTAGCGGGCACTGACTGAATTTCCATTTCATTTCCATTTCATTTGGGACTCATTTGGCATTCAACCATTTTCTTCTTGTTCCAGTGTCTTCACAGACCAACTAGAAACCAAATCTATAGATACAACGTATATACATATATAGATCTGTGTATACATGATGGAATGTATCGCCGTAAATGGTTGAAAAGTATTTGAACTATTTCCTGTGTCTAGATTCTAATGGAAACGAATCTCAGCAATTGAAAGCTATCGAAAAGATCTATGCCTGTTTTTCGATTTTCTTCGCGGTGGAAGGATTTTGAAAGCTAGATCTCAGGTGATCCTGTGGCTGATTGGTTCTGGGGGTTTGATTTTTGGCGATTCAATTTTGGAAGAGAATTCAAGGAGCTGAAACAGGGAGGGAGCTTGTTTTCCTTTCGAGAAAATGCCGGGGCACGGGGATTTGGATAGGCAGATAGAGCAATTGATGGAGTGCAAGCCGCTGTCGGAGGCGGAGGTGAAGGTTTTGTGCGATCAAGCGCGGGCGATTTTGGTGGAGGAGTGGAACGTTCAACCGGTTAAGTGCCCCGTGACTGTGTGCGGCGATATCCATGGGCAGTTCTACGATTTGATCGAACTTTTTCGTATCGGCGGCAACGCTCCGGATACGAACTACCTTTTCATGGGAGACTACGTCGGTAAGTTTTCGCTTTTTCTTGTGGTATTCGGTGAATTTACCGCACGAAGCTGTTGTGTGATATGTATGTGTGTTGATGCATATGATATTGGGTATATTTGGAGTAGTTAGTTTGTTACTTGTTTTAATTGTGGGTGTTGGACTGAAGCTGATTTGGTGGATGTTGTGGAGGTAGATTAATGATTTTTGATTTGGTTTGAATGTTTATCTGTGTAGTCTCTGAATGATGCTTGAATTGATGCCCACTCTGTCTTCAAATTTTTGTTTTAAAATCTGCTGGTTCTTTGATGGGGGTATGGGGTGGGGTGGGGGTGATCTATTGATTGAAGTTGTTTCCTCTGCAAATTCATGATCTTAGGTTGTCCTCAAATTAAGAATGGGAGTTTAATTATTAAGCTTCAATTGGTACCTGAAGAGCTTGCCAATAATGGTTAAGTAGATCTCTCACGAGTTTTAAGTAATTTGATCAAGTGATCAGTATGGTGGCTCCGCGAATTTAGGTTGTAGTTTTATTTAAGCTGATCGGGTATCACTTTTGGGACAGTGATTCGCGTTGAAATGTTGAGATGTCAATAATGCGAATGTTGGTGGAGTCTAGTAATGTTGTTGAGGATATATGTCTTCCTTTGCTGGCCACGTGTCTTTACATACTATTTATTCCCCGAGACTTTTTATACATGACGCCAACGGAAATGCGTACAAAATACGCCTTTATAGGTGTCATCACCGTTCAAATTATCTGGGATTTTCAATGGAACTGGTTTCAAAGCGAACAAAATTGATGACAAAAAGTTGTTTTTTTTTTTAGATTTTCCATTCATTATGATATATAGTTCAAGTTTGGTTGCTGCCTTGTTGGTGAATACAAACAAGTGGCTTGTCCATGCACGCAAGAAACGGAAGAAAGTATGATTCTGTTTATCGATTGGTTCTTATGTTGTTATATTAACCATTGCATCAATCTTCCGATTGAGAAGCATGCAGTATGTGTTTTTAATTCTATACACATTATATGCTTATTAGATTCTATGGTGTAAACACATCTATATTTACTAGCAAATTTTAGATACAGGTAACGATTGAGTACTAGACTTTTAAATCAGGAAAGCAAATTATGTCATGCAGTACTAGTTTTGAAGGGTTGAGAAGCTTGATGAGGTCTAACATGTCCTTTACTTCTGCTGATCGGTGACATTCTAGTTTTTATTTACTGCAGATCGTGGGTACTATTCAGTGGAGACAGTCACACTTCTAGTGGCTCTAAAAGTTCGTTATAGAGATAGAATCACAATCCTCAGAGGAAATCATGAAAGCCGACAAATCACACAAGTGTAAGCACTCTGCCTATGCTGTTATATTGGGGTTTAGATAAGTATTTAACTTGTAAGGTGCACTTAATCGTGGCTTATATTTTGATGCATTATTAAAATGAGGCATGCAATCTAGAAAACATTTCATTACTCTCTAACAATTGTCCAATACAAATAAAGAAATATAAATACAAAGAACAGAAGTACTTGGTTTATGTCTAATTTCAAAACTCTGCCATTTGATTATAATTTAAAACAGTTGCATCTTTCATTAAAGTTTCCATTGAAACTTAGAAAAGCAAAAAGTGGAAAAATTTTGAACGGAACTATTAAGTTAAGTATAATAACTTTCAATGGGCAACGCCCAATGTTTCAAAGAGCGGCTTTAGCTTTAGGATTATCTGGTGGGATGGACAGGGAACTATGTATCGGGATGCATCTAACTGCAAAGGAAGTGATAACAAATAATCTTTTGTTTTTTTTCTATGCTAGGTATGGCTTTTATGATGAATGCTTGAGGAAGTATGGCAATGCCAATGTCTGGAAGTATTTCACTGATCTTTTCGACTACTTGCCTTTGACAGCACTTATTGAGAGTCAGGTTTGGATAATTTTCTCTGTGATACTTCGTCTTAAATATTGAATCTGAACGTCTCTGGTGTTCTGACGATGTGTTTCAGGTCTTCTGTTTGCATGGTGGCCTTTCACCATCACTTGATACCTTAGATAACATTCGAGCTTTGGATCGTATACAGGAGGTATTAACTGTCCAGGGTTTCAATATGCTTTACAGCTTATCTTTTATCTTGTGTGGATTCTCCTCTTTAACTTATCCTTTGCGTTCTTCTATGGTATGTGAAGCGTCTGTATAGTTCACTTGCTTATTCATTTCCATTGTTGACCCTTCCATCATAACTAATTAGTAGCCTTGTTTATATGCTCAGATGTTTTCAGTTTTGTCTTCTTGTTTTTCTTGCCCAGATTCATTTATTTATCTTCTTTTTGGTGAACTCGTAGGTTCCTCATGAAGGGCCTATGTGTGATCTCCTATGGTCTGATCCAGATGATCGATGCGGTTGGGGCATATCCCCCCGTGGGGCCGGCTACACTTTCGGACAAGACATAGCCGGCCAGTTCAACCACACCAATGGCCTCACCCTAATCTCAAGAGCACACCAGCTCGTCATGGAGGGCTACAATTGGTGTCAGGTTCTTCCCTAATCCCAACCACACCCCCTAACTCTTGCAAGTAGTTAAAACAATTATCAATTCAACATTCTTACATACCATCCGAATTCCCAGGACAAGAATGTAGTGACAGTTTTCAGCGCGCCAAACTACTGCTACCGGTGCGGGAACATGGCTGCAATACTCGAAATCGGGGAGAACATGGAGCAAAACTTCCTTCAGTTCGACCCAGCTCCTCGACAGATCGAGCCGGACACAACGCGCAAAACGCCGGATTATTTCTTGTGAGCTTAGGGCTGTCAGAATGCATTTTCTGTTGGTTGGTTCTTGTAGATGTTGCTTGAGAAAGAGTAAATCTGCTGCTGAGGTTTCAATGTCTGCACCATTCTTTATCTGGAGTTTGCTCTACTCCTGACTTTGTTTATCTGCCCGGGACAATTTGATGGGAGGGAGAGTATATTTGGTCTTTGTATATTTAATTTTTTTTTCTTGAAAAGAGAAAATAGCACTGAAGAATTGGATAATATATTATGTGGAAACTGTAAACTCAATTTTTGTTGTCAATTTGTAGTAGTTTCTCCATGTCCCATTTTTACTTTTGCCCAAAATCTGATAGAACCTGAAGAAGTAGCTATATCATTTTTTTAAAAGACATTTGTTAGATTATATATATGTATATTATATATGTTATAGGAACTCCTGATTGCAGGAAAAAATCAAAAGTTACATAGAAACAAGTTTTGGGCTGTCACATTTGGTAGCAATTTTCACAAAAAATATATTGCAAGTATGCAAAAAATGAGTTTGAGATTAAAATCTTGAACTGGTTGGGATTCTCATCGGAACACCGCCAGCTGCGAGGCTGCTTCGCTTTCGCCTTAAGTATATAAAGGAGCCGCTGCCTAAAAGCAAAGCCAACATAAGTGCCTGCAGGAAGAGAACAATGGAGACGACACCGGAGTCAGATTACAAGTCTAAGTCACTGTTTACTTGATCTGTTATGAATGTTCAGACGACAAAATTGAGGAAGATAATATAGTCCACAAAGAAAATGCAAAGCTCTATCCATATATACTTGTCATGAAAAAAACAGAAAAACAAACATTCATTGAATGAATTCTTGTTTGCATCCATAGAAAGAACTCTACTCTACCATCATTAAATTCCCTTGATCCATCTTTGAGATTGATTATAACCTTGTTTTTCTTTCTCCCTTTTCATCGAACTCCGCTGTTCAGCTAATATATATTATGTCTGACAACTATAACATTGCCTAGGTCAAGCAAAGCTGTCTGATCAATGAGTTGTAATAGGAGCACGAACATATTCCAAGCTCATATTTCTTTATTTTCTTGTCTTTATATTGCTCAAACGGAGTAAAACTTCAGTTAGAAGAAGACGACAAGTGGTGTATAAAAGGCATTGATCAACTTACCTCAAAGCCGAGCACTGACAATCTTTCTTCATTGACAGCAGGTATGCAGCTTCTGTATGTGACATATGCAGTTGATCCACCTCCTGATTTTGATGAATCAGTTACCAATCTTCTTCGGTTTGTCGAAGAAACACCTAAATATCTCTCCAGAGTAGACCTTGTCTTCTCCGGTTTCTTGCTTTTCTCATCTTTTGAAGTTGATCTGGTGGGTAAACATTTCAAACGAATCCGATATCCAGTTTCGCCACAGTGGTATTTTTCATCACTCTAAGAAACAGTAAACTATTCTTGCTTTAGAACACACATACAGATAAAATACAAGAGAAAAAAATTATACATACATATATATACATAGAACAAAGGAAAATCTTAACATCTTTTTTCAATGTATCAAGCAGACAAATTAAGCCAAAATCTCGAATCCATCAAACCTCAGAAATGATGGCAAATATGAATTCGTAGAATTAGAATCAGACCAATGTCTACAACGAAGGAATTCCCAGCATCGAAATGCTTCTTACATGAGGATTCTCACTTCCCTTAACAATCAATCCATCACAAACAGTAGCTTTCATCTAATGCACTTGCCTAATCTACATTAGTTCATTCCCCAAATGCAACCTCAAGGCGATGATACGATAAAGATAAAAGATGCACAAGCTTCTTCCACCTTCAATCAGCTTATACATCCACGAGAATCACATCAATTGGAATCCACAAATATATACAAGAGTGTTTAAACTGTCATCCTAATGAACACCTAAAGCGAATCTAGATCACAGAAAACAGCACAAATTCGAAAGCAACACGAATTCAAAACCCTAAAAATTTAGGGAGAAGAAACACCTTTTCCGCGTGAGAGCAGGGGATGCACGGCCCCGAAGGCGTGCAATCAAAGGTAACGTTTCCTCCCTCCGGCGTCTCCTTGATCCCCATCAGGCTTCTCCCCTTCATTTCCGTCGATTCTCTGCGATTTCGACCATCAATCACTCAAAATCCAATCTCACAAAGATATTTCCCAAACTTAACTCCAAAAACAAAACAATTTTCTACAAAAAATGAAAATTCAACTCACGAATTGTAAGCGACCGATAGACGCATGGAGCCAATCGAAAATATACATAAAAGAAGCTGAATCAATGGCGGTCTGTCCGAACAAAGCATCTTCATCTCCTCTGTAACGTATCGTGTTAATCTTAGGGCAATTGAGTTCGCAGGTCTCTCAAATTCAATTCCATCTGTCCTTTATTACATACAGTCCCCCAATTTATGTTTTATTTCACCTGGCCCCTGAAGTCTTTCATATTGCAAACACATCCTCACCAAACTTCCGTTTCCGCCATAGCTACAGCAGAAAACGAAACAGAGTGTCCAGAACAAGACCACCTTATTAGATTCGAACTTCCTCAAAATCGGACCGTACATAAAAATATGGGCATAACATAAAAATCGATGGCCCAATTTTCTTGATGAAAAGATCATCACTTTGATTTGGGAGAGAAGGAATCGATCCAAATCAGTGCAGATATGCATCCGAAAATCTCAGCCGTCCATCATATCAGGATCAAATATTCGACCTGCATTCAAACTGTTCGACGAAATGCCACATAGCTGCTGGTCGATCTATTTCTTGCTTATCCTGCTGAATTCAACATTCTGATTCGTTGATGTTGACAGAGGGAAATAATCACTACAATTGGGGCTGATGACGTCATTGGGTGATGCAAGATTGATTCTTCCTGGTGTCTACGTGGGAAGATTAATCATTCTCGAACTTTCCTGCAGATATATATACATGTGTTGTGTAATCCCTTTTCACTACATAACCTCATTTAGCTGCAATGCCTGAAAGAAACAGACAGGGAAGGCTTGAGAAGTCCATGGAGACAACAACATGGCACAGTGTAAGTAGATATACTTCATCGTTTTTGTCTTCGAGTCGGGTGGCGAAGAGAATCATTCCTATAGAACCATTCCCAGGGTTTTCGTCAAGCTTGCAGTACAAAGCTCCGCAGACCGCATCCCAGGTGATGAATAGCCCTTCGTTGCCGGACAGGATTTATGTAGCCGGCGATGATGGTGGTATTGATGACCGGAGTTTTTCAGACTACATCGAACATGTCCACAGAAAGAACCATTATGACCTCACGGCAGAGGACTCTCCGAGTCGCGCTTCAAAGGGCTTTCCTCCTCGGATAAAGTGATCTTCCAAGGTTGTCTTAAAAAAATGTCGAATAGATTTGCATTGTTGGTGCTACCTGTTGTTACATGAACTAATGTTTTCATCTTTCGATCAATATAAGATCTCATGTTGCAAGAATTAAGACATTAATGATCAAAATGAAGATTACTCAGTAGCCTCAGTGATCAATTAAAGTTTTCAAATACTAAAAAAGACTAAACATCATAAATTATCTCCACAAGTGAGAATTTTACAATAGACTAGAACAGGACAGGAATTTTCCAAGCTACTAAAACATAGTGTCACCATTTCTCCCAAATCTACACTGTACAATAAGAGATATATATATTATTACATTTAATTTATCTATCCATAAATCCATCCAAACAAATAATAATCTAAATCTCCAGAAATATTCTATTTCAGAGGTATGCGAATCAAACCTGAGTCCCCTTTTTATTTTTATCCAATCTTCTAGCTTTTTCTCCTTCTTTTTCTTTTCGACAGTGGAAATAAGATATAGCATTACTACTTGAAAAGGAGCACAGCAGATTCGGCGACCTTTACAGCACATAAATCACTATCAATATTTATCATCAACCAACCATCAAGCAACACTAATGATGCTGCTATCCCCACCACTTCCATTAAAGCTGGCAGGCATTGCTTTGAAAGGCGGTGGATGTTGTGCACGCGGCGACTGCTCATTGGACGATGGCTGTTCCTCAGATGGGGGCGGAGGGGTTTGTGACGATACAGACAGGTTAAGGGACAGAGATGGTGGTTCGAGGTTTGTAGTCTTGCTTAGGTTGAGATTGGCCATTTTGGAAGATGGAGGGATGGGTAAAATGGGGATTGGCCTTATGGGCCGGGGAGAATTGTTCAGCTGATTGACTTGTCCGAGTGTGAGATCTTCCATGGGACTTTCACTTGGGATTGGGATAGGTATAGAAAGAGGTGTCACGGCTGCAGGGAAGTTTGACACAGGAAACTTCTCGGGATTCTTACTAAGGTTTTGTCGGGGGATTATTGGTGGCTGAGGTGCGTTTTCTTGATGCATCTGATCTTCACTTGCGGATGTCACCTGTTGAAATGCAAAATGACAGGAAGTGAGGAAGATACAAAATGCAGACATGGAAGCATTTAAAGCCAGAAATCATTGTCAAACTAGAGAGTAGAACCAGATACACAAGACAACCAATTCCTTGTGACCATACAACTTTTTTATCCTTTACGCAGTCGATTAATTCAACTCTGTCACGTGCAACGGCGTAAAGAACCTAATACTTCTACTACCTACTGACTAACCTGCATATAAGATTTTCCAAAACTAAGGCTTGATGGTGAGAATTTATCCACACTAATAAGCAATCAGGATATGGCAAGCAAGCAATTATTGACACAAAGCAACACATACAACCAGTGGTCCATATTCATAAATATATATATATATATATATTCCTAATAAACGAAACAAAGCAATAGACATCACCATCTAGACCTAATCATGAAACTCATCATTTATGCAATTTTGATCACCGTTAGGTTTGGATGCTCAAATAACTATTGAATACTAGCATATGCTAAAAGTCAAATACATGAAAGCTTCCTAAATATGAAATTGGAAAGAACGAATGTTTTGATGATAATACCGTATCAGTTGTAATGTCGAAAAGACTGGATCTCCGGCGCCGCCTGCTGTGGTTGTTCCGGCGGAGGAAGTACTTCTGAGCATGGCTCGCAACTTGAGTAGGTGTTCTTGTTTTCACATAGTTCCTCGAAATTCCTCGCCAATCTCCCTTACCGACTCTGTGCAGCCCCAACAGGAACAGTCTGTGCTCCTCCTCACTCCACGGAACGCCTGTATACCGTCACGCGACAAACTCCGAAATCAAAATTCAACAATCGCTTAAAAAATGAAAATAATAATAACAACTTAAGCTTATTCACCATCAACGGATACGATCGGTTCAATTGATCCGATACAAATTTCTAGGGCACAGACATGTCTAATTACCTCTTTTCCGCTCGCGGTTCCTGCCGGACGGATGAACGACGTCGTCCGAAGCATATCCAGCGGCGACATCATTGCCGGAGTCCTGAGGCTGTTGATCGTACTGAGCCAGGTTATTCATACTAGCACTCTTCCTGAACGATCCTTCCTCCATCATCACTCTCACCCCGAACAGCATGAATCCTTTCCCGCCGCCGGCGCTCCGTCCATCGGAATTCTCCGAACAGTTGCTGTGCGCTGCCGACATGGCGGTGAAGGACGCAACTCCGCCGGAGCCTCCGTACGATTGGATGCTCAGCTAGTCTTCGCCACCGGACTTTCTATGGACAGCCGTGACTTCTGAGCTGTAAATTTGCGCAGTGTTTCAGTTTCCGTAGAAATGAGGGTTTTTGTCATTTTATTGTCCAATCAGATTGCGCTATATTTCCTTCTCAAAGGGAAACAATCCGGTGCGTCGACGGCACACGGTATGGTAAATAATCACAAAATCTCAACCCTACACGTGTCAAAAGCTCCAATTAACAAGTTCCATCTGCCACAGAATTTAGAATCCGCGAAGCAGAGGATAAGTTCCCCGTCCGTGTCTAATCTCATCATTAATTATCTAAATGAAGGGTAATGGGTGAGAAATACCTGGTGTTGGTGGCACTGACCTCCTTCCTTCCTACAAGCTCCCTGGACTTCAACTCCCAAGAAACACACGCCATCGATGTATCGTAAATCAACGGTGCTTGTGTTTCGAGTTACAAAAATCCAGAACCGGGTGCTCCTTCCTCCTGGAAGACTTAAACCAATTTGTAAAATAAATAATTTCTCAGATATATAAATAAATAATATAAATAAAAAAGGGGTGGTGGAGAAGAAGAACGTTTATGGGCCGTCAAAAGAGCATATTCTGCAACATTACATGACATGGCATTTACATGTAAATTGCTTAATAGCCTTTGTTTAAAAATCACCAATGGTGGCTGCTGGTGGGTGGATTTTGTGATCGATTGTGAGGATAGATAACAACACCCAATATCATTATGACCCCACTAAAGCAATCACATTTCTCCCAAAACTTCCAATTCCATCAATTCATGTCTACGACCACATATGTTTTTCTGTTAACAGAGAATTTATGCAAAATTTCTATATGCATGTCTCAAACATGCATATATGTCTCAAATAAAAACGACATATTAGAGACTTAAACGACTATCTTATCTAAAAGATCAAACTTATAAGTTAATTCGTTTACAACAGTCTGAAACACAACAATAAAATTTAATCCAAAGTAAGAACCATTTGGAATTCCATATTTTCCATATCCATATCAGTGAAGCAAACGTTCGATTATACAAGGAGGACGGGAGGACGTCTATAGCTCTCAAGGTCACAAATCACAATACATATATATATATATATGTATGTATATGTATCTTCTATCGAAACCTATTGCCTTTCTAACCTGTCGTCTACGAGCAATCGCCAAAAAAGACAGAAATCAAATAGTCGTAAAAACAATAAACGAATATGTATCGAAATCTCTATTCCCGGGATCGGTACTTCTTTGTCATCATCGTCGTCGTTGTTGTTGTTGTTATCGTTGTCGTCATCTCCCACGGCAACAAACCTGTGGAAGAATCGGGGAGCATGGCGAGAACGAAGTCCCGCAGGCCCGAGTCCCAGACCTCGCAGAACTTCTGCGGCCAATCAGGTGGCTCGATGGCCTCCGTCCCTAGCCCGGGGACTCGGTCTCTAGAACCTTCATTCTGATTCTGCTGCCAATCCGCGACGTACGTCGCGACGCGACGATAAAACTTGGCTCGGAAAACCTCCCAAACTTGGTACTTATAATGGTTAATGATCGCCGTGTTCTGCGGCAAGTTTATGTACTTGAATCCCTTCCGGAGGTAAAAATGGTGAACAACATTTAGCAGCGTTGTATCCAAAGCCTCCGGTTTCACGATCGACTTATGCCTTTCGGGACTTTGTAGACGACACGTGTACCCAACGGTGACCCCCTGAGGGGGCGGCACGGTCAGCCCTGACGGCCCAAAGCTATGGCAAGTAGTCCTGATTTCCGCAATAGGCCTCGATGACAACGACGACGACGAAATATTCGCTAACAAATCGCGGAGGGCGTGCTTATTCGCGACGCTCGATTTCCGGAACCTCAGGTGCTTCGGGGTCGCGTACGGGAAGTAAAAGTACTCGTCGACGTCCATGAACGCGACCCATTCGCACTCGTCCCGCGCCCTTATGGCACAATGCGAGAATCCACCTTCTTGCGTCTTGATCCACGGCCACACGTGCCGCGTGACGTTGTAATTCTCGCGGTCGAGCGCCCGGACAACCTCGTCCATCCCGTCCTCGCTGTTGTTGTCATAAACGAACCATCTCTCAACCCCGAGCCACGAATGGTACATTATCCATTCGCGGATCGCGGATGCTTGATTCCACGCCATCGTGCATACGCAAAGCTCGAATTTCCCGTTATCAATTCGCCTCTCCTTTTCAGACAACGAATTGAATATTCTCGCCACAGACTGCATTAGCGTGCGCCCCCGGGGGCCGCGCCTAACTCCAACGGTCACACTCAATCCCGAGCTGCTTCTTAAGTCCGTCGGGATCGGACATCGGACAACCTCCTGCGCGGCGGTTAATGCCGATGTCCGAACCACATACTTGCCATTCCCGAACCCGAAATGGCAAGTAAACAAGTTCGGATTCGACTCCCGACCAGGCCTCAAATTTAATCCTTTTACAAACACAACAGCAGTGTTCTTATCCATCGCAGCAGCATAGACAACATTATCCCAAGAACAAGAATCGACTCCTGTCTGATTATTACCAATCCAAACCCGATTTTGATCTTTCCACTTCAAAATCACGTCAGCTGAGGAATAATTTACAGGCGGAAGAGGGCATCTCACAATAGCCCTAAATTCATCGTAATCGTCGAAAGACAGAACGTTTTTCACCGACAAATCTTCGCTGAAATCTCTAACGGTTATATTTCGGTTATGACGATGATAAACACACTCTAATTCATCAGCAGGGTAGTTACCATGAATCTTCTCCCGACCAATTAACAGTAAGACATGGTCGGGGAACAAAACCCTAGATTCTACTTTTGGGGGCTGCAAAAGATTGCCCCCAAATTCGTCGACTGATTCGGCCCTAGTGGAGCTGGAAGACGACGACGACAACAGGGATAAGCTCGAAACTACTAAAACGGGGTGGAAAGCAGAAGAAGCGAGTGGGATTGAGTGGGGCAAGATATAAACTAAGGTGAGGAAGCTGAAGCAGAGAAGGAGAGATCTCACAGAGAAGAGATGGCGAAGAGACAACAATGGCGAATCCGAATTGTAGTAGTAGTAGTGTCGGAGAATGCGTTTTCTCTTGCGGCGTTGATCTGCAGAGCTCATTTGTAAGGAATTAGGATCTCTGCAAGGTGTGATGAGAATCGCGAATGGGAAATTCCTTCTGCAGATCTGTGGATATGTACCGACAGAGCAGTGCTGTTGAGGTTGTCTTCTTCCTTACTTTTGCTTTCAGCGGACATCTTTTTGGGGCGCCCTTGGAGTACTGATCCAGAAGATCTGCACCGTTCGTGGGCGGATGGACAGTAGAGATTTTTCTGGCGTTGTGGTCCTGTCAATTTAGAGGTTTAGCTGCTCTTCCCGGTGATCCGGAAGATGTCAAGGGAAAGAGAATTTACCGTTCCACTTTTTTTTTTCTTTTTCTTTTTTTTAATTATTATATAAAGATTATTTTTATTTATTTTATATATACTCACTCCCTTTGTCCTCATCTAAAAGAATTTCGAAAAATTAAAACCCTATTTTAATTATAGCAATTTTTGTGATTAGCCTTTTAATGTATATATTTATTTTGTAAAAACTTAATAAATGTTATATTGTAATAGTAGTGGGTGATATTTTTATATATAAAATTATTATAAATATAATTTTTTTTAATATATAGTGGAATTTATTTATACAACAAAAATAAATAGATAATTTTTACTTTCAATAACAAAAAATGCAAAATATACATATCAAAGTATAATAATATTGGGGAAAAAAAATCACAGTAAAGATTCATCGAAGATAGTTTCGTGAATTTTGAGTAAAATATCATAAACATACTTTTTAAACTATAAATTAAACCAGTAGTAACAATATATTTTTTACATTTCATATTTCATATTATATGTCAGAATTTAAAATAAATATAATTAATAAATAATTAAAAATATATTAGTAAAAAAAAATTATATAATTAATTATGTATAAATATTAAAATAGTTAAGTAGTTTAATTAAAAATAAATAAATTATAAACTAAAAATTTTAAAATAAGATTAAAATGTATAATCATTTTACGGATAAAAACGACAATGTGAACATAATAGCGAGACGGAGGGAGTATACTTTTATCATTTTGTCTATTATATCTAATTGTATTTCTTTTATTTTACAATAAAAATAATTATAAATTAATATCAATATATATCTAATTTTTTTATATAAATCACAAATGTATTGTTACATATGTAACAATTGATTTATATGGACATATAGGTGTTTGATTTGGTATAACGTTTTCTTTGTACTTGTAATGATATAAATATCGTATTATCTTACACATTTTCATTAATTAATAAAATATTTAATCCATACCGATCAAAAATATATTTTTTTATCATTTTTGTATGTCGCACTCAAAAGTATCATTTTTCTATTATAATAAAAAAGAATCGAATTCTAATACTAAAACATCCTTTTATTTTTACATAAAGTACAGTTGTCTTCCTTTTATTGTTCACTGAGTTTAAATATAAGAAGAATAAATATATTTATAATTTTATGAGTCTGAAAATTTTAAAATTTATTTGCAATTAAATATATAGTTTAGGAGATTAGATGCAAAGTTTGAAATAACAATTTAAAAATACGAAAAAATTAGCACAATTTTGTGAACTGTGTGAATATTATAGTCTTACTTTATATTTTCATAATAATGCTTGAGCTTATTCTTTACTTTAAAATTTTTAAAATATTAAATTTAATTATCTTTTAATGATATAACATTCTACTCTCTAAACTATCATATTTCATTATATATAATTAGGGATAGCGACGGACGAGACGAATTTTGCAGGCCGGAAAATTCGTTCCATCAGAAAATTATAGGCCCCAAAATTTGGCTCGTCCCATCTCAATCTTGCTCCAAAATCCGTCGGGTTTGGGGTCTACCTAAAATTCCACTTTATTTCTTATGTCTTGCTGCAAAGTATTTATTTTTTATTATAGTGAAAGTAATAATACGTTAATCCTAAAATATTCGTTTTATATAAATTACAAATATAAAATTACATGTATCATAGAACAAAGAGTACAAATGACAAAATAGTCAAAACTATATTACAAGCTTTCACTAGCTAATGAATATTATTATTTTTAAATTTATTATAAAATCTTAAATGAATAAATTTGTCCCGTTTGGAGGGAGTAATAAATTTTATAATTATTAATTTAAATCGATTCTGAATAGGCCGGATTCTGAGTAATTTTATTTTTTATTTTTTTATTTTTTTTTTGTTTTTATCAAAAGCATAACTCGTCCCAAAATCTAATGAAACTTAAAAATTTCAAAATTCATAACCCGTTGCATTATAAAATTTTATACCGAACCCGCTCCGGACCATCCCGGATTGATATAGTATGCTAATTTTGGTACATGTATTTTTATACTACAATTGCACATAGTTAATATAGTATGCTGAAAAATAAGATGAAATTTTTGTTTTAGTAAAAGTTTATCAATATACTATATTTTTAACTCTAGATTTATATTTTTATTACAAAACATTTTTAATAATATTGCATAAAAAATTATTATCTATTATCGGGGGTTTGATCTATCATCTCACTCACCGTCACAAGTTTAACCCTATACTATCAAGTCATCTATTTTAATTATCATCATCGAATGTTGAGTATCCAAGGCTTGAAAAAAATGAGTTTTGTTTACTTTACCCAATTTTACTTATTTAACATTATTTATTTTTTAAAATATTATATCAAATATACTCCCTCCGTCCTAAAATTATAGTCTGAGTTGTGCGTGATACGAAATTTAAGAAATATTGATATTAGATTGGTAATAGGTAAAAAGTACGAGTAAAAGACTTTTTTTGCCCTCGTGAGTGTATTAGTGTAAAAAATAGTGGCAATTGTGTAATAATAATGAAAAAGTAATGTTAATTATATTGTTATTTATGAAAATGAGACTATTAGTTTTAGCACAGACATAATATATATATATATATTTTCTTATAAAACATCGCATCAAACAAAAAAAAAAAATTATATCTTACAAATTTTCAAAATTCTAAATACCTCCCTAAACTTTATCCTAAACAGAACCAATTTTCTTTTATTTTCAAAATATTCATATTAATTTTCCAATAAAAAAATAAAAGCATAATTCATTAACATCAAGTCTCAACCATGTGTTATTTTATCCCCAATATAAAAATTGGTATATGACTTCATTAATTAATTCTATCAACTTGAAATTTGCAAATCCCTACAGAAAAGGAAAACTCAGACAGAATGGAAAACAACAAATGGTCCTCACCACCTCTGCACCCTACACATTATCAATTATTATTATCATTATTATTATTTTTATTAGTTGGTGCATTAATTGGGAATCTCAAAATAGTATTAGGGGGCCATAAAAAAGGATAAAATACCACATGTATTTTAGATTTTTTTTTTTTTTTTTTTTTTTTTTTTTTTTTTTGTCCTCGCACTATAATACAAACATCTCGATTTGGGCCTTTTAATCAAATTCTGTTATTATGGGCCGATTTTGTATATATATTTGACCAAAATACACATTAATTTTATTTGTACGTAATTCTCTTCAAATATAATAATAACTCAATAAATATATATTACTACTACCTTAACTTACTAAAAGAATAACTAACTCTGTAAGAATTGATCATATGATCAGTTTCTTGGACTGGCAAGCTTAGCAGCTTCTCCAATGGCGTCTCTGTGCACAGACAGGTTTGTTAAGGAAGAAGACATCCTCGAATTACATGTCTGCCCTTCTCCTCTCCTCCAAAACTTGGGACTTAGAAATTCTGCCCCTGGTATCATACAACATGAATTGTTGTTGTTGTTGTTGTTGTTATTATTACCACAATCGAGTCCCGGAAACCTCGACATTTCGTCGAGGACCCTCTCCAGCCCGTCCACGCGCCGCTCCAACGAGGTCATCCCCTTTTGCGAGGTCCCGATGAATCTCTGAAGAGACAACATTAGTACATAGGAACAAGTTCATTGTAATAATCGAAAGACCATAGGAGATTTTTGTCGAGGATATTGGCGGCACCTGGAGGAGGTCTAATAGGTTCGACTGCTGGTTTTCGATCTGCTGGAGCTGTTTACGGATAAGGGACAGGTACTCGAGGTCCTGGTTCTCGGAATTTTCTATTACAGCGTTGTCGCCCGAGTCATTACAGTCGAGGGGGACTATTCGGGACCGGAAGTTTAGCTTGGGAACAGAGTTTTTGATCCCTACATTTGTTGTAATGTTTTTGGGTGTGCTGAGGGAAGACAGGGGACTTGGCTTGGTCGTAACCGTTTTTTGCGGCGTCGCCGGAGTTTTCGGGGATTCATGTCCTGAAAATAATTAGTTATTAGAAACAGTGAAAGTTAACGTTAAAGTCATTGTCGTGAAATTAAAGAGGTAATACAAAAATGTGAAGCCTCGGATGCCAAAAGGTTGTTTCCTTCCTACAACCTGGAAGAACGGCAAGTTGTTACATTCATTATTACTTATAGAATTTGAAAATAAATTATAAAAATTAAAAAATTGTACTCCTTCAGTTCGCTTCTAAAGGTTGAGTCTTCACCTTTAAGATAATATTTTTTTTATTTATACTATATTTTAATATAATAATTAAATTTAAAAAATAAATGAAATCTTAGAGCCGCCAACGAAGTTATTATTAGATTGATAATTAAAGTGAGAAGCTCATATAAAAAATTTTAAAGAAATTAACCTATAAATAAAATCAAATTGAAATCTATTAAATTTAAAATTAAATATTTAAAATATTTCAACGTACTTGTCTGATCGTGTTGGATATGGCAACGGATTGTATGTCGAGGAATTTAAAGAGAGTTCATGAATGTTAGTTGTTCGTCATTTATGAATTTCAGGAAGAGACAGGTGAAGATTACAGATACCTTCAGATGATGACACGTGTCCAGAAGATAGACCTGGCTGAGGCAGACCTTTCCATGCCTCCAATGCCCGATTCATCGTCTCCCTCACGACCTTCACCTGTAACCAAAATTGCAAATTTTAGAGAATCTTATTACAGGGAGTGGAAAATTGTTAAATTGAGGTTTTGGTGTATACCTTATCGAATCTCTTGCTGTCTAAAACAGACACGGTGGCGGCCTTAAACTCCGCCGCCAAATTCCGCTCCGACGCGGCGGCTATTTCGAGAACGGCGGCGGCGGCTTTCCGCGCCGCCCAATCTTCGCTGCTCAGAAACTGAATCGACGTCGATATTACAGAATTCAACAAATTCTTACTTTTAGCGCCGCCGGAGGTGCCGACAATTGTGCCGATGAAGTGTAATAAATTGGGCTTGGCTTTGAAAGAATCGATTTTTAGCAATTTCAAAAGCCTGGGCAAGAGCTTCCGCAATTCGGCGGCGTCGGGCGCCGGCGCCGCCGAGACGGCTGCGGAGAGGCAGAGGGCGGCGCCGATCTGGGCATTCGAATCCTGTTCGCGGAAGAGCGCCTCCACCAGCGGCCTCAAGATGGCGGCGAACGGCAGCGAGCTAACGTGCGCGGCGATCGACGCCGCCGCGTCGGCGCAGGCGGATCGGACGGCGGAGTCGGGGTCGCGCAGGCGGCGAACGACGGCGGAGATCATCCGAGATAGGTGGGGCGACAGCGAGTCGCCGTGGGCGGCGGAGAGAACGCCGATTAGACGGACGCTGTGCCGCCGCACCGGAGACTTCTCCGACGAGTCTGTGGCGGAGAGGCAGTTCAGAAAAGGCGCGAAGCCATCGGACGGCAGCGTCTTAGCGATGGCTTCGAGCTCGTTCGCCGCCATGGAAAGCGTGTCCCTGTCGGAGAGCTTGTTCAGACAGCTGTTGACTCGGGTTTTCAGCTCGCCGGAGTTCTGCTTCGTGATCGCCATTTTTTTCTTAATTAACTGTGCAATATTACAGACGGCGGTGGCATGCGGCGGAGGAGGCGGAGACGAGAAGATACACTCGCCGGCGACGATGGATTTATATATGTTTGAGAGGACATTATCAAGGTTTATATATTGTTACAGTTTCCTCTCGATCGATTATTCCAAGATCCGGGACCCGAGGTCCTGAACTAAATCTGACCTTAGAATCAAACGATCAGCGGTGCATGTAGTTTGGAACCCCAACTCCCTGGTCCTGGAAATGTAACAAAAGGATAAATCTAAAAATGTAACTGAAAATCAAATTTTGATTTTTATTAATTAATTTTAAATTAGGTTAAAACTTAAAAGGAAGATTCTATCATTCTATGCCGAAATTTTGGATACTTGTGACAAAAAAATTAAATAAAAAATAAAAAATTAAGCCAGTTCTTGATAACTTACCATTTGATTATTAATCAACAAATATGCTTAACATCAATAATAGAATTATAATTGTAAAATAGCATTATTATCTAACAATAATATTAAAAAGACAAAATTGCCATCCTGTTGGATCATATTAGTATGCATCATGCATGAGATGCTAATATAAAACAGAAGAATTTTGTCACATGGTGGCTAGTGAGATGTACATAATTAATTGACATAAATTTGAGTCAATCTCTATATTATTACAAACAAAATATTTTTTTTCTACTATAAATAAGTATATGAAAATGGCCTCAAGAAAAGTATTTATAACCAACCAACTTACCCTTTAGAGTTGGGATATTAATTGTTGTTAAAAAAGTGGACAATACAAAGAAAAACATACGAGAGTCAATGCAATTGAGAACAGGAAAATATGTAGGCTTTATTTACACAATATACCTTCACTCATTTAGTACTATTTAATTTTTAAAAAGCATCACATTAAATACATTTTTTTTCTCACAAAATATAAAATCAAATCTAATTTTTTATTTTTTTTCAAACTTTTAAAATTCCAAAAGTTTCCAAAAATCTCTATGAAAAAAAGCAAACTAAACCAAAATTGCAAATAACTAAAGCTTGTGGTGCTATGTAAAGGTGAAAAATGTATAAATGATGAGATGTGGTTCTTGGGGAGTCCATGGAGCTCGAGTCCTGAATGAATCCACACCGCTGATTTTTCAAGGTCGAATCATGAACGGTGTGGATTCATGGGTTCTGGGCTCTGTCAGTGGCTATGAATTCAAGAAGATATAAATGGAGGACATGTGGAATGGATATGGGATAACATTTTTGTTAGAGAATTTGACCTCTCGAGTTGCAGAAGATCACGTGACAGAGCATATGGACATTCAATCATTGATGAATTTTATTGTCTCAGATTCCATAAATTCTTATTTTTATTTCTACAATTTTAACTACCGTTAAATTAACTAACACCCTTAAAAAAGTTATGTAAAATTAAAATTCAAGAAATTGCCCGTGACCAAAATTTTAGTGATAAATTTGTATCAATTGTGTAGAAGCCAAAAGAAAAAGGGAGGGTAGAATTGAATATATGTGTTGTGTAATTTTTATTTATTTATTTTTCTATATATGTGAGATGACCTAATTTGAAGGGCATGCAGTCAATGGGGTGAATGTACGAAAACACCCCTGATGTAGTAATAGGATTGGGACATTTGATTTACTTTAGAATCCCCATGTGACTAGAGACAAGTAATCTTTTGTTTTTTTGGTTCTAATAATGGGATTAGTTTGTTGTTTAATGAAGTTCTCCCATGAGGGAACATGGGATTTGTAAAAAAATATTTCAATAATTTCTTAATTTATTTAAATTGTTCATTAACATTTTGTCCATAATAATTTGATCAATAAGTTGGTTTTCATCATATATAATTGCATTATGGAGTGTTTAGGCGTAACAACCCCCCCTCCCCTCCCCACCCACCCATCTAAATATAGTTTTATATTTGAAAAAATAGTTATTAAATATGATGCCGGAAGTAACAATATATTATTTTTTAAAAAAAAAAATAAATTACGACTACAAGTTAGACTAAAATCTACAATCAAATTGCAAAAGAACACACTTTATTACCTTGTAAATCTGTATTTTAATTGGAACTTAGAGAATTTTAGTTATCTTTATGTTGAGAAAAATCAAGTTGGAATATAAATTTGAATTTTACTTTTTATTTATTATTTTTTTTGGTGTTAACTTAATTACAATTCTCTAACAAGTTTTTTTTTTTTTGGAATTTTTCTCTTGTTATAATTTGAAATATTTTTCAATTTTTGTTAAATATCTAAGAATGGAGTCAATATCAATGTCCAAAAGTTTAAGAATGTATTTTTGGACTTGAATGTCTTTAAATGAAAATGAGTGTGTTCTTATAATACATATATATATATATATATTATTTTAAATATATTATAGTAACATAAAAGTATGATCTGAAACACAGATGAAAACCCCATAAATTAATTTCTAAGCTGAATGTGTAAAATAACTGTATTTAAAGATGGCTGCAATTGGTCCAGATTTGTGCCTGCTGGCTTTGTCTTTATTCAACACACTTTTGCTTTGGATGAGTTCCAACTGTGAATGAAAACTATAATAATAATAATAATAATAATAATAATAATAATAATAATAATAATGAATAGAATTAATTTCTGCATAATAATTTGATTCCGACCAACTAATATTATAATAATAATAATAATAATAATAATAATAATAATAATAATAATAATAATAATAATAAGGGTGTGCAACTTCTTTTTCTCTTAGATGATTAAAGTCAAGATTAATTTAAAATTAGAATAATAATTTTCTAATCAATGATAATTAATCTTTCTAAGATGGGATTAATTTATTTAAAGAATTCCATATGATATATTTAATGACCAAAATAAACACATATTATTTAACTAGTCTCGTAATTATGTAATCTATTGATCAAAATAATACAATTGATTATAATCAAATCTTACAAAATAAATACACCGGCAAAGTTTATCATAGTTATAAAATATGAAATTTCGCAAGTATTTTTGTAACACTCCAACCTACAAGTCACACAGGCCAGACATATCAAGACTGTATACAGACTTATAAGTCGAGTTCTTTGAAAAAAAAAAAAAAAGGCACATTATTGAAATAAATAATGTAATAAATTCATTTAATCTTCATTCAATCTCATATAGCAACTCTAGTTCATCCATACATGGGAGTTGATTTAGCAGACCAACTCCGAAGTATCATTATTTCTTAGCACAATCGTGTTCTATAATACTTCCTCCGTTCTATAACAAAGTATCTATTTTTTTTTATTTTAGTCCGTCTCATAACAAAATATTTATTTTCTTTTTTAGTAACTGTACTATCTACCTAATATTATAAATACCCTTACAACGTATAATATATTACACAAATGTCATTACCTTTATATCACACGTACTAATAAGGTTATTTTAATCATTTCAACTTTATGTTTACTACATCCCAATATAATACTAATATTTCTAAAACTACGTGAAAAAACAAATGAATATCTAATTATGAGACGGAGAAAGTCTGAAATATTCACACAATGTCCATAAAGGTTTAATATCAAATCAAGATTTATTTGGAAAAGGAGATTGATTAAAATATCCCCAAATAAAAAGGAATAGATCTTTAGACTCATTTTTATTTATTTTTAAAGTTTATTTAATTACTAAAATATGTTACTCCCTCGTCGACAAAAGTTATAAAGTTATGCTTTGTTTGGCTGGATACGAAGATTAAAAAATTATAGAAACTTTGCCGCCGCTATTCTTTTAGTACAGTTTGGGTAAATTTTTTTATCGAACTTAATAATTTGCAAACTAAGTCTGACAAAACAAGTCATACTAAGCAAATCATATATATAGACAAAATTTGGAGGCGTCAAAAGTTTGAACCCACGACCTTACGGTGATGAGAAAATTTTATATATCTGACTATTATGTTTTAGTTTTATATTTACATTGAATGTTAGACATCGATTGGTGTATATAATATATAAATTGATAGTGAAAATATAATGGCAAATGACTTCAAAATTTAAATCCATTTATGATCCAAATTAAATAAATTACAACATGGAATGCTAATTCTTAAATTCCACTCGAATTTGTTCATGAATCAAATTATTATTATTATTATTATTATTATTATTATTATTATTATTATTATTATTATTGTTTTAGTTTTTTCAAAAGACATTGATATCTATTACATGACATGAATCAATGTCGGAAGAGTATATATACACAATTACGCACATACATATCCTAATAGCCAATCATTCCCAGCTAAGTAGAGCATTATTATTGACACTCCCTGGAGCACAGCTCCAATGCAAATCCACACCGTACATCACATAATCAACGGCCAAGATTTGCCCTAATCATGCAGAAGTGAATGATTGGAAGAACCAAATCCAGTAGTGCCATAAATGGGCTTAGGTAATGCAAAATTGCAATGCGAATGGAAGAAGAACCCAAAAAATTTCAATATGGGATGTCTGATTTTAATAAATTAATTTTGATGGGACTAAAGTGCCATTGACTATGGGACAAGAATATTTTATTTTTATTGCTCCGTTTGTCCCATTTTTTATGTATATTTTTTTTATTTTCATTCGTTTTATTTATTTTGTTATTTTTTTTTAAAAAAAAATTATACTTTAATCTTATATTAAAAATTTTAATTTATATTTTTTTTTAATTTTAATTATACTAATCAGTTATTTTAATTTTAATATATAATTATTTTTATTATAAAATAATTATTTTTACTAATATATTTTTAATTATTTACTAATTATACCTTCCTAAATATTCGGGATAGAGGGAACATTATTTTCGATACTAATAATTATATTGCCTCCTGTAAGATGTAAGAAGGTCCATTTTTCCACATGGGTAGCCGGAATTTTAATTACAAAAAATAAAATAAAATAATAAATAAATAAATAAATAAATATAAATACAAATAAATGCATTGAATGAATGAATTTATTTACGACAATAATGGCACATCTAATCTATTTATGTCCCATGGCTCCATTTCTTGCTTTTTCCGATACAATGAATATAATACACTCTCCGTCCACTAAATAAGTATATATTTACTTTTGGCACGAAAATTAAGGAATAATAGTATTTTAATTATAGTGAGTAGATAAAAGTAGTAAAATGATATTTTTGCCCTTACTTTTTTGGTATAAAAGTAATGATGTGATATAAAGTAGGGGTATTTGTGAAAAAAATGGGGTATTTAATGAAATTGTTACTTTGTAATTAGACGTCCCAAAATAGAAACATGTATACTTTCTAGCTGGACGGAGGGAGTAATTAATGTGTATATATTTTGTTGACTGTGATTTGGAATTAATTTAAAATGAGATGTTAATTTGAGTTTTTATTTTAATATTTTCTTCTTTTAGTTAGAAAATATATTTTTTTTGGGACGTCCAATTACAAACTAAATATTTCATTAAATACCTCATATTTTTTTCCACAAATATTCTTACTTTACATCACATCATTACGTTTACATAAAAAAAGACAAAAATGTTATTACATTACTTTTAACTACCCACTATAATTAAAATATTATTATTTCTTAAACATCGCACCAAAAATAAATGTTTATTTTCTATGTAAACGAATGAACAGTATTTTGATTAATATGATATTTTGTGATGAAAAATAATACTATATTTTTATTGAAAATTATATATAATTAATAGCGATGACTTCAGTTTCAAATCACAAAAAAAATAAACCCAAAATTTGATTATAATCTATTTTCATATTTTGATTTTTTCGCCATAAAAATCATCATTAAAATTTTCTAACAATACATATAGACAAGAATATTTACGGTTTATAATAACAGCACCGCAAATATAAATAAACTAGCAGTGATACTCGTCCATTGCACGGTTTGTAAAATTTTTTGAAATAATATTATCTAAATAATATTGAGGTTGTTGAGATATTTTACATATTCAATTTTAGATTTAGTAGATTTATATCTAGATTTGATCGTATCCATAGATTTGATTACTTAGAGTTGAGTTTATTTTATATTGTCAGGCTTCTTATTTTGATAATCAAGACAATTTCATTAATTTCCCTCAAAATTTATAACGGAGGTAAGTAAAATCCCAATGTTAAATTCAAGTAATAAATAATTTGTTCCTTAAAAAGTTATTTCAATTATTTTATTATAAGATCATCGCGTTTTCTTATAAATAAATAAATAAATATATATATATATATATCTATATAGTATCATATCCAAACTAATATTTTTTTTCTTTAAAAAAAAAAAAGAAACACCCAAAACCTCATCTTTAAATCTTCTATATAACACGTGAAGGTCACGTGACGGGGGACTTTGCATTTCCTTACATTACATGATACGTCTCTATTGGTCTGTTCTTATCTATTTTGTTTGCACCCATAGTTTTATTCTTCGATTGGATCTTCCATTGTCGATCGACCTTCATTTGCATGTGTCTTGTTCAGCTACACAGACAACACCAACAACTTTAATCGATCTTTTCGTTTGTATTATTTCAAAGTTTTTTTTTATCCAAATATATATATAAATATATTTCAATTTATCCGACCTTTTAGTATATACGCATAGACTCCCTTGACACAATTTTGCGTGAAATTTTCTACACGAAAAATGTATTTGTTGTCACAACGCAAGAAACATTTTTATCGACATACTTATGATGTGGAGAGGTTTTGTATACGACATACTTATGATGTGGAGAGGTTTTGTATACAAAACTTTTTATAGAATAATCAATTTTAGATTTATAGAAAAAATTTCTATTCTAATTTATATACTAGTAATTATATATATATATATATATATGAAACTCAATTTTCAATATCAATAGTTAAAATTATTAATTTATGTTAACGATAAGCACTTAAAATAATAAGTTGTAATTTAATTTTGCATTTTTTTCTTGAATTTATTCTGTGATTTTATTTTGATACTAAATTTAATATTTTATATTTATCGATCAACTTAATTCATAATATATAAATAAATAAATAAATAAATTAATGTATCCCTGATTCCTTCTTCTTTTTCTATCTTTACTATGAGTCGGATTGCTGTTGTACCCACCGTGCCACCATTCCTTTCTATTTCAGTAGTTACAAGTCATTGACCGTATTTAAAAATAAAATTATCAAATCTTAAATATACTCCTCGACGCCTCTTGTTTAGTTTAATAATAAATTAATATATAATTAATCGATACTCTTTAATTCATTATTATTATTTTTTTATTCAAATCAATAGCATCTACTTCAACTAACTATCATCAATCAACACATAATCAATTATTTTTATTTTAGAAAAAATTATCAAATTCATCCCCAATTTCAACTCCTAACCAAACTAATCTTAATTGTGATTTAGATACTATAAAAATGTATATATAAGAATAACCTTATTATTCTCAAAATCCCAATTCCACTCCTAACCAAACTCATCCCCATGATTTTATTTTATTTTATTTTTGCTAAATTGCACAAAATCTGCCCGTGATTTCATAAAATTGCACCAAATCCCCCGTACTTCTAAAACTGCGTCAAACTCCATCGTGGTTTCATAAACTTTGCCTTTAACCCCCTCAGCGGTTCTTATTTAACGGTATTTGACCTAAATGCGCTCAAACTGCAAATAAATTTTAGAATCTCAATTTCTAAAGCCCTAAAATTACAAATTTATTATTATATATATATTTAGCCTAAAAAAATAGTAAAAATAAACTCTTAAAACATGTGAAAAATAACTATTTTTGAGTATATTTACTATTTTTTGAGCGTAAATATAAAAAAATAAATATATTTGTAATTTTAGGGATTTAGAAATTGATATTCTAAAATTTATTCGCAGTTTGAGCTAGGTTAAATACCGTTAAATAAGGACCGCTGAGGGGGTTAGACACAAAGTTTATGAAACTACGGCGGAGTTTGATGCAATTTTAGAAATACGAAGGATTTGGTGCAATTTCATGAAACTACGGGTGAATTTTGTGCGGTTTAACCTTTTTTTTTTTTTCTACAAAATATAAAATAAAAAATGCACTACTGGGCCATAGAAGTAACCATTCATCCCAATAAATATTCAGTTTTGGGCCCAAAATAGTAATAATTACGACCAGTAACAAAATGCAATATTGGGCCATAATAATAATTAAGGGCCCAATAACAAATGAAATATTTGTATGGTAGCAATCAAATAAAAGCCCATATTCTTAAATTGATGGGCCAATAATGGGCTTTGTAATTTACGGCCACAGATAATTGACTATTCAAACATATTTATTAATTATTAATTGAGAGGGTGGAAATATGAGCTGGGATTTCAAAATAATTATCAAATTTTCCCCTAATTGAAATTGGGCCTTTCCAAAATTCCAAATTTTGTCACCATATATATATATATATTTCCTAACCCTAACATCTCAAATCAAATTCAAACCCTTGTAAATTCAGTTAAATAAAATTTATGCCATGACGAAATCCCCCCAGCCCACAATGTTGTTTCCCTAAAACAAGTTTGCATGAAATTTCAACCTAGTCCCTTAAAACAAATCGAATTCACATTTACCCCCTCAACATTCAAGATTTATATTAAAGCCATCTCAACGCCTTCATCTTCAGCGGCGGCCTGTTATCGATCCTCGAAGGATTTTTGCTTTCTTCTCCAATTCTTGGATAGCCCAATATTACAATTCCATATATTTTATATATAGTTATATACATATATATAAATCTTTATTTATTTTATCTCCTTCAAGAAGAAACGTCTCGTCGAATACATTATATATATATATACGTACATTATATGCATACACACACCGCCCACATTACGAGATAAACACTCCCTCGCCAATTCATTGATTCGTCTCGACGAGGAGACCCACAAGACCTCTCGGCGTGTAAATTCTCAAGCTCCAGTTTTTGCCTTTTGTTCTGATTTTCTTGTTTTTGTTCGCGTCTGGGTAATCGAGTTGGATGCAATCCAAGTAATGTGTGTTCGTTCGAGTGTTCGCGATTTGTTTCCTTTGGTATGATTGTGGCCTCGTGATTGAATTGTTGGGAGGTGATCTCGGCGTTCCGGTTAATCGGTCGGCGTGATTCACTGGTCCGTAGATCTAATTTTCGTTGCCTTTTTGGGTGCAATTGAGTTTCGCTGATTGGTTTCCCCCGGCGCGGTTGGGCAACAAATTTCTTTTCTCTGTTGCACTGAATTGAAGCGTGATCTTGGTTCGAATTTGGGGAAGCGACTTGGAAATGAAGAGGTCTAGAGACGATGGGTTCGTCGGTTCCCAACACAAACGCCCCGCCGTGTCGCCGCCGCCCCCTGTCGAACCGTAAGTTTTTATGTTTGGATTTAGAAATTTTCGGGTTGTAAACGATGGTGTATTGGTGATCCTACTGTCCAGTTTTAGCATTGTTTATGAACTCGTCAAATTGAGAAGCTTGGCGCTTTTGATTATGGTCTCTACGTGCATCCTTAGGGATAAATAATCTCTGCAATCTTCTTAGTTTTGAGTTTTATGGTCATTGGGGATTTAATCAATCGAAGGGTATGGAGTTTGTTCTAACGATTACATGGTTTGATTTTGATGATGTGATCAATTTGAGTTGTTGAAGGAAATTGATTCTCTTGATTGCTGTGAAGATCTTTGTTTTTCGTCTTATGGATTTGTATTTTGGGGGAAATGAAGGTCTTTGCCGATGGCTGCCCAGATTTCGACGGCAAGCAGCATGCCGAAACTGACAACAACAGATGCCTTAACTTATCTCAAGTCTGTGAAGGAAATTTTTCAAGACAAGAAGGATAAGTACGACGAATTTCTTGATGTCATGAAAGATTTCAAGGCTCAAAGGTAGAAGAATAAGTTTGTTCTTAAATTCATTTACAAATTCCTCACTCGCAGTAGGCTCAGATAATTGTTGCATTTTGTTGGCATGGTTATTTGCAGACTCGACACCTATGGTGTCATAGCCAAAGTGAAGGAGCTATTTAAAGGTAATCGGGACCTAATTTTGGGGTTCAATGCCTTTCTGCCGAAAGGATATGAAATCACACTCCCACCTGAGGATGAATTTCTGAAGAAGAAGCCAGTAGAATTCGATGAAGCAATTAATTTTGTTAACAAAATCAAGGTACATCAGCAAAGCCTTTCGTTGCTACATTTCTGTATTCGTATATAAAACATCTCCAGAATTGAGTAAAAAACTTCAAATTTTTTAATTGCAGGCTAGATTTCAAGGCCATGATCATATTTACAAATCATTCCTTGAAATTTTGAATATGTACAGAAGAGATAATAAATCCATATCGGAGGTTTATCAGGAGGTATGCTATGATCACATTTCATGGATGTTTTTATCAGAAGGAAGATTATTCGAAAGTTAGGAGTTTGTGATGCTCATTTGTAGGTTGAAGTTCTTTTTCGCGAACACCATGACCTACTTGTTGAGTTCACACATTTCTTGCCTGATGGTTCGGACACAACATTTGTTGAGTTTCAACCGGCTAGCAGAAACACTGCTCGCCTTGGGAATGATCGAAGCTCTCCAATGACCTCAGCAAGGCCGATGCATGTTGAAAAGGTAATTTTTCTTTCGTATTCAATGGTGTGGTTATCTAATTAAGAGTGGCGATGTAATGTTTTTGCAAACATGTTCCAGAAATTAGCTGTTCCATATGCAAACCATCATAATTCAGATAAGTTGAATCATGTCGAAAAAGTAACTGAGAAAAGAGAAGTTGCGGACAGATACGAGAAGGAACATGCTGATAATGCGGACCACAAAAGAAAATTTGCTAATCAGGATGAATCTGGAGCAGACCGATTTCAACGAGGTAAGAGAGAGAATGAGATTCTTGTCATAATGTGCTGTGTGGATTTTATTTTGCAGCACTACATGCTTAGTATAAAAAAAATTAATAATCATCGATTCTTGTCTGTTATTGTATAATCAGTGTTAACCAATAATATCGTTACTGTATCTGTTTATCAGTCGTTTCAAATTCATAATTAGATTATATGTAAAATTAATATGATATTTATTACAATTTGTCCAGGAACCCCAGACCCAGAATCCGCATTCCTCGAGAAGGTGAAGGAAAGAATTAAGGATCGTGAAAATTTGGAGAAAATTTATGATTGCATCCGTTCCTACAAAAGCAAGTTCTTTTCAGCAAGCCAATTTAGAAATCTGGTAAAAATTTTCTCCAAAGATTTGCGTTTCTTTTCTTTAGCTTCAACTTACTTGAGCTTATTTCTATCGAATTTCCGTTTCTCAACGTTTGTGTTTATTGCTTCACATATTGTTCTTGATGTTTGAATATTTATTGCCCTAACTGACTCTTAATAATCACCGATCTGTTTGTTCATTTGTTCCTTTTCCTACATGGCCAGAAACTAATTTCAACCGTACATTTTTTTTTTTAAAAAAAAAATTTCAGCTAGCTGGTTTATTTGGAACACATCAAGACCTTTTTGCGGCGTGCGAAGATTTCATAACTTACATTGAGAAGATCGGTAATCATATAGCATATGCTCTTTTCGTAAAATTTACTAAATTTTACAAAATTTTACAAGATCTACCTTTCCCATTTCAGGAAGCTCGAGGAGCAATAAACATGTTACAAGATCTTCGAAATTGGAAGTCGATGGGATAGAGCATGACAGGGCAAATAGAGATAGGCATAGAGACTCTGAGAATGGAGAAAGGTACAGACACGACAAAGGTCTCAACTTTAATGGCAGAGATAGCGTGGCGCAGAAAATGTCGCCTTATGCAAGCAGGGAGAAATTCCCGATGAAACCCATCCAAGAGCTTGATCTCACTAACTGTGAAAGCTGCACTCCGAGTTATCGACTTCTTCCTGAAAATGTAGGCTTTCTTACTTAAATTTTTCATAATTGAGCTTCACTTACATTCCACTAGCTGAATGCGCTTGTCCATGAAACAGTACCCGATTCCACAAGCGAGCTGTCGAACAGAGATTGGTGCTCAGGTTTTGAATGATCGTTGGGTGTCTGTTACTTCGGGAAGTGAGGATTACTCATTCAAACACATGCGTAAAAATCAATATGAAGAAAGTTTGTTTCGGTGCGAGGATGACAGGTAAAGAAAAAGATTTTTTCTTTTTTTTTTTAATATATTCTGTATTTCTGTGTTGTAATTGGCATTTGTGACCTGAATACGATACCAGGTTCGAACTTGACATGTTGCTGGAAGCTGTGAAATCGACAGCAAAGCGTATCGAAGAACTCTCCATCACTATGACTTCTCACGCAGATGGCGCAGAAGGTTCATTTTGTCTCGAAGATCACTTGACAGGTGCCTTGATGATTCCATTAATGCGTGCATATGTTTATATATATATATATATATACATATACCTTATGTGCCATTCTTGTTCCAGCTCTTCATCAGCGGGTGATTGAACGTTTGTACGGTGATCACGGGCTTGACATGTTGGATATAGTGAAGAAGAATGCTCCTGGTTCTCTACCTGTTCTTTTATTCCGGCTGAAGCAGAAGCAACAGCAGTGGGAGAGTTGCCGTGCTCAATTTAACAAAGTTTGGTCCGAAATTTACGCTAAAAACTACCACAAATCGCTTGATCATAGGAGCTTCTACTTTAAACAGCAGGATGAGAGGAACTTGAGCGCCAAAGGTAATCACGATAACTTAATTGTAAACGATGTTGAATATCAACTGTTTGTCTCTTAACTATTTCACGTACGGCTTTCTGTGATTCAGCATTGTTGGCAGAGATCAAAGAAATAAGTGAAAAGAATCAGAATGAAGATGAAATAGCCCTCTCTATCAGCGCAGGCTATAGACAGCCGATAAGACCTCACATGGAATTCGAGTATCCTGATCCCGATATCCATAAAGATCTATATCAGATCATGAAATATTCTTGTGGGAAACTTTGTACGCCCGAGGAGCATGGCAAATTCATGAAGATTTGGACGAACTTTCTTCACCCTTTCTTTGGTATTTCTTCCCATCCTTCAAATGCAGAAGACAAAAACGGCCCTTCGGAAGCTAACAATTGTGTAGCTGAAAGTTTGGAAAGTAAAGAGAATGGTAGTCCTGCCGACAAAGGAGCCCGGAAAAAATCACCCGACACAGCTGAAAATGGAGATCTGGCTGCCAAAAACAATGATGTTGGGGTTAATGACGATTTTACGCCTGGTGCAGAAAATATCGATACCTCACAAAATGTGCCTAATCCGACTGATACTGTTACGATGTCGGCTGGAGAAAAGAGCGCCAGCGATGAAAATGCTTCAGCTGCAAGGAAGGGTAATGCAAAGCCGTCGTGAATTTGTTATATACTGTTCTTGTCCCTTCTAATGTAGCCGTTAATCTCCATTGTCAGGATCTAACTCTGATTGTGGATTAAAAGCCATTACTACTCAAGAATCACAGCCGGAAGCGAGTAAATCCGCGGTTAAGAATCTCGAGGATCCAAAATCTGCAGAAGACAACAATACCGTCATGAAAGAAGAAATGTGTATTGCGGTAGAAGAAACTGACGCCAATGCCGCCGATGATGGAGATGAGAGTGCCAACAGTTTCTCGGGCGCCGAGAATGGTTCCGTAAATGGCGACGTTTCGGCAAGTGAGTCTGTTAACGAAGAAGAGTGTGAGCCTGATGAAGACGATGAGAACGACAAAATGGCTGAGAGTGAAGGAGAAGCCGATGGCTTACTGTCGGCGAAACCCATTTCATTAAAATTCTCGACTCTATCGAATGGCAGCGACAAGAATTACCGCGTCTTCTATGGAAACAAATCCTTCTATTCACTGTTCAGGCTGCACCAGGTAAGAACTATCCTGTTCCTATTTTTTAATTTTAAACTCGGATTCGTTTATGCGTCGATAATACGTTACATTGCCTCGATCCGACAGATACTGTATGAAAGAATGCGTAGCGCAAAGTTGCATTCTTTATCGCCTGAAAATAAATGGAAGTTTTTGAACAATGCGAATCTGGACGAGCCATATGAAAGGTGGTTTGTTCTAATCTAGTTTCTCGACACTTTTTTTGCGGGCGAACCTTATATTCGGACGTGATTTAACGTAAACTCGGCGTTTGTACCAGGTTTAAGGTTGCGCTGAACAAGTTGCTGCAAGGGGCGTTCGACAATACAAGGTTTGAGGATGAGTGCCGGGCTATTGTCGGGGCTCAATCTTACGTCCTCTTCACATTAGACAAACTGATACGTAAACTTGTCGAGCAGGTTCTCCCGCAACGCTCTCGTTTTACGTTTTACGTTTTAATTTTTTGTGCTTTTTGGGTACTTTGCGACTAAAACGTTTCTCTTACAGCTGAACAAGATTGCTGATGGGGACATGGAAAACAAACTCGTCCAACTCTACGCGTACGAGAATTCGAGAAACCCCAAAACTTCCTCGGATGCAGTTTACTACAAGAACGCCCGTCTCCATCTTCCGGAAGATGATTTATATCGAATCGAATGCGTATGTTTTTCTCGCCCTTTGATTACCAAACTACCGGACGTTAATTCTTACAAACTTCTGTCGCAGTCGGATGTCCCGATCCACGTGACCGTCCAGCTCATGAGAAACGAGCCCGATAAACTCGAGCCGATTTCCGTTTGTATGGACCACGACGTCGCAGCTTATTTGAACGGCGAACCGCCTGTTCCCGCCCGGACAAAGAAGCCCGGGGTATTCTTAAAGAGGTAGATCATGTCTGGGAAAAAATCTTCGATATGTCAAAATTTTTTTCGCCCACATGTTCTCACGTCCTTGTCCTAAATTGCAGAAACCGGGACAAATTTTCAACCGGAGATGAAAATTCCGATGCCTGTGAAGCCCTCGAAGGGCTGATAATCCGAAACGGCGTGGAGATGAAAGTCAACACCAACACAAAAAAGGTAAGAACATCACCTAATCCCGACATCGTATTTATTTCTTTCACGCGCCACTCGAACGTCGTATGTATCAGGTGGCTTATGTTCTGGACACTGAAGACTTCCTGTATCGTGGTCGGACGAAGGCGTGCGACGGCGACGCTCGGAGGAAGAAACAGAAACGGACGTTTAGCGACGAACTTTTGAAGCTGTTGGAATCACTGGCAAAGACCCGATTTGCAGTTGTGAGGGAAGCACAATAATTAATTTATACTGATCTATATAGCCTGATTGTGTTCTGTTTTTCAACATGGGATTGTGTCGATTCTAGCTTTTGTCATATGATAAGTTTAGATAGAAACACACTTATTGTCCAATAAAGGATTATCGAAGGGAAGCTGCTGTGCTATGCATTCTTGCACTATACAAGTCGATCATTTTTCAATAACTTTAATTCATCTTTTTTTTCTTTCTTTTGTGGTGGTGTCAATTGGCGAATATTTTCAATTTGCAGTATAATGATATCACTATTTTCAAATTTGCACGAAAATTAGAAAATTTATATTTGTAGCTACTGTTAGTTTTTCGCTCAACTTATTTTTACTTGCTTGGTACAATTTTCATTTTTGATATTTTTACCTCTACTTTTACGTATAAAATAATTATATGACAAAATTATTTCATGGTTTTTTTTGTGATTTCGACTTGGCAAATCCCTTTGTACTAGAGAAGATAATTTTTATCTAGTTTTATTACATGGCCAAAAAAGTTGTACATTTTAATATGTTTTAAATTTAAATTATTATATCATAATTATTTTAAATTATTTATTATTATTATTATTATTATTATTATTATTATTATTATTAATATTTATAAATTATTGTGTTTACAGTAAAATAAAATTATGGGAGACGGAGGTATCATTAGCTTTTTATTCCATTCCTTTGTACTAATTTGACTTTTCTTTTAATTTTTATATATTCGCAAGTTCGCGACACCAAACTCGACACGACACCTTAACTGCCTTCTCGCTCTTCCATCGGACATTTTTTCCGACTTCGGATCTCGAATCGACGGCAGATATGGCTCATGTGACACGCCGCGCCGCCGTCCCCGGCCTACAGAAAGTTGTCGCCGTCGCCACGCGCCACTTCGCGGCCGCATCGACGTCCTCCCTTACGATCGAGACCTCCGTACCATTCACCGGCCACAAGATCGATCCGCCCTCTCGCTCCGTGGAAACTAGCCCTGAGGAGCTTCTCTCCTTCTTCAACGACATGGCTCTTATGCGCCGCATGGAAATCGCTGCCGATTCGCTCTATAAAGCGAAGCTAATTCGAGGTTTCTGCCACCTGTACGACGGGCAGGAAGCGGTCTCCGTCGGGATGGAGGCTGCAATCACGAAAAAGGACTGCATTATCACCGCGTATCGCGATCACTGCATCTTCCTGGCGCGCGGCGGAACGCTTCTGGAATCGTTCGCGGAGCTTATGGGAAGGAAAGATGGGTGCTCGAAAGGGAAAGGAGGCTCGATGCATTTTTATAAGAAAGATGGAGGTTTCTATGGCGGACATGGAATAGTTGGCGCGCAGGTTCCGTTAGGCTGCGGATTGGCCTTCGCGCAGAAATATAGCAAGGACGAGAATGTGACTTTTACGCTCTATGGCGACGGTGCTGCAAACCAGGGACAGTTGTTTGAGGCGTTGAATATGGCAGCGCTTTGGGACCTGCCTGCTATTCTGGTCTGCGAGAACAATCACTGTAAGATGCTATCCTAGAATTCGATTTCTCTTATACTGCTATTTGAAGTATTGGTTAGAAGAATGATCCTTTTATTGTTGAGTATGAACTATGAATTAAAGTACAGTTTCTGCTATGGTTTGCTTTTCAAAGTTAGTTTTGTTCATAGGATATTCTGAATGGATGAATTATGGGTTTCATTTTGTTAATTTTACAATTCAGATTGCCCTAAATTGAAGTGAAATGAGTGCATTAAGTCTGTCTTTCTTCATATGGATGTTTCATTTGCTTGATCACATTGGTCTACAGATGGAATGGGCACAGCAGAATGGAGGGCAGCCAAGAGTCCAGCTTATTACAAGAGAGGTGATTATGTTCCAGGGTTGAAGGTGGGATGGTTTTCTTTGTTCTTATTTATTTTCTTGTGCATGACATGCTTCTCAAATTGAGTACATGCGTTATGGGACACATTTGATTGGAGAATAGATTATGAAGAACAATAATGAAATTGTCGTATAACTTATGTTTCCGGGCTACTTTGGTGTGACCTTGTCCTGATTGTATAGTAACTATGCTCTATGCATACTCAAATTTTAGTCCAATGATGAAACAATCATTATTGAGAACTTACTTCGAAGCCTCTCCTTATTCTTGTTCAATATTTATTGTCTCAGGTTGATGGTATGGACGCTTTAGCTGTGAAACAAGCGTGCAAATTTGCTAAGGAGCACGTTCTAAAGAATGGACCGATTGTGAGTTCATGAATTAGGCTTCCTGTTATTTTTTAGTGCACTTGTGTAGTTGACTATCCTTCATTCATTAGACCTGTTGTACTGAAGCATGCTCATACTTAGGCATACACAAACATTCATATCATGTAGCTCGTATAATAGAGGCAGGAAGTCGAAATACTCTATTGGATCACCTATAAAAAGAGAACAGATTTTATTTTTTTAATGAATAGTTTGGATACGTTTTAAAAAACAACTATGTTTTAGGTCTTCTTTTCACTGCTGAGATGGTTCAAACTTTCCATCTAATCATGTGTACTGTATGGTGCCCGGAGGTTTTACCTGATGAACAAATTAACTAGATTTGATCTGTGAGAAGCTGTTTTAAGGGAGTACCTTTGCATTTATAGAGGTCACAGATGTGAATGACCAAAATGTTGTTAAATAATTGTATTTGTAACACAATAAATACGTGTAACTTTATGGAAATGCATATTGTTTGTTGTTTTGGTTAGATAAGAAGATTATATTCCAAAAATGCTCTACGAAAAAATAGATAAAATAATTTCTTATTTGTAAATTTCCAGTTGAAATTCTGGTGCTATTGTACTATGATAAAATTGTTACCTGAGCATGCAAATCTGGACTTATTTCTGATTATCTCATATGGTACAAATGGCTATAAACACTTATTTAACAACATCCAGTGTTCATTTTTTGCTAAATTTATTAACCCTGTCCGTCTTAATTCTTCTCAGATTCTCGAAATGGACACCTACAGATATCACGGTCACTCTATGTCTGATCCTGGGAGCACATATCGTACGCGTGATGAAATTAGCGGCGTTAGACAGGTGGATATTCTGTGACTATTATCCCTGAAGGTAAAGTGCCTGAATGCTCGGTTACTCACCTACTTAATTTTCTGTTCTACAGGAGCGTGATCCTATCGAAAGAATCAGAAAGCTTTTACTAGCTCATGATATAGCCACTGAGAAAGAACTGAAGGTAGCATAGTTACATAATTCTCTTTCTTCATTCTATGTAGTACTCAATCATGGCTTCGGAATTATGCATCTCCCTCAACTGAATGAATCGTTATGTCAAACATTTCATCTTAAAATATATATATATATATATATATATGCTGAGATGGTTCATCGTTTTGGTTTGAAATCAGGATAGGGAGAAAGAAATAAGAAAGGAGGTAGACGATGCCATTGCAAAAGCCAAGGTCAGAAATGCTTAATTATGGTTTATTTCGAAGGAATCTGAAGTTTTGATGACTGTTGATTTGTGTCACAACTATATCGTACTGAATATGATTTTTACAGGAGAGTCCCTTGCCTGACCCTTCCGAGCTTTTTACTAATGTATATGTTAAAGGCTATGGAACCGAGGTTAGTTAGACAGACCCTTTCCTTCTTCAAATGTTCGATAAGGACCAACCTTATGCTAAACAACAATTGTTATTTGATTTTTTTGGATTATCATCATTTCATATCTATCTAATTCAAATTGTGACAGGCATTCGGAGCTGACAGGAAAGAATTGAGAGCGACGCTCCCTTGAAGCGGGAGATCAAAAAGGCACCGGCGCCAGTCGCCTCATCCTCCAGGAACTAGCGGACGGTATCTAAAGAAAGAAAAGCTTAGACATACATTGGCTGTTCATAATTCTTGGTCTTGTTATTCTACTTTTATTTTTTCCAGAGTTTTTGGATATTTTTAAAATATGTGAAACTGTACTTTTCGAGTTCTTTCTAGGTAAATTATAGCTAAGCCTAATACTCTGCAAATTAGACCCGATAAAACAAGTCACACTAAACAAACTATGTGTGGCTGGCAAGAAAGCATCGGGTATTTTTGGGTTCTTGTAATAGGATATGTGGATCTGCTGCCATTATTTTTCTTGCCATTCATAAGGTTTCTGCAGAACTCAAATGCAAGTGTGTGAATTTGAACATCATATGTGACTCTGATTTGTACTTTGTCATGTATCAAATGTATTTAAAGACCATTTTTGCAATATCCCTATTCACAGTCGGTTCTATATTATATCTATTTGTTCTGTTGTTCCCATTGTGTGCTTATTTGAAAGTAGAAAAGGTTTTATTTTTTATTTAAAAATAAAAATCAAAAATAAATTTAGAAAAAAATTTAAAATAAATAAAATTGGATGACAATATTATTTTATTTAGGGCGAGTTTGGCTGTTAGCTGATTCAATTGGCTGGTTTGACTAGCTGATTCGATTAGTTGTTTGTATTAAAATGTTTGGTAAAAACTGTTTGATATTAGCTGTTTATACAGACATTTCTATTTTATTTTTGTTTCTAATATATTCAATTATGTTCTTTTAAGTTTAGAATGTTTAAAACTTTTTTGTTATTAGTTATTGAAAATTGTAAAAGTGTTATAAAAGTATTTATTTTTATTAGAGTAAGATTTAAAAATAATAATATATTTTTACTAAAATATAAAAATAGTTTTTTCTATTGAAAATGATATAAAATATAAAAAAATAAATTTTTCGTGTATATATTTATTATGTTAGTTATCGATTAATTCATTATATTTATAATTTTCAATAAATTTAATTTATTTAATTTATTTTTAGTATAAAATTTATATAATATAATTTAATATAAAAATAAATTATTAATATTTATATTTATATTTTATATTGCTTTTAATAAATTTATATATTTTACAATTAAAATAATTATATATAAAAATTAATTATTTTAAATTTATAAAAGTAAAACTATAAATGCATAATAAATTTTTAAGGGCATATAAACAATAAAAAAAATTTTACAGAAAAAGTTATTTCAAAACGTTGAGTAAGTTAGCTTTTTAGCTTTTTGGATCCAAAAACTATTTCAAAAACCTAATTTACTAAAAACACCTCAATTATTTTTTTATTGGTCAAACAACTAAAAATTATGGAAGCTTTTCAAAACGTTATTTGCCAAATATATGTGTTGTTACCATGCTGAATGTTGCACACGCGCACACAAAAAATTGTTAAAAATTAATTGTGTATAGTATTAAAAATGTAATAGTAATATAAATTCATTAAATAAAGAATAATCAATTTATACTATAAATAATTAAATACCTTGTTGGGCCGGACCAGTTGAGATTTTGGGCTTCTTACTGCTTAATCAACATCCCCTCTTTCACTGTCTATCTCTCTTCGTCTCCTCCAAACGGCTAAAACCCTGAAATTCCAAATTCTTGTGGCGGAGCAACTAACGGGTGTGGGTTTAATCTATATGGAATGTTCAGGTATGGTCGTCATGCATCTGATTTATGTTTTTTTCAGCTGTTTTGATTCTGTTTACATTTCGTACTATGGGCGTCGTTGTTTTGATGGTTGGAAGTGGAGTTTGTGTAAATGCTGTATGATTAAGGTCACAATTAAGGAATTGACAGGGGATTTTGGAGCCGATTGAATAAAGATGCCGAAACTTCGTTTCTGTTGTTATTTACAGAGTTCGATTATGTTTGTTATGTGCAGGTTGCTGCCCATCGGCAGAAGTGGGCATTTATTGAATTCGCCGTCATCTCGAAGCTATTGCCTCTTGGATTACCAACGTCTGAGGTATATACGCAGTTTGTCGAATGGAACAGGTAAAAGGAGCCGAGAGATTGATTTTGAACTTCTATATGATACGTGCACTACAGCGGAGGCTGCAAAGCGTGTTCATGCACTTCTAATTGTATCGGGTAAAGCGTGGGGAAGTTTTGTTGCCACAAGGCTTGTCAATTTGTATTCTCATCTTGGTGATGTCTCCTCTTCGAGAAAAATTTTCAATCGAATACAAAGAAAAGATGCCTATACTTGGAACTCAATGGTATCGGCTTATGTCCGGAGTCGTCATTTTGGTGAAGCAGTTAGATGTGCCTTTGAAATGCTGTCGAATTCCGATGCTCGACCTGATTCGTACACATTTCCTGCTGTTCTTAAAGCTTGTACTGCTTTTGATGATGGCAGGAGGCTGCATTGCTGGATTGTGAAGTTAGGGTTTGAATGGGATTTGTTTGTGGCTGCTTCCTTGGTGCATATGTACTGTCGTTTTAGCCGTCCTAGCAGCGCATATAATATCTTCAAGGAAATGCCGTACCGCGATATGGGATGTTGGAACTCGATGATTTCTGGATTTTGCCAATGTGGTAATGCTAAGGAAGCATTCAGGATCTTGAATAATATGGGAATGGAGGGCATACGAATGGATTCCGTGACGGTTGTATCCATTCTCTCGGTTTGTGCACTGATGAGCGATAAGTTATACGGGATGCTGATCCATGTGTTTACGATAAAACAAGGTATGGAGTTCAGTTTATTCGTATCCAATGCCTTGATAAATATGTACGCAAAATTTGGCGAGTTAATTTGCGCGCAAAATGTCTTTGACGATATGGCCGTTAGAGATATAGTGTCGTGGAACTCTATAATTGCGGCGTATGAGCAAAACGACTGTCCAATTGATGCGCTTCGATTCTTTCATCGAATGCGAGTTAGTAAAGTTAAGCCAGACGTGCTCACACTAGTCAGCTTGGCTTCGAGCGCTGCTCAGACTAAGAATTTTCTGTTTGGATACTCTGTTCATGGATATGTCGTAAGAAGATGTTGGATTACAGCAGATACTGTTATTGGGAATGCTATTGTCGACATGTACGCAAAATTAGGCGTCACTGACTCTGCCCAAAAGGTTTTTGACGAACTTCCCTATAAGGATGTAATTGCGTGGAACACCATGATCGCAGGCTACGCTCAAAATGGTCTCGCTAGTGAAGCTATTAAGGTTTTTCGCCATATGAAAGAAAGCGAGCATGTGGCGCCTAATTTAGAGACGTGGGTGTCGATTTTACCGGCGTATGCTCATATCGGAGCTCTAAGAGAAGGAAAGAAGATTCATAATCAGGCTGTCAAAGAAGGGCTCGACTCCAACTCGTTTCTAGGTACTTGTCTTATCGATCTATATGGAAAATGTGGGAGACTCGACGAAGCAATGTCGTTATTTTATAATATGTCGAGGGAAACATCCGTGCCTTGGAATGCCGTAATATTGTGTCACGGGCTTCACGGAAACGGCGAGACATCCGTACGACTTTTCAATGAGATGTTAAGTGAAGGGATCGAGCCAGATCATGTGACATTTGTGTCGCTATTGACTGGTTGTAGCCATTCGGGTTTTGTCGATCTAGGGGAACGTTATTTCCGTGCGATGAAGAAAGATTACGGAATTAAACCTATCATGAAGCACTACGGATGCATGGTTGATTTGTATGGGAGGGCCGGGCTACTGCAAAAAGCGATCGACTTTATCGAGATGATGCCTGTGAGACCCGACGCTACGATATGGGGTGCGGTTCTTGGCGCTTGTAGAATCCATGGAAATGTCGAATTGGGTAGAAAAGCATCCGATCGATTATTTGAAATCGATTCAAGTGATGTCGGATACTATGTTTTGATGTCGAATTTGTACGCGAATTTGGGGAGATGGGACGGCGCGGATGAGATGAGATTGTTGGCGAGGGACCGAGGCCTCCGGAAGACGCCCGGATGGAGTTCGATCGAGCTTAATAGCAACGTCGAAATCTTCTTTACGGGAAATCAATCGCACCCGCAGAGTGCGGAGATCTACAAAGAACTGGCGAAATTAACCGCGAAAATGAAGAGCCTCGGGTATTTTCCCGACCATAGTTTCGTATTACAAGATGTTGAAGATGACGAGAAAGAAAATATTCTTACGAGTCACAGCGAGCGATTGGCTATAATGTACGGTATTCTGAATACACCCCCGAAAACTATGATTCGAATTTACAAAAATTTAAGGGTATGCGGGGATTGCCACACGGTGACGAAGTTTATATCGAAGATTACGGAGAGGGAGATCATAGTAAGAGATTCGAATCGGTTTCATCGTTTCCACGACGGGGCTTGTTCTTGCGGGGATTATTGGTGATTCGATGTTTACTTCGACTCGATTGGATTTGGTTAAGACAATGCAAAAGTTGTGAGCTTGGGAGATCATCGACCTGGAGATTCGAAAGTGGCGCGTTCCATGTGCTTCGAGTCGAGGTACCAATTTTCTTGATGATTTGTTTAAATATCTATTGATTTTGCGAAATTTTACGCGGGAAGATTGAGAAAAATTTGACGATAGTGAAACCACATTTGTCGATGAACATTTGAAATGGTTGAGAGTTAACGATGAATCGAGTATTGAGGCCCATGAGGCATATAGATGAGGCATATAGTTCAGTAGTGTGAGGATGAATTCGTTAAACGATTCGAGGTGAAATTTTTTAACTAACCTAGTAGAAAATTTTTAAAATTTCTAAAACTTCTACTCCCTGTCCCTTTTATATATCCATTACACAGAGATTAAGGTATATTAGTATTATATTGATAGGCAGTGGAAATAACTAAAATAATCTTATTAGTATTACGTGATATAAAAAAGTAATAATATTTGTGTAATATATTATAAGTGGTAAAGATATTTGTAATGATAGATAAGATTATTTAAAAAAATGGATAATTTATTATGGGCAGACAAAAAAAAAATTGAATAGGTTGTTAAGCCGAAATATTATTAAATTCAAATTTTGTCTTCTTGTCTAATTAAGCAAATAGTACAACATAACAATTACGAACATGGATAGATTCAAATTAAAAACCCTTTTAAAAATAACCCAACAAAAAAACAACAATGACCCAAAAAAACCCAATTGATAGATTCTATGAAAATCTAGAAATTTGCAATTTTTTTAGCACATGCATATTACATATATATATTTATTTATTTATTAAAAGGATCTGTGATGGTCCTTTTATGGGCGGTGAATATGAAGACCTGTGGGCGGACAAAACGACACCGTCTGACAGACTGGTTTTCACAAGTGGGCTGTGTAGTACAGTTCGAATTGGGGGGGCTAATTAATATATTGCAGAAATTCTGGTGCCAATTTATATATATTTATGGTTCAGGGAATCCTAAGGCACTGTACTGCACCGCACCATCACTCACTGCACCGTCGCTCTTCCCAATTTAATCACATCACAATAAATATTCTCATCCATCACTCCCCTCATATTTAAATTTTAAATATTTATAATACAAAACGAATCATATGCCAATAATGAGAAATATTATTAACACTAATTTAATATTAATAAAATGAACAAATAAATAGGTTGTGTTTTTTTTAATCCTTCCGATCCAATAGAATAATTTTATTTACTATTTTTTATTTATCTTAAAATAATATTTTTATTTTCATAAATAATTATATTACTATATAATTACTCTTACTCTTTCATTATTACTTCATCCGTCCAAGCAAGAAGTATACATTTACTTTTTTAGCACGGAATTTAAGAAATAATAGTATTTTAATTATAGTGTGTAGGTAAAAAGTAGTGTAATGAGATTTTTGCCCTTATTTTTTTTTTTATAAAAAGTAATTATGTAATGTAAAGTAAGGGTATTTATGAAAAAAAAAAAAGTAGGGTATTTAATGCAATGATTACTTTGTAATTGGACGTCCCAAAATAGAAATATATATACTTTGTAACTGGACGGAGGGAGTATTACACAATTGTCACTACATTTTACACTAATACACTCACAAAGACAAAAATATCTTTTACCTATACTTTTTGTCCACTATCAATATAATATCAATATTCCTTAAATCTTGTGTCCAACACAACAAATACTATAGTTTCGGAACCGAGGGAATATGAGTTTGAAAAAAAATTGATTTTGATTTGATGTGAAAATAATATTTGATCGGATATTTTTAAAAAATAGAGAGTTCAAATAATAAAATTTGAAGAAATTATGCTTAAAAAAAAAATCATACAATAGTTTTCAATTCAGGATTCACACTAAAATCTTTATTATTTTCTATTGGCAAAATTGCCCATAACTCCCTTGTGGTTTCGAAACTTAGCGTAAATTTCCCCTCTTCTTTAAAAATTGTATGACGCCCCCTTATACCTTAAAAGATGTTGCATAAACCACTTTGTGGTTTCGACACTCAGCATAAATCCTCATTTTACTTTAAAAAATTGCATAACGTTCACTTATAATTTCAAAAATATTGCATAAAACCCCTCTGTCATGCAAAAACATATAGATAGGAAATCATCTTCTTATCACGCAAGGAAAGTTTCATAGCTGTAGGGTTTCATGCAACGTTTTTTAAAGTATAAGGGGATATTATGCAATTTTTTAAAATACATGAATATTTTACGCTGAATTTCGAAATCACATGAGAGATATAAGCAATTTTACCTTTTCTATTTTGTCCTTTTTAACCAAATTAGGTGAGCTATTGGAATGTTGGTTTGTAGTTTTTAGTTTGTAGTTTGTACTAGTACTTTTTAATATATATATATATATCTATATATAATTTTAAATTGAAGTAAGTAATGAAGGTGCATTGCTATAATCCAACCACCTTTAGAAACAATAATAATAATAATAATAATAATAATAAATAACATTATTAAAATTCATGGGCAGGTTATACGTGGTTTTTTAAGTGACAAAATAAATGTCCTAATTGGCTAATTGGTTGATTAAAATAGGGCAAGTAGGTACTTGTTTAACAAAACCAAAACATGGAAATCTTAAATTAAAATTGGCAAGTTGGTGGCAGGAATCTTAATTTCATCTTTTGATTTACACAAACCATGAATAACTTCAATTTTATTTCCTGCATAGGGTTCATGAACTTGTCTGGATTTTCAAATGGATTTTAATTTATCAAATAACAATAATGAAAAATTAATTTTGTAAAATTAACAATAATAATAATAATGAAATAAGCATCTATATTTTGTGGGGGGGTGTAAACGTAAATAGAGTATAGTATAAGGGGAAATGTGCAAAATAGAAAGGTGGAGAGCAAGTGATCACGTGGCAGCAGTGCTGTGCGCCAGCGAATCACAGACTGAGGGCAGCCGTCAAATCATAACTTTTTCTTGCTGGCAATCTGAGCTGTAATTTTATTTTATTTTAATTTTATATTTATTTCTATTTGTCACGCAACATTTTTGTTATTACTATTTTGGTATTTTTGTTCATATTGTGAAGCAAATAATATTCTTTCCCTCCAAATAAAAAGTGAAATACAGTCACAATGAGATTTGGAATTTATACAAGATTTATATATTGTTTTATTTAATTAAATTTTCGAATTTATATACGTATTGACCTAATTTATACGAATAAAGAAATTAAATTACAAATTTACAGGCTGTCATTATTAATTTTTACAGAAAGTCTCTGAGTGATGTATATTGATCAATCTTTGACTGAAATTTAGCAGGAAATAATTATTTCTGCTTTAATTAATTATTATTTTTTTAAAAAAAAACATTTTTTATGTAAGGCCGTGTTTGGTTTGAATATTACTTCTGCAAATCGTAAATTCAGTCCGTGGGTATATAGCACAGAAATGCTGCGTTTACGTATTTATGTATTTTCCTTTTCCTTCTCCAGAGAGACTGCGAATTTGAAATCTCCAAAACGTTTCGCCATTGAAGCAACATAAAAATGCTTCTTCAATAGTTCTGTTCTGTTCTGCTCTGCTCTGCTGTTCGTTTTTGCGAGTGTGTATATATACAATATATACATATATATGTATATGTATATGTATATGCACACTCGATTTACAGAGGTCATTACAGTTTTCATTTTCAAGAAGTTTTGATTTCTTGCCAAGAAGATGAGAATTTCAAGTTTCAGTCAATCGCCGATCTCCGCCGTCGGATTCTTCCTCCTCCTCCTCCTCGGCGTTTTTCCACCGTTGATGTGCCTCGGGATCCGATACCTCCCCAGCGAGGGGACCGGGTTAACGGATTCAAACCCGATCAAAACCCGCTTCGGATTCGCGGAGGCGCCGGAGTATCGTAACGGCGCCGACTGCCCGATATCGGCGTCGCCGGCGGCGTCAGTAACGTCGTGCGACCCGTCGTTGGTCCACGTGGCGATGACCCTCGACTCGGAGTATCTCCGGGGGTCGATGGCGGCGGTGCACTCCGTTCTCCGCCACGCCTCCTGCCCGGACCAAATCTTCTTCCACTTCATCGCCGCCGAGTTCGACCCGTCCAGCCCGCGGGTCCTGACCCGACTCGTCAGGTCCATATTCCCTTCCCTGAATTTCAAAGTGTACATTTTCCGGGAAGATACAGTCATCAATCTCATCTCCTCGTCGATCCGCTCCGCCCTGGAGAACCCGCTGAACTACGCCCGGAACTACCTGGGCGACATACTTGACCCGTGTGTGAACCGGGTCATCTACCTGGATTCGGACCTGGTCCTCGTCGACGACATCGTCAAGCTCTGGAAAACCCGCCTCTCCCCGGGTCGAATAATCGGAGCTCCGGAATATTGCCACGCCAATTTCACCAAATACTTCACCGACGCCTTCTGGTCCGACCCGGCCCTGCCCGGAGTTTTCGGATCCCGGGCGCCCTGCTACTTCAACACCGGCGTGATGATCATGGATTTACAGAAATGGCGGGGCGGCCATTTCCGGCGAAAAATCGAGCACTGGATGGAACTGCAGAGAAGAAACCGTATATACGAGCTAGGTTCTCTGCCGCCGTTTCTTCTGGTGTTCGCCGGCAATGTCGAGCCGATCGATCACCGGTGGAACCAGCACGGCCTCGGCGGCGACAACGTGGCAGGATCCTGTAGGTCGCTGCACCCCGGTCCAGTGAGCCTGCTGCACTGGAGCGGGAAGGGTAAGCCTTGGGTAAGGCTAGACGAGAAGAAACCGTGTCCGTTGGATCATCTCTGGGAGCCCTACGATTTGTACACGTCACCCGGGAAGGGCAAGGTACAACACCAACAGCGCGAGGAACAACACGTGCTTGCCTCATCACCTAATAACCTGCTTGGTTATTCCAGTTATTTCTTTTAGTCAAAATTCTTTGATTTTCTGTGTACAGATTTGGGAAACAAACACAGAGAGGCGTAAAATTCGTATTTTTTAAAAAATTAATTGCAAAAAAAATATATATATTATATTGTGACAGCTTGTCAATTCTTTTTTCATACATTTGAGGAGCCAATTTTTGGGACTTATTAGATTCACATTGTACTTGCCAATATTTTGAACAATCTATTCAAAAATTTGTGTGTAACATGGCTTCAAGTTCACAACTTTTCGATTGCCCAAGTAAAAAAATTTAAGTTAACCACCCCATTAAAAAAAAAAAAAAAAAGAAAAGACATTAAATAAATAAATAAATAGAATCATGAAATGAATGTGAATGGTGACAATGATTTAAAGGCAAGATAATGTAATAAAGTAGGAAGTGTTAGGAGAAGCCCATCTCATCAAGTTTTCTGCCAAACACTTAGCATCCAAGTTTCTCATGACATTATTTTTTTTAGAACCACAAAAAGAGTGTTAGTTGCTTGTCTCATTCTCTCAATTTTTTTGAATTTTTTATTTCAAAAAAATAAAATAAAATGTACATTAGGTGGGCTGGAAATTTCTTGAAACATTGATGTTTTGGTATTTGGTTTTCTTGAAAATGACTTATTTATTTATTTTGTGATAGGCAAATGGGAACTTTTTAACAACTATAGCTTAAGTGCCCTTCATCGTGTTGCCATGTAGCATAATAACAATAATATTAATACAACAAAACTTGCCTGGATTTAATTTAATTGAAAAATTATGTAAGTTAGGATCCAATAAATGATCATTGACTTGACCTGAAAATTACTAAAAGATCACATGCCATGGAATCAGTTGGGCAACCCATACATACATATATATATATATATATATGCACTGATTAATTCATAATGTACAGTAAAGTCTATATATAATTTAATTATTATAATAGTATTATAAATTAATTAATTAGTAGTCGAGACAGTAAATAACGTTCTTACTTGTTGGAAGTGCTTTAATTTTGACAATAACGAATTTGACTTTAATTTGGATAATCGGTCTTAAGTAATAAGTATATGTTATAATTATAGTATTAATATTATTTATTTTAATAATATATACATATTATACTGTATAAGATCAAAGGGTGTGTTTCTTTAGGCCGGTTTGAGAAATTTTGAGTTTGAGTTTAATTTTTATTTGAATTTTAGGATAAGTTTGAGTTTATTTGTTTCTTTTGTGTTTGAGTTTTTTAAAGTTTTGATATATATTGATTTGATAGATAATAATATAATAATATAACTGTGTATTAAATTTAATTGATAAAATTAATGTAGTATGATTTGATTATGAATTTATATTATATACAATATATATATTTTAGAATTTTTATTTATTTGTATTATAGAAAATTTTATTCTTTATAAAATGATATATATATATTGTATATATATTTTTAACCTATAATTATTATAAATATTAAATAAATTACTCCATCCGTCCCATAGCAAAGTATCTATTTTTCCATTTTAGTCCGTCCCATAACAAAGTATCAATTTCATTTTTTTTTAGTAACTGTACTATTTATCTAACATTACAAATACCCTTACAACTTACAATATATTACACAAATGGCATTACCTTTATATTACACGTACTAGTAAGGTTATTTTAGTCATTTATACTTTATTCATACTATATCCCAATATAATACTAATATTTCTAAAACTATTTGAAAAAAGCAAATAGATACTTACTTATGGGACGGAGGGAGTATTATTTATATATTTTAAATTTTTTTAAAAAAAAAGAAAAAAAACAGAGAAGGAGACGTAAAGCTGCTGCAGCCTGCAATGTGTTGTCTTATTTAGCGGCACCCCGAGGGCAGAAGAAACACACCTAAAGTTTATATAATACAAATAAATAAAAATAATAATGTTTACATATAATCAATATAAATATTTTTTTTAAAATATATATATATATAATCTTGAATATATATGTTGGTGTGATTTGACATAAATGTAAAATTACAAGTAATTTCTATCTTAAAATAATATTGAAAAATATAAAATTCAAAAGTAGAATACACAGTTAGATATTGCAGAAAATGATTAAAGATCCATACAAATAAATAAATAATTAGCTTTGTATGTAATATTGGAATTGGAAAGAAATCAGAATCTGGAAATTGATTTGAGTAATTAATGATTGGGTTGGCAAAGTATAGCATACCACGTTAAGGTAGTCTCTATCTATAAGCATTCTGTCCTGAATTTAAAATTAAATTTTTTTTTAAAATAAATAAATTAATTAAATTGCCTCTTTTATCTCTTCAATGGATCAAAAATTCATTATGTATTTTATAGTAATTTGTTCCTCCTAATTTTTTATTTTGTAATATAAAAAATTATTAAATTTTTATCCATATGATGATTTATACATGTAGTTTTTAAATTTTATTTTTTTATAGTAAAACAATATTAAATTTCATATAGTTTTATTGAATTTTTTTCCTAGAATATTTCAATTTTTCATTTTTTAATTTTTTTTCAGGTGTAATATGAACAAAAAAAAAAAAAAAAAACACAACATTGAATTGATATAAAAAGAAAAAAATCGATTTTGAACCCTCCGAACTTTTACTGCTGGTTCTGTCACTGGTTCGGGGTTCGGGATCGGACATACCAATGTTAAAAAATAAATACAAATCCCAAAAAAATACAACCCACAAAAATTGATTGGATTTCATATTTATATGATGAGATTTTATATATGCAATTTTAGTTTTAAGACATTGTATCAAAATCAAACCTTATATATACATACTAAACCAAGACAATGTCGCATTTCATGGTAAGAAAAAAGCGCTATCATCCACTAAAAGACGCTAGAGTAACTTCACCGCACCGTATGAAAATAACCGGAGGGAAGGCTCACCGTAGGTCACACGTGACACGTGCTGGCTATTATTGGGCCGTGGGCCATCATTTTTTAATTTGTTACTAGACTTCAAAGTTAATCTTGGGCCTTCTAGAATGTGAGATTAATATTTTTTTTAAAAAAAATTATGTATACGTTATACGTGTGTGTCATCTGCATCGCAATAATTATATTAAGTGAATTGTCTCTCTTATTTTGGCATAAAATGATTTAATTCTGTCATATTTTAAGAAATTGAAAAGGTTTACATTTATTATTATTATTATTATTATTATTATTATTATTATGACTTGCATTTGTTTTTTATATTTAATTTTTTAATACTGTATAATTTATATAAAATAATTTTTTTTTATTAAGAAACTCTAACGTACAAACAAAACATTTCCTATTAATGGCCTATTTTGGTAGGCACCAAAATAAAGCTAGGTTGGCCCGGTTATATATATAAATATAAATTATTTGTTTCTATAATAATTATATTAATATAATTTTATAAATGGTATAGTGAGTTGTCTCTTTGCATTTGTTATACATTTAAAATACTTAATATAATATTTTATGCTTATTAATTTGTTACTATAACTTTTCATTCAACATTTTTTTATATAAATCTTGTTTGATTAAAATGTTAATATCACTGTGGTTTTATTATTAATATTATCATGGAATTAATGTCCGGGCCGGGTTAAACGGATATGGGTCTACCCGCTTGACAAATTGACTGCCTATTATTGGAGTCTGGATACTAGAGGTCCGGCACGTGCCACGTCCGTGTCTCTTGACTCTTGCTTCTCTCTTCAATCACTGGCATTTGCTCTGCTCTGTTCTGCACTGAACGCTGTGGGACACATTGAAGAGAAGCAACCCATCTCTATCTACCAGCATCATCATTATCTCCAATCCAGACTCTGCCCCAGCTGCTGCTTCTTTAACAAAATCTGTAGGTAAAGCCTTTTTTCTTTTTTTTTTTTTTTTTTTTTTTTTTCCTGATTTTTAGGTAGTGCGGTTCACTTTTAACTGTTGTTTGGTGAATTGCGGGGTAGTTTGGTTTGGGGATTTTACGGTTTTGAACTTCACACCGAATGTTTGGTTCGATAATTTTTAGATCAGCGGTTGAAATTGAACTTTTCTGTACATTTGGCCACTTTAGGAGTTGCATTGTTGAGAAAAGGCAGATCTCTTGTCCTTGCCGATGCGATGATTGTGTGAAAACATTTTTTTGTTGTGTTTGGTTTTTTTCTTACATAAGCTTGCGTTTGTGTTTCTATGCTGATGATTGGAGCTTTATGCTGTTTAGACCTTTCTAGACGGACCAGAAAGAGACACTTGATATTTGTGTTACTGTAAAAAAAAAAAAAACCGCTGTAATGTTGGTGATGATTATGGGGGGTAGAAAAGCACTGCACATGGGGGATTGTTTTGAGCGCTTGCATTTTCCTTGTCTTCGTTTTGTCTCGATTAGGTCATCGTTCGTGGTCTTGATGGGTACATCTTGCTCGTCCCACGCTCGATCCGAGTGTCGATCTTCACTGATCTTTATCTGAGGGTTTGGGAATCAATGGATGATCTTTAGTTTAAACATCTCTGAGCAGATAATAAGGTGCTTTATTTATGTGTTAGAAGTGGGCCATTCAATCAAATTGTTGTTGTTCCTATTGTGTGTCTTGACATATAAGTGAGATATACACATTCCAGCATATATTTGCAAGATTCTCGTGGTTGCCTTATTTGAACTTGTGAACTGTTTAGAGTTGCATTAATTGAGGTTCTGGTTGGAGATAAGATCTTGTGTTTTTTGATACAGATGGATGAGCCTCTGAAATCCGGAGCTAGATTGGAGGTGTCGGTTTCATTTGGTAGATTTGAGAATGATGCACTTTCTTGGGAGAAGTGGTCGTCTTTCTCGCCAAACAAGTATTTGGAGGAAGCTGGAAGTTTATCCACTCCTGGATCTGTAGCCCAGAAGAAAGCATATTTTGAAGCTCATTACAAGAAGATTGCGGCTAGGAAGGCGGAATTGGAACGGGAAAAGATGATGGAGTCTGTGGTTTCAAGTCCAGTCGAGTCAAGCAAGGAAGACTCTGCTGCAAATGCACCTGAGCTTGATGATAAATTTGGTTTTTCTAACGGTGAAGGATCGATTGAGGAAGCTGCAAATGAATCCTGCACAGCTGTTTCGGAAAATGGGCCTGTTTTTGATGAGGCAGGAGAAGAAGAAGATTGTTCTGAATCACCTACGGTGGATGTGGATGTGGTAAGCTGTATGAATGGTTCATCAGTGGCACATTTGGAGGAGATTAATGTTGATGCTGTGAAGTGTGAAAGTTCTTTAATCCCGGAAGTGAAGAATGAGTTGAATGGCAATGTGGAAGAGACTCGATCAAATATCAGGAAAGATGATACGATAGTGGAGCCAGTGACTCCTCAAAAGCATTATGTGGAGAAGCCTTTGAGAAGGAAAAGTGGGATAGAACAATCACATGCTTCGAAAAAGGGGGTTTCGAAATTGGGTGCACAAAGTACAGCTCAAAAGGTAAAAGTATAAGGAATTTTTAAGGCGAAATTCCAATTGTCGATATGTTTCTTAATTTATTGATGAAAATGTCGATTTCTGGTGTTTAGGTGACTCAAACTAAAATGGGGAGAACTGTGGCCGGGACAGGGAACAAAAGTGTATCGCCTTTAGTTAAACCAACCCAAGCTTCTACTCCTAAAAACTCAAAGCCCTCATCGATGAGGACACCTGTATCTGCGCCCGCGCCCAAGACTGTTAAAAAGCAGGTCAATGGGTCACCATTGCCGAAATATAAGAATGATCTTGTGGGACAAAGCAAAAGAACACCTCCTCCGGCACTGCACATGTCTCTTAGTTTGAGTTCTGCGAATTCTTTGTCTTCTGTATCGATGACTAGGAAATCTTTGATAATGGAGAGAATGGGCGATAAGGACATTGTCAAGCGAGCTTTTAAGGCTTTCCAGAACCGTCCTAATGGATCTACCCTTGGTGAAAAACCAAGCCCGGTGAAGGATGTATGCATTTACTAGCTATTCTTTCTTCGTCCCTTAATTATATTTATGCTATCAAACTTCGATTGCCACAAGATGCAAATAGCTAAATTTGATATTCTAATGTATATCCTGCAGATGTCGCCGCCTACTACATTTCAATCAAGGATCTCTGCTTCTCGCAAACCGACTAAAGGGAATGAAGGGTAATACTTACTTCATCACTAATCAAGAAAATCTGTAGTGCAGCCTAGTTGTTATCTAAAATCCTAGTATGCACGAGAAGTTGTGTCATTCTTATGATCGGTTCATTTTTATATCCACATTGAGAAATGAGAATTTTAGATCAACCCCCAACATAACTAGGAATTTGCCATAGCCTAGAGTCACTATAATTCCATGTCTGATATCTTTCTTTTTCCGGAAAAAGCATTGTGAGCTAAATTGTTATAGATACGTCTAAATTGTTCTTCGAATACTAGTCTCAGGAAGGATTCAGTAAATCAAGCTACTCAAAGGATTCAATCTGGAAGTAGATCAAATCCTCTGCCCAAAGGGTGAGATATTACGATCTTTTTGTTAAATTTTGCATTCATCTTGGATCAGTAGGTAGGGCTCTTGTTCTCATGGACAGTGATAATCTCCTTCGAGTATCTTTATAAAAATTGTACACCAACTAGACGAGCTCTTTGAAGTCATGAAAAGTAGTTCCGTTGCTATATATCAAGAGATTTGTTAAATATTTCTTTTACTTCGAAATGGAATCAATTAAACTGAATGCATCTTGATAATGGGATTGCCGATACAACTGTGTCAATCAACATAAAAAGATGAGTATCGATTTTCTTTTCAACGTATTCTGCTTAGTTTAGAAATGCAGCTAAATACGATTCATATCAGCTTTCTATTAATTTTTTGATGCATTGTTATGTGGCAGTCAGTTTATCGATTTTATTTTCTTAGCCCTTGTTTTAATTACGGTAATTTATACTTGTATCTCTAATAATGTAAAACCAGATTACATAAAAGTTTGGTGACGGATAGGAAAACCGTGACGGCCATTTCACCAACTCCCGCATTGAGAAGCGATGAAAAAGCTGAGAAGCGGAAGGAGGTATGTCGAGCACTATGCCCTTTGTGTGGTTCTATCGTAAACTGAGTATTGTTCTGTTCCGTATACTACGCAGTTTCTAAAGCAGTTGGAGGCGAAATCAATTGCCAGAGAGGTCGAAAAGGCTCAGCATAGTGCAAAATCGAAGGTATTATGTTTGTTCATCCTTATTACTGAGATCTTATAATGCCGGCGCCACAGTATCATATTTTGTCGTCTCTGCAGGTGCACATTGTGAACGAGATCCATCCACAACGCCCTACATTAAGTCGATAAAAACAGAGCAGCTTCTGATTAAAAAGAATCGAACTTTTGTCTATAGAAAGGTTATATATTCGTCGCGTAGCGAGCAGATTGTGTTCTTGTATCGAAAGGATGCAGACTTGATTCCAAATTAAGCCTCCATTGATGAGAGCAATGGTTACACCATGAATTATTGGTATTGTTCCGTAACTTTGTTCGCGGTTGTATTTTTCGAAATTATTTTCCAGAAAAGAAAAAAATGAATCTTTACTGTCGAGAAAAATCAAATCACAGCAGCATTCTTGGTATCGATACTTCTCTGTACAAAATATGTTCATCATCTTCCTCCTGAGCCTTCATCATCATCCAAACTACTCCTGGAATCATCTGACATGAAATTTGCTGGAAGTTTCGGGAACCTGAACACCCGGGGAGATCCGGTCGACGTCGAGCCGGATTCCGGCGCTGCCGGTTTCCTCTTCTGCACATTTCTTGCGATGTCGACGCACACCTGATCGACCATCTGCAAGAAATCGCGAACTATTACAAACAGCTGCAGAGGATTCGAGCTCGATCCCTTCGAAGCTCCGGCCTGGTAGTAATCGGTCGTTTTCTTCACGACCTCCATCACCCGCCGCTGCTCTTCCTTCATCGTCTTCATCTCTGATTCGGCTGCGTCGAGGAAACTGGCCATTTCGTGTGCGAATCCTCTGTCCCCTCCGCAATGCTTCAAAGTTTCCCGGATCTTTGCCAGCTGCGACACCAACAACGAACTTGTTTTGGTAAGAAGGTCGTAGTCTAAAGATGCAGCCTTTTTCACATTCGAAAATTCCGCGCTTAGGCCTCCGATCACCGGCAAGCCGAGGATCATGTATTCTCTTTCTCCCTCCGGTTGATCAGTGATTTGGCTCGCGGCATTGCTGCCATGGCTGCTCGATGTCCTGCTCAGGCTACGGTTGCGGTTAAGCAGACAACGTCGCCCCTCGGCGCGGACGACTTCCTGCACGACGAACTGGAGCAGCGTTGTCTTCCCATCGGAGCTTTTTACGTCTGATAATTTTGTTAGAGCTGTGAGATTGAAGGCCTGTGCATTCCCACGCGCCGTGCCGGCGTTCAGCCGGTTGCCGGCCTTTAGAACTGCTTCTAGAAGCTTCAGGAACAGTCCTCGAGTTCTTAACTCGTTGCAGGCGGATTCAAGGGATTGTAAAGATTCCTTGATGCTTGAAATTTCCATGTCGTGGTTTAGTCTGAAGAGCATCGCGTTGAATCGAGGAAAGGCGGATGGAACGGCGTTGAGGAGGCTGTAGAGGAAGGATTCGGCGTCGGCTAGCTTGGTAGGGTCGCCATTGAAGGCGAGGATTTGGGAGATTTCTTCGTCTGTTGGAGTTATTCGAGTTAGCTTTTCTAATGATTCGGAGCTCAATCCATGGCCGTCGATTAGGGCGTCGACGATCTCCTGGCGCCCGACGCCGAGGGATTTGAGGACAATGGCGGTGTTTTGGGATTTACGAGTGTCGAGGATGAAGATCTGAGATTGGGGCTTGTCTTGTCCGAGATTTTTTGATTCGCTTCGTGGAGATTTCTTGTTCGTTGCGACGTAGCCGAAGAGTGCCTCCATTAGATCGCCGTCGAATCTGCAGTCGGAAAAGGTTAGTCTGGTTTTTTTTTTTTCGTAGGGTTTCTGCCATGGATGCAATTATGAAATTAGGGCTTGGTTATTAGCTACCTGAAGGAGCCTTTGTCGATTTTGTCCCAAACCATGGAATGCTGCAAGTTTGTGTTCACTTTGTCCCAATGCAGCGGCTTCAATTTCACTTGCCCGCTGCCATTGCTCGACGAGGAAGATGATCCTTCTTCGATGGAATTATTCGCTGCTGTTTTTTGAGGCGGCGGAGGAAGAGAAGTTTTTGGCTTTGGTTGAGGCGGTGGCGGGGGAGAAGTTTTATGCGTTAGTGGAGGCGGTGGCGGTGCGGGAGGAGGTGGTGCCGGAATTGCCTCAACCACCGCCGGCGATGAATTTTGCTGCTGCAACTCAACCTTAACGGAAATTGCAGGTGAATTTGACGGAGCTTTTGGAGCTATGGCCGGATTCTGTTTTTGGCTCCAGGAAGGGCTTTGGGAAGACGACGACATGCCCCGGAGGAGAGGAGCTTCCGACGGCGGCGGATTGTTGCTATTCTCCTTATTCTTATCACTCGCCATTCTTTTGATTTCTCGTCTCTGTTCATCTTTCAGGCTTCTGTAATTCTGCTTCTTGAAGCTCCGCCGCTCGCCGCCGTCATTTTGTAGGCTTCTCCAGTACAGCACGTCCAAGCCGTCCTCGTCGACGATCAAGCCTCTCAGGTTGCCGCCGAATCGGTGGAAATCGTCGTCGGTTTGTGCGCGGGGAGCAGAAGCGGCGGCGGCGGCGGAGGCGGCGCCTCCGTGTGCGGCAGCCCCATTTTCTCTCTCCCGTTTCCGGCGGGCGCGCCGGAGGAGGAGGAAGAAGAGGAGCGCTGACACGACGACGGTGCTCGCCGCCGTCGCTCCAATTGCTCTCCCCACCGCCGCGCCGGAGGACGATTTGGATCGTGGAGGCGGCGGGAATGGCACTGGCTGCGGAATTTCCGGCGGATCGATGAACGGCGTCGGCGGCGCCGGTGGCGGGGGAACGATCACCGGAGGCGTGGAGAATGGGTAGAAAGTTTGGATATTTTGTGGAGATTTCCATTGACAAAAGAATTTAGGGATTCGAGAAAGAATTAAACAGATAAGAAACAAAAGAATTGTGTTGGCAGCCATTGTCGAACCTCGTCGAAGAATTCCAGCCTTTTGGAGTTGGAAATCTTTCTGATAATCATCGACGAAGACGACGGCGACGATAAATTGTTCCAATTTAATTTAATAAATATATATATATATATATTTAATTTTAAATAATTTAATATTATATTTTTTGAGGTTTGGTTCGCTGAAATCGTCAAACGTGAGCAGGTAGTTGTCTCTAGACGCATACACGCTTTTGTAAAGTGAAATGACAAGAATACCCTTGTCCAATCTCCTTTGTACATAAATATGTAGGGTTATTTTCGGAACAAAAATAGTAGTGGAAAGGTTCTGGGTTTCATCGTCATTTAAATTTCAATTTATTGTCAATAATTTTAGAACTATCGACAATAAAATAAATCAATGCTTGGTGGCCATTTTTGTATTCATTGATTAGAAAATGTGACAATGATATATTACACGTAGTGGACAAGATAAAGTCATGGTAACACATGATTAATAAAATTAAATCATATACATATATTATATAGGTCATAATTAATAATCCATTGAATTTTGGAAGTCCGATGTGGTCTAAAAGAAACAGTCTTACCTTTTCTTGTATGCTTATGAAGTGAAACTTTCCACACAATATCTATTTGGTTAGTTGCACCTAAAATATACTATTTCCACTACAAAAAATATTTTTTAATGAAATTTCGAAACCTTTTTAAATAAATTATTTGGCTCAAGTTTGTGACCATTTCCTTCTCATCAATTATTATAAATTATTCAATCTTACGTAAAAAATAAAATATATAATCTTAATGCATTTTACGATTCTTCAATTTCCTGAAAATTATACATAACCCTTTCTAATTTTTAGCTCTGTTTTATTTATTTTTTTAAAGTTTTTTCCCCCCCTACTATATAAAGTGAAGAAATCTGGATAAAACATATATATTTTACATGCAAAATATAATATTACTTCCTTCGTCATGCAAATGTATGCCCATTTGATCTAACATGAGTTTTAATAAAAATGAGTGATAATTGTTAAATTTTCTTTTTTATAATAAAAAAACAGTACAAAATGGAATGATTTTTTTACTTAAAAAAAATGAGATTAGTTTTCCGATGACAATTCAAAAAAAAAAGTGAGCATAGATTTGAATGGCGGAGGGAGTAATTGAAGAACATTTATGGCATTGACTAAATCAGAAATTATAAAATTCAGCATAGCCCAAGTAATTATTATGATTTTTAATCTTTGTATTGCAATAAATAAAAATAGAAAATTTGTATGGTATAGGAGGGGAGTCTAGGCTCTATAAATTAATTAAATTTTTCTATTTTATTTGTTGGAAATATATGTATTTATTTGTTAAGTCGGGAAATAAATATATATCGACAGTGAATAATTTCAAATGTTAAAATTAACTACCAAAAAAAAAAAAAAAATTATTTTATTTTATAATATATTACACCAAATCAATGTAGAGATACAAAATATACATACAAATTAGATATAGAATGAAAGCGGTGGTTGTGGTTTGAAAGAAGATTTAAGGTGGTGGTTGTGAAAAGGATAGATGTGCTTTAACTTAACCACATTAATTGCAGCTCATTATTATTATTATTATTATTATTCAGTGTTTTTAGATAAATTAAATTTTTATGTGTATTATATAAATTGTGTTGATAATATAAAAAAATATTTTGTGTTGAATAGTTAATTTTTTATGAATAAATATGATATATACTCTTCCGTTATTTTTGTGTAATATTACAAATAGTCTTCCAATTTATAATATATTATATAAATGTGATTACTTTCATATCATACAATACTAATAAAATTAGTTTAATTTTTTTTACCTTTATTTCTAATAAATCTCAATATAATACTAATATTTATAGAACTCCGTGCAAAAAATAAACGGAATGAAGGAAGTATTATATTAATGTGTGTATATTTATATTTTTTAATACTCTCTCCATGTCCACAAACTAACATCCTACTTTCCTATTTGGAATGTCCAACAATTATTGTCATCTTTTTGTTTTTATACACAAAACTTACTTTTTTACCCTTACTTTATTTCTCTTTCGTTTTATTTTTTATACACAAAATTTACTCTTTTACCCTTACTTTATTTACTATTTCATTTTATTTTTTATACACAATATTAAGGGCAAATTTGTCATTTTATAACAAAAATCTTAATTAGTTAAAAATGCCTGCAAATATCAAATAGGACATTAAAAAATGAATTTACAGAATAATATTTATAAAAAATTGTTCCATTAAAAAATATTGAGTGATTACACTTATTATTATTATTATTATTATTATTATTATTATTATTATTATTATTATTATTTATTTATTTATTGTTTTGTGAAGTGGTTAAGGACTGACTACAAATTGCTGAATTTATGCCCCCTGTAGTGTAGTAGTGCAATTAATTGATTTATTACAAGAGATTTCTATAAAAAGAAATAAAATAAAAATGAAGTCAATGGTCGGGACAGGTCAACTGCCAAGCCATCGAATTTCCTTGAATATTTGACTTTGGAAGGAAAAAGATGAATTGTTTATTTGACTTTCAAACTTCAAATTTGTCGTTGACTTTACTACCGTATTTGTGGTTGCCAATCTTTTTGGTTGGTGAGATTGCACCCTAGACCCGGTTTGATGAGACGAGTCTGGTAAGTATTAAGCTTAATTTGTCTTCAATTTTATTTTATTTTTTACTATTTTATTTTATAATTCTATACTATTATTTTATAAAAAAAAATCACAAATATGTCTATTGAAAAATACTACTTTTTTTTCGTAATCTAATTGTTTGCTCATTTGATCGGACATAAATTTTAAGAAAAATAAATAAAAATAAAAAATTTTACTTTTTTTGAAAAAATAAAAAAAAAATAGTATTTTGTTACTAAAACGTAAATAAATTTAGATAATAATAAAAAAAAATGATAATAAATTTGAATGACGAAGGATATTTATACAATATTTTCTTTTTTGATTTTTACTTTAATTTATGTTTGTTCCTAATTTTATTATTCTTATTTTAATAAATATAATCAATTTGTTACTATTTTATATTTATCATCATTACTTTTTTTTTTTAATTATTATTTCTTTTTTTTTTTCAGTTTTTTGTTAAATTTATATTTATTCATAATTTTATCACTCTTATTTTAAAAAATAATAATTAATTTATTATTATTTTCTATTTATCTTGTTACTTTGTATTATTATTATTATATCTTTATTTATTTATTTATTTTATTAATACTCCTATTATGCTTTTTTTAATTTTACTTGACATGTAATTTTCTCATTTTTTTTCTTTTTTTTAATAAAAATTATATTTCCACATGCTGCTTGAATATATCTCTTTAGGATTTTTAATAAATTAAAAAATTATGATATTTTATTAATTAGTGAAAGTGTAAGAAGTTTTAACATTTTTGTCTTTTGACTTTATATATAAAGTAATTGTACGTCTAATAGTACATTCAAAATTTAAATAAAAATTAACGATATTTTAGTATTAATATATAATTATTTTTACTATAAAACAGGTACTTTTAAATAGAACATAAAGATCAATTAATTTTAATACGTTAAATAGTCATAAAAAACACATTAATGAACGTGAACATATAACGTATGTTGTTAAATAAAAAATATACTACACATTTGTTTAGCTATGCTGATTTGATAATAATGATTTTTTTTTATTTTTAAATCAGCACAATGTTAATAATAAATTATTATAATATTTTATTATTTTTTATATGTGTAGCGTTGTTGATATTTTAAATATTTTTAAAATTATATCTCAATAAAATATATGCAATATGAATATCATTTTTGTAAACAATAAAATTTTATATAATACAAATGAATAAAAGAATATATTTATTTATTTATCGTTTCCATAAATTAATTTTATAAAAAATAAATAGTTTTAAAGGTAGATAAAAATATTTGTTAATCGAAAAAAGTGATAGAAATAAAAGGGTTTTTTAGTGGATCCTAAGTGTAAGATGTTAAAAGTTTAATTAGATTAATTTATATTTATTAAATATGTTTAAAATTGATAAATTTATCAAAATTTTTAAAAAAATCATCTTTTGTAGGACATACCATAAAAAAAATAAAAATTGAATCATCTGTTACGAGACGAGAGAGCAGCAAATAATTTCATATGGAAAGAGTATTATTTATTTGAAAATTTAATCTTTTCTTGTTCCAGCTTGTTTCCAAATATGGACTAACTCAAAATAAATGTCGCTCATTATTTTATTTCTTTTATTGTAATCATTTAAAATAAACAAGTTTAATAAATTTTCCCGTTGACCTTTTCTTTAGATTATGGTCACGTTATTAGCCGTTGTACTCAACTTCTTATACATGTCGGATTCTTGAGCATCCACTCGTAGCCTCACACGTGTCCATATCTCTCGTAATCAATCCTCAGCATGACAAAGTCAAAGATCCATATCCTAATCCAAATCAAAATTTTCGCAAAATTGATCTAAGCCCATCAAGAAATTGGGCCGAATGCTACCTCTGAATTTATTTTTCTAAAATATATTTTATTTTTTTATTTCAATTTCTTTTATTCTTATTTTTATATACGTTAGTACTCCTTCCGTCCCGTCTCTGCTATACTGTAGACACAGTATTTTAGGAGGGATGTAATTAATAGATAATTAAGAATGTATTAGTGAAAATAATTATCCTATAATATAAATAATTATAAATTAAGATTAAGATAACTAATTAGTTTAATTAAAATTAAAAAAATAAAATTTAAAAATTTAAAATGAGATTAAAATATGTAATCATTTTTTAAAAAAGAAAATGACATGATATGTGGGATGAATAGAACGGCAATATGGACATAATATTTGGGACGGAGGGAGAGAAGTGTTTATTTACCCTATCTCCTATACAAACATATACATTTGTTTTTTTTTACATTAGACTAAACAATAATAATATTATAAGCTGCGAGTACAAGTATGTAATAAGTTAAAATTTCCTTTTCTCAACACATACATAAACTTTACTTGTAGTAACTTATTTAAATATCAATAATATATTTATAATTTATTTAAAATTAAAATATTTTTATATAACAACACAAAGACTATCATTACCGTCATACATATGATAAATGAAAACATAAGAATATATATACTTAGGTTGTGTTTGTTTGGAAGTTTGAATTTTGAACTAAAATTTGAATAGTAAAAATTTTGAATTAGAAGAGTTGTATGATGTGATATTTTAAATGTAAAATTATTTTTATATAACATAAAAAATAAATGTTTGATTAATGTTTTTGGGGAAATTTTTTTTTGATAAATAGCAAATTTTGGAGAAAATCTTCCAAACACCATTAGATAGTAAATCGTAGTTTATTTTGAATGGGGCACTGCTAAAAAAGAATTCTCTTACATCTATGATCATCATCTCTTACATTTGATCTGCAATAAATTTTAAAATTACAAGATAAAGCGCAAAACTACATAGTTTTCGCTTTTCATTTAACGCTCACTTCTTGTTGCTCGTTTAATCGAGTCATCTTGTAGGAGGGGGAGCGCAACTTAACATAGAAAGGCTAGAGGGCACGTTGTTAGGACAAGACGAGGATTTCGGAGATTTTGAGGTTTCAATCTCGGAGTTCTCCTTGTGCACGATTTTGTTGTCAACAATTTCTTTATCTAGTCCTTCCCCGAACATGGAAGTCTTCAATCTTCTAACATCCGACAACTTCACCGGCTTAACTATGTAGTCCTCGGCCCCCTCGTCCAGACACCTTGTCGAATCCGGCAAATTCATGGGGAGAGGTTAGGACCACATGAGAATAATTTTGGACAAAATGGGTAATAAAGAGAAAAGCAAATGACCTACAAGTAATAAAGTTGTTGCCACAAAATTATTTGGCTATGGTTGCTCTACCCTACATATATATATATATATATATATGTTCACAAAGAATCCAATGCTCCGATTACATTAAATTATATTCAACATAGACGAAAATTTATTGAAATTTTAGAAATAGTAAAATTTTAATACTCACTTCTTCCGGCTCTAAGGATTTTATTTATTTTTTTTGCGTCATTGTACTTAATATTAAAAATATATTTATATTTGTATAATTTTTTTGTACAAATATCATTATAATCGTATTATGAGACACTAATAAAAGTATTTTTACCATTTTCTTTTAATTTGTATTACATTTTCATATTATAACTAATATTTAAATATGAAACATACAAAAAGTAAATCAGACCCTTAGAGCCGGACCAATATAGTATTTGATACGATGTTACGTGGAATATATATATATTTTAAGAAATAGAATAGTAATGAAGTCTAAAATTATTGTTGTTGTGGAAACAAAATTTAGTTGTTGAATGACTGACTTCACTAATTTCTCTTACAAAAATATCATTTTCAAATTAGTGTTTACAAACTCTAACTAATCCAAAAGTCTACGATTCATTTAAATATATTTTAGAATTATTTTGAGTATAATATATACTAATAATTTAAATAACAAAAATATAAAAACACTATGAATAACACAAAATAAAAAATAAAAAGGGATTATGTATGTATATATATATATATATATATATGTATATTCACCTTCGAACTCTTGCCAAAATGTTATCAGACGACATGATGACAACAGGGATTTCTCTAAAAGTCGATGAACCCTAATTAAACACAAGAACAACAACATCAATTTCAGCTCATTGGATTTTTTATTTTTATTTTTTTTAAAAAAAATTCCATTGTGAAACTACATCAAATTAATTAATTAATAATTAATTACCTTGATCTTTTTAAGAAGATCGTAGCCGGTCATTCCAGGCATGCAATAATCTGTGATGATCAGATCCACCTTCAATTCAACGCCACTAACTCCATTACCAGACCTTCCTTCTTCTTCTTCTTCATCTTCATCTTCATCTTCTTCATCTTCCCCAATTAATCCCAGAAACTGCAAAGCTCTCATCCCACTTTCCACTGCTGTAACTGCACCCAAAATCACATCAATTATATATATATATATATCTTAAATTCCTTGATTACTACAACAAAATTATTAATTAAATTAAATTACCTCTGCAAGAAGTGGTCTTGAGCAGCCTCTCGATGACTGTTCTGTCGACAAGACTGTCATCCACAGCAAGAACATGAACCAAAGATGAAGATGAAGATGAAGATGACGAGTCATCAAAACCACCTGACCTCTCCAACACATCTATCGCCATTTTTAATTCCAGATATGAAATCAAAGCTTTTTCGACAAACCCTTCTCAAGACATGTATAATTATTATGACTCACCCACCAGTATGTCTTCCACTCTCTCTATATATGTATGTTGTAATGATTTTTTGTTTCTTTTTTTTTTTTTCAGAGGAATATAATATAATAAAAATGGAGTCTTGAAATCAAATCTGATGAGATTCTGAAATCCACTTTGTTGGTTATCTGTATCCCCACAGATTTTTATTATTATTATTATTATTTTCTGTAATTTCTTCCCCCAAATTTCCAAGCCCACTCCTTGTTTGTCAAAATATGATATCCCACACAGTGAAGAAAAGAATTATTATTGTGAATTTGGAAGATCTCAGGCGACCCAAGAAATCTTTTCGTGGGATCCACTTTAAATTGATTTTTTTTTTTTTTTTAAATCTAATTTTTGTAATATTATTTATTTTATTCAATTTTGAAACCTATTTTAATGTTATTGTCAGCAAGAGGATTCGTTTGGCGTGATCCGTTCGATTTTTCGGAAATTTTCATCTGAAGTCAACTTTTTTAAAGTCGTGGTTTTAAATTGGAGAAGTCGCTGAATTAAAAGTAGCGACTTTGATTGTATTCATTAAATGGGAGAAGTGAAAAATGAGGTAGAAGTAAAAATGGAATGCGCCGGGAAGGGAAGCCGAAGTCCGTGCGGCGGTCCGGCCACCAGACGCTGCCATCGCTGCCGCGCTGTTGCGTACTGCTCTGTCGGACACCAGGTTTATTTTATTTTGTTTTATTTTTTTGGTCTCTTTGCGGTGTTGCTTAATTTGTTGCGTGACGATTTCAAGGTTTCGCACTGGAGTGTGCATAGGGGAGAGTGTTCGAGATTAGAGCAGCAAATGAAGCGTGTTGATGTTTTGAAGGATTTTCCTTTCACTTTTGGTCAAGAAACTGCGGAAATTCAGGTTCCAGTTCCTTACTTCTGGTTGATTCTTTTGCGTGATTAACTGATTATAAGTTTCTTAAATAGAAATTAGAGTTAGTTTCAGGAGACAAGGTGCTCCTTTTTAATACGGAAAGGAATTCATCGAGTAGGAATGTGGACGTGGGAATGTAGCTGTGGTCAATCAGATATTAGTTTTGATAACTCGAGGTACTTCCAATTTTCAATGTATGTGCTGCATAGAACTGATCTAAGATATACTATTAGATAATCAATTTTATCTGGTAGTTCTTGCAATTAATAGTTTCCTGCTATTGCTTGTAAACTTTTGTTTAGGTTGATTAATTGTTGGAATCTTCCAAGTGAATTATGCCCCTGTAAAGGTATCAAAATTCTCTTAAATTTTAGTCATCATGTAATGTGTGCTTCTTACGACCTTTGGATTCTCATTATTGATCAGAACCTTCCACTTCATTACAACAATGTCTAACCACTTGGAAGGACTATTGTCAATGGAGGTGCATCCCTTTCTATTCCCCTGCTGCTTTACTTCTTCATTGGGTATGTTATTAAGTATTTTTGTACATTTGACGTATTCTTATATCAATGGAAATGCATTACATATCCTTAATTTGCACAGCATGGGAAAAGGCATTGTAGGCATCCCTCTGAATTGTGAGTATTGCTATTAAAGTATCCACTGTTTTTCCCAGCCACTCACGGTATATTGGGCTGTTCAACTCTCAATTCGTGAAAGATTGCTTCCTCAAGTCGGTGAAAAACTGAGGATACATTACCTAGGTATATGATCTTCGTCCCTAGCTTGAGTGATTGGGTTTTAATTGAGTAGCCGCTCTAAATTCCCCTATTTTGTTTTGTTCGGTTATGCATGTTTAGCTTATAAATATAGCTAATTTGCTTTAGGAATTTTGAAAATCCTAAGTCCACTGGTTCTGTATTAAGCCCTTAATGCTACTTTAGTTCCTTAGGGTGTGTTTAGTACAAATAATGGAATTGTAGAAAAATGATAGTAGTACATAATAGAATTATAGAGAAAGGAAAACAGATGATGAGAATTGTTTTCTGATTGGTAAAACAGTGAGAAACATAACATAGAAATGCACCAATATGGATAACTCGATCTAGTGGAAATTATATATTGCATTCTATTGGAGTGAAAAAGAAAAAAGAGAGAATGAATCAATTAGGAAAGAGACAATGGATCGGTAAGAGAGTTTAAACTGAGTGAACATCCGCGGAAAATTATATTTTGTTTAGTTTGTGAATTTTTTTTTAAAATTTTGTTTTGATTGTTTATTTGAATAATAATGTGAATGTAATGTTCTGTGAGATAAAATATTACTATATTTTTATGAAGAATTTTGAAAGTTGAATATTAAAAAAAATAATCGAATGAATACACCTGTACATTTCTAAACCTTTATTTCTCTATGTATAGAAAGAGAAATAAAAACATAGAAAAATAAATAATTTAATTTTCAATTTTAATTTCTCTGACTCAAATAAACAAACAAGAGGAATGAAAGTCTTTATTTCTATGTACCAAACGTACCCTTAAGGTTTATACGAAATGTTAAATTCTTCCAGGACCAGAAAAAGAGCTTCTTCAGTTGGCGGTTTTTGGGGAACTGCAAGCACTTTTTCCTGGAGTGAAGGTGCACATTGACCTCATTGGACCTGCAATTCCAAATCACAGGTTAGGTGTAGTTATGGATACGCTTTCGAAGTGCTTTCTCACTTATGATCTTTCACTTGCTAGGTTGTTTTTAGATATTTCTGAATTCTCGTGTGACTTCTTATTGACATGTTTACCAGCCTGCTGTAGAAATTCGATTTTTACTTGGGCCTTCCTGATTGTGGAATAAATGAGAACAAAGATTACCTTTCACTGCACATCTGGTGTTGTTGCTATCATACTGCTCGGCGATATTGATTTAGCATATATACACTTGCTATTCATTTTATTTGAATTGTTGCATCATTTTTCTTTTAATTCCAGGAATGGTGAGCAAATCGATCTGTGCAGCTATCCCCAATGTTGCAATATCGATTGTCAGTGTAAGCATTCTTTCGAAAATTGTAGAGATGGGAAAATGACTTCCCAGTCGCCGCCAGTCACCTTGCTGCTCCACGCCGGTTGTTATCATGATTTTTACAAACTAGCACAGGTTATTGGTATCCCCATTTTCTAAGTTATCATTGGTTTACCTATTTCCAATCTGATATTGTTTGAATCTCCAGGACTTTCCTCCACAAATAATCATAGCCCCGAATGCTGGCGTCGCTGCCTACACCACCTGGTTGCCAACATTAGTAAGTTTCGATCCCTGTAAAGTTGACAATTTATAAAACAATGCTCATATCTTTTCTCCTGACTTGTCTAATTCTGTACAGAAACTAATAAAAGAGATCAAAGTTCCGGCAATCTTTTCTGATTACTGCGAAGAAGCTTCTCATCTGGCGACTCGTTGCATAAGCTCTTGGATAGGCACTGCGCTGAAGTTCCCGGTAAGCGCCTTTCATCTCTCTACCGATTCTTCTACGTTTATTGTACGCGACAACACACAAATGGCATTGTGCTTATGCAGATTCAGTTGAATCCTTTCCGGCAACCTTTTCCGATTGAAGATTCAGCATTGTGTCTCCCTTGCTACTCCAATTGCTTCCTCTTCGGATTCTGATTCCCGACAGCTCTTGCAGCCATGAAATTGTCGAATTCCGGTTTCAGCTGCCCGAGATGTGTCCTAATTGCCCAATATGTGTCCTAATTGCAATTAGATCTAACAAGACAACTAGTTAACAAATCTTATATGAGATAATCCCTCCGTCGTTTAACAATTTTTTACTAACATTAAACAAATATATTAAACAAATATATATATAACATTAAACAATCTTACATGGGACATAAGAATATATATCTCTGTGTAGGGGTGGAAATAGGCCAGACTGTCTGTCGGGGTCTACGATCTGGCCTGCATAAAGCCTGACCTGATTTAATCTATTTATCAAAAAGGTCAGGTCTAGATTTTTATTAAAGCTTTTTTTTTTTTTATTTAAATAGAATAAACTTAGGTTTACAAAAAAATATTTCTCATTATTATCCCTCCGTCCCACATACTATGTCTATTTATCGTTTCTGGCCGTTTTACATTTTTAGAAAATGATTATACACTTTAATCTTATTTTAAATTTTTTAATTTTATTTTTTCAAAATTTTAATTAAACTAGTTTGTTATCTTAATCTTAATTTATAATCATTTATATTAGAGAATAATTATTTTCACAAATATATTTTTAATTATCTACTAATTATATCCCTCTTAAAATAAAATACTGTGTCTAACAGTACGTGGATGGAGGTAATATTAATTAAGAATAGTTTTATATCTAATAATGATATATAAAAATATAATAATATTTTTTTTAAAAAAATTAATTATAAATTTATTATAAAAATAAAAAATAAAAATCACTTTTATTCTAATTTAAAATTTCAATATATGAACTGTTGTTGTACACATATTGCTTCCCTCATAATTTCTTTGTTTTATTTACCCTAATCCCAATTTTTCATTGCACCGTTTCTGCACATATTTCCTTTCCTTTGCTTCCACAACTGCCGCGTCTTTTTCCTTCTTTTTCTTTTCTTCCATATTCATAGTTTCTTCTTCTGATGGTGGAATTTGAAAAAATCAGTAAAGTAAAAAAAAGTTTAATGACAAAAAAGTAAAAAAATTATTATTTAGAATTGCAAGTTTGTATACACCAGTAAAGTAAAAAACAACTTTTTTTACCTTATTAACTTTTTTTACCTTACTGGTGTATACAGACTTGCTATTCTAAATAATAATTTTTTATTATTTTTTTCTTTTTTATGAATTATAATATATATTTTTGCAAACTATTACTATTATATAACTTTATAGGACAAACTAAAATTATTATTTTTGTCATTGAAGAAACATAATTTTAATTTTTTTTTTATATATAATGTAAATAATTGTATTTTTTTTTTAATTTTTTTGTTATAATACTAAATTTACAAAAATATAATAAAAAATTATTATGTATCTTTTTTTTAAAAAGGCCAGACTTAAAAAAAAAAGGCCAGATTTAGACTTTTAAAATATTGAGACTGCTATATATTTTTAAAACAGACCAAACCTATTTAGCCAAAGCCTAGTCTGGCCTATTTCCACCGTGTGTCTATGTATATATACATGTTAAATTCTATACTGATTTTACTTTTTTTCCTTTAATTTATCTGAATTATTGATCAAATATCATCTATTGTAAGTTACATTCAATTTTATTTATTTAAGAAAAAAAAAATTATTGATAAAGAATTTACTAAAATTTGAAAAATAAATAATCGGACGATCAATATTTATCTTTATTTGCACGTGTATTTTGTATACCGTAAGATCCCAAGAGTCGTCTTGGTCCTCCTCGATCGATCAAAATCAAACCAACTCCTAATCCCAAATCAAAGATCGACGCAGAATCCCTCAATTCCACGTCAAACCATTCAAGATGAACTCTGCTGGAAGAGGGATGTGGTTGATGAGGCTACTGATTGTTTTGGGGTTAGGATTAGGGTTTCAAACCGGAGATGCGTTCACACTGCCGTTCCAAGTGCAGGATATGCTTCCGGTGCTTCCGCGTCAGGTTTCGTGGCCTGTGATGAACAATATCCACAGCGCCGTCGATTTACTGCCGCAGTATATCGGATCGTTGGCTCCGGATAACGGCACAATTAGGTGGAAAGGCGCTTGTTTCTTCGAGAACGAGGCGAAGATCAATTTGGTCGACACCGGCGACAGAGGAATCGGGGGAGGAATCATTCGTCTTTCGGTATGCGATTATTTATTTATTCTGTGTTAGCTATTTTGAAATTAATCAATTGTTTATCTATTGTATGAGTTGTTTAGCTGAATGTTTCATTGAATGTCTTCAATGGCGGAACCCTTGTTTATGGATGAAATGAGCTAAAGCTAATACGCTATTGCTCGTTGTTTTCCACCTCACTACATAAATTTATTTAGGGGAAACATGGAAAAACTGCTCTAGATGTTGTTCTGATATTAACAATCACCATGTGAGAGGTTTCTCTGCAAAATCCAGGACAAACGTAGCATTTGATGTTTGAAATTACAGATGACAAATGATTATATGCCACAAGTTTTTCTAACCATTAATGTCCTGTATTTTTAGACTGGAGCTCCCCACAGCTGGACATGTATGGATTTGTATGTATTCGCAACTCCATATCGGGTTACATGGGATTATTATTTTGCTTCTCGGGATCATACCTTGACGATTGATTCTTGGGAGGAATCTGCTGAATTGGATTATGTAAGCAAAGGTTTTTAACTAGTAATCGGTTGATGATGGTAATGTGAAGTGGAATGTAATTTGTGGTGCAACCTTGAGCAGGTCAAGCAGCACGGGATTTCAGTTTTCCTCATGCCGTCAGGAATGCTCGGGACTCTTCTTTCCATGGTTGACGTCTTGCCGTTGTTTTCCAACACTGGTTGGGGACAGAGTGCTAATCTAGCCTTCCTGAAGAAGCACATGGGCGCGTCATTTGAAAAGCGCCGTGGACCTTGGCGTTCGACCATCAATCCGGAAGATGTAAATTCTGGTGACTTTCTAGCAGTTTCTAAGATCCGTGGTCGGTGGGGTGGATTTGAGACACTCGAGAAATGGGTCACGGGTGCTTTCGCCGGACACACTGCTGTATGCTTGAAAGATGAACAGGGTAACCTTTGGGTCGGTGAATCTGGACACGAAAATGAGAAGGTGTGGGGACTTGTTAAATCAAAATTGTTTTGCTGTTTGATTTGTTGACGTTTTCGTGATGTTAACTTTTCTTCTTGCTGCTTTTACAGGGTGAAGAAGTTATCGCGATTATCGCTTGGGACGACTGGTGGGAGTTGGCACTCAAGGATAGTTCTAATCCACAAATAGCTCTGCTGCCATTACATCCCAATATACGCTCTAGGTTCAACAATACTGCAGCCTGGGAATACGCTCGACAGATGGCAGGGAAACCGTACGGTTACCACAACATGATCTTCAGCTGGATCGACACTGTGACTGAAAACTACCCCCCGCCTCTGGATTCTCATTTGGTATGTTTATCTGCTCGGTGGAGATGCCCTGAAGTTCGTTTCGTGCATGTTTAATGTGTCGACTATTATGTTTCTTCGAAACCTTATAACTTGCTAGATCTTCTTCAGGTCCTCTCTGTCATGTCCATGTGGACGAGAATGCAGCCTGCGTATGCTGCAAACATGTGGAATGAAGCTCTTAATATGCGGCTTGGGACCGAGGTGATGTTTTTCAGACTAGAGAACTCTGTTTAGCTTTTGTTCGGTAAATTTTATGTTAAATATTCATGACGATGTAAATAGCGTAGATTTTGTCTAACCAAGAATGCAAAAATATCGATTGTTCATGATCTCGTAGGGTCTGGACTTGTACGAAATTCTAGCTGAGTCGGAGAGACGGGGCATAACTTTTGATCAATTGCTTACTATTCCCGAGCAAGACGAATGGGTTTACAGCGATGGTAAATCAACAACATGTGTTGCGTTTATCCTCGCTATGTATAAAGCAGCCGGTGTATTTGGTCCCGTATCCAACCACATTCAAGTGACTGAATTTACGGTGAGTAAATCAAACGATTACTCCCTTATCATTGCGTCTTCTAATGCTTACGGTGAATACTGCAGATTCGGGATGCCTACATGCTAAAAATATTCGAAAGCAACAAGACACGTTTACCAAACTGGTGCAATGATGATCTCCCGTTCTGCCAAATATTGGGCGAGTATCGAATGGAATTGCCATATTACAACACCCTGGAGCCTTACTCCAACATGAATGAGAATTGCCCGTCTTTGCCTCCGACTTATGAGAGGCCTATTCGGTGCTGAATGTTTGGACGCATATTATCTAGGTACGCAAATGGCCCTTCTAAAATCGATATATTTTTTCTACGGTTGTGGCATGTATTATCAACTTTCGACATAGGCTTAAAAGACATAATAATCGGATCTATTTACCACTTACTTATGTTTTATCCAACTGTACATATCCTCTGGTTCGTCGTAGCTTAATCCATCTTGCTGTATCCGAACTATTTCGTTTCTGTTACATGAGGTAGTGAAATAGATGAACAAGAATGAGTAATTTGGAAGCGAAGCGACGATGATTGCTGAAGGGTTTGGTGTTATTAGGTGGGTAGATCTAATCTGAATTAGATCTGAACTTTAGACGAAAAAGATAGATCGATTTCCAGGTCATCTCTTACTTGCTTCAATGATGTTGATCATAGCTGTATTATGCATCAATGTGCATCATGTTTAGCCTTTTAGGTTTCGATGGAACCGTCGATCATATATATGGTTTGAAAATTCGAATGAAATTCTTCGATATTCTAAGAATAGTGGGCGAATTTTATTAGGAACTTAATTCTAAGCTGTACTAAAAGATGTACGAATGTTGTTAATGATGAAAGTATGTTTGTAAAAGATTAAATTAATACACTCTTAACATTAGAAGAATTATAAATTAAAAAGAAATTTGTGGGAATACTTTTAATGCATCTATATTAAGTAAATTAAAATTTTTCTCTAACCCTAAGTTTTATTGCATTCATTGAATAGAATAGATCCTATATTTATATATATAGATATATTTGGTAGATCATTCAGCTTAGGCGGCTTAGAACAGTGTAGAAATTACACTAATAGGATTAGAACAACAACACAATTCATGCTGTTTACATACACGATGCAACACCGCATGATGTAAGAAATGAATCACCAAATCATCAGATCCAGAATAGAATACATAAATAGAACAGCACACGTCATCACCCAATCAAATTGGCTAAAAACAGAATTCATGGCGATAACTACAAATCAGCAATAATAAATGTTCGAAAACTCTAATATGTCAATGTAAATAAACAGGGAGGATGAGAATTTTGTGTGTGTATGTGTGGAGCATTTGTATGTATGTATGTTAATTGATGAAGAAACCAGTATCAGTTTTTTCCTATATTAAAAAATCCCTAAGAACCAATCAATCATGGAATATAACAACAACATCAACAAATCTACGTAAAAACCAAAACAGAGTCGAGTTTCCCCAAAAGGACGAGGAACACGAGATTCGCAAGTATACACAGCTAATTAGGTCAAATTGATTCGGAAAACCACAAACCTGTTCAATCTGGAGCTATAATTCGCATCATTTCTTCTGGAATTTGTTGTATTTAACTTTGATCCAGCGGAATCCGACGGATGCGCCGTCCTTGACCTTCTTCGCGACCACTTTGCTCTTCTCATAGCCGACGGAAGCTACGACCTTAGTCTTCTCGTAGCCGACAGAAGCCACCTCCTTTGTCCTTCCGAGCGTGTCGCCGACTCTATCCGAGAGCGTTGGCGCCGATCCGCCGAGGCGCGCTGTCTTCTTCCCCGCCGTGGCTCCTCCTCCTCCCCATGGATTTTCGGTATGCGCCATGAATAGATTTTGATTTCTCTATCTGCTGGGAAGGGGAAGGGTTTTGTTTGGGGGTTATTGAGATTTCGATTGCGCGTTGTTTGCGGTTGGATTGGGGTTTTATAGGGGCGAGTTGGACTGAGTTGTCGAGTCGGACTCACTGAGTTGGTCGAGTCGGACTCGGACTCGGTGATGACCTTAGCCACGCTGTCGTTTAGGACCCAAAAAGGATTTTGATTATTATTATTAATATGTGGTTTGACATGGTCTTCTAGAAAAAAAGATTTTTGAAAGAATTCTTCTTACCACTCCAATATTCTTTTCTTTGATGCTAAGACTCTCTCTCACGTGTCTATAATTATTGCTGTTATAATTTATGTTTATGTTTATAAATTTTATTGAAAATATATTATACTTCCTCGGCCAAATAGTGCAACATTTGAGTTCTGTACAATAACTCATCTGAATACTATTAAGTAGGGTAACTTAAAAAATTAGATAATGTGAGTGGAGAGAAAAATATATATTTATTTTTTTTATTTGAGTGATACATGTATTTATATATATAAATATAATTAATTATTTTTAAATTTAGAAATATTACAGTAAATTTGAAACAAACAAAACAAAAAAAAATGAAGTTTTAGTTACTACGTAATTAGCAAGTAATTATAAAATATATTAGTAAAAATAATTATAATATAATAAAAATAATTATAAATTAAGATGATTAAATAATTTAATTAAATTAAAAAATATATAAATTATGAATTTTAAAATATAATTAAATGTATAATTTATATTTTTAAAAAAGAAAATAATAAATTACACATGGGACATACCTAAATTGAAATAGTGGATAAATTACACTTATTTTATAAAATAAAATAAGAATATTATAAAAAAATTATTAGAAAGATAATAAAAGATAATAACAAAATTATTGTTATTTGTTAAAATATGAGTAGCAAAATTATGGATAGATTTTTTATTATTTTTTAATATTAGAGACATGAAAACTCGCTAATAGCTTTAAATTAAATTGACAATACAAAGTTATACTAAACAAATCATATATAACATAAATTTATATAATATTTTCGTCATTTAACAATGTATCCATTTTTTCATATTTTTTTTTTTTATTAATTGTACTATTTACCTAACATTACAAATGCACTTTCAATTTACAGTATATTACACAAATGTCATTACCTTTATATCATACAATACTAATAAAGTTAATTTAATCTTTTTACCTTTACTTCTACTTTATCCCAATATAATACTAATATTTTTAAAACTCTGTATAAAAAGTAAATTGATATATAGATATGGAACAAAAAAAATATTTAACTTCGGTCGAATGAATCTGAATTATAACCTCATGATCAAACCCTTACATCACTAAGCCACCTCACCTGAGATTTTATTAAAATAAAATTTGTTGTATGTGTTTTAAACACATCATTTTCATTGCAACGTTTCTTTCTTATAAAATATCGTATTCTTTCCGTTCCACGTACCGTGTCTGCTACGCTGTAAATAATATTTAAGGAGGGGTGTAATTAGTAGATAATTAAGAATGTATTAGTTAAAATAATTATCCTATGATATAAATAATTATAAATTAAGATTAAGATAACTAATTAGTTTAATTAAAATTTTAAAAAAATAAATTAAAAAGTTTAAAATGAGATTAAAGTGTATAATCAATTTCCAAAAAAAGAAACTAACATGGAATGTGGAACGGACAGAAACGACAACGTGACATGGTACGTGAGACGGAGGGAGTATTAATTTTGGCGAAGATGGCAGAAAAATTCAGGGTCTATTTCATTACATTTAAACCATAGATTCTATCATTCACTAGTTTAATATCAAATTTAAATTAATTTTTTAAAAAAATTCCCATCAAAAGAAACACTTATATTCCCTCTATTTCATATTTATGAATTCATTTATATATCTTTTGCAAGCAAATTAGAAAATATTAATATTTTATATATCTTATATAAATGATGTGATAATTAAAATGAATATATAACATTGTCCTTATAAGCAGAAGGTGTAGTGAAATAAAAATAAATAAATAAAAGTAGTATTATGATGATTTTAAATGAAAAATAAGAATATCTAATTTTGGTGGACACTATTTGGAGAATAAGAACAAAGATGTGTTATTAGCACATATATATATATATATATATTGATAATGTTAATAATTGTATTTGTGGCCTCAGTTTTACTAAATAAAGTTGAGATCCCCTTTTTTTTTTTTTTTTTTTTTTTTTTTTTCTAGAAAAGTCACCAACGATTTATTTTTATTTTTTATTTTTATTTTTATTTTTATTTTTATTTTTATTTTTTCGAATATAAAGTCTTGTTGTTTAAGGTATGTTCGATTTGCGAAATTCCAGTGCATTGAATCATCTAAAATATAAAAAGTATATCTTGTGTTGAGACAGTATAGATGATGTAATATTATTATATTATTATTATTATTATTATTATATTTAAAAAAACGTGTTAAATAATGCAGTCCACAAATTATTGATTACAATATGTAGTTTAATAGACTTTTTATGTTATATATATATATATATATATGTATATTTCCTCCGGCTCATATCGATATATCCATTTATTTTTTCTACGAAATTTTAGAAATATTAGTATTACATTGAGATAAAGTAGAAATAAATATAAAAAGACTAAATTAACCCTATTAGTATTGTATGATATAAATATAATGACATTTGTGTAATATATTTTAAATTGAAAGGGTATTTGCAATGTTAGGTAAATAGTAAAATTACTTTAAAAAAAAGAAATAAATACTTTGTTATGAGACGTACCAAAATAAAAAAATCGATAGATTGTCAAGGGACGGAGAAAGTACTCCCTCCGTCCCAAACATCCTGCAACATTTCCTTTTTGGTATATCCACCAAACCCCTGTAACATTTTCAAAATAGGAAATAATTCATTATACTTAATATCTACTCTACACTTTATCCCCTCACATTATCCGAATAAAAAAATAAAATATATATTTCTCTCTCCATCACATCACCTAATTTCTAAATTATCCTACTTAATACTACTCACCTAAAAACTTGTGCCAAAAACAAATGTTGCATCTTATTTGAGACGGATGGAGTATTATTTTAGTTGTATTATAATTGTCTAGATAATATTAGCTTTAAAATTTATTTAATTAATGATTACTATATTACATTACATTAATTTAACACCCTATTATGTTTGCATATCTTCTAGATTGATGACTAATCACACAAATTAAAATAAAATCTGGTGTAATAATAATGATAATAATAATAATAATTTTCTTTGCTCTAGAAGTTTCCAAGGTAATGAGTTCTTGAAATTATGGTCAAATTTGCTAACCAACAATGGAGATTTTAAATTGTATATGGAAGAATTTAATAATTAGCACTCTAATATAATTTTGAAAATTGAAGATATAAAATTGCAAAAAGTGCCAAAATACCAAATAGTAGTAAGACTTACATAGGCCTAACAATTGTCAACCTGAAAATAATTAAAATATTAACTAATTTTTTTAACGATATGTTATATAAAAATGGCATTAAAATTTCATTCTTGACTTGAAAGGATACAATCTGAACATTAAAAACAAAACAATTGTTCTATTAAATCAATTGTCAAATATAATTTCAATTAACATAATTTATATACTATCTTTATATATTTTTTTTTTAAATTTTTTTTATAATCAACATATTGCTGATCACATAATTATTCCGTTCATCACAATATGGAGTATTTTTTAATTACGTTATTATTATTATTATCAATTATTTAACTCGATAAGCCTTCAGTTACGACCAAAGGTTTCATTTCTTACACGCGTTTATACAATTCAAAATTTCATTACCAAACCCTAATATAAATTTCAATGCCTTTTAATTTCATATTGCAAATTCCATTCTTTCATTCATTTCTTCGATTCCTTTCCGACAATGGAACCCAAATCGACGACGACCAGTTCGCCGTTGCTGTCGATCCTAATCTGCATCAATCTCGCCGCTGCAGCTTCTGCCCATTTCTTCCCCAACGTTTCGTCGATTCCGCCGTCGTCTATCCCCAACACCACCACTTGGGACACTTTCCGATCACTCGCCGGCTGCCGGAAAGGCGTCACCGCCGACGGCCTGGCGCAGCTCAAGAAATACTTCCACCTCTTCGGCTACATCACAAATTCCTCCGGCGATTTCTCCGACGACTTCTTCGACGACAACCTCGAATCCGCCGTCAGAAATTACCAGCTGAACTTCAATCTCAACGTCACCGGCGAATTGGACTCGCCGACGTTGAGCCATGTGGCGCTTCCCCGGTGCGGGAACCCCGACGTCGTCAACGGAACTTCGACGATGCGGTCGGGGAAGCCTTGGGATTCCGGCGCGGCGGCGCAGACGGTGGCGCACTACTCATTCTTCCCGAACCGCCCGCGGTGGCCGGCGGGGAGGAGGAATCTCGAATACGCTTTCTCGCCGGAAAATCAGCTTTCCGACGAGGTGCGCGCCGTCTTCCGCCGAGCCTTCGACCGGTGGTCGGCGGTCACGACGCTGACGTTCACCGAAACGACGTCGTTTAGATCCGCGGACATCCGGGTCGGGTTCTTCAGCGGCGACCACGGCGACGGCGAGCCGTTCGACGGCGCGATGGGCACCCTGGCCCACGCTTTCTCGCCGCCGGCCGGCCGCCTCCACCTCGACGGCGACGAGAATTGGGTCCTCGACTTCGCCGCCCTCCAGGCGGCGCCGGCGGCCGCCTTCGATCTCGAGTCCGTCGCTGTCCACGAAATCGGGCATCTAATCGGGTTGGGTCATAGCTCCGTCGAGAACGCGATTATGTACCCGACAATCTCGTCGGGCACCCGAAAAGTCGAACTCGGGCGTGACGACATTATGGGCATCCAAGAGCTCTACGGGTCCAACCCAAATTACAACGGGTCGGACCCTGTCCGTGGCGAAAACGATACGAATACCTCGCCACGTGTCCTGCATCCGTGGCATCAGCATGGCTTCCTGCTGGCCGTCGGATTTTCCACTCTAGTATTATCATTGATCTAGATTCTAGATGTATTTATTTATTTTTGAAAAAATATATATATATTTTTTATTTGTACGTAAACACATGGGAATTGACTTTTCTATATCAATTCTTTTAGAAATAAATTTCGAGGCAAAAAATAATTTTGGGGTCACGGACGATCTAAAATGTCTTGATAATTAAATGAAATAATTAAATCAAAGAAAATGAAATATAACTGTCCCCAACACTAAAACGATACAATATTAAGACATCAATCAATTTTAGTTATTTAAGAAACTGTGACAAATCATCGATGTGTTCATTTATGTCTTCTTCACAATTTTACACGACTTATATTAAACAAATTATTTCATGAACTTAATTGCACTTTTTCGACATCGAGTGGGACAGTGTGCAACTGATATTTGGTCCCATTAAATAACATATCTCACCTTGTATTTATTTTGGTTGCCATCTCATTCAGTTTCAATTGAATTAATATATTTATCGTCAGTCTTTTAAAATAATAAATAAATTTACTAATATTATTGTATTACTAACATAAAAATATATATACACAACTATTTTTATTTATAAGTTGATCGAAATTAATGTATTAATATATATATATATATATATTTATATATTTATTTATTTGATCCGTTAGGATGATGAATACAAAAATCAATACCATATTGAAATTCGTACTCAAACCTCCAAAACACATGAATAACTCATTTATCTATTTACTATAGCATGTATTGTATTAAATAAAAAATATTACTGTAATCTTGAATATATTTAATGGATTACAATCAAATTCAGATGGTGTTGATTTGATCGAATCAAAATATGTTATAAAGGTAAATAACATATATTCTCTTCATCCCAAAAGAATAGAGATATTTGAAATTGACATGAAAATTAATGAATAATAGTATTATATTGACTGTAAATTTAAAAGTGTTTCTAAAAATCAAAATGTAATTATTATAAAAATATGAGAATTTTTTTTGTAAAAAAATAGAGAATTAGTTACTAGAAATGAAAATGAGACTATTGTTTTGGAACGAACAAAAATAACAAAATGAGACTATTGTTTTAGGATAAACTAAATATTTCAACTTAATATAACATAAGTTGTACAACAATATACTCCCTTCGTCCAAGAAATATAGTCTTAATTGGGTTGGACACGAGATTTAAGGAATATTGATATTATATTGATAGTTGGTAAAAAATATAAATAAAAAACTTTTTTACCCTTGTGAGTGTATTAGTGTAAAAAGTAGTGGCAATTGTGTAATAAAAATAAAAACGTAGGGGTAGTTTTACGGTGATATGATTATTTATGAAATAAGACTATTATTTTGAGACGGACAAAAATAGTAACAAAACTATTGTATTGGGACGGAGGAAGTATCATATATTGTATTATAACATAGCATGTGATTACTATAAATATATTTTTATATATATTCATAGATGTTGTTTATCTTTATGACTTATGCTGATTCGATTAAATCAATATTTTATTTTGCATTTATATTATTTTAAAAACATGCCACAAAAAAACTTCTTATAATAAAAAAAATAAAATAATATAATCTATAATTGATTTAAACACATTATATGGATTCATACAAAAGTGCATTACGATCTTTATACTGTATTCTTCATTTCTTTATAATATACACTAACTTAAGCATCTTTAAAGTATCAATAATAAAATAAAGGTAAAATTGCTTATAATTCGCATGTGATTTCAAAATTCAGCGTAAAATCTCTATGTATTTTAAAAGTTGCATGGTACTCCCTTATACTTTAAAAAATATTTCATGAAACCCCACCATCATGAAACCCCACCATCATGAAACTTTCCTCGTGTGATAAGAAGATGATTTCCTATCTATATGTTTTGTATGACATGGGGTTTTATGGAATATTTTTGAAAATATAAGTAAGCGTCATGCAATTTTTTAAAGTAAAATAGAGATTTATGCGGAGTTTCGAAATCACAAAGTGGTTTCATGCAATATTTTTTAAAGTATAAGACGTCATGCAATTTTTAAAATAGAAGAGAAATTTACGCTGAATTTCGAAATATCAAGAGAGGTATGGACAATTTTGCGTAAAATAAAAGTTACACTGAAATAATATTGTGGGAAGAGCATGAAAAATGAGGAAACCATTCTGTCAACTAAACTGTATTCCCATTTCCCTGCCTTTGCTTTACTCTAATTCCATTCAATATAATACACCATTAATTCAATATAAATACTATATATTCAATTATTTTATACTTTTTAAGTTTATTTATTAATTGAAAATTGTATATATATATATATATATAAATGATATTTTTCTTAATAAATTATTAGAGCCGGCAATGGCTCAATTTGTGTCGGGTTGGTGCCGGGTTGAATACTTTAAACGGGTTAAATTACTCAATTTTAACCCGACTCGTTTATTATCGTGTCGGATTCGGGTTGACTCGTGTTGACCTATATACATAATTAAGTCGAATTTCTTAATTCAAATTAAATAATTTTTTGTTGTGTTGTCGTGTTATGTTAGTTTTTATTGGTTTGAGCGTAAATTAGATTGAATTATTTAAAATTGAACTTAGTTTAAATTAATTTATGATAAAATTATTAAATTATGATTATTTTACATATATAATGAATATATTAATTAATATTAATATATTATAATCGGGTTGTCGTGTTGGGTTCGAGTTGAGAGCCTCAACCCTAACCCAATTCGTTTATTATTGTATCGAGTTTGTGTCAACCCGTATACATAATTGGGTTGAAATTTTTGACCAAAATCCAATTATTTCGTGTCAGATCGTATCGAATTATCATTTCGGGTCAGTTTTAACCGGCTCTATAAATTATTCTTAAATGGACCCATTTTGGCCACTGTATTTAATCCCCAATCGTCCATTCTAATTTACGCCTGTCTGCTAAATTGCGCCTGTCCATACTTGCCCTATCCTCGAACGGTACCCACTCCTTAAAAGGCATGGGAAAGAATGACTAGTTGATGATATCTTCTGGTAGTAATACTTCTTTTGGAGTATTCATTTGTCCCACATAATTTATTCCTATTTTTTATTTTCGTCCGTTTCATATAACTTGTCATTTCTATTTTTGGAAATATAATTATGTACTTTAATAGTATTTTAAATTTTATAATTTTTTTTAATTTTAATTAAATTATTTACTTATCTTAATCTTAATCTATAATTATTTTTACTAAATAATAATTATTTTTACTAATAGACTTTTTAATTACATATTAATTATACTTTACCTAAATTCTCGTGTCTACAGTAATACACCCATATTATATGGGACGGGACGGAGGGAGTATTTTATTATATATTTTATTTACTTTAGATATAATACTTTTTTATTGCATTAACAAATTGCTTCCACTGAAAACTTAATTGGTTACAAGCGTATGTATTTTTATTTATTTTTATTAAAAAAATAATATTTTATTAAAAATGATAAAACAAAAAAAGAAATGAGATTTCTTTTAAAAAAATAATTAGTAATTAAAAAAATAATATAAGAAAATATAATAAATACAATAATATTTATTGTAAACAAATATATATTTAACGGAAAAAAAATAGAATAAATTATTTTACCAAAATTAGTAATAAAATATATTTAAGATATAAAAAAATAGAATAAATAAGCCAATATATAGTGGTGTATACTTACAAAAAAAAAAAAAAAAAAAATGAATATTTTGTTTTTAAACTTTAAAAAATAACTAATTAAATACATTTAATTTTGGAATATATAACCTGCTAACATGCGCCTCCCATGGCACCTCCTTTACAACCAACCAATTTTCAAGTCTTCCTTCCAAATTCACAGATTCTCACTTAGTCACTCAGTCAGACTCTGTTCAGCAGTCTACCCAAAACCATGGGCAGATTTCTGCCCGGCCCCTTCCCCGCCGCCTGGAATTCCGACAACCCCCAACTTTCCGACCACCTCCCCACCGTCGTCCGGACATCCTCTTCTTCCAACTCATCCCTCTCCTCCCAATCAAGTCTCCCATCAGTTCCTTCCCTCACTCCGCCGCTTCCCGATCAAACCGCCGCCGCCCACTACAGCTGCTCCGCCACGCTCCGGGGACACTCCTCCTACGTATTCTCCCTGGCTCTCGCCGGAAACCGCCTCTACAGCGGCGCTTCCGACGGAGAAATGCGGGCCTGGGATCGGACCCTCTCTAATTCCAGTAATGATTATTCTCCTCGCGACAACGTCGTCGGAGAAGGATACAGCGCCGTCAAATCAATTATAATTTCCGGCGACAAGCTCTTCTCCGCCCACCAGGACCAGAAAATTCGCGTCTGGAGAATCGACGGCTCGCCGGCGCCGAATCAGAGGTATAAAATGGTCGCGATTTTGCCGACATTGAGCGACAGCTGTATGAGCCTCTTCGACGCCGGAAAGTACGTCCGAATCCGGCGGCACAAGACCCGCACGTGGGTGCATCACGTGGACGCGGTTTCCGGCCTGGCTTTGTCGCCGGAATCGTCGCTGCTCTACTCCGTCTCTTGGGATCGGAGTTTCAAAATCTGGCGGACTTCCGACTACAAGTGTATCGAATCGGTGCAGGACGCGCACGCCGACGCCATCAACGCCGTCGTCCTCTCCGCCGCCGACGGCTTCGTCTACACCGCCTCCGCCGACAAAACGATCAAGGTCTGGCGGCGGTGCAGCGGCGCCGCCGCCGGCGACCGGAAACACTCCCTCGTCTCCACTCTCGAAAAGCACAAATCCGCCGTGAACGCATTGGCATTAAGCTCCGACGGCGCCGTCCTCTACTCCGGCGCCTGCGATAGATCGATCATCGTGTGGCGGCGACGTGGCGGCGACTCCGCCGCGTCGCCGCACATGGTGGTCGCCGGAGCCCTGCGCGGCCACACAAAGGCTATTTTGTGTTTGGCTACCGTGTCGGATTTGGTCTGCAGCGGCTCCGCCGATCGGACGGTTAGGATATGGCGGAGATCGGACGGCGGAAATTACTCATTCGTGGCGGCGCTTGAAGGTCACAGCACTCCGGTCAAGTGCCTGACGGCGGAGCCCGGCGGAGACGGCGACGGCGACGATTACCAAATTTACAGTGGTGCGTTGGATTGCGAAATTAGGGTTTGGCAAATTCATGCCCCTCGAATTAATTAATTTTAATAATTAGCTACTAATTAGGTTTTGGTAATACACTTTTTTTCTATTTGGGTGTCACATTTTTATTTTTAATATACTTTTCTAATAGTTTTTAATTTGATTTTTCATTGTAACACATACATATACGTCCAAAATTGCAAATTAATTCCTCGACCATGATGATGATTGTGCACCTAACATCTTTGAAAGTCACAATAAATATTAATCAATCAGTTCGACAAAATTCAATCAAGATCATAAATTATATTTATATATTTGACTAAAATGGGTTTAGTAAAATCTGGATAAGTTTGTAATAAAATGGCCTAATTAATTAGTTTCATAATGTCCAAATTAGTCACGTCAAAGTATCTTAATTGCGGCGATAAGGACAAGTGTAGTATACTAACTAATTAGTTGATTAAATAATTGTGTGCTAAGCTAATCATGGGTCTCATTTGGCAAAGGACAATATAAAATTTAGTTAATTGATTTATTTTTAAAATATGACGTGTCGATCTTGCAATAAATAGAATTATTTTTAAATTAGAGAGGGGTAACGTTTTTGTTGGCAATAAATTAGAATTTCGGTGGGTGAATGAATGGGTGTCCCATTTGGTCCCTGTATGTTAATTTATTAATATATGTATTTTTATCATCTTTTGGTCTATCAAATTTAGTTATTTTAGTCGATTTTTTAAATTTATTTCATTATTAATTTTGACAAAATCAACATTTAATAATTTTTTTGTTTTTTTAATCTTTGTAGACCTACGTGTGCTAATTTTACCAAACAGAAGGAAGGAGTATTATTAAGATGAAATAGTTGCATTTTATAGAAATCATTTTAATTAACTTTTTTTATTATTATTTTAAAGAACAATATATAAATAAATGCCCAATCGGTAGTGGACTTGTGATTATTAATGTCTACTTTAATCCAACTCATTTTAACGTGCTATCTTTAGGGCCCATTTAATTTGAACAATTTAGGCCAGTTTAATACGGCTGGGCCGGGCTTAATTAAAGCACCAATCTGTATATGTGGAAAATAAGGGCAATATTATCAGTAAAGAATGACCTAGCGGTATGGGAAATGAATTAGTGACTGTGAAATTATGGGTTCAAAATTTCGACGTTTTCAGGTTCATCTGTCACACATGGTTCGTAGTCGGGGATTGAAATATCTGTTCATTTTTAAAATCAGTATTATATTGAATTATGTATTTCACGTACTTTATGTTTGCAGAATCTGTGCTGATCCAGCCAAGTCAGCATATGCTATACGGGTGACCAGCATATATTTATATATATTTTAGCACATGTTATTTTATAGATAACATATGATGGTGATTTATAATATAACATATGTTAATATTATAAATATGCTGAAATATGTATAAATATATTAGTCATCCTGATATCATATCAAATGAGCACTATGCTGATTTGACCGGATAAACTGATCCATGCCCGTACTCTATAAAGTATGTCTGACACTTCATATGTATATGTACTAATTATTGTACTCCCTCCGTTCCAATAAAATAGCCTTATTTACCATTTTTATTCGTCTCAAAACAATAACCTTATTTTCATAAATAATTATATCACTATAAAACTATCCTTACTTTTTCATTATTATCACACAATTGCCACTACTTTTTATACTAATACTATTACAATGGTAAAAAAGTCATTTACTCGTACTTTTTACCCATTACTAATATAATATTAATATTCCTTAAATCCCGTGCCAAACACAACCCAAATTATAGTTCTGCGACTGAGGGAGTATTATATTTTGTATTATATTAACATAAATAATGTGTAATTATATAATATATACATACATGTGTATACATATATATATATATATATATATAAGCAGAGGCAAGGGCACAGAGGGGCATGTGTGTCTGTATAAGATATACACATATATATATATATACACACATTGTCCTAAACTGTAGTGAATGGTCTCTCATCACCATCATTGTTAGTCAGTCCCATCTCATCCTCATCTTCATCTTCATCTTCTTCTTGATCAATCTTGATCTTGATGATGGATCATCGTCGACATGAGCGTAGCTCTTTTACATTATTTTCTTGTAATTCAACCAAGCTTCAACATCACACTTTCAGCAGCACAAGCAGCTATAGCTATTTGGATCAGATCAGATCAGATCAAAAAATATTATTGATCCCACATACACTATACAAAGATCGATCAAGAAACACCACAATTCCATAGGTACCTACCCACCCACCCACCCACCCACCTACCTATTATAGAGATATATAATATAGCTAGCTACCTTAGAGAATATTAATTAAACTATATATATATATATATAATTGCAGCTTTGAAGATGATGATGATGAAGAAGAAGATGAAAAGAAGAAACCCTAATTTCAGAAGTCTGGTTTTCTTCTTAATTTCTTCTGTTTCCCGGGAATTGAAGCCCCAAGGTCCGAATATATATATATATATATATCATCCATATTTATAATTAATTAATTTTGTTTCTTTAATTTCATTTCATATCTACCCAAAAAAAAAAAAAAATTGTGTGTTTTCACTTCATCTTCATTTCTCCTTATAATGTGTATGAGGGTTTTCTATCCTTCTTGGTTGCAATTAAATAAATATATAATTCCATTTGAGTTTGGATCGATTGAGTACTTTTAGGGTTTGAATGTTCTTAATTAATTGGTTGATTGATTTTAATTTGGGAGTAATTTAGTTTTGATTGTGAATTTTCTTTTATATGATACATTAAATTTTCTAGCTTTAATTTAATTAATTTGATTGTGTTCATATTCATCTATATTAGTAGTTAGCTTTATGTACTAATTTGAATATTATAAATATATAGTTTGATAATTTGAAGTGGGCTTTCATTTGAAATTATTTTAAGATTATGTAATCCTTTATAAATGAAGATTAATTCAATTAGCAATAAAAGAAGAAATTAATCAAACATTATTAATGTCACCTTGTAATTTAATCAAAAATTTAATTATTCTTTTATTAATTAAATTAAGATGGGCTGTATATTCTCTAGAAACATGTAATGATGTAATAGATTATAATGAATATTTGAAATCAAATCTTTTTTTTTTAAAAAAAGAATAATGTTGTCGTTCTTTTGAAGGATGGTACTTATATTTAGGTGTGAATAATTGTGCCCCACATTCTGCAATCAAATCATTGTGCCTCCTACCTCATCTTAATTATAAATTAATTCTCCATTTTTAAATTTTTGCTATTTATAAAAAAAAAAAAAAAAAAAAAAAAAAAAAAAAAAACATAATCACTACTAATGTCTATATTCATCATCATCCTCATCAAGAATTCACATCAACCCTTGATATTTACTTTTAGGGTAAACTGTTTTTTTAGCCCCGTAACTGGAGGGCCTTGTCATTTTAATCCTGTAAGTGAAAAATTTTAACTGTTTTTTTTTAACTTATTTTTCATTTATTTTTAATTTTATTTGCATTTTTTTATTTGGTCCAATTAAAAAAAAAATTAAAATAAATAAAAAAAATAAATAAATCCACATGTCCGCCAGGTGTCGCTGACTTGGCAGGACACCTGGCGGACACGTCACCTCCGGCGAGCCACACCAGCATCTCCGGCGCCGGAGGACTAAAACAGCGAAAATTTTTCACTTATGGGACTAGTTTGCGACAGGCTCCACTTATGAGACTAAAATGATAAGGGAGTACAGTTACGAGATTAAAAAAATAGTTTACCCTTAGTTTTATTATAATTCTTATTAAGAGGCGGCGAAAATAAGTAGTATTCAAAAATCTAATTTGAATTTAGCACGAACAAGTTATGGTTGGACCTAAAAAAATAAATTTAAAAAAATTTGGGTTATGCTAACCTGATATGATTGATGAACTGTGCCGGTTTCGAGCCTATAAGATCGGGTTGTATCTGGCCTGGTTGGTTTTATAAAATTAAATATATATTTTATAATAAATAATTCTATAAATATATTTACAAATTAAGATATATTAAAAATGAAAATATAGTTTAATGATTTAGTTTTTGTCTTACCAATATTAGGTCAAGGGTTTAATTTTGATATTAAGGTGTTTAGAAATAGCTTTTCGAAGAGCTTTTAATTTATTGAATTTGATCAGTCAAAAAGTTAATTTAGGTGTTTGGTAAATTAGTTTTTTGAAAGAGCTTTTTGGACTCAAAAAGCTAATTTCTGAAAAGCTGATCTACCCTACCCAGCGTTTTTGCAATAGCTTTTTCATTTTAATATTGGTTATTTTTATTTACCTTTAAAACTTAATTATTTATTATATATATATAAATATATTTTTATAGCAGTAGTTATTAATAATGTTTAATATATCCAATTTATTAAATTATATTTTTATTTTTGTAAATTTAAAATAATTACTATTATTAATTATTACATATAAATTATTTTATTTGTAAAATATATAAAATTTTAAAACTAAATTAAATAAAAAATTAAAGATTATTAATTTGTTTATATATATATATATTAAAACGATAATGAACATAATAAAAATATATTTACGAAAGATTTATATTTTATATTTAACATAATTTCAATAAAAAAATTATTATTATTTAGTAAAAATAATTTTTCTAAATCTAAATAATAAAAATAAAAATAAATATTTTATAATATTTTTATAATTTTCAATAATTAATAACAAAAATTCTCATAAATTTCAAACCAAAACGAACAAAATTAAATATTTTAAAAAATAACATATAAATGTCCTTAATAGTCATTTTATGTATAAACAACTAATGTCGAACAGTTGCTTTACCAAACACTTTAATACAAACCGCTAATTGAATCAGCTAGTCAAGATAATTGTCAAACGCACCTTTAGAAGTAATTAAACAGAATGAATAAATGGAATGAAGGTAATAAAGTTAACGACATTTGTTGTAAATAAAATTTTTAATGAAAATAATAATTACATATTAATTTTTTTGCTTTTACAAATATAATAATGAAGTAAATTTAATGAATGAACAAAAAAAAAAAAATGAAAATAAATTTTACGAATAAAAAAAGTAGTATATATATATATAAACCAAGTATTGTAGCTTAAGTTTTTGTACACATTATTAATACTTGGGATGAATGTAATATTTAGGTTTTGCTTGTCATCATCACACAAAATTGATCCCTTTTCTCTTATACATACTTCACGCGTCTAATTTAAATATATATATATATATATATTTCATTCAGTTAATAAGTATAAATTTTATTTTGACACAAAAAAATAAAAAATATTATATTTAAATAATAATTTGATGGATATATATTTTTTTGTCTTTATGTTTTAATTAGATTTTATGATATTTATATTAATAATTGTGAGTTTGAATATATTTATAATGTTTAGTATTGTTAAATTTAATAAATATATATATATATATATAATTTGTGTTTAGATAGATAAAATTAATAAAATGTATACTTTTTCAAGTGGATTGAAAGATTAATTTATATGCTAATGTCACAATATTTTTAATTTTTATATGGATTACAAATATAGAAAAAATACTTAAACAAATTATATAAACCCAATTCACTATTAGAAATTTGTAAATTTTGTATTTTAATATATTATTTATTACAAAGTTTTGAAGATAAACTGTATCATAATTTTTTTAAAATTTATATCGACATCAATAACTCTCCAAATAATCATGAGCAAAAGACTATCGCCAGTGTATACACAGTTACATATAAAATAAAATAATTGAAAGTAAATCAATAACGAAAATTACCATTATAAAATTATTTTAATTCGCAATTATCAGTCAATTTTGGGTTTCGTTTTATAATTAACATAGGGTTATTGTGCGATTAAGATTATTATAAAATAAACATTATTGTAATAGTTTATTCAGTTTTTATTATTTTTTTTAATATATCTTCTCCTATTGATTAGAAATTATGCAACTTTTTGACATTTTCTATTATATTTTTTTATATTAAAAATTAGCCTTCGGAAGTGATATTTAAAAATAAAATAAAATAAGGATGTCTTCTTTTGTGAAAACAAATTAATATATATATATATTTTTTTTTAAAAAAATAATATATTACACATATATTATTTTTATATTATTTACATAATTTTTTATATCTCACATAAAAATATATATATATATATATTTCTTAGAACTATTTTTCGTAATTCCTCTGTCACCTAAAAACATGCTTAAGTGTATAGGCACGTGTTAATATATGTGTATTTTTTTTTGTTGTTATTTATAGTAAAAAAATATATAAAAAATATAATATTTTCTTATTAAAAAAGGAATACAAATATTTTAAAATCACACACTAAAATAGAAAAGATAACACAAATTTAGACGAGCCGATGGAATAATATATTTTTTATAAAATATTTTACGATAAATTGTATAGTAGTTATAAAAGGTTGAAAAAAAAAAAAAAAAAACTCACCCAATTTGTATTTGCAAGCATGTGATGCTTAAATTAATTTTGAGGGCATTTGTCAAAGAATTTTTTCAAAATTTTAAAACAATTTTAGTTGTTTAATCAGTCCAAAGTTAATGTAGGTGTTTGATATATTAATTTTTTCAAATAATTTATTTAATTCAAAAGGGTAATTTTTGAAAAATGATACTCTCTCCGTCCCAGATACCATGTCCACGTCGTTTCTGTTCGTCCCACGTACCATGTCATTTTTATTTTTTGAAAAATAATTACACACTTTAATCTCATTTTAAATTTTAAATTTTATTTTTTAATTTTAATTAAACTAATTAGTTATGTTAATCTTAATTTATAATTATTTATATTATAGGATAATTATTTTCACTAATACATTCTTAATTATCTACTAATTACGCTTCTCTTAAAATAAAATACTGTGTCTACAGTATAGTATAGCAGACACTGTATTTGGAAGGAGTATAACATAACTTTTCATAAAAGTTTTTTTATTTTAATTTTTTTTTATTTCTTATTACCCTTAAAAATTTACAGTATTATTTATTTCACACAGGTATAAGTACATTATATATTGCATTAGTTATTTCTTATTTTAATGCTATATTTTATTTACTAAGTTATAATTTTATTTTTATAAATTTTTAAAATAATTAAATTTTATACTCTCTTTGTCCCAAAAAGGTTGTTTTGTTTTTTAATTTTTTTCCGTCTCAAAACAATTGTCTTGTTTCCTTATTTAATAACCGTGATCTCCACATAAGACGTCTCTTTTGAGACGAAGGGAGTATATAATTTATTTTATTTGTAAAATATATAAATTTATTAAAATTAAAACAGAATAAAAAACATAAATATTAATTAATTTATATATATGTATAATTTTATATTAAAAAATTAATATAAAATAAATTATTAAAAATTATAAATATAATAAAATAATAAATCAATTAGTAATCAACATAATAAATATATATATATATATGAAAACTTTTATTATTTTATATTTTATTCCATTAATTCCAATAAAAAAATATTAATGTATTTCAATAAAAATATCATTAATTATTTTTTTTTAAATTTAAAAATAATAAAAATAAATATTTTATAACATTTTCAAATTTTCTAATAATAACTATTAACAAAAATTTTTAAAAATTATAAACTAAAAAATCACAGATGAATATTTTAAAAGATAAAATAGACATATATTTAATTGTCATTTTACATATATAAAAATTAATACATTATTAAATAATTGTTTACCAAACACAAACAGTTGAATCTGCTAATAATTAAAAATATTAACTAATTATCAAACACACGATTAATTGAAGTAAACTAGATGGGATATATAAATATTATTTAGTACTCCCTCCGTCCATTTAGAAGAGTTACATTTACTTTTGGTGCGGTATTTAAGAAATAATAGTATTTTAATTATAGTAAGTAGTTAAAAGTAGTGTAATGATATTTTTGCCTTTATTTTTTTTTGTGTAAAAGTAATGATGTGATGTAAAGTAAGAGTATTTGTGAAAAAAAATAGGATATTTAATGAAATGTAAACTTTGTAATTGGACGTCCCAAAATAGAAACACGTAAACTTTGTAAGCGGACGGAGGGAGTATATAATACTTCATTCGTCTACAGGGTCACATTTACATGTTGTTTTATTGTACTTAATATTAAAAATATCCTTATATTTGTATAAGTTTTGTACAAATATTTTTCTATTAGTATTATAAGACACTAATGAAAGTAATTTTATATTTTTTTTAATTTGTATTATTTTTTGATATAATAATTAATATTCAAATATTAATACTCAAAAAAGTAAATAAGAACTTTAGAGCAGAAGATTGATAGTAGTATTTAATTACCAATCAATAAATTGCTGACAACTTCGATTCTTTTCATGGGAGGCACGATTTCAAAAGATCAGATAATTAATTCAACGAGAAATCATGTTTGATTATATCATTTTTTCAATAAAAATTCATAAAATACACTCTATTTTATTTATTACATATTGTATTAATATAAATTTTGCATGCTTCTTTTGTCCAAAATTGATATTTCATTGTAAAGATGAACCAATAGTGAAAGTTCTAAATAAATAAATAATTGATTAATTCTTAATTTTTATAAATTTTCGAAGACAAAATATTATTGATTTTTACAAAAAAAAATATATAAATAATTAACTAATCAATTATTTATTTATTTTATTAAAAAAATATTTAATATATTTTACGTTTTTATTTATATAAAACTTACGTAATAAAAAAATTTTATTTGAACAAAAATACATGTTATAATCACGAAATTAATTTTTCCTTTTTAATCACTCTTCAATATTTGTCCAACACGTAACCCTAACCCAAAAGAGAGGTTTATACATCAACTTGTTAATAAATAATAATAATAATAATAATAATAATAATAATAATAAACCAAGTGAATTACAATATTATTTATTTAATTGTTATTTTATTATAAGAAAGTGCATTAGCTTTTTACTCCAATATAACACACACGAGACAATGGAATAATAAAAGTGTTAGGTTGTATTTTCAACTTGTTTTCTATTTTACATTTTTTTTTTCTTAAAAAAATAAACATCACGTATACATTTTTTTAAAACCTAAAATCACAAGATTATATTATGCATGTCATCTAAATTTATATCTATTTGACCGGATACAAATTTAAAAAAAAAAATGTATATAAAATTTTCTCTTTTATAGTAAATAAAAAAATATATATATTATTTTTTACTATAAAAGAAATAATTTTTATTACAACTAAAAAAAAATTAATATATTCCTCCGTTTTATAAAAAAAATATCATTTTTTATTTTTATTTGTCTCAAAATAAAATTATTATTTACTTATTTAGTAATTATACTACTTATCTAACATAATAAATACTTTTACAACTTACAATTTATTACACAGATGTTATTATTTTTATATCATACAATACTAATAAAGATAATTTTGTCCTTTTTCACTACGAACTAATGTAATAATAATATTAAAAAGTTTATATATAAAAAGAAAATTGTACTCAAGGTAATACTCACTTCCTCCGTCCTTTAACAATCTATCTATTTTTCTATTTTGGTATGTCCCATAACAAAATATTTATTTCATTTTGTTTTAGTAATTGTACTACCTACCTAACATTACAAATACCCTTCAAATTTACAATATATTACACAAATATTATTACGTTTATATCATACAATACTAATAGGGTTAATTTAGTCTTTTTACATTTATTTATACTTTATTCCAATATAATACTAATATTTTTAAAATTCTGTAAAAAAGCAAATAGATATATAGATACGAGACGGAGCGAGCAGTATATTTCAAATAAAAAATTTTATATTGAAAAAACTCATAAAAAAATAAAAAAATAATCATGTGATCAGTTTGAAACATCCCAAAAAGCTTAGAAAACAAAGAAATAGTGGGACCAAATATTAACACCTGTAACACAAAATTATTTGATTAATAATAAAATGATGAATGGATTAAATAAATATATATATATATATATATATATACGTACAATTTAGGGTGATAAAACAAATAGCTTTCCTGCTCTAAGAAGATATGCCCAGATTTGGTCGAAGACCTTAATACACACACTTAAAATAAATAAATAAATAATTACTGTATATATATATATTATGAATTCATCATGTCAAAATTAAAATATTAATATAGTATACAATAAAAACAGACAGCCCATATTCTTACACGCACCATAATTAATTATTAATTAAAATAATATTACTTAATTCCACACTTTTAATTTTCAAACTACTCCCCCTAACCATATATTTTATTCACCCCAATGGTCAAGACAAAAATAAATTAAATAAATAAACATGCATGCACTTGAACTTAATTCACTGCACTATATATATTAAATTAAATAATTTATCATTTCTCTTGTGATTATATTTATATATATATATATATAGTGTCGGAAGCTAATGACCGTCTCACCTAAAAGCTCAAACTTGTTAGGGAAACTAAGCCATTAGTTACATATCCCGCAAACGGGAGTCCTCAACACGCCCCCTCAGGTGCAAGTGGGTCTGCGAAACTTGCACATGCAAGTGCCACAAATGGGGACGGGCGGGACTCGAACTCGAGACCTAACCTAGGCTCTGATACCATGTCGTAAGCTAATGACCGTCTCACCTAAAAGCTCGAACTTGTTAAGGAAACTAAGCCATTAGTTACATATCCCGCAAACGGGAGTCCCCAACATATAGATTATATTATAAGTACAAGGAACCTTCCATTATGTGCTGAATAATCAGAGATCTACAGGATATGATGGATTATCATTTAATTAATTAATCATATATTAAACTGCTGGAGATTGGAATGGACACCTGAAAGCATGCAAATATATTTTATTATTCCATTATCTAAATTAATTAATCAACTTTGGTTAGAGAATAATGAATCCACACTATTGTTGGTCAATCAATTTTATTTTATTTTATTTTTTTCAAAATTAAATATTATAGTAGTATATATGATTAAATGTTGGAAGTTTGTTGCAAAGCTAGCTCACCATATCCTTCCAGGTGATTGCTTCCCCATCTTTCTTTTCGACTTTTTCCCCCATTTACATTTAATATAACAAATCAAATAAAATAAAATAAAATTGCATATGCACTAATTAAACGAATCCTCTTTGGTGGGCAAAGAAATAAAAATAGGGTTTTTGGTATATCTACTACATGAAAGCAAACATTGCTTGTTTCTTGACCATTCCAACATTATAATATTAATATAGAAATTATAATTAAATATTCTTCCCCCTTTCATTCATTTTTACTAATATATAATCCATAACAATAAAAATATGATTCTTTTAAATATATATTAATAAATAGGATTCTTTAATTTGTTTGCTATATAACCCCATCATTTTTGCCAAGAATTTGGTCATAATCAAAACCCTATTTCAAATTTCAATTAGGGTTAACCATGGAAGCAAATAATTCCCTTTCATGGAGTACTGCAAAATCCAGCCTTGAAAGAAAGCTCAAGCTGTTCGGAATCGAGCTCGATTCCGATCAAATTAATAATAAAAATAATAATTCTCTTGATCAAGGAGATGATCGGAGCCTGAATTCTTCGTCGGCGTCCTCCACCGTGACGGAAAAACCAGACTCCGCCGGCGGCGAGAGATCCCGATTCGAGTGCGGTTACTGTTACAAGAAGTTTGGGAATTCTCAGGCATTGGGAGGTCACCAGAATGCACACAAAAAGGAGAGGATGAAGAGGAAGAGGATGCAGCTTCAGGCAGCCAGAGCCACCCTCGATTATTACATTCAGCCATTTCATAGTTGCAGCAATGGCGTCCGTCACGGCGGCGGCGGCGGTGGCGGAGGTGAGTGTTTTTCGAGTAACTGTGAATACGCTTGCTCCGGTGCTCCGGCGTGGTTCTATGATCCGTCACGGCGCCTTCCCGACGCTCCGATCTATCAGGAATCGCAGATCAGCTTTGGATCCTACGGTCAGGATTGCGCCGCGGTGAACAGCCCGGTGACGCTTACGTATGACGACGGGGGACGAGAACCGGGCCGGTTCCGTGTTCTGGACTGGCCTAGGGATTGCGAGTCCCGGCCCCTCGGGACTACGAAGAAGATTTGTAATAGGAATAATTTAGATCTTCAATTAGGGCTGAGCATAAATTAAATTTCGACAATTTGAATCAATCTTGTCGATTAAGATATTGTAACAACCATATAATTAAATTTATATAGAAGAAAATTTTAATTAGAAAAAGGTCCCTATAATTAATTTATTTATTTTGGTGGGCCTGTACAACTAATAAGCCAGCGACTATAATGAATTAGCATAGGCCCAACTAATGCAAATTTCTTTTTATTTTATTTTATTTTCTAATATGTTCAAATCTCCTATGTAAATATACCATTTTTTTTTAATGTGATATATATATCTTTAATAATTATTTAATTCAAAAATTAAAATAAAATACAAAGCAAACAAATTCTATAAACTATACTCCCTTTTATTAAGATATATATATTTATTAATTATTCATATGATTATGTGGGATTTGAATCCATCCATAATTTAAGACTATTAGGGTATGCTTAATATTTTATAAAAAAGAAATGAATATATTTTTATCGAAAAATTGTATACTATAAAAAAATAAAAATCTAAAGAAAACATAACTTAAAAGTTTCTTGTAAAACTAGATTATTGTTGCACATTGGTTACTATATTGATTTAAATTAATTAATATTGTACTAACAACACATAAAATATACATTGTCAATATATAATTTGAATGAATTCAATATATAATGTATTGATTCTTACAATATATTGTGTTTTGTCTTTATACAAGAGCCATTGTCATATAATATTAATCCATATTATATACTTCATCCGTCCCAATACAAAAGTCTTATTTATCATTTTTTTCTGTCTCAAAATAATAGTCTTATTTCTATAAATAACCATATCACCGTAAAACTACTCATACTTTTTTCATTTTTATTACACAATTGCCACTATTTTTTACACTAATGCACTCACAATGGCAAAAAAGTCTTTTATCCATACTTTTTACTAACTAACAATATAATATTAATATTCCTTAAATCCAACTCAATTAAGACTATATTTATGGGACATAGGGAGTATGTGTTGTATAAATCTGCAAATTATGTTAGTAAGAAAAATTACACTACAAGTTCACCTCACACTAATAAATTACTCCCTCCGTCCCAGATGTGTCTACTACACTGTAGACACGGTATTTTAGGAGGGGTGTAATTAGTAGATAATTAAGAATGTATTAGTGAAAATAATTATAAATTAAGATTAAAATAACTAATTAGTTTAGTTAAAATTAAAAAAAATTAACAATTTAAAATGAGATTAAAGTGTGTAATCATTTTCCAAAAAAGGAAAGTGAAATGGTATGTTGGACGGACAGAAACGGCAACGTGGACATGGTATCTGGGACGGAGGGAGTATTTTTTAGAGGACAGACAATTCATATATTATATTTGTATTATATAACATATTTAATATATTCTATTACTTATATTTCATATGATATTAGCACATGTGTGAATTAATTTTTTCTTGACACAAAAATGACAACCTATATTTTCTTTTTATTTTGTTTGTTTAATTTTAACATTTTCTAAATTTAAAGAGAATTATTTGATGTTATATATTTTATTAAAAATATGAAAATAAAAAATAAAAACACAATATGATCAAAGTTGGACAATTTTGCTTTCAAATTAATTAATAATAGGCCCTTCAAGCACCCAATTATTATTTCATTTAATAATAATAACAATAATAATAATTTGTCGCAACCGACGAATATTTTGCATTGCATGCATGTAGAGTCGTCAAAAATAAATTGAATCTGAAAAATTGATCAAACTTAACAAATATATATATATATATATATATTTGGATCTAAAATAATATAGACCCAAAAATATTAATAAACAAATTTATCTAAAAAAATTGAGTTTAGAGTTTAGACTAATGGTTTACTACATTTTCTCATTATATAAAAATAAATAATACTACTATTATTTTATTTTATTTAATTACATATATATACTACATGCTATATATTATTATAATCTTAAATAAAACGAAGATGGACATAATAATAGTATAATTAAGTTTTAATACCATGTTCAAATTAATGGCGAATCGATAAACTTGACAAGATATGCTAAATTTATATTTGATATTGTCTTGATTGTGGATTTTTTATTTAAATTTTAGTTTAAATAGTATTTTAATATAATATTATATATATAATTAAAAAAACATATTTTTATTAAAAATGATGTCAATTGAATACTAATTATTTTTTTATTTACGGCCAAAACCAAATAAATCCTTAATGCTCAATTATTTATTTACTTAAATGAACATAGAAGGAATTATGGGAATAATTTCATCTTACTAATTATTTTTATTTATATTATTCATGGATGTCATGAGTCACTTTCGTCCAATAATAATCCCATCTACAATAACTATACTAAGAATTAAAATGTCACCTAAATGGTGGGGGTCTCCACTTTTGGACAACAAAACCAAATAATAATAATAATAATAATAATAATAATAATAAGTCCCGTAAGGGATGGCCTGGTGGTGCAGGGTTGGACTTGTGACCATGAAGTCAATTCAAATACAAATTTATGATTTTGTTTATATAGGTATTTTTAACGTAAAAAAGAAAAATTATTTACAAATTACACTATGTTGAACTATTATATGCCACAACAAATGAAAAAAAAAAAAAAAAACTAATGATTTGTTACATTATCAAGACCCAAATAGGCACCAAAATTAATTACAATATAATAAGACACTAATAAGTAAACATGTAGCAAGAAATAAGGTCAAATTTCATGGTCACCCTACCCACCCCCATGATTTGGATTTTTATTTCTTACCTTCTATTATCAATAATTGTGCCTCTACTCTACTACTATGATGTTGTAATATTCACTAACCCCTATTTCATAATTCTTTTTTTTTTTTTTTTAAAAAAAGAAGAATTAAAAATTAAAACTTTTCATTTATTTAATCCTACCAACTTTAACAACTAAACCAAAAGCTAAAATATTTTATTTTGCAAAAAATAGCGCTAGCTGGTTTGGATGTGGCCAATATTCACCGCACGTGTATCGCACGTGACCCAACTAGATACTGGGGAGCCGCACAGCTTTACCCGCGGCGCATGATAGCAGAAGCTGGCAATGAAATTCGAATTTTAAACGGCCACCACATATCAACTATTTATATATATATATATATATAATACTATATTATATAATTTCAAAATAAATAAATTGAAACAAGAACAAAACAGAAAATGCCAACCTGAATTTGCCCCTCAGCTTTGTGAACTCATCTGCTTAGGGTTTTCCAAAATCTCATAAATTTTCGCGAGTAATCCTCCAGGAATTTCCGCGTTTCCCAACTGTTTCGGATAAATTCGTCGATTTGAAAAAGCTTTTGTTCGCTAATTTCTGTTTTACCTCAACATATTTTTGCTCCTTGGAATTGCCGCTGTAAATCTCGAAATCCAGTCTCACATTTGTGAGGAAGTGATGGAATCTGTGAGTCCGCTTCAAGATTGGAACTTTGATTGAGTTCTGTTCCGGTGAAAACCATCGTCGGTGAAATTTGTAAGTATAGAATATGCCGGGGAGTAAATCTAAAGCAGAGAAAGGCGATGCGGAGAAACAGCTGAGAAGAGACCCCTACGAGGTTTTGGGCGTCAGTAAAAATTCTACTGATAATGAAATCAAGAGCGCCTATAGAAAACTGGCTCTCAAGTATGTTATTTTGCTTGCATTATGAACTAGAAGGTTTCAGTGTTTATTTTTCGTTTTTTTCTGTTAGTTAGGTATTGTTATGTTTGATTTGCTTTTAGATATTGTCTGGTTTCATAACTGAGTGAGTGATTGAGTGTTGGTGGTTATGGTTTCTTGTTGTTTTCCTTTTAGTATCGTAATTAGTTGATTTGGAATTACCAACAAAGTAGATTTCTCTGAAATTGAAGGCCATGTGCAATTATCGATTTCGTTTTATATTTTGATGTAAGATTGTTGATTATAACATTACACTGATGTATTATTGCATCATCTTATCTTCCAATTGTACACAAGTATGATTTAGTGAGTAAAAGGGGGATTTGAAGTTGTTGAACATTACGGACAATGAGTAGTAGTTTACTTTTGGAATATCCAAAAAGTCGATGTACATAACTAGGATTTAACTCAGAATGTGGCATCCGACAGCTTACTCATCTTGATATGATTGGGATAACTTTAGATGGCCATTATTCATGTGCTTGAGGTCGGGTTCTTTAAGTTTAGTTGTTCATTTACTGTTGGAATATCCAAAAAATCGGGTTCTTTAAGTTTAGTTGTTCATTTACTGTTGGAATATCCAAAAAAATCGATGTACTTAACCAGGATTTTACTCAGAATGTGGTATCCGACAGCTTACTCATCTCGATACGATTGGGATAACTTTAGATGGCCATTATTCATATGCTTGAGGTCAGGTTCTTTAAGTTTAGTTGTTCATTTACTGTTGGAATATCCAAAAATATCGATGTACTTAACCAGGATTTAACTCAGAATGTGGTATCCGACAGCTTACTCATCTCGATACGATTGGGATAACTTTAGATGGCCATTACTCATATGCTTGAGGTCGGGTTCTTTAAGTTTAGTTGTTCATTTACTGTTGGAACATCAAAAAAATCGATGTACGTAAACAGGATTTAACTCGGAATGTGGTATCCGACAGCTTACTCATCTTGATATGATTGGGATAACTTTAGATGGCCATTATTCATGTGCTTGAGGTCGGGTTCTTTAAGTCTAGTTGTTCATTTGCTTTATGAATTTATAGGTACCATCCGGATAAAAATGCAAATGATGCCAAAGCTGCAGATATGTTCAAAGAGGTCACATTCTCGTACAACATATTGTCTGATCCAGATAGAAGGCGGAAATATGACACGGCTGGTTTTGAGGTTGATTTTTCATGGATCAAGTTTGCAAAATGATTGGCTTTCATGCCATTTTTTATATTTTTCAATTTCAAATTATGCCTTTTCTTCAGGCTGTTGAGTCGGAAAATCAGGAATTGGAACTGGATCTTTCAAGCTTAGGAACTTTCAATACCATGTTTGCTGCAATATTTAGGTTAGTATATGTCATTAATTTGGTACCATTTCATATCTATCGGCTTAATTGGTGCCATCATTGTGTTATGTTCTTGTTGCACACGAAATAATATTTTACCATGTCTCTGCAATCAGTAAGCTTGGTGTTCCGATCAAAACCACTGTCGCAGCCAGTGTGTTGGAGGAGGCATTGAATGGTGAGGTAACGATTCGTCCCCTTGAGCTTGGGCAACCTGTATGTAAAAAGGTATGAGTGTATGCACTCTGATGGGTCTTTAATCTATTGTAGTCTTTACGTTGGGATTTTTTTGATCGGTTCCTTTTACCTATTTAATAGGTTGAAAAGCAAGGTGCACACTTTTATTCTGTTAACATAACAGAAAATGAAGCACAGGCTGGACTTGTTTGCAGAGTTTTTTCGTCGGACAAGAGCAAGTTTAAGGTATGCAAATTGTGGTGGCTATTCTTTTGTTTGAAATCATGTTTCTACTTTAGATTTTTTCTTTGGGTCGGCGATATGGAGTTTTCTGACATTTTACTATTTTAACTTTTAGTATTCCAGACCGGATATATGATGTGATTTTCCGAAGATCGTATTTCTTCACAAGTACTTTCTTATAATGAGAATTATATATTTTGAGCTCTTGGAGTTACCTTTTCTTTTCTCTTAAATATTTTCAGATTATGAAACTTGACATTTTCTCAGCCGTACCTCACTAATTAACTTAGGACTATGGATACTTCACAACAGCTTTTAGTGCTTCCTATCTAACAGGGTAATTGCTTAAAGTTTCTAGGGTTTGTTTGGGGGGAAGTTTTGGTGCTTCCGGGAATAGAAAAAATTGAACTGTAATATTTTTTTGTTGTGATATATATAGATGAATAATGTGATTATTTTTTTTAATGAAATATGAATTCTTAATGTAATGTTCATGATGAAACACAGGTGCTTGATGTGATTGTTTAGAGGTTGAAAAAACTAATCGAGACCCAAACAAACAAACCTAGAAACTACTATACATACTCTTCCTACTTTTCTTACATTACCTTTTGGGATTGATTTGAAAAAAAAGAAATGAATAACAGCTGCTTATATTCTTTTGGGAATTTGAGATTAACATATTGGTTCGTAATTGTCCATGTTTGTGTAGTAGAAAATTAAGTATTATATTCTTAGAAGACATCGTAAATCCATGGCATATTTCCCGGCGCACAGTTGCACTTGTTTCTTCTAGGAAAGTCATTTTGTAGATTTGTTTTTGTTAGGATTTGGTCCCATGACTAATTATATTTTGAATTCTTTTGGGTTATGCAGCTACTGTACTTTGACAGGGAAAATAATGGCGGGCTAAACCTTGCACTACAGGTTTTCATCTTGTATTTGAATTCCTCTGGCAATCTCCTTACAAGTATTAGCTAAAAGAATTCGATGGTTCAATTATTTATAACATTTGTTCGTTTCTTGATCTGTCACTGTCCAGCTGCATTTAGAATATGGACTTGTTTGCCTGGGACCATATTTGTGAACTATGACTGTCATATATTAGGATGAACAAATTATAAATGAACGATTAAAATTGATTCTTGAGATTGGCCTTTTCTTTTGGCGCCTGGTATTGCCTAAAATATGTTTCTGTTTACCTTGCAGGAGGATAGCGCCAAAACTGGGAAGGTTACATCTGCCGGAATGTATTTTTTCGGATTCCCTGTGTACAGGATGGATCCTGCCCACAGTTCTGTAAGTGGATGCAATTCCCATTCCCACATTTCTGTTCCAAGTTCGTAGGTCATGTGTTTTGTGTTCCAATTTAATGTTGATCCAAATTCAGATGGCTGCTGTAAAAGATCCAGATGCTGCTTTCTTCAAAAAGCTCGATGCATTCCAGCCTTGTGAAATAACTGAACTGAAAGCTGGCACCCACTATTTCGCTGTCTATGGTATAACCGAATTCTCAATTCTTTACCACATTGTTCTAATCTGTTGAAGCCTAACATTGACTGTTGGACTAATGTCTTTCCACAGGTGACAATTTTTTCAAAAGCGTAAGTTACACGATCGAAATTCTTTGCGCCGAACCCTTCCCTGAAGGGAAAGAAAGTCTCCGAACAGTCGAAGCTCAAATCTTGTCAAAAAGAGTCGAACTTTCAAAATTCGAAACTGAATACAAAGAGGTCCGCAACACAAACCGAAATTACCAAATTACCATCCATCGAACAAGTCAAAAGCTCCCGCTTACTTCCATATTTTTACTGTTGACAGGTTTTAGCTCAGTTCACGGAGATGACGAACAGATACGCACAAGAAATGCACGCGGTAAGTACCTGCTTTTCTTACCAAAACCATCGACAATTCGACTTCTACTTTTTAACTGTGAAAAAAGTTGCAGATCGACGAGCTTCTTAAACAGAGGAATGAAATACACGCGGCCTACACAACCGCGCCGCAGATAAAACGCAGCGGCAGCAGCCGGAGCAAGAACAAGGCGGCGTTTAAGGAAGACGAGGAGGGTTCGGCGAAGGAGAAGAAAGCGTCGAAGGAGAGGGAAAGGTCGAAGAAGAAACGATGGTACAATCTTCACTTAAAGGTCGATAAACGGAAGACGTGCGGCGGCGGTGCCGGGGACTGAGGTTAAGCCTCTCTCCCCGTTCCGTTGCGTTGATCTTAGAACACATTATTGTGTAAATTGAAAGTCTCAAATTCATTCAAAGTTTCTTCTCATCAAATTCACTGTGGTGATTGAAAATGTTTACCCTTAGAAAATTTTCTGTCTTGAATGAATTGTGAACAGTACAAAGGTACAATTCGTTTGTTTCACTTACCCCTCTGTTAATATGATCACGTTTTTACCAACTGTTTTTCTTTTTTATTTTAATTAATTTTCATATTGCATTTTTATTTTTTAATATGATCACGTTTTTGGACAAATGTAGAATATGATATTTTTGCATCCATAAATGGTTAGTGATTGGTTCGGTTTTTTGTGCAGGCCCAGCCCAACAGCATATTCAGCCGGGTTTGAGTTTCAGGCCCGATTTCAAACTGAGAAACAATCTAATCAAAGTTTATATGGCCAAGATAGCAATTGAACTCATGACCTATTATTTTGTCAAATATAAATTCAACCATGGAACTATATAATTGTTTTTTTTTTTTTTTTTTTTTTTTTTATGTAAATTTATTTGTTAATATATTTATTAAATTATTTTTGAAAAATATATTTACTTTGGTAGTCATGTCGGGCCAGGTATGGTCCAAGTTTGATGGGTCCGGGCATGGCCCGGTTTAGACTCGTGCCGGGCCAGGCATGGCCCGAATTTTTTCTGGCCTATTTTTTTAGGTCTTTTTTTTTTGTGTCAGACTCGGATCAGATTTTCGAGTTGTGTCTATTTTTGTCGGTTCTACAAATGGTACTCTCTTCGTCCGTCACATTTATTTATTTTTCTTTTTATCCGTCCCCTAAATTTATTTTATTATTAATTTTGACAAAGTCAATAAATCAATATTTAATTATTAATCTCCATTCAACACTTATTTAGAACAAATATTATTAACTTTATTATTTTTTCTCTCAATTTAATTTATTTTCTAATATAAATTTTTAAAAGTACCTTCAATTATTTCACTTTTTTGATAAAATATTATGTTCATAAAATTTCGTGTAAGAGCTAAATAGACTAACTTTAATTTTTAATGGATAGTGAGAATAATAAGTAATCATATCTAGAATATGGTAAAAAATGAATCTATATATATATATACACAATTGCTACCTTGTATAAATGAAAATTGATAAAAATAGCATATGATTTTTGTCTAAAAAATAAGTTTTTTTTTTTAATCATATTATTAAGTAGGAAAAAAAGATGAACCGTTTATCCCACCAAAATCCCTGCACTTAAGATGAGATGAGAGCACAACAAAACAAAAACCAATTGCCAAATACCACAGAAGAAATAAATAAAATAATAAAAAAATGGTTAATTTAGTTTTAATTTCAAACTAAAGGCGGTGTATTCAATATAGATTCGGTAGGATTTCGTTGGACTTTTAAAATCTAATGTATTTAATCAAAATATTTAAAAAAATTTTAAAATCGTGAGGTATTCAATATGACTTTTAAAATTCTTTTAAAATCTTAAAATATTCAACTAAAAGGGGTTCTTTCACCTTAGGCTGTAGAGTTGCTGGTAGCACCTACAGAGGAAGTGAGAAAAGTGCTAAAGAAGACGAGGTGAGACCAACCCATCTGTGTTACACATCTGTGGGGGCAAAAGTCACGATAAAAGGCGCGCTATCAACCTCAAAACTTATTTTCAAAATCTATAGATTTTAATGGAAAATTGTATAAATTTTGTATATGAAAGAATTTCTCCTGATCATTAAAGATTTCGATGGATTCTTAAAATTATTATTATTATTATTATTATTATTGTTGTTGTCGTTGTTGTTATTGTTTTATATGTAATCAATAATATGAGAATATTTATTACTATTATTATAATTTTTAATAAAAATAATAATTTAAAACTAAAATATATTAGCAAATTATTATGATTTTTTTTTAAAAAAAATATTTTTTTTATATTATAAGTATAATTTTAAAAAATATTATTATCACAATAAATATGTATTACTGTCGTCTTTTCTTTGTAATTATCGAATACACTATATTATCATTACGATAACGGTGAAATAGATATTTAAATATATATTTTTTGTTGAACTGTTAATTTATATTTATTTATTTAGTTATTTAATATTTTTTTCAAAAATCGTAAATTATATTTTTTATTTTATTTATATTCGTTTTTACTTTTTATGTAAAAAGGTTATATAAATAATAATAATAACTAATAAAGAAATATAAAATTAATTTGATATATTGAATGATAATATAATACTAAAATTATAAAATTAAAATTAATAATCTAGAATATAGTACTATTACAGATGTTACAATACTTCTACATTATTAATACTTATATATTATTTATTAATATTAAATATTATTTTATTAATAATTATGTATTATATTTATAAAATTTAGTGTTTGCTATAAATTTATATAATTACTATATATTTATAAAAAAATTATTTTACAATCCTACAAAATCCATATAAATCCATCGTAAAGAATTCAATCAAATCCGTACAAATCCATCTAAATCATTTACTAAAATCCATCAAAATTCTAATTGAATACGTCTTCCTTAAATTACTACTATTATTCATATTATAAAATTTTTAATAAAATATATTGTTTTATTTAATAAATATTTATATTAAAATACCCAATCCGTCCACAAACTAATGTCCTACTTTCCTATTTGGACGTCCAACAACTATTGTCCTATTTCCTTTTTTAAACACAAATTTTACATTTTTACCCTTTATTCATTTATTACTTTTAATTTCTACTCTACACTTAAGGGCAAATTTGTCAATTCATAAGAAAAAGACAAAATTACCTAAAAAACCGTACAAATATACTTTAGGACAATAGAAATTGGACGGACGGAGTACTAAGTAAGCTAAAATTCAAATAAAACAGTAAAATTCAAAATCAAACAAAGCCCAGCAAGGGTAAATTGTTATCATGAGATTCTTGTGGTTTCTTTTCAATTATTAGATTGTTTTAATATTTTAATATTTTCAACATTTAAAAATATTATATAAATAAACAACCATAAACATCACAATCGTACGATTATTTATATACAGTCACACTGAATGCATTTATCAGGTTCATGTACGTCTGACTTCACCCAAGCCAACCAAACCTTATTTTATTTTTCATAATGTTACATAATGATAGCGAGGGACGGGACCCTCGGCCCCTTTATTGCAAACCCCGTTGTTCCCTCTGATATACTCCCTCCGTCCCATGTAATATGGGTGTATTACCGTAGACACGAGAATTTAGGTAAAATATAATTAGTAAGTAATTAAGAAGTGTATTAGTAAAAATAATTATAGATTAAGATTAAAATAAGTAAATAATTTAATTTAAATTAAGAAAATTATAAAATTTAAAATGCGATTAAAATGTATAATTATATTTTCAAAAATAGAAAGGACAAATTATGTGGGACGGACGAAAATAGAAAATAATGACAAATTATGTGGGATATACACACAATATAAATATATATATATACTCCCTCCGTTCCAAAACTATAGTTTGAGTTATATTTGACACGAAATTTAAAAAAATATTGATATTATATTAATAGTGGGTAAAAAGTATGGTTAAAATATTTTTTTGCCCTTGTGAGTGTAGTAGTGTAAAAAGTAGTGGCAATTGTGTAATAATAATGAAAGAGTAAGAGTAGTTTTATAGTGATATAATTATTTATGAAAATAAGAATATTGTTTTAGGACGGACAAAAATGGTGGATAAAACTATTGTATTGGGACGGAGAGAGTATTATATTTAATATTTTATTTATATATCATATATTATGTCCGTCCCGCCACAGATGACTCCATTTTCTTTTTGGTACGTCCCACAAAAGATAACTTCTTTCCATTTTTGGTAAATAAATATAAATCAATTTAATTAAACTTATAATATCTTACACGGGACCACTCAAAACCCATTAATTTTTTTCTCTTTCCTCAATTAACAAATATTTTTATCTACCTATAAAACTCTTTATTTTTAATAAAACTAATTTATGGTAATGATAAATAAATAAATATATTTTTTTATTCATTTGTATTGTATAAAATTTTATTGTCTACATAATTATATTAATATTGCATATATTTTATTGAGATATAATTTTAAAAATATTTAAAATACTAATAACACTACACATATAAAAAATAATAAAATATTATCTTATCTTATTATTAATAACTTAATAACCTACGCTACTTACGTGTCCCTAACAAAAAAACTCCATCTTTTGGAAGACGGAGGGAGTATATGATATATATACATATCATTTATTAAAAAACATATAAATTATAAAATTTAAATTAGGATTAAAATATATGATTATATGTCCAAAAAAAAATGACAAATTATATGGACAGACAAAAAGAATGGACAAATTACGTTAGACAGAGGAGACGAAGTGCACTATATAGCAATAAATTATGAGTGGTCATTTTGTGTTTTTATATTAATATATTTCTTTTATATCAAGTACGAAAAATTGTGTCGGTAATATAAAAAATAATATTTTATATTAAATTGTTAATTTTTTTTGGATGAATAGAACATATATTATATTTGTCGAATAACCATCTCATCTAAAAGTTCAAACCGTTAGAAAAATACAACCATGAAGTATATATCCACAAATAGCAGTAACAGTTGGAGCTTTTAAGCAAAACAGTCATACTGCATCCGATAATATTAATATATATTCACAAATATATATAATAGAAAAGACTTGGAGATGTCGGAGTTTGAATTAATAACCTAAGAGGCTGCACCACTGAGTCATTCCTCACAAGAAGAAGGACAAAATGAATAGATGATGAGTTAAAAGCATAAAATTTCGAAAAATCTATTATAAATATCCTCGAAGATTTGCTGTCTCATTCCTCTCCATTTAACCAACCAATTATTTGGCTCTCGTCAACGACGTCTCCTCCTTCTCTCTTCAATAAAACACTACGTACTGTCGTCTCAACAATAATAATAATTATTATTATTATTATCAGCAAATTTGGCAGTTCGTACGTACGTTCCGACAGTTCTGAGAGAAAACCCTAAATTAATTTCATGGAAGTGATTATCCAAGGATTGATTGTAATATCTCTATCCGTGACCGTTGGATCAAATCTCGGATACGCTGAAGATTTTCCTAATTTCCTCCTCCATGGCCACAACTCTTCTCTGGTGGAGATCGTGAAGGCTCTGGCGACCTCGCCGGAGACGGCGGAGTGGATGGTGGCGACGCGGCGGCAGATCCACCGGAATCCGGAGCTCGCGTTCGAGGAGTTCGCCACGAGTTCGCTCATCAGGGCCGAGTTGGACCGGATGGGAATCGAGTACCGCTGGCCGGTGGCGCGGACCGGAGTCGTGGCCACCGTCGGAACCGGTTCGCCGCCGTTCGTGGCGCTCCGGGCGGACATGGACGCCCTCCCGATTCAGGCAATGATTGAATAATTTATTTTATTCTTCACCACACAGATGAACGAACCGATAAGGTTTCTATTTTTGGAATGCGTAGACGAAGGCTTCTATTTATAGAAATGTCTGTAGGTAAATATAATTTCCAAATTTGTTGGGCGTTTTTTTTTTATACACATTTTTTTCAAAACAATTAACTTACTGTATATATTTATTATTTTTATATTATATTAAATTCACGAAACGAAACACATTCGTAGTGAAGAAAGTTGATATATATTTTCTCTCTTGTTCAAATATATTCTCACTTTACTTTTTTGTTGTGATCTAAATTTATTCTTGTTTCTTCTTTTAGTAAAGAAAATACTTCATTCGTCCCAAAACTATAGTGTTAATTGGATTGGACACGAGATTTAAGGAATATTGATATTATATTGTTAGTTGGTAAAAAGTATAGATAAAAGACTTTTTTGCCCTTTTGAGTGTTTTAGTGTAAAAAGTAGTGGCAATTGTGTAATAAAAACAAAAAAATAGGGATAATTTTATGGTGATATGGTTATTTATGGAAATAAGACTATTGTTTTGAGACAGACAAACATAGTAAACAAGACTATTGTATTGAGACGGAGGCAGTATCATTTTTCTATTTTTTTTACAAAGAAAATAAAATTTTTTATTTATTTTACATATTTTTAAAAAATTCGTACACGATCAAATAAACACACAGTTGAATGATGAGAAAATATATATATATATTTATGTGTGCGTAGGAGCTGAGGGAATGGGAACACAAGAGCCAGGTGGCAGGTAAAATGCACGCCTGTGGACACGACGCCCACATTGCGATGCTTTTGGGGGCTGCAAGAATCTTACAGCACCTCCGTACACACTTGCAGGTTATTTATAGTCATTAATTGCAACCTTAATATTAATTGCAAGTTATTTATAGTCGTTAATTGTGATTATTAATTGAGCTAGGCTAGGGCTCTTTAATTATAGTAATTAATTTTGTAATTAATGTACATACATACAGGGGAGTGTGATTCTGATATTCCAACCAGCAGAGGAAAACGGGGAGGGAGCCAAAGACATGATGGAGGAGGGTGTCCTTGAAAACGTCACTGCAATATTCGGACTTCACACTGTCCATAGGTACTCCTCAAATATTTATATTTTATTATCTATATATTATTATCGGGAAATATTACGGTGTTTGATTTGAAAAAATCAATACCGTAAAATACAAAAATAGCTTACTAAAAACAGTACGTGTTGTTTGTAATAATGATATGTGTTTATTTATAATTATGTGTGCTATACAAATGTATGTCGTATTATTAAATGAACTACTGCGTACGTTTTATAATACTACATCATGTGTTGTGTTTTTATTATAATGGTGTGTTGTTTGCTAGTTATCTGTGTGTTGTTAGTTAATGTATTGTTTCAATATAAATGATATGTTATTATTAACATTGTGTGTTATTTGCTAGTTATATGCGTGTTGTTCAGTACAGTGTTAAACTTGTGAATAATTATTATTATATACTTACGTCATTTCATATATTTTGTCCATATTATTGTAGATACATTATTATAGATACAAAGATTTAGTTAAAATATAATTAATGAGTAAGTAAAAAATATATTAGTAAAAATAATTATAAATTAAGATTAAAGTAATTAAATAATTTAATTAAAATTATAAAATTTATAAATTATAAAATTTAAAATATCAAAATAATAAATTATATGAAACTGATTAAAATAAAAAAAAAAATGAATATTTTATGTGTGAGGAGAAAGTAATATTTTGAGTTTACTCGTTTTGTATTGTCTCTGTAAATATACATTAATTTTATTATTAATATATATATAGATATATATAATTGTGCTAATTCTTATACCAGATATCCAAGCGGCACCGTGGCATCCCGACCGGGGAAGTTCCTCGCCGGCTGCGGCAGCTTCAAGGCGGTGCTCCGGGGGAAATCCGGCCACGCCGCCGCGCCGCACTCCTCCGTCGACCCAATCTTGGCCGCCGCCGCCGCCGTTATCAGTCTTCAGAATATTGTCTCTAGGGAGACCGACCCTCTTGATTCCCAGGTACGTCATATTTACGTTTATATATGTATATATATATATATTTGCATTAATTAAATTTAAAAATTACTACAGGTGGTGTCTGTGACGATGGTCGAGGGTGGAAGCGCATTAAATGCGATACCTGAGACAGCTACCATAGCCGGGACGTTTAGATCTTTTGAAAGAACCGGTTTTTATGCATTAAGACACAGAATCCAAGAGGTAATATTTAATTAATTAATTTTGTTAAAATATTTTAAATATTAAAATTTAAATTTAACAGATTTATATTTATATTTGATCTTATTTATAAATTAGATTAATTCCTTTTGTATTGTTTATACATACTAACCTATTTCTTTCATGCAATCTCCCGTATGTTTATATATGTGATCTGTCATTTGTCAATGTCTGCCATAATTATTAATGCAATTAATTAGGTAATTAATTAAATTAATTAATGCAGGTGATCAAAGCGCAGGCGGCGGTGCACCGGTGCGGCGCGACGGTGGAGTTCGAGGGGAGAGAGCATCCGACGCTGCCGCCGACGATAAACGACGGCGGCGTGTACTCGCACGCGCGGCGGGTGTCGGAGATGGTGGTGGGCGAGCGGCGGACGGTGGTGGCGCCGACGTTCATGGGGAGTGAAGATTTCGCAGTGTACTTAGAAAGGGTTGCGGGGGCGTTCGTGCTGCTGGGAGTGGGAAATGACGAAATTGGGTCTGTGTACCCTCCCCATAGCCCTTATTACACCATTGACGAGGATGTTCTTCCCATCGGAGCGTCCATTCACGCCATTTTCGCATTTTCTTACCTCTGCAAAGAAAATCGTCTGCACAAAAAAAACCGATGCTGATTCATAATTAATTATATATAGTAATTAATCGATTAATTGATTTTGTGTTGTGGTCTATCGTCTATGAGCCACGTGTCTTAATATTTAAGATTGGTATTCAGCTTTTGTAAGTGTATATTTTAAGACTTCCTTCATCGCATAGGTAAAAAATTTAAATTACTCTTATTAGGTAGTATTGGATGATATAAAGATAATAATATTTGTGTAATATATTATAGATTGAAAGAGTATTTGTAATGTTAGGCAGATAATATACTTACTTAAAAAAAAGTAAATGAATATTTTTTTATGAGACGAAAGAAAATGAAAAAATAGATAAATTATTAAAGAAGTGAGAGAGTGTTTAAAAGTAGTCCATGCTTAACTAGTTTTTTTTTTCACTTTTATTATTGGATTGTGAGAGGAGATTTGTAATATTTAATAATGTTGAATTATAAAGTTCAATAATTTATTTTCTTTTCAACTTATGATTTTACCGTCACAAGTATAATGCAACTTATCCCTAAGGCACTTTATAAAGATGAGGTGTTTTTTTTAAAAAAAAAAAAAAAAAATTTAAGTGTTTTCAGTTTTGTTAATTTTTGTAAGTAGAAGGGTTGTCATATTAATGTTTTTTTAATAAAAAATAATATATTTTTATTAAAAGAAAAAAGTAAGCATATCTAATAATAATAATAATAAATGTAAAAAATATAAAACGATTAGACCCATAGTACTAAGATCATGTAATATGAAAAAAAAAAATAAAATCTTACGTTATAAATTTGTACTTCAAAAAATCAAATCCAAAACAGCAAAAATTCTAAAAACATTTCAAAAACATATGTGATGTGGTTCTTCTTACCGTTCTCCTATATGGGCTTCGGCCCAGTCAGAATTTCTAATGGGCCTTACACTAAACTGGTTGGCCCTATTTTTTTGCTTCTAGAATATTTTTTGCTCAGTTTCGTGGGTATGATTATTTGGTTTGAATAGTTGAATAGTAAAAATTTATATTTGAATACTTATTTGCTTTGATATAAATAGATATTAATACTATTGTTTTGTTTTGAATGTAAAATAGATATATATATATATATATATGAATATAAAAAAATATGAAATAATTGTTTATTTGGATACTTTTGGAATGAAACAAATAATAAAATATTAATATTTGATTTAATATTTTGCAAAAGAAAAAACTTTGATATGATATTTTATAAAGATATATATATTTAATTCCAAAAGCAAATTATTTTTAGTAAAAATCTTCTATTTATTTTTCAATATCCACTTATACCTTAGTGATTTACAATTTTCGGGTAAGTCAATACTCAAGTTTTCTTTTGTATTTTTATTGTACTATTAATAACTTCTTTCCATAATAGGGACTATTAATCTATAAACTCTAAGGGTGTGTTTGCTTGGGGGTTTGAATTTTGGATTGAAATTTGAATAGTAAAAATTTTAAATTTGAATAATTGTATGATGTGATATAAATAGGTGTTGATGTGATATTTTGAATGTAAAATTGATTTTTAGTATAATATAAAAAATAAAAAAATAGGTGCTTGATTTGATATTTTTAGGGGAAAAAAATTGGATAAATAATTGAATTTAAATCCAATCCTCCAAACAAACACACCCTAAGTACATATCCAATAAATACACAATTTATCATTTTTGGGTCAATGGTAGCTTGATTGGGAAGCAATACGTCTTCTTTTGTCAAGTCGCCCCATACTTTTAAATATTTATATAAAAAAATTTTGTGTTTACGCACAACTTATAAAGGAATTACGTTATTATTTTTATATAGAATTTTATTTTGAATATAATTCACATTGAATATTGTCTCATTCCAAAAGTTTTAAGGTAATCATAAATTAAAGACCATTTTCTAATCCAACTAATTTAAAATTCTTAAATTTTAGATTCGACAATAAATTAGACACGGAACAAAGGAAACATTTGTCAAGACAAACATTCATTAAGCTTAAGCCTATGACCTTCGAGCATTTATTTATGCTCGTCTACTTGACGTGTCAGTGTATGGTCCGGGCGGGTGATACGTGTTCGCGTGTGGCTCGTCGACATACCTATGTCCTAACCATACTCTTATGCCCTTGTCATACAATTTTTTTTTAACAATCCTTATTTAGGCCATTTACATTCCTTAAATCTATTTTAATTATATTTAGCCTATTCATACAAAGCCCAAATAATAATCCAATACCTTTTGATTTATTATTATTATTATTATTATTATTATTATTTTAACTAATACTCCATCCGTCCCACATACCATGTCCACGTTGCCGTTTCTGTCCGTCCCACATACCACGTAGCTTTTTTTTTTTTGGAAAATGATTACACACTTTAGTATCATTTCAAACTTTTTAATTTTATATTTTTAAAATTTTTAATTAAACTAATTAGTTATTTTAATCTTAATTTATAATTATTTATATTATCGTATAATTATTTTTAATAATACATTCTTAATTATCTACTAATTACACCCCTCCTAAAATACTGTGTCTACAGTGTAGCAAATACGGTATGTGGGATGGAGGTGGTAGTATTTTACTTACTTATTTCAAAATTTTTCATGTTTAATTTAGAAAAAATTAAATTTTTAAAGAAATCATCGAAATGAAGTCGGGACCTTGCAATTGACACGCATTTACTATATGGTCCCTCGGTACATGAACACGACAATCTGTTTAAAAAAAAATAAAATAAATATTGTGTTTTAAAAAAAAAATTTATAATGAATGAAAATTAATTTAATTTATAATTATAAATCAAGATTTAGAACTATTTTTGTATATGGTCACATACAATTTTAAAATGATAAGATGTCACGTGGATATTAAAAAAATAATTCTAATGTAATAATAATTACTCTCCTTTATTTAAATTTAAATTTACTTCTTTTTTTTGTTTTTAGTCATTATATTAGTATTATATTATAAGATACTATTTTTATCATTTTTTTATTTATATTACATTTTAATATAATAATTAATATTCAAATATTAACATGCAAAATGTAAATGAACACAATGACAGACGAATCGTAAAATTCAGAAGGGGTAAAATATTATTTTATTTTTATCGATTCAATGTTATATTGTTGGATTTTTTTTTACCGCCAGAGCCGGATAAAGAAAATTGAAAAACAATTACAGAAAAGAATTAAATATTTAAAGAAAAAATAAAAAAAACTACATAAAATTTAATATTTTTACTAAAATAAAAAATAAAAATAAAAGTACAAATCAACATAATCACAAATAAAAAAAATATTATTTTTAACACTAAAATATAAAAAAAAAATTAAAAACAAATGTACAAATTTATCTAAAATTACATAATTTTATTAATTTTATATTAAAAAAAAAAAAACTTCTATTTTGGGTGTTAGGGCTAGCTGACCCTAGCTCCCTATTGCATGGGATATTATATACTAATACAAATTAAAAAATATAAATATTTATATATTAGCATAAATTAATATTCAAATCAGTGTTATCAATTTCATAAATTTAATTTAATATATATTTATATCATTACATTATTAACTATCAAATCAATTTAAATCAAAACTTTTAAAATTCAAACCAAATATACAAAAAAAAAAAAAATAATAATAATAATAAAATAAAATTCAAATTTATCTTAAAATTTAAATACTCACTTCGTTTCAATACAATAGTTCTATTTATCATTTTTTTCCGTCCCAAAACAATAGTCTTATTTTCATAAATAATCATATCACTATAAAACTACCCTTATTTTTTTCATTATTATTACACAATTGCCACTATTTTTTACACTAATACACTCACAAGGGCAAAAGAGTCTTTTACTCGTACTTTTTACCCGCTACCAATATAATATCAATATTCCTTAAATTTCGTATCAAACACAACCCAAAGTATAATTTTGGGGACGGATGGAGTATAATTTAAATTCAAATTTATTTATTTGAATTTTATTGATTGGACAGAACTACTAGGGTTAGGGGTAGTTGGCACCAAACCCCCTCAATAACAAATTTATGTAATCTTTCTTTTCATTTCAAGGTATTATTTTTATTATTTTCGTATGTTTCATTTAAAATATTCATTTTATTTTTAGTAAAAATAATAATATAATAATAATAAAATACTTTTAAATTTTATTTAAATTACAAATATACGATTACATATACATTTATAAAATCCAGGCAAAAATATCAAATCTTGTTACGCACTCTCACTAACTAATAAAATACTACTCCTTTCGTCAACCGTCAATCTATCTATTTTGCCATTTTAGTCAGTCCATCGCAAATACATCCATTTTCTTTTTTAGTAAATGTATATTTCACTAAAATATAAAATTACTCCACATTTTATATAATATTACACAAATGTCATCAAATAACACTACTTAATATCATAAATGTTAAGGGGTATAATAATATTTATGTATATAAATTGTACCACATATCAATATAATACTAATATATTAAAATCTACGCGCAAAAAGTAAACGAATGGATAGACGGTGGACGGAGGGAGTATTATTTCTCAATTTATTACAAAACTCCAAATAATCCATTCTAAAAGGGACGGGGAGAGTATTTTATATTAATTTTTGTTTTAAGTAAAAATATCAAAAAAAACTGTTTCTTTTTACACTAAATTTAGGTGTCTATTATTTAAGTCCTGTGTTTTTTTTTTATTAATAAAACATTCTATCATATATTTCCTTTATTCAAATTCTATTGTGTTTTGTTATGAATTGACAAATTTGTCCTTAATTGTATGACAGAAATTAAAAGTAATAAATGAATGAACGGTAAAAATATAAAATTCGTATTAAAAAAAAACAATAATTGTTGAAAATTTTAAATAAAAAAATAGAATATTATTTTGTGGACGGAGGGAGTATTATTTTAATATTACACTCGAATTAAATTTTTTTCGAACCTATAGAAAAACATACCCTCCTTATGTTGTTATTCTGTTGCAGAAAAAAAAAAAAAAAAAAAAAAAAAAAAAAAGACAACACGTAACAGATATTTTGCTGCCCGAGGTTTCAGAGCTAATTCCGTTAGTGCTTACGACCATGACAGACATCATACATTCCCGCGTCATTAATGACGTCATCTCACTGACGTCCCATTGTCCCACAAATCCCAATCTCTGATTCCACGTTTGTATTCTGTCGGTGTTTTCACAGATTTTATTATTATTATTCATTCTGTTCCATTCTGAAAATCTTGCCGTAGATGCAAAAATTTAGAATAAATATAAAGAATAGATAATTAAAAATATATTAATTAAAATTAAAAAAAATTAAATTTAAAATTTAAAATAAAATTAAAAAAACAATAACCTACTACATAGAACGACCAGAAACGGTAATATGCATATAGTCTCCTCCACACATCCAATCCCGACCAGACAGACAGGTCTCCTCCGCACATCCAATCCTTCCTTTTGGCAATGCAACACCGACATAGTCGCCGTCGCCGTAATAAATTAAAAAATCGCCCGACCTCGATCGACTCAATTCACACACGTTTGTTTTCCAACGTCAAAATTTCTTATCTATTGACTATTGTCTACTAATGATTAGTAAGACCAGCAATTAAAAATCAATTTCTATGTTCGGCCCTTTAACCATCAAGATTCAATCTCAGCCGTTGAATCTCTAAGTATTATTAGATCTAGATTTTTCTTATTCTTTTAACTTTACTATATATAAATAGCGTGTGTGTTATAAAATTTAATGACAGAATCGAATATCGAATCGAATAGTAAAATGGATAAACATGCAGCATGTCCGCACGTGATCATCCTTCCCTACCCAAGCCAAGGCCACATCAACCCTCTCCTCCAATTCGCCAAGCGCCTCGCCGGAAAAGGCCTCCGGCCGACGGTCGCAACAACGCATTACACCACCAACTTCATCCGGGCCCCCTCCGTCGCCGTCGAGCCAATTTCCGACGGATTCGACGACGGCGGATTTGCTCAGGCCCGGAACGAGGGCAACTTCCTCAACTCATTCAAACATAACGGCTCCAAGTCCCTTTCCGACATCATCGGAAAATACGAATCCACCGATCACCCTGTCCGCTGCATAATTTACGACGCCTTCTTCCCCTGGGCCCTCGACGTCGCCAGGCGGCACCGCCTGCTTGCCGCCGCGTTTTTCACCAACTCCGCCGCCGTCTGCGCAATTTTCAGCCACATACACGGCGGCACGCTGTCGTTGCCGGTGGCCGTCAGCGATAAGCCTCTCCTGCTCCCTGGATTGCCGGAATTGAACTCCGGCGACCTCCCCGGCTTCCTCCGGGCCCCCGAAAGCTACCCGGCGTACCTGGCTATGAAACTTAACCAATTTTCTAACCTCGATCGGGCTGATTTCGTGTTCGATAATTCTTTCCAGGCATTAGAAGGACAGGTAATCGAATATTCAACCTAATATTTTATAATATAACATTTTATTTCATCAATTGTAAAAAATACTTCGATATTTTATAATATAATATTAGGTAATCGAATATTCAACCTAATATTTTTCGATATTTTCTATCTTTAGTAAATTTATTCATTTTAAATCTATTTAATAAATATAAATAAACTTAATTAAATTTTTAACTTTTTACAATTCTTATATTTCTATCGTTCTCTTAAAAATAAGATTTTTATCTATATTTAGAACTTTTTATTTTTTATAAAATTAGTTTTAAATTAATTATAAATAAATAAATATTTTTTATTTGTATTATATAAAATTTTATTTTTTACAAAATGATATATGAGATATAATAATAAAAAAATTTAAATACCAACAATACTATTTATACAAAAAATAAAAAAATAAATTATAAAAAAATAATATCATAATTTATTGTTAATAACTTACTAATCTACATTAACTAATAAATAACTGACTGAATAGTTTGTCCCATTACCGCACTCTATCCTCTGTATATATAACGCACTCTATCCCCTGTATATACTATACATACATGCGTATATATGTATATATTATATGTGTGGAAAATGTGTGGAAATAGAGATAGCTAAAATAGCATTTCACTAACTAAAAGAGTCATTATGACCAAAGTCAGTGGGAATATATAAATAATGTATGACACAATCAACCATCAATTAAAGATCGAACATGACTTTTTATTTTATTTTTTATATTATTATTTTTTTACAAAAAAAACTAATATTTACGTGCGTACATACTAATTTTGTGCATCCAATCTCAACGTCGAAATAAAGGAGGCAAAAAGCGTGGCGGAGAAGTGGCCGGCGCGGCTGATCGGGCCGATGGTACCGTCGGCGTATCTCGACGGAAGAATCGAGGGGGACAAAGGGTACGGCGCGAGCTTATGGAAGCCGCTAACCGAGCCGTTAACGGCTTGGCTCGGAGCCCGGGAGCCGGCATCGGTGGCATACATTTCATTCGGCAGCATGGTGTCGTTAACGGCCGACCAAACGGCCGAGATAGCGGAGGCGTTATTAAAAGGTCCCTCGGACTTCCTCTGGATTGTCCGAGAGACCGAGCTCAAGAAACTTCCGGAAGGTTTCACCGAGGCCGTCGATGGGAAGGGTATGATCGTGCCGTGGTGCAATCAGCTCGAAATATTAGCCCACCCGGCGGTGGGGTGTTTCGTGACGCACTGCGGGTGGAATTCGACGCTCGAGGGTTTGTCACTCGGCGTTCCAATGGTGGCGGTGCCGCAATGGGCCGATCAAATGACGGATGCGAAATTTATCGAGGGGATTTGGGGGGTCGGAGTTCGGGCGAAGGAGGACGAATTTGGAATTGTCCGAAGAGAGGAATTGGTTCGATGCTTGAAGGAAGTGACGGAGGGAGAGAAGAGTTTGGTTATTAGGAAGAATGTAAGAAAATGGAAGGATTTGGCCAAGGCAGCCATGGATGAAGGGGGAAGCTCAGACAGGGCAATTGATGAGTTTGTTAAGGAATTGATGATTGATAAGGGAACTTGTTAACTAAGGTTCTATATGTTCTATCGTTTTATATTTTTAGTAAATTCAAAATTGTCTTTACCAATTTTGTAAATTTATTATTATTACACACAATACATTATATGTATAATAAATATATGTTGTTTTTTTAATAATAACAATTACAGTTATATACAAGTATGTTGTGTGCTAAAATAACTGTTAGTTCATGTGTTGTATATGTATTATATTAACAGTATGCTATTTGCAATTAAAATTATAATATGTACGGTTAGTTCACATGCGATTTGTATTATATTAAAATATATATTATTTGCTTTTAAAGAAAAAGACACATGGCATATTTCAATTGGATGGTATAGAAGGTTCTGGGTAGAGGACCAGGATGATGAACCCATCATCATCGTCATCGTCATCATCATCCCCAATTAGCCAGCCGACCCAACCCTAATTTCGACCCCAATGGCATTCGCGGCTGCTGCTATACCTAATAGTGCTAGTTTCTGTATCACAGCCTCTCACTTCTTCTTCCCCTCTTTGAGATTGAGATCTCAATGTTGTTTCCGCCGACGCGTATTCACTCTGATCAACAATCATCGACGCAGTAGGATACCCTGTGGAAGCAAAAGTACACATCTCCTACCTCCCTCACTCTCCCCATGTGTTAGTAATAGCACAAGATTCCCCTTGTCATGTTACTGCACGGTGAATGAAATGCAAAATACCGTAGAATCTACGTTGGGTGGGGATGATATCGATAGTGATGTAAGGAAAGCGGCCAATGCTCTGGATCTAAGGGTCGGGAAAATCCTCAAGGCTTGGAGACACGAGGAGGCGGATACCCTCTATGTCGAGGAGGTGGACATCGGTGAACCCGAGCCTAGAACCATATGCAGTGGCTTAGTCAAATATATTCCCCTTCACCTTCTCCAGGTTCATTTCTTCTTCTTCTTCGTCTTCTTCTTAATATGTTAAAACAAGTGTATTCTTATTAATAGAGGTGTTAACAATTCTTTCGCAGGATAAAAATGTAATTGTTCTTGCTAATCTAAAGCCTAGAAATATGCGTGGTGTGAAATCTTTTGGCATGCTGATGGCAGCTTCTGATGCCACACATGAGAATGTGGAGCTCCTTGTGCCACCCGCGGGTGCAGTCCCAGGTGAAAGGGTATGGTTTGGTTCGGCAGATGAAAAAGATTATCCTCCTCAGATTGAGATTGCTTCTCCAAACCAGGCAAATCTTTTTAACTTATGCCATTGTTTACTCTTTTATGTAATTAGCCTTATTCCTTACCCAGTAGTATTTTGTTTAATGGGGTGATAGACTTTTCGTGATCAAAACCCAAGACCCAACAGTTAATTGAGATATTATCAATTAAAATTTAACTGTTTGCTTAGCTTGTGTGCTGAGTGATTGCCCTTTCTGTTGAAGCATTTTGTAAGAGATTATTGCCATCTCCTCAAAAGATTAAACTAAGGCAACTTAGATGAACTTGGATGAGGAAGAATACCATCATTTTAATTTATATTGTCAGGAAGGAATAAACAAATGAAGCCACGTTGAGTTGCTGTTTGATTTCCTGTGTTAAAATTGAGCAAAATAATGTATGTGAGCAACAGAAGTATGGGTTTGTTTTAAATAAAAAAAATATACTTGAAGTTTAATGAATAGGGGAGTTTGGGTGACTTATCACGGTTGGATGGTAGACATCTTGCATGGCAGTGCATTACTAATGTGATCAGGAGTAACATCTGCTTATTTGATGAATATTTCAAGTGTAGTGAACTGTCAAGGGAATTTAAGTCTTAACTTCTTGAAACAGTATAAAATTACTTAACTCTATCTACCCGGATAATTAATTGGTGTTATAAAGCTGGATGTCGTCTCACATGTTGTGCTTCGTATGTATGTGTTGACATGCTGCAGGTTCAGAAGAAAAAAATTTGGGAATTAGTACAACCTCACCTAAAAACAGATGACTCGTGTGTTGCAATGCTTGGCATGGGCCACCAAATGCGAACCGCAGCTGGTGTGGTGACATGCGAATCCCTGAAGAATGCCAAGATATCCTAGTACTTCCCATGAAATTTTCTACTTCAAATTTGCTATTATTCTGCTACGGTAATTTAAAGTTCCATACTGGCAAGTTATGTTGCTATCTTTAGGAGTGTTGTTTTTGTTAAACTTATACCATCTAATAACCAATTTCTTCCAAATGAGTCATATCCGAATGATCTCCCTAATGTTTCTGAGAGAACTTTTAAATGTTATAGAGGATTTGTTATTAGTTTGGACTTTCCAAGTAATCTTGTTCAGTTCCACAAAAAAGTTAACAATCCTCTACTTGAATGAATGCTCCATTCAATTCAAATGAATAATACGTTCAAAGTGTATAAATTGGATATTTTTCATCGAATAGATTTTTAAACTTTTGGATCGATTCTCCTGTTTTCCAGTAACCCCTATAAATTAGTGAGTGCGTGTTTGTTTATCTGTACAACCCGGTGGGCGTTGTATGGCCTAAACTCACTGGTTCTCGACGCATTTTTTCTGAACATTTATTGTTAAAACAATGTCATTGTTTATCCTTTGCTTGACAGGCAGCTGGTGGTGCTATGGCAAACATATGCTTGATGGCCCATCTTTGAAGCAATAGCAGAGGGGCATTTCGACTTTCACCATATCCTTTGCAGCCCTCTTCTTGCTATGGTAATGGCGGGTTCCAGTTACACAGGACCTTCTATGAATCCTGCTAAAGTAAGCAATCACCTTTCATATATTATTTGAATTTAATTTGGTATCAGAAATCTTTGTTTGATCTCTATATATGCAGTATTGGCATAAATTAGAAATGATACTGGAATAGAAAAATATACTTTTCAGAATAATTCCACTGGATTTAACAACTATCTTGTTGAAAATATATTGGCTACTCCAATGTGATATCTTGACAAGATAGTTGGCCCATTAATTGAATTTAAGATCTAGTTTACTGCTGATAGTTGTGATATTTGTGAGTACATTTGGCAATTATTTTTCTTGGGAGAATTAGGATAAGTCTTTTGGTTTCAAAGTAGAGATCATCCTCTGTTAGTATCAAAGGAAGCAGTTCCCTACGGGTGTGTTTGTTTGGGGAATTGGATTTTCAATCCACTATTCATCCAATTTTTCTTCAAAAACATCAATTCAAACACCTATTTTTCATTTTTTATATTATACTAAAAATTAATTTTACATTCAAAACATCACCTCAACACCTATTTATATCACATCATACAACTATTCAAATTCAAAATTTTTACTATTCAAATTCCAACTCCCAAACAAACACACCCTAAGGATGTGTCCTTATGTCCTTATGGGCTTAACATTCTGCAAATGATGTGTGTTCTTCATTTATGATTGCTGTCCTACAACTCTTGTTCTATTTTTCAATGATGAGATGTCCTTAAAAGATAAATTTGAAAGTTCAAATAATTGCATATTGGAGTTGTTTCTTCTGCAAGTTCTGATCTTGGATGTGTGGGTTACATAGTAAAAATATTTTGGAAAACATATGTGACTAAAGTTAAATTAGTACAGGTTCAGACAATGACGATAACACATTTGAAGTACATTTGATGACCTGTTGTTCTCCTTGTATTAAACTTAATCCATGTATCTTTAAGTTTTACAAATTATTGACATTTATTTATATATATATATATATATATATATATGCAACTATTCAAATTCAACATTTTAACCTCTTCCTGTTAAAAAATACAAACCAAAAAACTAAAATCCACAAAAAAAAAAAAAAAAAACACATCCATGTTTCCTTGAGAAGTCATGGCTGTGTTATTACCAATAAGGAAAAGAGGTTTTAAGCATTCATATATACACTTGATCATCTCAAAACAAAATGGCTGCTACCATTTTAGAGCTTAAATTCGAACCTTTAACTAGCCAAGCTTCTCGCAAAATAAATCCTAATTTACATGAGTATCGAGCTATTACACTTATAGACCTCTCGACAACGTTAGAATTCACAAACTACAGAGATTACACCTTCAATTACGCCTCGAAGCCGTCGTCAGGGGAGCTACGACGGAGTCGTCGCTTATTGCCCCTGCAATGTATCGCTTTGCTATAAAAAAAAAAAATAAATAAATAAATAAATTGTTGTATTGTTGACGAACACCACCGATGCTGCAAATTGCAAGTAACGAAAAGCGTAGCTTTACCTCTCTTCTTCTTAATCTTGTTCCGAAAACCTCTCTTTCTGCTAAATGCCTCTTCCTGAAACGATCGCAGGATCGATTAAGCGAATTCCAGAATCAGTTCTTCAAGCCGAAGTACGAAAATTTTAATCATGTAATCGAAACGTATTTACCACAGGCAAGTCCATCGTTTTGGCGTGACGAACTGCAGCAACGAGATCTCGATTTGCATCGGTGAAGAGACTTGTAACGATCCCGGGCTGACCGGCTCTGGCAGTGCGGCCAACTCTGTGCAAGAAGTCAACTGCAGAAGTCGCAAACTCCGCCTGTCGGGCAATAAATGTGCGATGTTAAAAATCATGTAAGAAAACTAAAACAAGATTGATAATACGCAAAATTGTTGAGAAGTTGTACCTGAATAACATGTGAAACATGTGGGATGTCGAGGCCGCGGGCAGCAGCATCGGTACAAATGAAAACGCCGCCGTTTCGATGGAAGTCGACAAGGTTCTCCGATCTCTCGTCCGGGGAGATGTCGCGATGGTATCGCATGCATCTGATGTTGGCTCCCGTCAAAATCTTGGCAATGGCTTCGACAGCTTCGACGGTGTTTGCAAACACCATTGTTCGAACGACTCCAGAACCGGAATCGACGTCGGCTTTCGATCCGCTATTGACAGCATCGATGAGCACGGTCACTTGTGTTTCCGGTGTGACTTCGACCCACTTTTGCTCCAACCTGAAGCACATGAAACGGCCAAATCGAAACCAACAATCACGAGCAAACGAAACTGTAATGAAAATTGAATTTGTACTTCATGAAGAAAAGAACGATTCTGATAGATATCGATGAACGTCGAACCTGGGATTTTGATGATGAAGATAACTCCCGCTGACCCAATTGGCATCCGGAAACATCCGTTTCAAAATCCCCCCGGCAGTCGCCTTTCCGTTCACAGGAAGTGTCGCTGCAACAAAAATGTACTGCTTACTTCGATTGTATATCTGTCTCACTCTCCTCCAGTCTTTTCTGTTTCGAACTTCCGATTCTGTCCCAGAGTCATCAGCCAATTCGCCATTCGTATCTTCGACATCCTCTTCAGTATCAGACGATTTCGCCGAAGAACAAGCAGCATCCTGTGCTCCTTCACTTTCACTCTGCATCCGAGACAGCTGTTTCTCGTCGAATCGAAGCATGTTTATAAGGCGAATTACTTGGTTCTGAAAACTCCCGCATAGAAGAAGGTCTGCTTCATCGAAAACCTAACATATATTTAAAACCGAGGTGGAGATAAATCAGAATTTGTAGTCTTCGCTGAGCAAAACTTCAAAAAACAGCTGCTTGAGTCGAAAATTACCACAAGTTTGACATATCGTATGAACTCAGCTCGTCTATGCTTCTCAGGATCAATTGCATAGAGATAGTTTAGAAGCGCGGCTGGCGTCGACACTATAACATCCGGTTCTTTAACCGAGAATCCCTGCAGATGATCAACAAGATGTTTGCTTATTCAAAATTCTCATTCAAAAGTAAATAAATACGGTTTAGTTTCATACCTGACGACCACAGAGGCTAGTGGTTCCAAGAATTGGCTGGCCGGTGTTGTCGCAAAGGCCATTAGCCATTCGAACAACTTGCTCACACAGCATTGTATTAGGACAAAGAACAAGAGAGATTCGGCGTTGAAGCTTCGGTTTTGAATCATCCGAAGCATTTTCTTGCATTCCGAATAGCCTCTGAATGACAGGGATCAAGTATCCGTGAGTTTTACCACTCCCTGTCTCTGCTGCAATCACCACATCCCCTCCGGCAAGAACTGCCGGTATACAAGCAGCCTAAATTGCAATTACAACATTAAATCTTCACTCCATGTAAGGTTATCGATATCGAATAAAGCAAATACAATACAGAAAATACATTTTGCAGAATTTTAGGGATGTCATTAACGATGAAATCAAAGGCAGTTCTAATATTAGGTATACAAAATGATACTAACAATTTAATTAAACGGATCGAAAACTAAATAGTATATAGAATTTTTGTCAAACTCTCCATGTAATTCCGAAGCTTTTCATCCTAATTTCAGCATTATACTTTAGCCACAGAGGTTTTCAATTCACAAGAAGAAAATGGAGATAACTTTCATAGGCTCAAATGTTGATGATTGGAAGGGGATTTAAAGTGAAAGAGGAATTCCTGAAAGGCGCAATGATTGCAAATCGAATTCAATTGAAGAAAGCAAATTAAATTGAAGAACCTGGACTAGAGAGGGTCTCTGATATCCAGCATCGTATAGAGAGCGTGATATGAAATCTGAAACTCCAAGTGAACTCCAAGAAACGCTTTCGTCCGCCAAGAACATATCGACATCGTTTCCATGGCGTACAGCGGCGGCAGTCCCGAAAGCTCGGAGTTTCTTCCTTCTATGGAGGCGAGAGCTCTCGAGGGCGGAAACACACAGCACCTTGAGGGATGCAAACGAGTGAATGCTCGGAAATGGTGCGCAATACAACGAAGTTCTGCGAGAATTCAGCGCGGAAAACGCACGCTGCGCAAGCATTTTCTCGATGGAGTCGATTCTAGGATTTGCAGAAGAGTTTTTAGGGAGGTTTAATCCAATACCCTAGTGGGATTTAGATATTTTTACCCTCTAGGTGCCCTGGAAATTATGTTTGTAGACATTTATACCCTCAACTTGTCCTAAAAATACTGGCCTTACGCACTAGAGTATCTTCCGACGAGAAATGGCGCCAAAGACGAAGAACAAACCTCCACCGTCTGATCCTAATGGGATATTCGCTGGAATGACTGTTTTCTTGATTGAGACCGGCGTTCAAGCCCGCCGGCTGGAGGTTTCTACCTTTTCTTCTTCTTCGGTGGATTTATTGCTGTGAATAGCTGAGATTTTGTTTAAACTAAGTAATTTTCGCTTATTTTTAGATTTGGGAGACAAAATTGGTGCAGATGGGGGCCAGAATCGAGGAGCGGTTTTCGAAGAGGATTAGCCATGTTTTCGGCGTGGATTTAAACTCAGTTCTCCAGAAGGTCGACGTTGATACGTTGAAGCGTTTCAAAGCAGTAAGTATGCTGATCGAAAGTTAGGGTTCATATTATTATTAACGAAGGGCAAATATAGAGGAACTGTTTTCTGGATTGCATTTCCTTACCGTGATACATACATACATACATATAGGAATGTTGAAATTGGCAGTACTTGCTTTGATAGGGATTCAAGGTTTTTGTCATAATTTTGTATCAGGATCTATCTATTCAATGAAAATTTTTAAGTTCAAAATGCCAAATCCCTAAATTGAGTACAAGGGATTGACTCTGGCTATGGAGTTATGAATAACTCTGATCTGATATTTTCTCCCACAGAAAGTCCTAAACTTTCAATGGCTAGAAGATAGCTTGAGCAAGGGAGAGAAGGTAGGTGAAGATGCTTACATTTTACCAGTGGAGAATGAGGGAAATCGTCGAAGCATAGCCACTGAAGACCAAAAGAAACTTGCCACAGCAAATAATGCAAGTATTGAAGATCAATCATCACCAAAAAAGATTAAAACCTTTTCAGAAGGGGTTAAATCTGCAGCAGATGCCGTCAGTTGTTCATCAAAATCGGATACAGCTGGTAGTTCGCCTCAATCTCCAAGTTCCTTTAGCCCAGAAATTACTAGCCGGAATTCCGATGGTCAAAATAGAGAGGTAAGTTCATATTTATAAGGAATCTGTATAAATGCGTAGATTAGTTTTCTTTCATCAAACGTTGAATGCATCAGGCTTTCGTATTCTTTATTTCGGATAGAAACATATGAGCTGACAAAAGTAACTAACTAAATAACACTCATTATTTACGAAATATTCTATTATATTAACTACAAAACCATCTAAGTTATTACTCATTTTTCACATTTTCTATAACTAAATACTTCGTTTATGTTTTTTTAGCAGGTCTCTTTGTCTGATGCATCATTGCTTTATAGCCCGCCGGATCTAAACAGGAATATAACTGAAATATTTGGCAAATTAATCGATATTTACAGAGGTTAAACTTATTCAGATATCATGTTTGGTTTTAATACTTAATGCAAAAGATGACTTCACTATACATTTTTTGACAACAGCCTTGGGTGATGATAGGAGATCTTTCAGCTATTACAAAGCTATCCCAGTTATTGAAAAATTACCTTTTAGAATTGAGAGTGCGGACCAGGTGAAACATTTACCTGGAATAGGAAAATCCCTGCAGGATCATGTGAGAAAACTTTTCTTTTTCTTCGGTATTTCTTTCTTTCGAAACATTTTCCAAACATTTCTTGTTAAATTTCCAATTGTGCACTCTTTTTCGGTAATATTCTAAGGTCTAATTTACAGATTCAGGAAATAGTTAATACTGGAAAGCTGTCCAAGCTGGAGCACTTCGAGAAGGATGAAAAGGTTCAATTTTTGTATCTCTACAATCAAAACCAACTAAACCCTTTTTTTTCCTTTGGCAGTTTCAAAATTCCGTTAATGAGATGTGCTGTTCTGCTGGCATTAGATATTGTAAATAGATTGTGTTTATTGATCTCCTATTGGTATTTTAGTCGCTCCTTTCTTGCTGTATCCATCAGGATTCATATTCTCTCACATAGTCATTGAGCCGTTATAATGTTTCCTGTGTTCTATTGATCGTAAGGTACGTGCTATAAGTTTATTTGGAGAAGTATGGGGCATTGGACCTGCAACAGCGATGAAACTTTACGAGAAAGGACACCGGACACTGGATGATCTGAGGAACGAGGAAACATTGACGAATTCCCAAAGATTGGGCTTGAAGTACTTCGATGACATAAAGACTAGAATTCAACGTCACGAGGTCTGTCCCAGTGCTTTCAGATATTATCTGCTGCATCTTCCTTAAAATAAACGTTTAGTATACTTATTTGTTCATCGGATTAACACTATAATATAATAGGCTCAAGAAATGGAAAGTCTTCTACAAAAAATCGGTGAAGAGATTTTACCGGGGGTAAGAATTCCGGGTGCTGTTTCATTTTTAGCAAGCTTAAATTTATATACATGATGATTATATATTCCTTCAGGTAGTCATTGTGTGTGGAGGATCATACAGACGAGGAAAGGCTTCTTGTGGGGATTTGGACATTGTTATTACACACAATGATGGAGTAAGGTACAATATTCTATTATGTAATACATTGTTTTAGTTTTCTCTTGATAGATTACTCGATTTCTGTCATTACTTCCAGCCATATCGGGTTTCTCGCGAAGTTTGTAAAGCGTCTCAAGGAAATTAACTTCTTGAGAGAGGATCTGATCTATAGCATTCACAGTGAGGAGGTGATCGACGATTCGATAATCTTGTTACTAATTTTGCTAATGACGATATAAATTCACATCTCGCTGCTGTTTCCGTATAGGGTACTGACTCCGGAGTCGATACATATTTTGGTCTATGCACATATCCCGGTCGGGAGCTGCGCCATCGTATTGATCTCAAGGTCTACCCAAGGGACATCTACGCATTTGGATTAATAGCGTGGACGGGAAACGACGTGCTAAACCGAAGGTACGCGTCCTACACTTTCATCGACAAAAAATCAGCGATATTCTTCTCCCGGGTTCTTGCAATCATCGTTTTGGATTCTCTACGTTCCCTTATTCTTCAGGTTGAGATTATTAGCAGAATCGAAGGGGTTCAGACTCGACGACACTGGTCTTTTCCCCGCCACCCACAGCTCTGGCGGCAAACGGGTACGTATTGTTGAACCGGGTGTCATGTAGCTGCTGCATTATGAATAACATTACTTTGCTACCAAATGCAGGGAAGCAAAGGCAGTGCAAGTTTGAAATTCGGTACTGAAAAGGCGGTTTTTGATTTTCTCGGGTACCCGTGGCTCGAGCCTAACCAACGGAACTTGTGAGTCAAGACGGAATAATCTCGACGCAATCGGGTTACAGAGTCTTGTACAGAAACTAGGTTAACTGCAGACTACATCAGAAGAATTCTAGGTAGCAAATGTAAGCCTATATAAGTATCTTGTTTGTTTTGGCATCAATTGCTCTTGCTGTCTATAAAATGGATAAGTTCTTCATTAGAGCAAAATAATTCACAACCCTAAAAATGTCCAAACACAACAAAACAAACAGATAAAAGCAGGTAAGAAAGTTGTTTTATCAAACAAACCTAATCTCCACTGGGATGGATATTTTTCACAGCTTGTGACAATTTACAAAACAACCCCAATTGCACACAACTTTTCAAAAAATTGCAATAATAGTATCAACAATATATATATGTATATGTATGTAGTGGCTGGAACCAGCAAGATAAATTTAAGGAGAAAATTTCACCTTTCTTGTTTTTTTTTTTTTGGGTTTTAATGCATTGCATCCATAGCCAGTTGTGGATGAAGTTAGAATTGAGGATCCTAATGGACACGAATCGATGTCGAATAGCTCGGTGAAGCACAACGCTGATGATGTCCAGCTAATAAGGCGCATATGAAATGTTCGGAAAGTCCATTGGTAGCCACTGGAAAGCTACTTATCGATTTCCTCCTGAACCTGTCCTTCTAAAGTCATGAAGAGATTCAAATGAATCGACGTAAGTTCTAGTTTTTTTTTTTTTTTAATGGCAAATTAGGAATAGTCTTATAAGAGATTCTTACCAGCGAGATCGACAGCTAAGTTTGCCTGTGCATCAGCCTCAGAATTTAAGTCCTGAGAGATAGAAATGTAGAGTAATGAATCAAGATGAAATTACGATAAAAAAAAATACTGTAATAGGTGAGTTGCATTGAGAAAACAATACGACTTGCTTCCTGACTTACCCTTAGGACATGAATGATTTGGAAAGAGTGAAATTTATCCTTCAGTTTCTTCGCCTCGTCATACAGGCTGAAGATGTTTTGGTTCTTAACCTTCCATAATCCTTGAATCTGTTTGTCGAATCAAATCTTGGAATTATCGATTTATTTATGAAAGGAATGCTTAAAAACAGTTCAAAAATAGATTAAGGTCTAGCAATAATAAGACAAAGAATGCTCAATGTGCCACAAAAATTCGGTAAATCCTACAATATAATGTTCATTGTAGGGGATCAAGATCGAACTTAACATTTTAATTTTTAAATCCCAAAATAAAATAAGGGTTATACCTGCATGCAGACAAGTTTGGAGTCACCTCGAACTCGGACACTCGTAAAACCTTTGCCTAAGGCATATTTCAACCCCAATATAAATGCACGGTATTCGGCAGCATTATTGGTGGCAACGCCTAAGCCCTCACGCAACCTACAAATCTAACATGCAAAGGAAAAAGATATATATCTTGTGGCCGGAGTACAGAAGAAGTAATTCGTCTAAAAGAACCACTTGCTCACCAAACTTCCATCATCTGAACGAAGTACAGCTCCTGCTCCAGCTTGTCCAGGATTTCCTTTCGAAGAACCATCAAACTCAAGGGTACAAGATCTCTGTATAGAATATAGGGAAAACTTTTAACATGGTAGAATTCATTGCTTTCAGATCTATGTGACCTCACTTGCACAATGTAAGCCACTAAAATTCCGAAACACATTTATTTTTTATAAGTATTTTATTATGAATAACCAAACATAGACAACTCACGCAAGCTGATTGATTCCGTTCGACTTTATGAGAATCTAACTTCAAGTGCTTTGTTAGGCCATCGTTTGAAGCCAGCATAGGTCCCACAGCTTCCTGCAAAGTATGATGCAACGATGAACCAACATGGAGCAGTTCTCAACACATTTATCCATACATACACGTCCTTCCTTCTATGTAAAAAATAATAATAATAATAACATGAACTGCAATAAGTTTGTGCTGCATTTATGACTCTGAAGATCCTTATTTTGCAGCCACCGAAAAACTTGACCACACTGAAGTAGAATAAGATCTTCGATAATGTAAAAAATGTTCTTCTCATCTTCATCTTCTAATCTATATTTCGATTAAGATATACACCCTTAGACCTATAAAAGGCATCTAGAAAGAAATATGTTTAAGATAATCAGGTTAGGTTTGTAAAGAACAAAATATAAATACTAAATTCTATTGCAGTTCATGAATAGGTAGACTCATCCTAAACCATCAGAAAAACATTAAAGACAAGTAAACTTATTCGCTGAAAACGAATCAAAGATTCCATAATGATCTCACTCACTCCATAATCTGAATATAGAGATTCCTGTGCTCTCTTCTTTGTCACAGGCTCGCTTGATGTTTCACCTCTAGAAGATGAAGGCTATAGTGCGACCAAAAATGGATTCCATTAGATCAGCAAAAATTTACTCAGAAGCACAAGAAACAAAGCAAAAGAAGTTAATATGCTATGAACAAATTTTCCAACTGAAAATAAACAAGTACAATGTAGACGGCGTTAGAGCAAGAAAATGCGCCGGACAAAAACCATTCTGCAGAATGCAAAGACATGTCTAACAAACATCTTATTCTATACTTTTTAAAAAATTATGCGAAAATATATCACTACCAAGTAAAAGCATTAAGAAAGAAACTAATGAGAAACACCAAAAGATCACATTACCGGAAATGGACAAGATACAAGAGTTCCAAAAAGTTGTTCAGTTAGATCCGATGCTCTGATTGTGTAAAGAGCATTCTTAAGCCCACAAGAGATTAGATACTTCTCCGTATCCTTGGGCATAGAGTGACCTTTGTACACACTGACAGGAGGGTCACATACCTGGCACGAAAAACATAGTATTCATCAAAAAACATCAGATAGATACCCAATTAGGCCGCTATCTCAATTGTCACAACAACAGCAAACATATTATAATAAGATTTAGTTGGATGGATAAGATCTCTTCAGTTAGGTAGCATCGCATTTAAAGACACGTGCGAGTGTGATCTAGGGTTTAGACCTTATCCATTAGTATTTTTACAACAAATTCAATAAATACATAGTAATATCGAATTGGGGAATACCGAGGTTCCAACTTGAGCTTGGCAATCACTCAAACTTTTATATACTCCCACAAGATCACCCTTGCGAACCACAAAGAATGCTTCCCTGTCATCCTTCATTAGCTTTTTAGGAAGTTTCTTCTTAAGGGAACCACTTCCACCACCGCCACCAGATTTCTTGGATGAATAGCACCGAATGTGAATTCTTGTTAGCAACAATTTCGAATTCACTGTCCTAGCACCTGAATGCCAGAAGCTTGGTTTCCGAAAAGGCAAAAAGCATTTGCAAGATTCGCTCGTCGCTTCAAAAATATGTGTACTAAACAACAGAGTTGAACAGCATGCACGAAACAAACTTATCATTCCAAGCACTCCCCCCCCTCGTTTGCCAGATTCTCTGAAATGAAACATCCATTGCTGACAGTAAGAAAAACACATATTGTACAACAAAAGCGGCCATGGAGTTTAATTAGGTTTTAAATCAAGATGTTTAGACCTAATTCACTTTCACTACCAATTTATATTGCTAATATATCAGTTTCAGAGGAAAAAGACCTACCAGTTACAAGTGAAAGCTATCAAAAATGGCAGACGCAGGAAATAAAATAGAATACGCTAATCCATATCCAAATCCACCAATCATATAATCCACCCCAACCTATCAGCAAATTAAAAAGCATCTAAATGAAGCAAAATAGCACAAAAACCCTCGGCAATTAGGCACAAGGAAGGAAGCAATACTTCATCCGACGATAAGCATCTAAAAGCAATAAATTAGACTCATAACAACCCAAACGAAACCATCAATTGCACCCGAAAGATAAACAAAATTACTAAAACATACCGGCAAAGATTACTCCGGCAACATCCAGTAAGTATACCGAAACCCCCGATTCCGAGCGGAACTGGATAGACAGATTGCAGATTGCCAGAGAAGCGACGAAAGAGCCTACACAGCGACGAGGGTTTAGGGTCGCGGGGGTGGGTGGGGGTGACCCTAGGGGTGGGTAGGAGTTGGGTTTTAGGTAGGAGTTGAATGGAGCCGGTCTATGTTTTCATTTACCGGTTTTCATCTCCGGACCGGCCCGGTTCAGTCACTGTTTGAGAGCGTTTTGTTTTGCTTCTCTTCCCTTCCTTGTTGTTGCCTGTTTTAATAAAAAAAAATTAATCCTCTCTCCCTTTCATATTATCTATCCGTGCGTTTTTTGCAATATTATATTAGAATTAAGTAACGAAGGTAAAAAGCGAGATTTATATAATATATTATAAATTGAAAAGATATTTATAATGTAGATAATTTTAGTAATATTTATATTTAGGATGTGTTTGTTTGAAGGTTTGGATTTTGAGTTGGAATTTGAATAGTAAAAATTTTGAATTTGAATAGTTGTATGATATGATATAAATAGGTATTGACTTTAAATATAAAATTTGAATTTTTTTTAGTATAATATAAAAAATAAAAAATAGATGTTTGATTTGATATTTTTTGAAAAAAAAAAATTAATAATATATTTAAAATTCAATTCTCCAAGCAAACACACCCTTGCTATATACTTGTTATGCAACATATCAAAATGAAAATAAATAAATAAATAAATTGGTAAATGAAAAAAAATAAATAGATAGGTGGTAAGGACTGAGGCAGTATTTAATTAATACTCTCTTTTTTCCATATCTTATTAGTATTGTGTGATAAAAAAATAATGATATTTGTGTAATATACTGTTGAAAGAATATTTATAATGTCAGAGACCAAAATAGAGTAACTAAAAAAGGAAATAAATATTAAAATACCGACCAAAATAGAAAAATTGATGTAATGTTATGACACGGAGGAGTATAATACTTTTGGATCAATTTGAAGCCTTAATTATTAAGATTTGATTTCATGACATAAACAGACAGATTCACTGAGAGGAAAAAATATAGAATCCACCAAAGAGGTTACTACAGTGTTAACAAATGATGCAAGAACTTGAACAAGCAACAATGGCGGCTATCTATAGCTATATCTATATATCTCTATCTGTCTGTCTGTCCGTACTTGGAGAGCACCCCTGTAAGTAAAGCTTTCTCCTTTATTTTCAGCCTGCAAAAAACCACGAGCAGCTCATTCACGAGGACGACACACAATTCACAAACATTTGCTGTAATTGCAATGTACTAATAATCATTTGTTGTATAATTTGTACGAACCTTTTGGCAGATCCTAGGATGATGCTCGATTTAGGATTCTTGCCTTTTCTTCTTGCCTTCTCATTTCCTTTAGGCTTTCTTCCCTGTTTCGGACTGCTCGGCGACTCGTTGTCGTCGTCGGCTGGAATTGAAACGTCGGGTAAATGCATCTCATGATCTGCACCGTTGGATCGGCTAGGATCGCTTTCTTCGCATCGATCATCCAACGGTGCAGATGAATCTTCAATTATGTCGAGTTTAGGATCGTCGGATGCGGATTCGGTGCTGATTATTTCGCATTTTATCTCCTTCTGAACCTTTCCGAAGCTTATAGTTCTTCCCGAAAAATCCTGCACGAATCTGCCGAGACATTCTTGTCAAACTACCGAAAAATCAACAATTGATTTCCCAAATAATACAGATAAGTGAAATTTGAGCATGTGTTATCTGTTCATATTTTAATATATATGTTAACGTTAGTTTATATTTATATTATATTAATATAAATTATATATTATCTGTACTCGTGTTGTATAATAGTATATAAAAATTTTACCGGTGAGCGTTTGGGAGACGGTCGAAGTCGACAAAAGCAAGTCCTTTGCACACAGGGTCTCGGGTCTTTTCATTCCCGGAGACGACCGGAGTTACGGCGACAATTCCAGCCACGCCGGAGAATGCCAGGCGGAGATCCCTGTGAATGTTCTTCTTTTTCGGAAGATTGGTCACGCGCACCCTAAATGCGCTGTCGATGCGCGCCGAGCCTGCAATAAATAATCAAACACAAGCATGTTTTCATTACAATCAATCCTAAGGAACAACATCAAATGACAACAATACAATACAATAATACGTAAGAACAATAAATAGACGTTGATGTGATATTTTGAATAATATAAAATCGATAACTATTTATATCACATTATTCAAATTATTCCAATTAAAAAATTCTGATATTCAAAATCTACTGTGTCAAACAAACACACCAAATGACATAACCAACAATAGTACAATACAATGTAGAAAGAACAGTAAATGACAATATGTCGATGATAACTTGAAAGAAATTTCCAACAATTTTGCAATGAAGATTAGATCATCGAACCTTCATTTTGCAGCTTGTCTGATTCTTTCTTGTTTTCCTTAAGCTTGGCAATATTAGCAGCCTGTGCTTTCCTGCTCTGTTCGATTTCCTTCACCAAATCATCCTCGATCGAAGTATCGTACACTCTGCCTTCCCCAAACCCCCTCGGCCGATTCTCCAGCCACTTTTTCATCTCCTCCATAGGAACAACTACCTCGTCTTCCCCGAACTCGCCATCGTCGTCTTCCTCGAACTCACCTTTGCCCTTGCTGCCCCGGGCAGCGCACAACAACCTATTTCGCAGTACACAGCCATTTAAGCTTAACGGTTTCGAAACTGAAACTGGTGGTCGGAATTTGGAGGATACTGAAAATTGTGGGCTCCCGACAACGCCGCCGTGCCGGACGGTGGTCGGAAACTTCCCCAAACTCAGCATTTTCGATTGAATTGAAATTTCGGATAAGGAACAGGACAGGAAAAGAGGGGGAAACCTGCAAATGAGCCCAATTGGGAAATCCCCAACTTAAAAACCCTAATTTTTCAATCCACCATTTTCGTCGAGCCCAACTGCATCAGATAATCTACAGAAGTGGGCTGGGCTAATTTGACTAATTGACTGTAGGAATTCTTCCACAGAAGGGTCAGATTCCTCGGGCAAGAAAAGGCCAAGAGTGAAGACAACGTCGTACTAATCACACAGGAAGAAAACACAATCAACGTTGCTGTCATACATTTGAATACGTCGAACACGATTGACATCCGCCATTGATCCAATATACAACACAGATATCTATCCATCTATCTTCTTCTTCCTATATACGTTCCTCCACAAAAGACATGATTTTGGAGCTTCCATTAAAAGCTCTCTGTTGTCTGTCTTCTTGTCTTTCTGTGTGTTCCTCAAAATCATTAATTAATTCCAACTTGCCCTAATTTTCAAATTGTTCAAGAACCATGTAATTATGGTTGTCCGAGATTGAGATTAATTTTAAAAAATTAAAAAAATTAAAAATTCAAAGGAACAGAATTCCATATATAGGGAAGCAAGTATATCCCACTTCCAGCACAACCCCATATCTCATCCTCAGGACATGGGCAATAATGCTTTATTCTTGGATATATACATACACCTATACATACACACATGCTGACCTTTTTCAATTATTCAATTTTCCCTTGTTACATAACAAAATAAAATAAAAAGAGCCTTCAAAGATCCAATCTTTATTTATATATATTTATATATTTTGACTGATCCCATTTCAGAAAAATTTGATCATCCATTAATGGCGATGACAGAAAATATGACACAGGTAGTTGGGTTAACAGCCGTTGAGATTTACTATACATACATATGAATATTTGTGTGTCTATATATAAGGCGGCAGCTGCCGTACTGAATTTAAAATTTAATATTGTGCTGAACAACACATAATATTACTACAAACAATACACTATATATATTAATATATATATTAATATAATACAAATACAAACGTATAAACTAACAACACATGTTATAGTTTTATACTAACATACACAACAGTTTGATTTTAACACATGATATACTTGAATACAATACACTTGTTATTATTAAAAACAGCACATTTATTCATCCCGTATGTATGTGTATATATATATATATATATATATATATTTGGCCATGAGTATTAATTGAATTGAATGTGCCTACAGCAAGACAGCACCGGTTAAATATTTCCTTACAATGTCCCTACATTTGGGGGCAATTTTTCCATACTAGATTCGAAGTTTGTACCTTGAGATATTATTTCTAAGGTACAACCCATTATTGCGCGCCATATATTTTCACTCTGTATGTATTATGTGTAAATAAATTAAATTTTATTGATTATGTGAAAATGTATATATATATATATTAATTTCAATAATTAATTTCAATTAGTTTGGTTGAGCTGAAATAGTCAAATCAATTCACAAATCATATCCCTATTATTGTGCGTGTGTGTGTACATACTTTTGTTAATTTGTGTGGCCCCAAAGTTAAAAATAATTAAAGGTATTATCCTTTTGTCATCACTATATATATAAATAAATAAATAAATCTCACCATTTATATTAAGATATTGCAAATCATCATCTCAATAATATTTCCACCCCCCTTTTCAACATAAAGTAAATTTATTATTATTTTTTTTTTTGGGAATAAACAAGAAAAATTAAATTTAGAGTTTAGTAATTTATGTTTTCTTGAAATTCATTGATTTTGAATTATTGTATTTTCAAAATAGAAGATTCTTGTGAGGAATCCCCTGAAAATAAGTTTGATCAATTATTTGTAGTCACATCGAAAGTATTTAATTACAGGTACACAATTGGTTCAAAATCAACTCATAATTAATCTGTTCGAAAATATTTCACCAATAAAAATTAATTGTGAGTATTATATTAATATAAAATGTTTTATTTTATTTAATTATTAGATATTTGCTATACTGAATTTATTGGATCAGCCCACATTGAGTTAGGAAAACCTCTTATCAGTGCCAAAAAATTCCAATGAAAGAATTTCATCTTTTTTTGACTGTCCAAAAAAAATAAAAAAATCAATTAAACAAACCAAAATGATTTCGAACTCAATAATAAGCCAAATAAGAATAACAATAGTTGCATTTAATTTAATTTAATTTAATTTATTTATTTAAGAAATGATTTTTGTGCATGAATTTTGGTTATTTATTACAAAAATAAGAATAGTCAGCAATCAACGTTATTACTGGACATACTATGTGGTCCAAATGTGTTTTTAAGGACATGGCACATCAAACTATATATACAAAATAAATTTTATTGCTACATTTAGCAAGAAATATATATTGGTTCTATTAATTTGTTGCAATTAAACTTTAAATTTGAGTAAATTCTAAAATTAATTATTTGTCATTAAATTCATTTATTGAAAAAAAGGCGATTATTATTTAATTATTATTATTATTATTATTATTATTATTTATGTATATATGTGAGATGAACAAAAAATTGAATAAAGAATATTGCATAGAAGTTCGTGAATAAATGCGAAAAATAAATAGAAAATAGACACACACGCCAGAGGCATTTATTGAAAAATTAATAAAAATTTAATGAATAAATAAATAAATATTTTAAAATAATATTAATAAAAATAAAAAATGAAAATAGGCATATATCTCTATCTATATATCCGATTCAAACAGGAGAGGATCTAAACCAATTAACCACACAACAAAGCCAACAAGTCCGCCGCCCAAAGTTTTCCGGCGAATTTGCCGATGGATCGGCGGCAATAATCGAAGGGAAAGCTACGCGAGATATGAACGAGTTAGAGTGACGAACGAAATACACAACTACTATTCGCCATGTCGCTGTCGTGCTCCGATTGCTTCTCCGACCTCCTATGCGGTGAGGACTCTAGTATTATCTTCTCCGGCGGTGGACTTGACTTTCCGGAATACTCGTCGGACCTGGAATCACTTCCGACCGACGTTGAGGAATCCATCGCCGGATTGCTGCAGGATGAAAGAGATCTCGCCGAGAGTAACTCGCGTCCTTCGCATCAGCCGGTCGATGCTTCTGCTAGAGCGGAATCTGTTGCATGGATTCTCAAGGTACATCTATCAGTTTTTCCAGATTTCGGAAGTTAGATTGATCTTCTTCTGTAGTGCAAACAGGAGTCGATTTTTGTTAACTTTGAAGTCAATCGCCGATTAGGATAAATTAATTAAGTTCTAGAGCATTGAATGTTAACGGCGGTTTATTTTCCGCTCCGGCGGTGACAGTAACCGTCGCCGGCGACAGCTGTACCGTAGAACGCGATGCAACAGTAATTAACTTCGTGGAGCGTAACTGTCAGCGCAGTTTACGGAGTGCTGAGTGTTGACTGAATATTTTTGCTTCGTTGCAGGTGCAACAGTATTACGGTTTTCAGCCATTAACGGCGTATCTCTCCGTCACGTACTTTGATCGTTTTATCTTCTCCCATCACCTACCGGTAAGACTTCCGTTACCGTCAAAATAACCGTATTTATTAATTCCGTGGCCAATACATATAATGCTAATTTTCAGTTAGCTGCAGATTTTTAGCTTGAGATTTAACAGATCGGATACGATTTTAATTCATTAAAATCATCAGTTAATGAAAATACGATCGATGGGTGGAGTACAAATAATGTATGTATAAATACAATAAATAGTTGAGAGTTTTATACATAAAGTACAGTACTCTTGGTTGGATCTGCTGTCCTTTATGTTAATAATTTCTTTCTTATGTACGTAAATATATTCTTGTAATTTGCTAGTCATTAATGTCTATACGTTAAATAGTGGGACGTTTGGCGTTACGGGGAAAAAGTGTCACACGTATGCACTACATTGAAATACATGGTGTGTCCATGAAATAAAGTCGATTGGTTGAGGCTCCCTAGTCCAATCAAGAATCACATAATGCTTGTTAGACCTAAACTTGCCACTAATCCAACTAGTGTACATAATGACAAAAGAGAAAATTTTGTTTATTCCATATTATACTTTTTATTTCCTAATCCACATCGATGGCAGTCTAGATTAATTTAATAATGAGTGATGACTAAATGGAAAGCATGCCTGACAGTGATAATTTAATGAGGGAATTAAATTATCTTCTCCAAAAGTATTTGTTGGGGAGGTCCATTTGTCTTCTCTTTGGGTTTCTAACAACCTTGGAAATGCATTCCGATGGGTATCTGTATTTGTTTACGTGTTTTCTTTAGTTAATAATGGCAACTAATCTTTTGTTTTTTTGTTATCATTGTGCATGCTTATCATTTGTTTGCTTTATTATAATAAAAACAATAATTTATAATTTATTAGTTGCAGAAAATGAATGGATGGCCTCTGCAGCTACTGTCCGTTGCATGCTTGTCATTAGCTGCAAAGATGGAGGAGCCTCTCGCTCCTTCTCTTTTGGATCTTCAGGTAGTGATTGCATACATACATCTTCAAGATAGGATTCTTTGATTAATAGGTTAATTTCTTCATTAATGAATTTATCTTTCATTGATTCATAATTAGGTTGAAGGTGCAAAATTCATTTTCGAACCAAGGAATATACTAAGAATGGAGCTTCTTGTGCTCAGGGTCTTGGATTGGAGACTTCGAACCATTTCCCCCTTCTGTTATCTTTGTTTTTTTGCAGTCAAAGTTGATCCTACTGGGACTTGTACTGGCTTCCTTACCTCAAGGGCCACAGGAATTATTCTCTCAGTTCTTCAAGGTATTATATAGTACTGTATGTCTGTATTGTATATTATATGTTATCTTTATATCTTATTCATGGGCTACATCACTATTAATTTATAGCTACTCAGAATTCAGATTGGATAATTGTAGCACATTACTTGAATGAATAGTCAATTCTTTATTTCAACAGAAACGAGCTTGCTTGAGTACAGGCCATCATGCATAGCTGCTGCAGCCATACTCTGTGCAGCAAATGATCTTCCAAGCTTCTCTTTGATTACTGCTCAGCATGCCGAATCATGGAGTGATGGACTTCACAGAGTAAGAGAATAATACTCTCTCTCTCTCTCTCTCTATCTCTCTCTCTATATATATATATATATTATGGATTTTGGACTATGCATGCCTTTGTTATATAATATATCTAAAGAAATATTGGTGAAGAAAAGATGATGATATTTGCAGGATAATATTACAAACTGCTACCAACTGCTTCAACAAATGGGATTGAAAAACAAACCAAAGAAGCAGCCAAAGGTTCTGCCCCAGCTTCGGGTCACAACTCTGGCAAGTATTACCACTTCAAGTGAGTCATCCTCCTCATCTTCATCCTCATCATCTTATAAAAGGAGAAAACTAAATAACTCCTCCTGGGCTAATGATGACAAAGAGAAGTTCTGAGAGAGAGAGGGAGGAGGAGAGAGAGCAAGAAAATAAAAATAAAAAAAGAGGGGGGAGGGGAGGGAAAGAAAGAGAGGGGGAGTGAGAGAACATCTTGAAAGGGAATGGTGGTCCAGAGTTTGTCTATAATCCTCAATATTTTTTCCTCAGAGGGTGGTGATGATATATTTATAAAAAAATAAAAAAAAGGTTGACATGAGTGATGTAGATAATCAGCAAGTAAGTAATATATTGTATGAGAGTTTGGGATATTTATATGATGACCCCTCTTTTTTCTTGGTGGGCATGGGTTTGCAGATTCCCAAGGGAAGAGGGGATTTGGTACATAGTATTAATTTGGTGTGGAGAAATTGTTTAGTGGGTGGGTGGGGGGGGGGGGGGGGGTGGTGTAGGGGGTGTTGATGGAGTGTTTGAATACTATTGAATCTTTCAATGGTGGTGGTGGTGGTGGCATTAATGGTTGAATGTGAAGAAGAACAAGAAGATGAAATTGGTGTTTTTTTGTGGGACCCTTTTTGTGTATTGAAAATCAAAGGGTGGGTTGGCATAAATATGGTATTCAGAGTTTGAAGTTTGTGCTCAGGTTGCACAAGTCAAAGGCTCAATTTTAGGTCACCATTATTGTGTAAGAAATGTTGAAAGTGTTTGTGATGAAGAAGAAGAAGAAGAGAAAGGATGACCAAATAAAGATATTGGGTGGTGGTGAATGAAGAAAGCTTGGCTCCATCAAAGATTCACAATTTTTTTTACTTTGGTTTTTTTTGAGTGATGTGTAGAAAATACACACATATATGGAATATGTGTGTTGTCACTCTACACTTGTGCATGTGTGCTTTTTTGGCGAGAAAATTTCACAATTTTTCATTTTATTTCATTTCCCCAGTCCTAACAATACACTGGACTTTTTTTCTAAAAAAAATTTTTTTTTTTTTTTTTTTTTTTACATAAGAGAGGAAAAGAGTCTCTTTTTCTTGGGTTGTATGGCCGAAAGGAGTGGCCTAACCAATACAAAGGTCTTTGGGGCCTTTTTTTTTTTTTTAAATATATATATTTTTGTTCTTTTCTTCTTGGGTATATCTTCTTGTGCTGTGTTTGGCTGCAATAAAAATCATACATTATTGATACTGAAATTTCTCTTTCTCTTTCTCTGTCTGTGTGTCTGTCTTTCTCTCTCACTCCCCCCACACAAACACAGGGGGGAACCCCATCTCCCTATTCATGGCATGTGATTGACACAGAAGATTTTGTAGCTTTGTTATTTGTTTTATGGTAGCAGTGTAAATATGCTTTTAGTGTAAAGAATGAGTGTAGAGTGAGAAGACTTCACTATCCCTACCCCTACCCCTACTACCTAAGGTGGGAGAGGATGCTGTGTTATGTTGGCCCCCCTTGCAATTAATAAAGGGGGACTGATTCACTCATCCAATCTCCATCAATGAATATGACTTTGTGGCCCCATTCCCTGTCTCATCTCATCTCTTCTTCCTTCATTTCAGACACCTAAGCTAAACAGATACACACATGCACGTATACCGTAATTTCTATGTTTTAATTTCTATTGTCCTAAATTATATTTATAGAATTTTTTAGATAATTATCCTTTTATTACAAATTAATAAATTTGTTCTTATGATAGAAATTAAAATAATAAATAAATAAAAAATAATAATTTTTGAACGTCTTAAATAAAATATTAATTTGTGAACGAAAAAGGATCCTCTCTCTCACATACTAGTATTTGAACACACAATCCAATCTTAGGCCTAATTTAATTATTAGCCCCACACAACACAAGATTTTGATTACTTAAAGAAAATGAAAAAGAGAAAAACAGTAAACTAAGTTGTCGCGATCCCCCGTTCCCCCGACACAGAATTTGTCCATCTTAGGTCATTCCAAATTGGAATCAAGAAGACATTGCTCGTGGCTGGCATGCACTGCACATATATATCATCCATCTGGAAATAAATAAATAAAATTACAAACATATATCAAAGTAAAATATGGGACATAGAGATATATATATTATATTATATTGTATTACATGTGTAACGCTGTTTAAACATATCCTAACCAACCAACCCCTCCCCCCGTACCATATACTGAAACTCTGTACGAAACCAACACCTATTTATTGCCAACCAAAGATCCCTCCCCCACCTTTTTTTTAAATACTACTGTATTATCGTTTTCCTGTTACAAATTAGAATTGTACTGCAATAATAATAATAACAATAATAATAATAATAATAATAATATTATGTATTAAATTTAGTTTGTCACTCCATTGAGCTTTCACACGATTTCACCGGGGTCTGTGGGCACGAAGTAGCCTTCGGTCCGACGGTATGCAATATTGGACTTTAGAATTAGTATTGACTGAGTCTTTCTTCTGTATTCTCTTAGTTTATTTGGATAAATTTAGAAATATAAATATGTAATCTGTAATTGTCCTCGATAAATCTGTTTTCCGTTTCTGCCCGTGAACATGGCCAATATATTGTTGGTGAATTACGTAAATTTATGTACTCTTTACATTTCTATTTGTGATTTAATCACTAATTCATCCATCACAACAAATAATAATAATAATAATCTACTTTTCCACTATGAGTTATTTAGAGACTATTTATTGTAAGAACAGTGAAGTTGCTCAGCAGTTGAAATTTTGCATTTCAATATTTGTTGAATTATACGATATTGTTATGAATCTCCCAATCCAATCTATGATATATTGAATATTTTTTTATTAATTTATAAATATTGTTAAGAAATTTTTTTGTCCATTTTGGCATATAATAGAAAATGTACTCATAGTCAAAACTCCAAAGGAAATTTTTCGTAATGTCATTTTTTTTCTGTAGAACTTGACTAGGGAGTATTTTTAACTTAAAGAAAAATTGACTGTAAATTAATGTGACATACATGTTTTTACTCTAGACTTCTAAAATTGATGGACTGCATGATCAAATATTTTTTGATATTTTGGGAAGGCAATCAAAAATAAAATAAAAAAATCTTGGTCTATAAAGAATGATGGAATGGTGTGGGATGAACTTGTGATCGTGGGATCGATGATGATAGCGTTGTTGGATGTTTGTTGATGCATTCGTTCTTGTTCAACTTGATAGATTATAATGAATATTTCTTAAATCAAAACTTCTCAAATTTAAGTTTGATGTCGTTAAACTGAATCATCAAAAATATTATCATTGTATCTCATTTCTATATTTTGCACATGATTAATATTTATTTTTTTTGACATACTGGAGTTAAAAAAAAAAACAGAAACGTAAAGAAGATATAGATTTACTGGATTCACCAGCAACGTATTGACCACGTCTAAGGGTATAAACGAAGAACAAATTGATTGAAGACGACTCTGTTACATGTTATATATTTTATATCTCTAACTCTATTTAAATAAACTAAAAAAAATATCAGACACGTTCAACCCAATACTACGTACCGTTGGGTTGGGGGCCACTCCGCGTCCCCGGACCCAGGCAAGGGGGACTTCGCCCCTCTAGACCCTCCGGTTAGCGAGACCCCGTGAAAACTCAGTGAGGTGGTAAACTAGATTTGAAACCTATCAACAAAAATTATGGAATAATATGTGTTAAAAATCATGCTTATTTATTTTGATTTTATAATTTTCGCTCACATAAAACTATGAGAAATTAGCTTTTTATCTTCAAGATTTCCCAACAAATATATTAGCAAATTTTAAGTTTCTTTCTTTCTTCTTCTTCTTCTTCTTCTTTTTTTTTTTTTTTTTTTTTTGTTGCAGTGTGTTATTAATATCTGTTCTTTTTGTCATTTTCTAAAATCTGTTTTTATATAATTTAATTTCTTTTTATTATTATTATATTTTAATCTTTTAATATATATATATACATATAGATATATATAGAGAAAATTTACTAAATTAAGAAATATAGGCGTGAGGTGCACCCTTTAGAACATTACTATTGAAAGTTGATTAAATCTACTAAGCCAAATAAAAAGAAAGAAATTGCACATCAACACCAACGAATTTGCTTTCTAAAAATTGAGCAACTTTAGGAAAAAAGTTATCATATCGAAAATGTTTTTTTTTTTTTTTTTTTTTATTAATTTTGAAAGGGTCCCATGATCCAAAATAATTACAAAATTAACGTTATATATTATTCCCTATCAGAGTCTTGTCACAATTTGTGTACAAGATTGCTTAAGCTCTCACAATAAATTTGTGCGACGTGGCACGTGCCAATATGCAATCTTTTTTATATGTAACAATGATATTATTAAAAAATTAGAAATACTCGAAATAAATGTTAGGGACCATTTGAGAGATCAAAATCAAAATTGGGGAAAAAAATCTAAATAAAATAAAATGCAGAATTTCGTGGGTTTGCTATTAGTTGATTCATAAATAGTGACATTAAATTGCAATGCCACTTATGTGTCACAGAAGAATTTGATTTATTTAATTTATATATTCATATAATGAACAAAACACACACATATATATATATAACGATATCATATTCAATGGAAGTCAACAACAGTGACTTGATAATTTTGATTTTTAAATGCAATGGAATTAGGTAAGAATATCATTCGGAATATATATATATATATATATAAAAATGCATAAATTAAAATTAATTTTTTATTAATTAATTAAATAAATAATGATGTGTGGAGATGCATGTATCATAGATGACGTCGTGCAATGATCATAAAATGTAAAATTGAAAAGTGGGTAATAATTTGGATTTTTTTTTTTAAAAAAAAATATATATATATATTATTCCACTAAGATGAATATATTGTTTTTGTGAAGTACATGAGCTACACATTAGTTGTTCCAATTCCTCATTATTGCTTCATAATTCCATTAAGAAAAATATACCGTGTAATAAATACATATTGGGACAATACATAACAGAACTCCCTCCGTCCAGCTAGAAAGTATACATGTTTCTATTTTGGGACGTCCAATTACAAAGTAAACATTTCATTAAATACTTTACTTTTTTCCACAAATACCCCTACTTTACATCACATTATTACTTTTACACCAAAAAGCAAGGGCAAAAATGTCATTACACTACTTTTAACTGCCCACTATAATTAAAATACTATTATTTCTTAAACACCGCGCCAAAAGTAATTGTATACTTTTTTTGTGGACGGAGGGAGTATAATTTTATGTACTACAATATATTATTCATTTCAACGTAATAAATACTCCCTCCGTTCAGCTACAAAGTATGCATACTTCTATTTTGGGACGTTCAATTACAAAGTAATCATTTCATTTGTTTGGGGGTTTGGATTTTGAGTTGGGATTTGAATAGTAAAATTTTGA